ACGGCACACATACTCACTCCAGACCGGCAGATAGCGACTGTATAATAGATATAATACGCGTAATATATATTATTGTGTTGTAGTGGAATCGTCTTGAAATCTGTGTGACTCACAACGACGCCTACAACCACCACCACCACTACCATCTCCGGATACCAATGTGCTCGCGAGACATATTTTTTCAAGCTCTGTTTAAGTTCCATTTAAATTCCAACAGGCCAGCGCAGTCAAAATAGCGAATGAAAAAAATAAACCAGTATAAACACGATCATAAACAATCCGGCGTTTGTAATAGTAAGCGGGGACCGGTCGTTAAAAATGTGAATAAAAAAGTAAAATAAAAATACTTAGAACGCGCCCAGTAGCAGTTACAAAACAAAAAAAAAACCCCATATAACTATAAAACAAATACACTATTAACAGAGAAACCAGTTTGAAAGAAAACTATTAGGATACGTTTTTTGTTTCGTTCTTATCTACCCTCGTCCTTATATTATAGTCTATAAGAGATCATAATCGAAAAATCTAAATTTCTGGTACGATAATAAGCATAAAATTATCGTCGACCACCGTTCGTGTCGCCGTTTATAACCCGACGTATGTAATTGTCTTTAAAAATGCATGTGGCTATTTTTTATCAGTAGGTTAAGTGCCCGGCCGGTCACGCGAACCATCCTGCGTTGTTCTTTTATTCTCCTTCCGATTGTAATAGGTGTGTAATAATATTATAATGATATGATTAATAATAACTGCCGCCGATTTATACCTTGCCTAGCATGCGATCCACGCCAGTCACTCCGAATACTCTTATTTGTTTTATCCGCGGTAGACATGTGTTGGTTTATTTAATCGACGCTATTTACTCGGATGGTAATTTGGAATACACCGAGTAATTTTTGAAAATTTCACTATTTTGCGTATACCTTTTTTTTACAAGTATATTTACTTAAGGTATTTACTATTCAGACACCATAACGTTGTCTACTTAAACATTACGTTATAAAACCAAGAACTTCTGGACTTCGCAGACAAAAGCATCGAAGCTAAAACATTATTAATTAATCATTACTAATTTGATAGTCAGTTTTGGTCATGATACGAACACTGTATATCAGCTTTGTGCGCGATCGATATTATGTAATTCTGATGCTGTCAATCGTTGACAATATTTGTCAGATACCTTGATACAAATCTGAGTTTTATGATGTTTGTTCAATAGGTACTTGCTCTGTGATACTACTGTTTGTGGTTTTGTGTTATTTAACGGTAGGATTTTTGTATTAGTGATGGTGTGACGGTGCCGGGCATTGGCGGCATAACGGCGGGGTTTGCTTGCTACAACAGGAGGCACGCACAGAAAACGCCGTGTACTGTTGGATTACATGCCCGGCGCAGGTAAACGCATAATCGGGGTGTGGCAACCTGCAGTGTTAAGAAATGAAGAATTCGTATGTTATGTACACATTAATTATCTTGAGATTTATACGCGTTCACGGCTGTACGGACAAGTGTGTCTCATTAGACAAACATCGACCGGTAAATATTGAACTTCTTCGATGGATATTGGAATCAGTCTAGAGAAGAAAAAGATACAGACAGTTTCTCAATAAGAACTTACACCCCTTATATTTTTAAGAAGATACCTGACAATAGTCAATCGTTTACATAAACTATGTCAAACTAAAATTATAGCGTACGTATACATAAATGAGGATTCATTAATATTTATTGAAAGTTAATTTTTTTGTCAGACAGAGCGTTTATCGCAAATTAAATTTAATGTATTTAATGCAGTTATAATTAAACTTCAGTTTTAATTCAAACTAACGAAATATTATAAAATCCGTTTTAAAATATTTTGTATGTTTTTTACACACTGTGTACACTTAACTGTGATATTTTTGAGAACCTGAGATATTTTTAGGGGTTGCAAGTACACCATTCTCTACTGATTGCGTAAAACAAAAATATATACTTCAAGGGATTACAGTAATAAGTTGTTTTTTTTTTAGATGTAAAAATCATATTTTTGTATTAATTACGTGGAACCGTCAACCACTGTGCCTATGAAGCCAACTCACGTTTTTTCACCGTTAATTGAACGTGTGCCGTTCTCTTGAGAACCTATTGTGCTATTAATAACGCTTTCCATTAATTGCATTTGTTAGTTTATTAATCGTGTGCTAGTAAGAATAGTTGTTTTAGATGATCCATATTAAACGATAACTATTATTTACAACACTGTTGTTTATTCCAAATCTGAACACTTCACGGCCGATGCGGTTGGTAAGTTTTTGCCTATTTACAGTAAGCCGATAAGGACTTACCGACTTGTTATTGACAAAACGGAAGCCCCGTGGGCCTTTATAAGTTTAAAGGGGGAGTTTTATCCAAGGTAATCTATTATGAAGGAAGTTCTTGTTATTTTATTTTTCCAATGTGACAATAACGACACTTGGGCGGCGATGGACGTTTTTCGTGGTCTGTCATTAACCGTATAGTCGATGGTATCCTAGTGTTTTGCTCGCGTATTCGGTGTTTAGCCGTTTAGAGCAAAAAAAAAACTGCTAAAAAGAGGGTTTGCATTATTTATTTGCAGCTCACCTCCCGCCGGCGTTTTCTCCATATCAAATATTCTGTTTGCGCCGCATCGCCCGTCCGTCTTGCACACATATACACAGCTAGCATAGTATAACGTACTAGTAGCTGCGGTGTGACCGTCGCCTGTACACGTCGCACACACATGGTAAGTGGCATGCTAAACAGGGTACTTCACCACGAAGGCGGCTATACAGAATATAAAAAAAAAAACGGAGAGAGAGAGAGACCGTAGGCGTCGTTGTCTCGAAATTGGACGCGATGTGTGCGTGCGCGCCTGTGTATATATTTTTATGCACGAAAATATCGTTTTGATTTTTTTTTTCACTTCTTTTTATTCTTTATTACCGTATTATACCTCTAGTTTATATATACATGTGTATGTACCAAAAACCGGTACCAATCTGTGGACGGTATTGTGTCCGCGTTTTCATTATTAACCGTGAAATATTCTCACGTTTTTTTTATTATAGTAAAAAAAGTGAAATAAATAAATAACGCGAACAATCTTTATCGCTTCTCCTCTTCTATTGACCGTAGACGTTCGTATAAACTGTAACTATATAAATACGTGGTGTGTCCAAATTATTATTACCAAGTCTTTGGTTTTTTTTCTTATTTAATATATATTCCTATATAGATAATATAATATTATCGTTTGACGTGTGTGGTGGATGTGCCCGGTTAAAAGGATGTTGTTGTTATTTTATAATAATAAATATATCAATTGACAATTTCACTTGCCGCCGCGTTAAACGACCAGGGCGATAATTATGCCGTGTGGGGGAAAGCGGACCCGTCGGCAACATTATTGTTCACACCCTGTGTCAAGTGTCAAAACGTTTAAGGGATCATAATGTGTGCGTGTAATTCCCCGCGTTGATACATGATAATTCGGCGTTTACCAAAACCAAAACAAACGGATTACGGTGATACGCCTACTGCGATTATTTTTTTTTTCTTTTAGCTCTTGTGCTTGTTCGACAAATGTGTTTGTATTCCCTACTGGTATATGGGAAAAATATGCGCGTGAGCACAATAAAACAATATATTTTTTTATTTTTTACAAACATAATGGAACGGCCGTCTGTTTGAATATTAATTTCGGAGCAAAGAAACTGAGCCCTTCGGGTTTGAAATCGTAAAATATATTATTATTACTATGCGAAACGATTTTAATAAATAAAAAACGGGGTTCGTTTGTTTAAAGTTATTATGGTCCTCTACTATAATATACACCTTCGATCCACATGCTGAGCCTAACTATTAAAACAAAAAACAGCATCCTCTTCCGTTGCTTCGTCATGAACATGTGGTCGGCGCACCAGACTTTATAAAAGTGTAAATTTAGATTTTGAAAACATTCCAAGTCCGACAAACTGGCCAGATATACAATTTTTGAAAATATTAATATTACAATAAAAAACCCTTTACACTATTTTTGCGTTTCCGTTTAACAATGTCAACTCCTCCGGTGTTAAGTTTAATGTACCGCCAAACCGTTTAAAAGAAACTTATACATTTCTTCTTATTTATTCTGTTGAACGATGTAATGATAGTATACACAATGATAGATATATAATTATAACTGAATGATATCAGAATACATGTTAATCTTAGTTGTGACAAAACAATTTTTAGATGTAATTTTGATTTTCTAAATTTAAACAAAAAAAATCTTTATTATTTGGTTATGGATTTAAAACCCATTGCATAACTACCAATTCGCTCTTAATTCAATTTTGCTATTATGGTTGTTTATGAGTTATGCTATAACATACAGTACTTTAAAATACACCGGTTTAATTTTATTTTGGTAGGTAAATAAAATAAATGGACTCCTAATTAAATAAAACTTAATTGGTAACATAATTTCCCATTATAAATAATTTATAGATATACATATTTAAATTTTATATTTATACACAATAGGTTGTTTTAGTAAATAATATTTTTTTATTTATACATTAATCATTTTATCACATTCAACCATTATCAAGTAAATATTTAATAACGTTTTATCACAAAGTTTTTCGAAAAAAATTAGTCAAATAAACTATACTGTACAAAAGTCTATAGTATAATCAGTTTCTTATCAGTCATAATCTTCTTTGTCGGTGTCCGAATTAGTGTAGTCTGTAGAGTCGTTATCGGTCAAAGCGGCGGTTTCTTCTGCTTGGGCGAACAACTCTGAAGGCTTAACCATACGAAACACCTTTTCAAAATCCTCTTTTTGCCATGGAGCTATGGCTTCGTCCAAGGGATCCATAAACAAAAGCATTTCGTAGCGACTCAGGTAATCTGCTGGTATGGGAATAAGATAAAATACACGGGAAAACGTAGCAAAAAAGGATGATAGGTAAAAGAACAAAAATAGGGCAACGTTTTACAGAATTATTGAGAGTATTAATTATTTTAAGAAATTAATTATTGGTGTTTTATTACTAACCATTGTGGGCTACAGCCGTGCCGGACGTGTCTATGCACGACAATGGTTGCGTGATGAATTTCCGCCTTTTTGGCGCTGGTTTCGGAGGCTTGGGCTTTTTTCGGTATTTGCGCTTCGGCTTTTCATCGGCCACGCATCTTTTCGATGTGAAACATTCGTATAGACATTTATCCCACAACGACTTAAGGGTTTCCCTCTCGCCCAAATACGTACACTTCGAACAGTCAACGACTTCTCCTCCTTCTCCTTCTTTGTAATCCTCCGACGGTTCTTCCACCGATGACCCATCGCTGTTATCGGTTTTGGTTAACGGTTCAAATACTAACGGCAATGACTTTCTGTATTTTCGGGGACCTTTTCCTCCTGCCTTCTTTACTGACGAATTATCGCTATACTCTGAACTCCCAGTATTACTAGTTAGGGCGGTTTCGCTTTTTATCGTTATTGTTCTTTTCGCCGGTTTCGTTTTGTTTTGTTTAGTTTTCGGTAGTTTACGGCGTTCAGACGGTGTTTCAACGCTAGTGTTTAGGTCGACATATTCTTGTTTTATTGCAACGACCTTTTCGTTTTTGCACGCCTTCTTACGGCCCGCTGTTGACTGGACTCCTACAAATAAATAAACACACATTATATTATAAAACTAATATCACTTTCCTCTTGACCCGTTTTCAATATGAATTAGTCGATCTAGATAGGGATATTTTGGTAAAATTCATACAAATATTTTTTTTTTTGGTCGGTATTATTTTTACACGAAAACTGATAACAACTGAATGTTTTCGGCGTATTAATTTTATACACCAAAACGTATATTAAAATGTTTGTGTGTCTCGACTAACGACTTTTTTAAAAGTATTTTAGAGAATATTGAGTAAATTCTAAAATGTTTTACTCTCTGGTGTACGTAAAGCACCATCATAATTGCAAACTAGTTCAAAGTACAACTTTGTTTTAAATAAATTCCCTTGTAATTATTATATATCATGCATTTTGCTAGTGTCAATTTTCTTGAATTATAATAAATTATTATTTTTATATGTTTAAAACAGATTTAATCTATTGGCTGTATCAAAAAATATTTATTGAAGTACTAAAAATTAATTATGACATTCGTATTTATAGTTAGTAATTTCCAAAAAAATAGATTTTCCAGGTTCTAAACTGTATCAATTGTTAGTGACATTTTGGAGTTTCGTTTGTGAATGGGAAAAAATATAGTTGGATCAAATAAAATTGTGGTTAATATTTTCTAGTTGATATAAATAGTTCGGCCAACGAAATGTTTTAGTTAAGGCAACTATTTATTTAGTTATTCTAACTACTGCGTCCCTATATTAACCATATTTTTCATGTTTAGTTGATCCGACTAAATGTTTTTCCGTGTTCCGTTATTAATAAAATAATCTTACATAATCTAGTATTATTTGTCACTCAGGAAATTATTTTCTACTGTGGTACAAGTAGTGTTTAAAAATGTCAAAAAGTATACATTTTGATACATTTCACTGCAACAATATGTCATATTATTTTATTAACTTAAATTTTTCTTCTATAGTTTATTGTATATTTACCAAATTTTTTTATACAAATAAACTATAAATTAGATAGTCAACATCAAAGGAGATAAGAGAGGATTTTTTTAAGCTAATAAAATTGTATAAAAGAGAAGTTATAAATGTATACATATTTTATTACTGTATTTAAATTATCTTAAACGTTGTATACAATCCTGCAATGTATTTATTTCTGTACCTTTCTTAAAATTATAAACATTTGAAACTTTTTACTACTGCATATACTATAAAAATTAGTAAATTATTAATTTATAAATTATTGATAACTATTGAATAACAAATAAAATATGTCACCTAATTTTAATACATTAATCACGGCACAACATTATTAACATACTAATAAATTTAGTATTTTACAAGATGAAATATTATTATTTCATTATTATAAATTCTAGACATTTTAATGTGAAAATACCCATTTCACATTAAATTATACGATACTATAAACAAGTAATATTACCTCTTTTGTTTGTACCTAGACGCGGAACTCTGGAAGTCTTCAACGACTTTGGAGTCGATGAATTACTTTTGTTCATTATTTTTATTTATTATTTCGGTATTTGTTTTTGTAATTAAAACACAAATGTTCGTGAAGTATAACAAACCGTTCGACCGCAATTGTCTGAAGCCGTTTACAATTAATTTGTTATCGTTAATATAGTATAGTAATAAAGTATAGCGTTAAAAATTATAAAATAAACTATAATAATAAAACAAAATGCCACACAATAAGTTGATCTTCGGTTCAATAACGAAAATGTTTCCTTTTTTATCGTTCTGCCGACCAAAAGAGTTTGAGAACCGAGTAATTGATAATGATTCAGGAATTAAGTTTAATGGTTATGTTCCACGGAGAACACAATCAATGGCCGGTTGATACGGCCATGATTTATTTTGTTTCGTACGATAAGACAAACGCGCGCTAGTTTGAATGTTTGAGAAACAAATCTTTACATTATTTTATTAAAATTTTTTTTTTTTACAAATCCGAAAAAAAAACATTCTGCCACAAAGAATATTTGTTTTGTTTTTAGTTGGTATTCGACGAAATAATAATATAACATATTATTATATTGACTGGCGGCAAAACAAAATTACGTGAAAATTGTTTCGCTTTGTTGACTTTCTTATTTTTCGAAAATAATCATCGTCTGTCTACCGATAACGTTAGAACGACGCGAAATGCAATATTTCGACTTGACTCGTCACAATATGACGTTAACTACACTTTTTAACGTTTAAATATACAAGATATTTTATTTGATTACATACGAATAACTGGATTCGCAATAGTGTGAAACGCTTTTACACAATAACATCACTAATAAAAGCGCATGCTGTTTCCCCCCAGCTGTACTGTTAAACATTTCACTTTAAACATTAAGTTCACCGAGCGTTAAGAGGATATTAACAACGTATTTGTTTTTGTTTCAGATGAGTTCCTATCTCGAATCTCAAAGGGATCCTTTAACCGTAAGTTAACTAAAGTTATGTTTATATTCCTGTATTATTTTGCGCAACGAATATCATCTTGTCGGGCAAACGGTGGTTTTAATCTCTATGTTTGTTTCACTCGGCGTCTCTCCGCGCGTGTGTGCCGGGTAATAGTCGCTGGAGATATATAAAGAGGGGCACGGTCGGTCGGCGGGGCCTATAGGGGAGCGGTCGTTGTCGTCCATCTTGAAATCGATGGTGAAAACTCTGGTCGAGGGGTGGGCGAAAGAGGTTTTCCATTTTGGCGCACGCGCCCGAGCCCATCGAAATTCCCAAAACCTAATCAACATACTCGGCCGAACCCTTTTGCGCACAGCATCGGTGCCGGTGACACTTCGAGATCAATACCACCACCGTATTTATTTTAGCCGTGCCTATTTTGTTAAATAATAATAAAAAAAAAAAGTTCCGATACTATATCGTGTGTGATGGCACTATAGCAAAGTGCTTATTATCTATCTCTCCCGAGATAACTCGTGTTATACGTGTGAGAGTAACGGAAATAACGTCGAAACAGTTTATCGAGTCGTCTTTATGAAGGTCTCAATATATATATATATATATATATTGTATATGTGTCTGTGTGTATACAATATAGATTATATGGCGGTGGGATATATAGCGGCGTAGGGAAAGTTGGGAAGCAAACAAAAAGGGCGTTATTTTAAGGTAAATTCTCGGTTCAAAACAAAGGAACGACGAGAGGGTGCATGGTGTGGTGTTGACGCAATATCGTCGCGAGATCAAAGGCATCCGCTTAGTTTTTTTACTGTGGAAAAGCAAACCCCCCGTGTTTCCAAGGGTGCAAATCAAATTTTCGCTTCAATTCCCCGGCGACCGAACTCCCGATAAAATTCCATCTTCAAACATTTTTTCCCCGAAATTAAAGAAAAAAAATGAAAATGCGATATAAAGTGAATTATGTAAAAACGCGATTCATCGATATTGTTAATAATCTCTCTTGGTATAGATTATTGAAATTGGATAGTAAGACTGCATTAATGCTTTTATTAAAATTCATTTAGGTAAACTCTGTTAAACTTGAACAAGTATTAATTGAAAAATCCTAATTGCACCAGGAAGTTAGGCGTATAACTGATAAAGAGTAGTTCACGTTATCTTCCCGGCATTAAATGGGAGGTCTTGAGGCACAACTGCCGAATGTCCATAGTTAGAAAGTACTTAATTATGGGCATTTGGCATGTTGGAGTGGCCTATTGGGCATTGGCGTCCCATTTTATACCGAGAACATAATATCTGAAACTGAAACATTTTTATCTTTAACCATTTAATTTAGTTTTTTTTTTTAAAAAGTTCCATTCCTTGAATATAATAATAGTATAATTATTTATTATGGTATTCTTATTTTTGTACCAGTAGTATTTGTAGGTAATTATGAGTTAATAATATTTTTATGCAAAACGAAAAATAATTGCAAACCAGTTATAATAAGTTATTTAAATTCCTTAAATTAATTAAAATACTTATAAAACCAACAATCTATCTGAGGTATTAAAGGTATATTTTATTTCTGTAAATTCGACCTCTAATTTGATCGGATTTTGTAAATTAATTCATTCTGCTCGTTAGAAATGTTTTTTGTCGTATTGATTTATTTTATTTAACTAAGCATACTTGAATTGTATTGTAATCACTTGAAAGATTATCTACAAAATCAGTTAATGGACAGCTGTAGGTCTGCTAAAATTTTTCTGCTGAGAATTTGTTTTAAAATCATAAGTCTGCCGGATATTAGTCTAAGTTATTATGTGTACTTAGAATTCTGGTCTACATAAAAGGAAACTTAGTCCAACGGCTTTCTTAGATTTTATTGCTTAAACTATAAAATCTAGAATCAAAAGAAATAACGTTTTTGATATAATCGTTAAGGTGAACACTAAAGAAATAAAAGTCATGAAAAATATCAAATTTGTCATAACTTAAGTCTTTTTTTAATGCTCTAATCAGAACTTTAAAAATAAGGCCTCTTTTTACATGAACTCTAAATGTTTTCAAAATTTAATTAAATTTTTTTATTTTTTATTTCACCGAGCTATACTTACTGTTATAGCTGATGCCTGGTTCCCGGCAAGTATATTATAATATATATACATATACATGTAAGAGATTTGTAGGCTATAGAATGAATGATGTTGTTCATCTAAATAATATATATTATCAATATGAATAGATATCAGATACTATAAGATATTAGTAAACTTTATATTTTGATATACTTACACGAGTTACGACCAAAAATTGTTGTAAACTTTTTTCAATTATATTTATCGAAGACCAAAATCAAAATGAATAAATCTAGTTGATGCAACAGTAGACCTACTGTACAGAAAAATATAAAATTATCACGTTGTTTTTTACTTGTTTAGTTAACGATATTACAACGTTTTAAATTATAATATTGTTATACTAAATATTGTGCACGTCAGCTTGTCGACAATTTTTAATTAACTAAAACCCACACACGAAACTACTCTATAATGTCCAGTTGCAAATGTCACGTACCTACAATTTCAAAAGGCCTTTTGTTCGGGGGCTGTGGGTCGAAAGGGGGTGACAAATTGCCGTTGTCAACCCTTTATCCCATGCCCGTTATAGTCGTGTCCCCACGTACCTCCCTTGGACACCACGCACTATTTAAACCTAACAATCGGCGGCTCCCCGTCAGATTAAAATCTATTAGTACACACGACGTTCTAGTGTAATCTAATGATATTTTTTTTGTGCTCCTTTTTTTAACGTGTACACACCATGAAGTACCAATGACAATGGGGGATAGTCGATGAGCAAATATTGGTATACTGGATGATGCCGTACAGTTTCGATTACTACCACCGGTTCCGAATTAGTTACGGACGAGCAAAGGTGAATAAGAATCGGGGACGAAATAAATATGAAAAGCAAATATGGATTCACGATTAGGGTAGACATGGGATGGGTTTATCTGACACTGACTATTCTGAGAAATAAAATAAACCGAGCACATCAGTCATTTTGGACGTTTTTGTTAAAATTTTGCACAAAAAAAAATGTATTTATATGATAATCACAATTACTTGTATTTATTGTTTTCAACAAACATGCCTAGTAGGAATCTTGCTGTACTATGTCCATAGAGCGAAAACGTATTGAATTTTAGGTAAAACTCAGAAACATACAGTGTTAGGATCAACTATCATCCCGGGCGTTTGTATGCCGTTACTGGAACATTAGAATTATTATTATAGACCCTCAATTATGTGTTCACACACAGTAATAAAGTACTGTTTTTTTTTTTTTGTTAAACCCGGCTATTGTTATCTTGCAGTTTTGTTAAATCCGTAGCGATTTCCTTGGTACGTATTTTGGGTTTTCTTATTCTTAAGTCGTCGAGAAATTTGTTTTTCGCAACCACTTACAAACGCATTCGTAAGCTTGACTTGGTCGTTTAGTATCGCTTGTGGCTAAAGTTTTATGAATAATAATTGTTCCCACAGTAGTAGTCCCCAGGCCGCGGTCAAATTACAAACCTATTGGTGCAATTACAATAAATCTATTAACCAACCCTTTTCCAATACCCTCCTCCCCCCCCGTGTCGCTGATCATAATCCATATTTCACGGCCTGTCGAGCTTGTAAACCACTTACGGCGGTCATTCCCTCTGCTGTGTTTGCACTCCGGTCGGTGTACAACTCGCACTTGACTTTTTTTTTTTGTTCTTCATACGAAGCCCATTTTTCGCGTTATTTCTCTTTTTCCTTGTACTTGCTTGCACGGTTTTATCCCCACTTTTTTTTTCTTCCACGCGTCTCGGATAAGCCGGTAAACGCTCTCGAGACGCAGAAACTGGGCCGTGGAGGCGAGTCCGTAACCGGATTAAGGGAGACATCAAAGGGATGAAAATTGCACTCGTCAGTGTCCCAAGCCTAACTATGCACGTCATTAACATACAAATGCCCAGGGGAGGGATAGTCATCATATTCGGTCCACTTGTCTTGTAACCAATCAACCCTATCCCATTACATCCCTCTGATCACAGTGCCCGACGATCGAGGCGAATGCGCTCGCCTTTTTAGTTGATAAACAACGTTTTAATAATACTCTACTATTTTTGTGTGTGTCTGTCTAATACGCATGTATTTGTCATACGTATGATAATTATAATAATTTTGCAATCTTTAAGAAATGTGATGTTCCGAAAAAGCGTGTCGTGTAATTTAGACAAAAGTTTGTATTTAATGGAAAATAATATATAGTTGCGTCAACTATAACTATAGTTAATATATACGCACAATAAATTCATAGTTGGAATAACTAAATAGTTGAACCAACTTTAGCTTAAGCAAAAAACTATACATTTAGTTAGTTGGCTAAAGCGTTTATTTAGTTATTTGAACTACAAATTTTGTGCCCCTACTTAAGTATATATTTTTTTTATGCTGTTTTTCGTAATGCTTATCTCAGGCCTATATTTCTACCCCTATTCTCTTATATATTTATTTTTTATCCCACTAGCTACTAAGTTTTCCTTTTATACTCGACAATGAAAAGAAATCGCGTTATTATCCTGTAGTGTTCGCTCCCCCGAGCATTAGCAAAATGAAAAAAAAAACGATTGTGAGGATAAGGACTAAAAGAAAAAAAAAGCTCGCATAGAATCCTATTTACAGTCATTTCTAAAATCCTCTTTTGTGTGGGATATACCGAACCAAGACAACTGTTTTTATTACAATTGTTTTTAATTAATAAATTTGCGGTTAAAAAAATTCTTGAAATGTTATATATTCTAGGAATAATATAGACATTATTATAGAAAATGTGAATAGGAGACTGTAGAATTTAGGGGTTTTGCAATATTCGCCAAAAAGATAAAAATATCCGTTTTTTAATAATATTCTTTTACATACCTTCACATAGTATACATAAGTCAGTCTTTGAACCATTAATAACAACGGGTTCTTATAGAAAAAAAAGTATTCCTTTTTTCCGCACAAAGGGTTCTTTTTTTCCCTATAGACCGGACATATTAATTCCCGTCCTTCTACAAAAAATAAAAAAAATGACTGCTCATGCAAAAAAGGCAAGCGGCTTTTCTACGTACTATCGATCGTTTTCGTTGTTTATTCATTATACGATTCAAAAAATTGAGTAATGATCTTGGGTATATTTTCGTCCTCATGAGTGCTTACGGCTGTCGAGTGTGCCCGTGACGACGTCCAATTATAAATATTCGAAAATAAAAACTTTAAGCTAACTGCACGTCAAGTGTTCGGTGAAAGGTATGATAACGAACTTGCTAATTCAAGTACTGGCAAGAGGACAAAAATAACATAAACCCCCATAACGACGTCAATGCGTGGTAATTGTCGTGCATTCGCTTTGCAATTACAGTGTTCCATTTGAGTTGAATGCTAGTTTTTATTTTGTTTCCTCTTGTAAAACCCATAGTAATTTTATTAAATAATTATAATCTTGTTTTGCCGTTCGTCTGTGTTTTATCTTCAAAATAAAGTCTCTCTTTTAACATGATTACTTAGGAAAAATTAAATTATACTGTATCACACTCTATAATGATGTTACTCATCAAAACAATATTGTATTGTTCTTGTTGACGAGCTTTGTTATTGATATAATTTATAGCGAATACATTTTTATATTTTACAATATGATATATTTATCCATAATATAATAATACAATTTTCTCTTACAATTCCAATGTTAATATCAAATGATTTTGCTCGTTATATTAGACAACGTTATACGACAACATCAGCAACCGAAATTTAGAATATTTATTTTACTAATTACTATATTTAAAGCATTTTTACGTTGTTTATGTATGTTTAGCTAATTTATTAGAACCCTTCGTTACTTATCGTTAGCAAACATGTAATTTTCGGTATTTTCATTAATTTTAGGTTACGCATGTTTTGATCGACAGCGCGTTTTTGATCATGGGGGTCTGTATACAATCTAGATTTATCCCGAGTTTTGACAAAGCACTTAGCCGTCTCATTACTCGCATAAATGATAAGAATCGCCATGCATATGGGTCCTATATTTTAATACTGCGTCCCCATATTATCCAACCCTCTCTATTGTGGAACTTTCCGCCAAGATATTCATCGGTCCGCATTGTTCGTGGAAACCTTTTACTGATTTGCAATCAGATCCCGATTGAAAAGCGAGTAGGAGTGGTTAAACGGCTTTAAAAAATATGCATGTTATTGTGATATTATTTTGGTGTATTATATGGCTTGTTTTGCCCTCTTACTATTTTTGGGGTCTATATTTGTATTATTATTTTTTTAGAAACAACACAAAAGGCGCATAAATACGTTGTCACACGGATTTTGGCATGTCCCCCATTAATGTGTCTATTATTTAAGGATTAGTTTTATAGATAATGGTAATGTTATTCTACGCATAGAGAGGACTTTGGTGTAAATCCTCGCAGCGGGACCACTCTGACCGCGGGGAGTCCTAATGTTATTCTAATGAGGCGCTGTATAAAAAATACTCAAGTTGGTGTTAAAGTATATTTATATAGTTAAATAATATGCGGTTGGACGTAATCCGAAAATATCCATTCGTTAGTGTAATTGCAACCGTATCATCTACCGCCTACGAAACTTTATAAATTAGGTAGATATTGTGTTGGAAATACATTATGGACAAAATCGAAACAAAGGCGTATTTTGAACACGCGCGTGCCGTGTAAATTCAACTGTAACTGACAGGATGTATGACAAAATTTTAATATCGATACACTGTATTATACAATAAGCAGGTTTATAGAATATATCAACGGAAAATAGAGTGAACCCTTATTATTTTGTGTGCTCATTCATGTTGAGGCGCGCGTGCCATCCAAAATATGAGAATTATAAAACATTGATAGGGGGATGATGATGACAAGATAAAAGGGACTTCACAATTGCGTTTAAAAAAAAAGAGAGGTCGTCCCCTCTATAAATCACTAAATCCCATGCTAGTGTGTACAATGACAACATTGCACAAATTAATATGTAATATAGTTCATTCGGGGCAGAAGCGAGTATGCAGTTTGTGGACACAGTAGACCTAATAATGAATTGTTTAAAAAACAGGAAATAATAACAAAATAAATATAGGCATTCAAATATTAATAGTACGTCCTAGCTCCCAGCTTATATACTATTTTCATATCACACACATGGACGAACTCCTTTTTAACATTGATCATGTTTAATGAGTAATTGTATTAGTTGAATTACTATCTGTGTTCTAACTGTAAATAAGTTCTCACTTAAAATAATGAAATCTGCGTTTAAGAGAGGATACGCCATGTGGCCGTACTGCCGAAAATTGCTCAACGCAGTGTAAAAACGATGAAACTTCCGGAAAGCTCTATTAGGGTCTCGAAACTTAATTAAAAGACCCCGATTGGTTTTCGTAAAGTCGAAGTTATTGAGTTAGAGAACTCCGCGAAGCATATCGATCGCGTGGTAGGCATTCCGGTCGAATTAAATTTAACACTAAAATCGGATCTTTTTGTTTAATGAAATCTAGTTTTATTCTATTAGGTAATTCATTATGAATTATCCGTAATATTGCACCTTGAATAGTTACTTTGATTTGTAGTTCAAACATGAACCGTGTATGGACGTTTAGCTATATTTAAAAGAGAGTCAACGTTGTTGTACAACATATAACTCTTTAAAGTTTTAAAATTATAATCGTTATTAAAAGCGAATCAAATATGCCTTTGAGTGAAAGAGCCCTTTGTAACAGGGTATGTAAAGTGCATTTACCCGTTAGGGCGGCAGTATTGCAACATCAAAGAGACAAACATCAAAGGTCGTGTTCGCTCTCACTATGATGTATATAATGTGGTGCCGACTGGATGGAGTTTTCCTTTAAAGTTGCTTTGTTCTTTGGCCTTTTCCATTGCTATCTCTGTTGTTGAGCTTTGATGTCCGCCTATCTCCTTTTATACTTATATATTATTTGGAGTGAGCAACCCGCCAGTTTCAGTCGCATCACAGTCGTCGCCCGTGCGATATGTCCGCTGCTGGGAAAAGACCGAGGAAGATGAAAACCAAAAAACAGGGTTTACTAAAAAAAACTAACAAATTGCGTATCTTGAGCGAAGCAGACGTTATCAAAAAACTCGACGTTTGGTACTCGCGATGGACCCGGAACCTTGGACGACCACTAACGCCTCTTAACCTGAAGAAAAAAACTGTTACCATATTAAAATCGCTAAAAGTCTCGCCGAACGTCGTATCTTTAATAACACTGGATTGGATAAAGACGTTTATGAAAAGCCATGGCCGTTTGGACGGTTATAATGATGACGAAATATATGCAGGTCTATTAATACCTTTCGACATCAATGGACTACCGGACAAAACTTTAGACACCGCTGCCAATCCGGATCGATACGTATGGCTTCTCATGGCAGGCAACAAAAGCGGAAGGCACAGGACCAGAGTTTTGGTGATAGGTAAGAGATGGAGACCTCCTTGTATAGAAACGGTAAACATGCTGGGACAACCAGTGATTTACGCCGGTGGAGGTGGTGGTTATCCTACGCAAGATTTGTTTAAATGGTGGTTTGAGACAGAATTTTGTCCAGCTGCGTTGTCTATCAATTCAAAAGCTGTGTTGTTCATGGACAAAGCTCCCTACGTGTCAGAGCAACATGACTTTAAAGGAGTTTCCTTAAAGCATTGCGATAAAAATTTCGTATCTAAATCATCGTTGTTCGTCGATTTCAAAATTATGTACACTTCCTTGTTGCTCGCTCAGATTTCGTTAGATCAACTCGGCGAAGGATCCATACAACGATTTTTTGATAGTTACACGTTGAAAGACGCATTCATTCTATTACATCGAGCGTGGCTACAAGTAACTTCCGAATCCTTTTCGAAGTGCTGGAAAAATGCTACCGGGTCGTTGGCTCTGAAGAGTGCTATTTCAGGAGTTCAGTCGTTAATCCATGATCTTGGAATGGAATTGTCGAGTGATGATATGCTGGTTTGGGTGCTATCCAATCCTGCTGAAGTAGCCGTGCCGGAAAATTTATCTATAGATTTTGAAGACGTCGAAACTCCACCACTTGCTTCTCAAGCGATTGATTATCTAAAGAAAGCGCTACTGTGGGTCGAAACACAACCACTCGAACCTACGTTTGTTATCACGATAAGGGACTTAATAACTTATGCTAAACAGGCACGTATTGTATGCGCTCTATCGAGAGATCTTATATTCTTATAGCTTAAGGAACAGGCGAAAAATAGTTTTTTTTTTGCCGCGTATGTCGTCTTTTGTTAATTGTATACTCCTCGGCTACGCATTTATACCAATCTCGAATTATAAACATATTGTTGTTTATCATTCGTTAATATTGTTATTTGTTGATAACATTGTTTTGTTTCTTTATTGCAGGCAAGCAAAATCGGTTTAGGACCAGCCCACCCATTCTTCTGCCACAACGGCGAGCAGCTGGGTACCCAGCCTCCTCCCGCCCACATGGGCATTCCTCCTTACCAGCTTGACAAAGCACCCGGTAAGTACATTTTTTTTAATATCGATTTTTTCCTCGCCCCTTAAAGCTATAGAAGTATTAGAACCCCTAAAATATATGAATGCTTGTAGACATTGACGAAGCCAATCCCTCTAAAAAGCCTGCGGTGAAAACAATACCGTTGTACCATGATAATTATGGTGACACAAAAGGGGTATGGAAAAAAGAGTCCTCGACTCTAACAATTATTTTGCTCACCCCCGTAGGCTGTATGTGTATAATGAACCTCCTACTCTAATTTTTAATCGACCTCTCATTTGTACGGTTTATATTTTTTTATTTTATTTTAAGTAAAGTCCTCTATGAGGGTTCACTATTTTTTCTTGTGTATTGAGTCAATTATTTTGATTTAAAAATGTATATCGTGGCTAAGATGACATACTATGTTCTACTATATAAATCGCTTACCCTTTTTTTATAACAGAATATTTGGAATTCCCATTTTGATAATAAGACACTTTCATTATGATTACATTTCCCGCTATAACTACTTAACAAGTGGTACAAAAATATTGGGAACTTTTCCCATGAGTTTATGTAAACGTACCAACCATTACTGCAAACTTAAAATGTCTGTGACCATATTTTTAAAGGTATGTCTTATCACATTCTTCTACATGTAGGTTGAAAAACAAAGGTGTTCCAGTTAAAATTGTTTACTTTTTAATTAGAATACATTTGTTGCCCAACCTACTCGTAGAAGTAATTGAATGTTTGTTGTCATTTAAAAACAAACGCATGCGATTGTACATAATATTGTATTATAATAATTATGTACAGCATTTTTATTTGTTATTATTTTTTTTCTTTCTGAAATTAGTATAGAAAACATTGAGACTTAAAAGTATAAAAAAATGCAAAAATTATTATTTTTTATCGTTATACAAGGCTTTTATATGATATTGAAACAATTTTATAATTTCAATAATGTTGTAATATCCAAAAGTATTAAATTATAAAAATTTGGAACTCTCGTTTATTTTACACTTTTACTGCCCGACTTAGGTACTCGTAGAAGTAGTTGACTTAAATCGCTTATAACTTGGTAAAAAATAAGTTTTGATTTCTAAAACTTTGTAAACATGATTTAGGACTAATTGAACATTTTTTTTTTGTAAAATAAAATTCTGGAACCAAAAGGGTTAATATTTTAACTTAAAATACATACATTTTTTATACATAAAAACACTTAAACCTAGTTAAAGATATACTAAACAAATTGATGTTTTCCGAGAAATGACATATTATTAACATACGATTGATCAGAACATGATTACTATAGTATTATCGGTGAGAAGAATAGTAACTATATATTTTATTAATAGAAAAACATTTTTAAAGATTATTATAGGTTCGGTAAACATTTACTTTTCATTTATATGGTCTCGTCCTTATGAGATGTTGTAGATTGTATAGTTTTGAAATGTTAACATTTCCCTCCCAGAAAATGTGTAATGAACAAAATCGATACCTTTTGTCTTTAGTCGAGTGCTCTTTTAAAATGTTTTAACATAGTTCAAGTCACCCTTTCATTTACTCCGCCTGAGTGGGGTTTCTATTATCTCGGAGGTCCGGATACGAGCAAATGGTACACTTTATTTGTTCAGTTCAGCAGAACTAAAGAGATGTATAAAATTCAATATCGATTTCGGTTTACTCGAACGTGAATATGAATTCTAATTACTGTTATAATTTGTTTTCAGGACTTCCAAGGCCCTCCATGTACCCTTTCCCAACAGGCCAATACCCATATCCGTTGTTAAGTCCGGATATGTCACAAGTTGCAGCCTCGTGGTAAGTGTGTTTTATATTAGATTTGTATTTTTATATATTTTATTAGATACGTGAATATACTTCATTGTAAGAATCAAAAAACCTGGATGGTTTTTTATATATTTATTAATTAATTATTATCTAGTATTATAGCGAGTCCATTATTACAAAAAATGGACAGAAGTATATTGTTTAGAAGTGTTTTTTTTTTCAACTCGTTTGGTCTTATTGTTTAGTTTCGGTTAATAATTGTCGATTGATCAGTTTATAAGGCCAGCTTATAGTGAATGATTTAATTGAATGATACTGCAACCAGCTATCAAAAAGCTATAAAGTGGGGTGTGGTCAGTTGACACCCAAAGACAACCTCTAATCTAGTTTGTCTTTTACTGACCCTTGTTTGTTCTTATTCCGGTCAATTTGTTGGCTGGAAAAAGCGTATTTCTCCCCTATTTTTCTCAGCTTTGGTAATCTTTACTACCCTCACAAAAACTTATCCAAGCCGCTTTTCTTCCTCTTTTCATTTCCTGTCCGTCTAATCTTTTCTCCCTTCAGACCATAAAGACTTGCTGCCTGGCAAACCACTTTTCTGTCACCTTTGTTTAAAACGTTATATCATTGTGTTTTCTTTTTATAGGCACACACCAGCTAGTATGTACCATCAGATCTCATCGGCTGGAACTGGTTTTCGAGGATCCTACCCACCTTCTTTGGCGACAAGCCTTACTAGGTAAGTGCACATATACATGAAATACGGTATTATTTATTACACATACACATTTAACGTGTATAAAGTTTTGAATCGGGCGTTAATTGTATTATATACTTACCATTACATTGTAATTCATGATGTTTGATCCAAAAAATAGTTTTTCGATACGTTAAGCTTATGTTCCACAGTCTCATTGACTGCAAGTACAAAATCGTTTGAGTTTCCACAATAAAGAGCGGCATCGTTATTCATCTTTAAACTTTTTTTTTTTTTAATGTGTTAATATATCGAGTTTCATTTAATATTTATTCATAAAATAAAATAATATACAGTGTGGTTTATTAACAGCTTTGAGTGAGTTTATGTATTTAATATAAAGCTTATATGCTAATATAGCAAAAGATTTTAAACGTCAAGCTTATATAATCATATCTATAAATAAATATAATGTATATATAATCATATCTATAAAAAAATCTGGTCTACTATTGACCATAACATTGGTTAATTTAATATATATCCAGTAATTATGTCACCGCGTTGAGTATAGATCATATTTTAAAAGCGATCCACTCATAACATTTCTAAGGCAAGGATCTTAATGGTGGGTTATAGAGCTTCAGCCCTATCGCCGTCTTGTTTTTATTCAAAGAATAATACATTTTATTTAATACCTTTGATGTTTTAATAAACATACTTAAATTTGGTCCTACTTAAGTATTGGCTGATTTTTTTATTACTTTTAAATTCCTTTTATGTAGAGTGTACAAAAATGGTATCAGATCCATTAAATAATAATGTTATACTCTAACCTAACGTCTCCCATTTGTAATTTCTATAGTTCCGTGCCAGAATATTATTATGGAAACTGTTTCCAAACAATGTGGTATAAGCTAGTTAATGAACCACACTGTTTATTAGTGTTGTTGTGACATGTTTGGCATGTGACTCATAGTTGTATTTTCTGTAAATCGCGCATTGGTCTAAAATAAATGATTTAATTTTTTGTGTTTAGCGACCTGTATAGGTTTTCACCAACGGGCCTGATGAGTGGTCCTTCGCCCCACCACCATTTATCACATCATACCCATCACTCTCATCCGGCAATCGTTACGCCGGGAGTGAGGCAAGACCTGCATGCGGATTCCAACCACAGGTACAACTCAATGTGAGTAAACGATTTTCACTTATTACTATTTATTCGAAATGGAAATATAAAGTGGAATTTACCTCTAACGTAAAACCCCGGGCCTTCGTATCGAGGGTCGATAGCTGTGTTGATTGGATGAGCCCTTTAATTGCCGACCCTAGTCCGTATTCGTAACTTGGGAAGGGGGGGAATAATTTACATTGGGCTTACAAACTTCATACGTTTATAAATATGTATATATAAATTTGTATGTGTGTGCGTGTGTAGGAAGAGCTTTATTCCCCGCGTTCTATCATTGGTGATTTTCCGGGCCACGGTATCCATGGTAACGCATTTATTGAACGCGCCCCTCGTGTTTTCATCCAGGGATTCTCCGTTCGCGTATATTCACCCTATTTTGTTTTTATTATTTATTTAAATTTATGTACACGTTATTATCACGTCCTATATTTTTATGGTTTCGTGTCTTACAAGATAAAAATATCTAATACCTATTACTTTTTTTTGCATATCTCTTATCTCTACTCTCTATAGTCTACAAGGTAGTTTAAATGTTCGAAACTAACATTCTCAAAAGTATTATTATTATTTTTATTGTTAATAAGTGTAAGCGGCTATATTATGTTTTTTTATTTTACAATTGTTTACAGCAAATTGACACACTTTAAGTTTGCACAAATTATCGACTGTTTGAGTTTTAAATCTTTGTTGATTTGTTAAACTGTTTTGTCTTTTGTAAACTTATTCGGACTTCAGCAAAAGTCATACATAGTTGTCGTTTCGTTATTTTTTCCTTTTTGAAATTTAATTAATAAAAACATTTATTTCAACGTGTTCATCAATATGGTTCGTTGCACATAACATCGAAATCGCACCAGGGTGTATGAGCATGTGCGTTTATACTATTACAAAAATTAATAACCGCTGACTAATTATCTAAAATATTTTTATTCTATTGGCATTCGACTGCTTTGTTTAATTTAAATATTTTTAACACAACCGTTGCTGCTGCACCCATTTCTTCATATAGCAAGTTTATAGATCAGAAATCATATTTAAAAGGTACTTTACTGGGCCAAAATTAAAAACGATCACTCCTTCCTATTCAAAATCGAGTAAAACTCCCTAAAAAACTTAACATATTTTTCATATAACTTTTATTACAAACAGTCAAATATTAAAGATCCTTTCCGCCAGAATAGGGGGAAACTTTTTCTTTATTTAGATTTTTTAGGTTTAGGCGTAAGGCGTAAAGTGAAAAAATAGACTGAAGGTAGATCTAAAGTGGTGTATCTTCTCAAAAATCTGTAGAATTACAGACTACTGCAAAAGGAAAGCCAGCACAGTAAGGTTGAGCCAATATTGGGAAATGGGAAAGGGGAGTTAACTAGTTTTTAAGAATTATTATAATTGATAGTGATAAAGTTTCTTTAAAATAAAAGCTTCGATTCGAATCTGTACATGGTAAAAGTACAAATAGCGATAATAGCAATATAATGACACTAATGTACTTAAAATAATCCAATTCAAGTATTAGGGTTGATTAATATTAAGAGTTTTAGGGCTCTACGAAGGGATTAAGGGTTTTATTAATATTAATATTTCACCATATACTGATATACTTTTGAAATTGGAATAAAAAAATCTGTGATATTTTTTGAAATGTTTAAATAAATTAGGTCATGTAAACGAATGACCTTTTTACCTGACCAAAAAGATAATAACGATAATAAAATCGTTAATTGGTACTCACCTACAAAATTGTTATCCACCCTATTATTTCCTACCTGTCCATATCGACAAAGTATTTTTCGATATAATCGTATCGTTATCATACTACGATGATATTGAAGAATGCTTCAAGCGCTTAGTGTTTGATTTAATGGCAAATAAACCATCGAATGATAATGTTATCATTTATGATTTTTGTTATTTATTTATGATAATATTGTCATCTTTCGTTTTTGTTGTAAGTATTTTTGCTTTAAAACCATCATGGAGCGATTAAAACAATTCTGCTTAGGTATTGTTTAACGCTAGAAAATTGAGTGTATAACGTCCTCTTAAAATAGTTTTTATCATCAACATCCTAATCTTCAATTAGTTATAATGTCCAAAAAAAAATACATATTGAAACATGCATAAATATAAGTATGGTACACAAACCGAAGAGAAATTAAAACAATTTCAATTTACATATTTTTTATCTATGTATTATTATTAACAAGTTGTCCTGACTTGTTTGTATTATAAATATTTAAAAAAAAAATTATATTTTTAAATTTGAATAATTATAGTTTTTTTTTTAATTAAATTTTTTTAAGTTAACTTTTTATCTAGTAAGTAAGTTAAAATGCAGTAAACAATACTATTAATTATAGGGGCTCACCGCCCTCCCTTAAATGGATAACCAGGCCAGTATTGCATTTTGACGTAAACAACATATAAAAACACATATACGCGTGCCATCTATTGACGACCCAACTAATTCGTCAACGACGTGAGTCGCCATCTCGTGTGTTGTTATTGACTCCGAATGTAACTCACGCTCTCTGGCCTCTACGTCGATTTGTTTTTTTCTCGGCATTGGACTATCTATAATTAAATTATAAAAAATGCTTCTATAACAAATTAAGATTCGTAATTCAACTGATAATTGCGTTTAAGTTTGATTTTGCGGTGCAAACAAATTAAACATAAACAATAATTAGAAACGTTTTTTCGTTAATTTGGTATACCGCGTTTATGGTCGGTGGTGGTGAAAAGGGTATGATGGAGGTAGAGAGGCAATGCTTTCCTAAACAAAGTGGGGTGGTACGAATGACGTAATGCAGCCGTCGGCGGCATTCTATCATTATTGACGTTTATGGAAGAGCCCAGCGACCCCGCGCGGGGGTTGAAAAGGCGTTAGGAAGGGTAGTGGACGGACGGCGCGGCGTGGTGGCCACGGAGATGAAAGCTGTGGCGCGGCGGCGGCGGGGAGACTACGCAAAAATAATATCTATCGTTTTTATTACGTTCCGGGAATGCTTGTCGCTTACCATCGTCGTAACGGTGTCCGCCGCTCGATATCAGCTGCAATTTAGTGTGTTACGCCGTCGTTTTTCGCGTAAACCGTCTAAAATGGATTTGCATCGCTCTCCGCGTTACAATTGTTGTGCTCAATGTCGTCGGTTGCGCGTTACCGTTTTTCGCAACGCCGCCCGTGCGTCGTCCACCACCGTCGCCGTGGTCGTCGGCTAGGGTTGACGCGTATCATCGTGCGTTACCATTAGTGTAATATTGTTTTTTGATACTTCATAATTCATTACTCGTATTATTATGGAACCGCTAAACCTAGTAAAACGCAAGAACCGACCGGTGGCCGTAGTCGCCCCGTCTTCTGTGGTATCGCCTCCCGCCGCCACCGCGGTGACGACTCCTGTGTTCCCTTCAAGCCTGTTGTCCAGCCTGTACATGAACAGCGTGCTCAACGACCAACTGTTCCAAAGAGCCGCGGCGGCCGCACAGTACGGCGCGCCGTCGTCGTTCTGGACACCGGCCAACAGGTTTTGGCAGGTTATGCACCAGCAGCACAACTCGGCGGCTCAGCAGTACGCGGCCGCCGCGTCCGCTGCTGCAGCCGCAGCCGCCGTAACCGCGGCCACCGCATCACCGGACAAGGATGATGATAAGAGAATGTCGGTCTCGCCTCCGGCCACGACGGCAACGGCCGCCACTAGTGCTGACCCTACCACCAATTCGTCAACGCGGTCGGTTGGCCTTAAAGTTTAATATTAATTGTTAAAAATACTATAAAATATTTAGTTTTTTTTTAATACAATTATCCGGACAAATCCTTTAGAGGGACTTTCAAACACTTTATATTTCCAAATACCATTTAAAGCCAGTTAGGCTACAATAGTTATATGTGACATGTTGTTTTCAGGCCACAAAACGACCATAGTAAAAACTCTACGTGTTCCGATGGCTCCAAGCATCAAGATGCTGTTCAGAACAGCAATAACCAAGGTAAGTACCTGCGCTTTTGTGTGTGTATGTTTGTGAGCACGCGTGTATAAGACAATAATATATTATCACGTCCGTTTCCGTATTGGTACAGATAAAAAGAAGCCTCACATTAAAAAACCCCTGAACGCGTTCATGTTGTACATGAAAGAGATGAGGGCTAAAGTAGTGGCCGAGTGCACGCTTAAGGAAAGTGCGGCCATCAACCAGATATTGGGACGACGGGTAAGTGTTTTTGCAGGTTAAATTATATTGTTTTGTTTTTTTTTTCCATAACCCTTAAGTATATATATATATATATATATCTATCTATATATACATATATATATATTTATATTTATATAAAACAATAAATTGTGTGTATACGGAAGGGACTGTGAGAAACTTAATGATATATATATATAATATTATTCAAATAATTATTATTTTGAAGAAATTTTAATAGTAATAATTAAACATTGGGGACGAATAAAAACTGAAAAAGTGGTTTTGTGTGTATTATAATACAGTGGCACTCTCTGTCGCGAGACGAGCAGGCCAAGTACTACGAGAAAGCGCGCCAGGAACGACAACTCCATATGGAACTGTATCCTGGTTGGAGCGCTCGGGATAACTATGGATACGGAGCCAAGAAGAAGAAACGGAAGAAAGAGCGCGTACCGGTCATAGATGCTGGCTCAGGAGGTAGTCCCTCGATGATAATATTTAATTAAAATTTTTTTTTTGTTTTTTCGTGTCCACGTGCAATTAAAAAAATAGCAGCATGCAGTACCGATCCAGGCTAAAGATTTTATTCTAACCTAACCGCCATTTAATATCATATTTGTAGTTTTTTTAATTTACTCTTACGATAAAAACGGTTCTTACCTCTATAATTGAGCGTCTCTTCTCAAGCTCGTGTAACGATGAAATTTTTTTAAATTACTTTTATTTTAATGTTGCGCATTTTGGTATATATTGCTTGACTTGGCAAAAAATAGGAGAACTCCGAAATATATATAAAAAAAAAAATAGACACCATAGATCCCCAAAATTCTTTCAAGTCACGTCAATATTTTATTATCAGTTATGTTAATATTACAGAGTCTTGAACCAGGTGGAATGCTGGTTCATACAATTGATTTGCATCAATAGCCTAACCTCTCCTTACTTTACCACATTCTGTATTTCATTATTTCTCAAGAGGTTATGCCTCCCCATTTCTAGTATTGGTAAAAACTGCTGAACGTTATGAAGACAACTCATAATCCTCGACATAGATACTTACCTACTGTTACATTTTATCTCTGTAGTTTTCGGTCAGTTTATTTCCACTCTGTCATTAACGAACAGTCATTTTTCGATTCAATTTGTCTCATCGATACACCGTTTTTACCCTTATTGTTAATCCAGAGATACTTAAATCATTCAAAAGGACGTACTACTTGGGATCAATATTCTCTAAAACTGTTGGTATACTCAGTCCACGCCGAGTAAAAAATATTTTATATCCAAGTTCAATATACATTTACAGTCGCATGCCATCACGTGTTGATAGTGTTCACAGTATTCATGTTAATTAATTATAAGAATTTGAATGTTCTGATAAAAATGTAGTAAAAACTCGATTCAAATTATTATTTTTTCTTATAACATTTTTTGTCTGGAACAATTTAATTAAAACAATTTCTAATCTATAACAATACTTTTTGTAATACTTGTATTTAGTCGTTTAAGTTATTGCAAGAATATTTCAGTTCAAATAATTACATTTTTTCTCAGAACAAGTTGGGTTTTTTTTTAATAATTAACGTATTAAAAAAAAGTCGATTAAAAATTTGTGTCTGTACGTCCGCCTCTCTAACCCTTCTAAGCGACATAATAATTTATGTTTTTTTTATTCGCATTTTGTTGTAACTATTTTTTATGTTAAATCGTTACTAACTAAACACACTACTTAATTAACAATCTTATAGCCTGGTCGTAGCTCGAGCATATAATAATATTTTATTACATGAATATTGTATGTATGTGGTGTATCACGGTACCACGCTGATCATATATGGTAGTGATACACTCAGTTTACATACAGTATGCAAAACTATTATGTATGGTTAAAAAAAACGTGCTTGCGGTGGTCGTGCACCAAAAAGATATATAGTTTGGGATGTTTTTTTATTTTATTTTATTATTTATTAAAAAAAAAAAAAAATTTTGGTAGCTTGCTTTTAACGTTTGTTTTATTTAATTACGAGAAATCAAAATGATATTATAGAATATTGATGATAATATTTTTCGCAACAAATTTAGCCGTACAAACACTCGTTTGGCTCCAATAATTATTTTATTTTTATAAAATACAAAATTAATAAATCTAAGAGTGGCTGTAGAGATGTGTTATGACTTATGACTTATGACAAACAGCCTATAAGTTACTTATCCCTTGTTAGGTCGGGGAAATGACGGGATTTTTCGACAACTTGTAGATTACAAAAATAATCAAATTAGTAGTTATTATAAAATATTATACTCTTTCTTCCGTTGATTCTTGGTGTTTTCAGTCAATTAGTCGGTGTATATATTGCTGTACCTAGTGTTTTTAATTATTATTATTATTATTATCATTACAGTTTATTAATTAATCATTATTTTTCAATTACACTCATATTATGCAAAAAAAAAAACAAAGCAAAAACGAATCATTTTTTTTTTCATATAAAACATTTGTGTATCTGTATGTGTGTGTGTGTGGCAATATAGTGGCACGCGTTAGGTCGCGAAGAACAGGCCAAGTACTATGAGCTGGCGCGCCGCGAGAGACAGATACACATGCAGCTCTATCCGGACTGGTCGTCGCGCACTAATGCGACGCGGGCCAAGAAGAGGAAACGCAAACAAGAGACCCATGACGGAGGTAGAACCCAAAAAAACAAAATAAAATAAACAAAGTTATATTATATATATATTTATAAAAAAAAATTTGATAAATCAACAATTTTCTAAAAGGAAACTGCGACGGACGGATAAAAAATTATACAAAATATATTTTTATCCGTTTGTTTTCATTATTATATTGATTTGTTTTCCTTTTTTTATTTTACGCTAACGCGTTCGTTTCCTGAACATTAGATGCTTTTTTATATACAAATAAATATTAAACTTTTTTTTTTTTTTTAAATGCACGTTCCCTGCCCTGAGAAAATACTAAAAACATCAATAAAAAGAAAAGAAAGCGAAGGCAAAGTTTAATTTTATCCGATTTCTTTTCTTTTTTAATTTAATTTTTATGGAGTTTAACGGGTTGTTTGACTGGCGCAATGTTGTTATTGTTGTTACTATTATTGTTATTGACATTACTCTATTTGCATGATATTTTATCATTTTGGTGACCCATAAAGACCAAGGTGCGGCCGGTGACGCGCGGTGGTTTTCTTTTTTTTCTGCTTTTGAACGCTATCATACTGCTTATACTTGTGTATATATTTACTTTTTTTCCTATGTTATAATATAAAACAATTTTTTGCAATTTTTAGGTAATAACAGCATGAAAAAATGTAGAGCCAGATATGGACTCGATCAACAGAGCCAATGGTGTAAGCCTTGCAGGTAATTATGGTGCATACAATATTTTGTATTATTTTACAAAATATGTTTTTTTTGCTAATTATTAAATTGTAATACTACAACATAAAGTGAATTCGATAGGATTTTTGGCTCCCCTCATGATATAATAAAATGTACTCTGAACCGAATTTGGTTCCTTTGAAAACGGGTACAGAGTGTAATTTTTATTTCCTATGTGTACAACTCAGACAAAGCTAGACAAATTACAGTTTTTTAATTTTTTGTACTTATTATAAAATAAATATTTTTGGGTGGTTGAATAATATTTGTTATCTACCAATTAGCTTTAATTGTACCAACTAATAAAATATAAACTAATCTCAGAATAATAAAAGTAGACGATTATTAAATATATTTTATAACAAAGTTAAAAATATAATAAATGAAAACTGATTATCAGTTTAAAAAAAAAAGTGTGATAAAAAACCAACAATCTTATGCTACAAAGATTATCATGATTTTAGTGCCACCAAAAATACTTTAGCTGTGCCATACATAATAAAAACAATTCTCAAATACAAATGTAAAATGTCAAAAGTGTGATGTGTATAATAACAATCTAAATAGTTGCCGCCGCAAACCTATTCAGAAAATGTGTCATGCCAGATGAAAGTAATCTTAACGGCAAGCTTTAAGCCTATAGCTTAATCCATAATTAATTAATACAAACGCTGCTTTTATTTTATTTACTTTTTAATTTTTTTAATGTTAACCATATCAGTCTGAATCACGAAATTACAATACTCGCCCTTCGTTGAAAGATTAAAACATTTTCTAACCACCTTAATGAAAGTAATTATAAAGCATGTAGACACATTTTCTGAATTAGCATGGAAACCAATTTGGCATATTTCTAACCCTATTACTATTATTACTGTTATTGTTATTATTATCCTTACTATAATTGAGGGACGCCAGTAAGAGTAGATATAATACTTTCTAGGCGATTGAGTTATTTATGTTTTTTTTTTCGTACAGATACTGTACTGTACGTAATATGTATCTTATTTTTTTAACATATTTTTATTCTAAAATATATATTATTGTGTGTATGACGACTGATATGGTTTGTAGCCCTGACGGAACAGGCGGAGGAAGCATCTTGACACAACACGTTCACGGCCCTTCCAACGCCGCTTCCCCACAGGGACCCACATATGTTAATCTGTAAAAAAAAAAACCAAAAAAAAAAAATTCACTTCACAAAATATCTAAATATATAAAGCACTCCCAAAAAAATCAGCAGTCTCGTGAGTTAATTTACCCTATATTAATGTGTGTGTTTGCTGTGTGAAATTCACCCATTAGTTTTTTAATTTCAGTTGATTTTTTTCACTTTTCATTGCATTACATATGATTCTAATAATAATTTGTAAGCTACAAGTTTTTAGTTGTTGGATTAGTTTTATATTTATTTAATACTTAGATTTTTTTATATTATTAGCTTAGAGTAGTTGTGTTTTGTTTTTTGTGTGTGAAACCATTTAAATGTTTTATTTGATATTTCGATATAGTATAAAATTCCTCTCATCGTTTTATAACATTACTTATAAATTAAACAGACCACCTATTGGCTATTAGCATCTAACTATATTGTAACATTCTTTGTTTTTAAGTATTATGAGCCCTTTTAAGTCATTGTAGTTTGTGTAAAACTCATCATATTTGAATTCAAGAATAAAAAAATTAGATGAGGGGAATTTAGTTTTGTTTTTTACTTTATAGTTTTAAACCCACATTTTCTGAGGGGTGTGTGCGTTTTTATGATTTTATTTCAGTTATTTAATTTTGTATTAGCACAAAATACTAGTAATAACATATAAATATAAGACTTGTAATTTAATTTTCTAGGCGTAAAAAACGTTGCATTCGGTACATTGAGAGTGGTGGTGACTCTGGTAATCAGTCAGACGATAACCAATCTAATGGCAGCCTGGGACACTCAGACAATGAGGACGCTGACTCTGTGTCCAGTCCTGGAGGGTTGAGCGCCTTGTCCAGCCTAACCAGCCCTGGCATGTTAACACAGGCCAGCCTATCTCCGGCTACTCCTCTTACCCCGCACGTGTCTGACTACGATTGTCCAATGGCCGTACGCATGCCATTAGCCGTAGTTGTGCCCACCAGACACCATCAACCAGTTGGCACAAACCCGCACGACATCAATAACCCGTTGAGCGTGAACCAGTTGACTGGTGGTATGAACAAGTGCCATCCCAAGGAACAAAGTGATCTGAAAACCGGTGTCACCCAACAACAACAACAGTCTGATCACCCCAATAGGGCCCTGCCTGCCATTAGTGTAACGTAGCGTACATAACGCGAAGCAATAGTTGACCCGCTCAATTACTATAATTTATTATTATAATATTATATTATATAAATAATACAAATCAACATTAGTAACAAGTATGTAGTGTATGTCAAGTATAATGAAACAGATACGCCATTTGACTTCTCTAACCATAAAAAGTAAATATTGTAATAATATAATTGCCATTTTTTTATCTTTAGGAGTCTCTGTCATACTTTAAAAGACTAAAATAATTGTTTTCAATTAGTTCTTAATTATTTTTGTGTGAATTTCATAAAAAATGTATGTCGTTTTTCACTAAAAACAAATTATTGCTTTGTTACTACAATTTTTTTTTCTTACAAACAAAAAAGAGACTACTGAATAATTATTTACACAATTAGTAGTTTTGTATTATTTCGCAAAATTGAAACATATTAGTTAATTTGCATTATGTTTATTAAGGCTGTGTATTAATATAGGTAAAATACACCTAGCATACAGCCCTAATATTGTATTTTCTACCTCTATTGTACTAGTTCAAAAAAAATTTCATTTATAAAAATACAAAGCATAATCTATAATGCCTATATAAAATAAAAACCATCAGGTAATTAGTGAGTAATAATTATTCAGATTCAAATATGTACTTATAGAAACGTCTTAAGTTATTTATATACATACAGCTGTATGTATAATAATGAACACATTATTATATACCTTTTTTTTTTTTGTGGCAAAAAGCTAGTCATTTTTGCCAGATTTTTTTACTATATTTTTTTTTAACGTACAGAACTCACTTATAAACATTATTGTTTCAATTTGAAATGAGACTGAAATCAGTTAAGATAATTTTATTTCAGTTATTAAATTTAAATTGTATGTTTTTATATGTGTGTATATGTAAATATATATATACACCTATAAATATATAAATTATAATTTTATTTTATGTGCCAAATTATCATGATTTTATGTTTGTATTGCCATAAATAACACATAATTATCATAATTGTAAATTTTTTGATTTAACGAAAATTATAAAGCACATTCCAAAATTGTCTACCAGATATGATTATCGTTAAGTTTTTTTTCTATATTTTGATTTCCTGTGAATAAAACAAAAACAATTTGGAACTGTTACTGTTGAGAATATTAATTTGTAATATTTTAAAACTATCTAGATACATAACATATATATAATATATTATTATACATTATAATAATAAGATTTATGTCTATAAAATTGTTTTTATACTTAATTTTATTTAAAGAAAAAATGTGCAATTTGTTTTATATAATTTTATTTGTTTTCGTATCTTGAGATTTATCCCTCCAAAATGATGTTCATTTCAACAACTTTGTACACATTTTTTTGTTGTTTTATCGTCTTTTTTTTTTTACTTTAAGTGTTTTAGTGAACTTGAACAAAAAATACTGTTGATTCTGATTTCCTTTGTAATATAGTTACAAACATTTTATGTATAAAAATAAAAGAGTGTTTGATTTAGTTTTAATTTTCCGAACCTAGTCACACTGCAGTGCCAACTGTGTCAAAGAGAACTATTTAGTGTTGCATGATAAATGTAATGGTAATTTGCCGCCATTAACATGGTTTAATATTGGACCCTATAAAACTGATAAAGATTTTTCTCACGAAACAGGTAGTCTGACTTTCGTTATTAGTTACTAGGAACTGTGCAGTAAATCATATTTGGATCATTTACAATGGACGAGCATATTGTAAGTACATCTCGTTTTAGTAAAGGTTTTTAATTTGTATTGTGGCTAGTATGGTCGCATTAAAATAAATTATTTATAATTGTGGATTTACTTTTGCATGTAGCAGCAATATTTAAATTTTAAGTAGGTACTCGTATGGATAACTAACTGCACCTACAAATTTTAGATATCACATATTATAATCGTATGGTTAATACTTTAAAAGATAAGGACTTCATATTTTATGTGGCTGTAATAATACATATAATATAATACAAAAATTAACCGAGCAATTTGTAAAAAAAATCATATTGCCTGTTGACACGTTACTTAAAAAATATCATAGTCTATTAAAATATTAAATAATTAATTTTTGTTGAGTCTACGACAAAGCATTTTTAAAGCTGTCGTATTTTAGTGTTTTCGGTAATTTTGTTTATTCCAATTATAAAACTTTCGTATTGGAGTCAATAATTTAAATTAAAGACGGTTATACTTGTTTTTATTTCATCAATTAGAATAAAAACGTACGTCTACTTTTAAAAACTTAGAACCATTTGGTTGAATTGAATGATTTGCTATTGAACATACAATATACCTATACACCTATATATACTCTCATTAATCAATAAAATTTGAATTATCATTCATCATCATTGATCGACCATGGAACGACAATATAAATGTTCAAAACTACATTAGTACAATTAGAAATTAGAATTGTACATTTGTACCAAAGCGATGGACAATATTGTCATGTCAATTTAGTTGGCGAGATTTTGATTCGTTGTCACGTCTCAAAATAGCTTGGCGTCCGCTAACAAAACTGATTTATTACTTGGAATTTTTCGTTACTAATAATTATGTCTATATAAATATTATTACCCTCTTACTGTTACTATCGATTTGGTCTTTGTTCGCTAAAATAATATATTAATTAACGCACCTAAACTGGAGATCAAAGATCCTGATATTATTGATTCGTATTATCTATTGATAAAAACGAGATTTTATTTACACATTTTTACGCGCTAATGAAATATCAGTAGCTACTAGGTTGTATTTAAATTGTATAATATTGTATTCTAACGTAGTCTTGTCATCAATAAACGGTGCCGGGAACACAGGGGAAGTAATACTGTAAGGTAATCGATCCCCCTTGTGTTCTTATGGACTTGTAATAAAAAAAAAGGTACTAGGTAGTAATCGACTATGGAGTTTATTGCATATTACCATATCGATTAGAAAAAAAGTGTGATATTTCGTCAGTGACCTTTACGAGACCCGCACTTGGCCCGTGCGTTATCGTTTTGTCTTTTGTCGAGATTAAGATTTAGACAAAATACAAAAGAAAAGATTAAAACATTATTTCAATATTATTATTCTTACCGATTAGGGTTTACGTTAAAATAAATTTCCGGTGCTATTTATTCGGAAAATAACCTAACCTAAATAACACTACTCAATAGTCAATACTATTATCTTTTAGGATTTAGGTGGGGGCGAGCAGTATTTTCTCAGTTGGCGATTGTCCCGGCACGCACTGCTTTTATTATCTGCTCGCAATTATGGCGCCCTCGTGATTTGTACTTTTAACCCGTAACGATGATAAGTGGAAATAAGATTATAATAATACTAAATATATAATATATTTTGTTTAAATGTAAATGCACATAAAAAAAAATTGTTATACAATAGTGAACACATAATATATATATATATATATACACATACACACTCATACTAGTCAAATAACAGATTACAATATTATATTAATTCACGTGCGTGCCGAGACGAATCGCTCACTCACGACAGTATCGCGCTCGCCGCTCAGTTCGTTTCCCGCTGCCGTTGTTCTGACTTATACTCATTCTGTTTATTATGACAATTGACAACTGCCGTTTCATTAGGTTTAGTTAAGTTCAGCTCGGTAAAGCTGTGGTGATGACGGCCGGTCAGATTCGGCTAAAATCGAACAGCGGGATCCTCTGACAGTAAGATTAATGATATAAAATATATTATATTATTTACAATCTGTTCAAACACCATATAAATTTTTTTCAATTTTGTCAAAACATATTTTGTTATATAGGTAGACTAGCAAGTTGAATGTATGATTTTATATTCATGAATTCACCTTTTCTTATTGATATGTATTACTTATATGGTTATAAGAGGATTCTTAAATAGAATTTAAATTTCCAACTAAAGTCTGAATGTCTAGCTGATCGCACTATATTTTGTTTCACCAAATATATATTTTTAACCATTTACTTATTTATTCAGTGTTATTTAGTTATAGGCTTCGTTTTTTTCTCGAAATTCAACAACACTTTAATTCTTTCTATTCTGACACTACTGTATAGAACGATTTATAGGTATAAATTATATGAGTAAAATTGGCGATCACATAATTTAACAAACCAGTAATGTTTGACTGTTATGTGTCGATTGAAAATTGTACCATATCTTAAAGCATTCCACCCTTTATTTTAATTTAAATTCAAAATAATCATTGTAAGAAGAGCCAAAACGATAAATAATAAACGAGTGGAATATCTCTATAACCACAATAACTATAATCGTTGATTAAATTTAAAAAAAAATTTTATTGACATACTCTCAAATATACCTATAAAAAACCTATATGATTACAATATAATGTGTAACTCTATTGCTTTTATAATTAAAGCCACTCTTAATTCTTACTTATTTTTTGGAAGTGGAATATGCATTAAAATGGAGTACAAAAAAAATGTGTGTTTACATAAAATCTACTATGGCACTTCTTCATTCTTGCCCATAATACTATTTTTTTAAATATATAATTATTGGTCTATCATTTGGCTGAAAAAATCAAAATAATCTATTTTCTTCACAATTGGACTGATATAGTACAATTATTACATACAATCTTAGCTCTTAAGAGACTCAATTTGTCAGTTATGATCAGCCAATACATTAATGTAGTACATGAGATATTATGTAGTATTGTCTGACATATTGTAAAAAGTGCTGCTAAGTTGTCACAGTAAACAAGTCATTCAGGGGAAAATGTGTTATTTTCTTACAAAAAAAAATATGTGTATATATAGCCGACGAGTCGGGTGTCTATTTATACCCAACCATCAAAATTACATACACACATGTGCGGGAGCATAAAAAATGACCACGATGAAGTAATTGTTATCAATGGTAATGACAATAAAATCTAAAAAAAAATGTGATTAATTTTGAAATTGCTTTTACTGTAATTATTTTGTTTTATTAATCTATAGTGTTTAGATTTGCATTGAAATATAGAAATTGGAAACAATTTAATTGTTTACTACTATATAACTTTTTTTTTACGATTAGGTTGTGTTCTTAAATGGTTAAAATGTTAATAGGACACGGGGTTTAGGTTAGGGGCATTGCATTATTGTTAAAAGTCCTTTATGAATTTATTATTATTATTTAATATAATAATCACACATACAACTTAATAAAATTATCTGTTATATGCCCCAACTTAACCCTTCAATGCGCGAATTTTTAAATTTAAAAAAAAAAAAATGTTCCCTGTGTATTTTGAGTCGTAGATTACGAAAAAAATTCTTACTCCAATATTTTCCTGAAAAATAAACAATTTTCAGATTATTGCCTATTGCAACATCGCGCATAAAAATGTCACTATATTCGATAAAACAATCAACCTTTATTGTTTCTTTTATATTACAAGTCTAATTTATTTATTACAAACCAAAACAATTTTTTTTTTATTAAATATGCAAATATTAATAAACTTATAAAACTTTTAAATTAAGAGAAACCGGGAAAAATATTGATTAGGTCTTACTCATTTTTAAACAACAGCAGCGGCTGATAACGGAACTATCAGCTGATCTGACATTTTTTTTAATATCAAAAACTTCACGATTTATCCGCTAGTTAGCACTAGTAAGATGAAAAATAACAAATTAAATAAAGAAAAAGGAAAAAAAGATTGTTGCAAATAAGCAACATGGCGCATTGAAGGGTTAAAACTTTTTTTTATGAAAATACAACAATTTATGTAATTGTTACTTAGTAATTAGAATAACTAATTTATTAAAGCAAAATAATGTACAACTATTTTTTATTTGATTTGTGTGGGAGATAATATGATATAAATATGGAAGAGACAAAAGAATACTTTGAAGCTGATTTAAAACTAATAAACCATATTTATCCTGATCCAGCATTAAATAAATATAAATAAATCTAGCTGTATGTGAATGTTAGTATAGAGGTGTTGATTAATTATAGGTTAGATATAATTAGGAATGATTATCTAAGAGATAGTTTAGAATTTGTGCCAATAACAAAAAAAATATAAATAAGAAGAATAGGATAAAAATGTTTAAACTTGTTGAAATAAGGGTGAATAATATAATATAATATACCCCTATTTCTACATATAATGTAGAAATGCAAATATTTTTGGCAAAAATTATTTGCAATTCACAGGTAAGAGGAATGTGATAAAGAGAGTAAAGGGATTGGGTTATACCAGTTTTATAATTACTGCAGAATTCTTAAAACAGAGTATGGAACAGAATGATTTTTAGGTACACTAAAGAAGTAATAGATAAATGTTTCGAATAAAGACATTAAGGTGTATATTTCAGATAGAAGAATGTGAAGGGATAGAGATTTAGAGAGGATTAGAACAGCTAACCTCACTAGCAGTGACATATTAACCAATTTATGTAGGAAATGGATAAAAAATAGAAGTATTTCACAGACCTGTTAGGACCCACACCCTGTTACTATTTTATTGCATATCATACAGGTTTCGATGTTAACATTACATTTGTTAGTAACTACTTAATAGGTGTGGAGGAAGTACAGGTCAAAGGTAATTTATTTTAATTATTTATAAATTCATATTTACTTAAAATGTCACATCAAAATAAAATTATCTAGTGAATAAAGCTAGTTAATCTATAAGTAATAACTTTGTCTATATATTACCATTAATAATAAATACTTGTATAATCATTGATAAAAAAAAATGGATCTTAATAGTATTAATTCTTAAACATGTTTAATATAGTTTAATCAAATATGTCACCTGGAATTATCTTTAAAAAATATTTTGAATAAAAGATCTGATCTGATCACAAAATCTTTTTGAATTCATTAAATAATTTTAGACAATACTGGTAGTTAGTAGGCATGTCACTTATGTCGATGCACAATAGACCTTTAGGGTAATTAAAATTTTCGGAATTAACTGCACATTTTAGTCAATAACGTATTACATGAATGTCAATACTCTTGTTATACAAGAAATTGTAATTAAAAAAAAATATTATTTACTACAAAATATATTTATTTATTTAGGTTATGTAACTAAATATGTCTGTACAAAATAAATAATAGTTCATTATATTATAAGATGATTTATTTTTAACATATTGTAATGTAAATTTATAATTATGTATTACCTGACCAAGTAATGTTTGTCATTAATACATTGTTGGTCGTGTTATAATAGTAGAATTCTCGTTAATACAATAACAGTGTTATTCAAAAAAAAAAAATGATTAGGAGAAAATATGATTTTGTTATACAATTGTAATTTATTTTAGGCAGAAGTGGTCATGGAAAATTTTATAACCAATACTAATTCAGTTTTTGGCTTAGGCCATGTTACAAACATCATGAAGTTTCATAAAACATATTTCGAAACTTTCCTTGGACTGCAAGAGTTTATCATTTATGGTGAAGGCCCGTTGCCTATACAGTATCGTCATTATATTGCAATTATGGTAAAGTATTATGATTTATTTTGTTTACTATTAAGAGAATATGCATTATCTTAGTTTGATTAACCTCCTGTCCTTAAATATAAGGACAATATATATTTCATTACTTTAAACATATATTTTATATGATATATTTAATATACATATATTGAATATTTTACAAGTTAATTTAATTGAATCGTCTGTTTTAGATTTATTTGTATTATTATTTTAATTTAGTGCTCGCTTGTTTTCAAAATTGTTATGCTTCAATTTTATTGTTTCAGGCTTCCGGTCGTCATAAATGTACATATCTTATAAACTTTCATAAAAAGCAATTTTTAGAACATGATGGTGATCCTAACTGGTTAAATGGTCTCTCTCATGTTCCTCGAAAACTTCGAAATTTGTATGAAATAAATAAAATTTTGGCCCATCGACCATGGCTCATTACCAAGGAAGATATAAAAGTATTTATACGTGTTATATATCATTAAAAAAAGCGTTAAGTCTATTTACTACACAAATTTTTGTATTTTGTGTTTCAGAAAGTAGTGAAAGGTCCTAACTCGTGGTCTATGTCAGATTTGGCTCATGCTGTTATACTACTTGTACATTTTCATAGTTTATGTAGTTTTGTATTCGCGTGCAACTTAAACGATGAAATACCACGAGCTCCAAAAGTAGCTAATTATAGACGTACCAGCAAGACATGCTTTCAGGGTATGTTTCATTTTAAAGACTATTTTGTTTTTCCATTATGAACATAATTTTTACATTAATATTTTATAGTATGATAATACCAATTATACTATCTATACTTTAATCTGTCTAGTCTTAGTAAGTAGTGTATACAAATGTTTAGTCTTACCGTGTATTTGTCTATGATATCAGTTTTTTAAGAATTACTTTTTATTTTCAAAGATTGTACTGATGAAAAGCTCTCTGATGATGAAGGTTTAGAACCAATTATGGAAAGAATGAAGAAGTTAAGCGAAGTGTTGCCAGCTTCAGAACAAGAACGTATACAACGCTTTGAACTCTTACAAAGTCAATTATGTGACAGTGATACTTCTGCTGATAATAGTTTAGAACCAACTCTTAAACCTTTTGTTGAAGATTCTGGATATTCTTATTTAGATTGTTCACGAAGGCAATATGCTCAACAATCGTTGTTTATACTACAGGTATTTTCAAATATCAATATGTTTTTATGTGCTGTATATGAGGTGTTTTTTTTTGTATTCTATTGGTTATATCAGTTTATATCAATATTTGGAAAGGTATTAACCAAGTTAAAAAATAATTATAGTAGATTCTTTCACTTTTAAGAAATTCATTAGATTATGGACCTTTTTTATTGGTACTTTCGGTTTTTACTTTGTTAATAGTGAGTTGAACATGCAGCTTAAAAAGTCATCCATATTGGATGAAAAGTAAGAAGTTGTAAAAATATACAAAGGCCTTTAGAACATAAGAATTTCAATTTCACTGTGATAAATTACAGGTCAAATCCTCGTAGGACACGAACAGTAATATCTAGTAAAATATGTTTTCAGCTTTACCATCAAAGCTCTCAAACTAGATACTAAGTAGGGATTGCAGCTTCAGAGAGTGCTAAATTACATTACAAAATCATTCAATTATTTTGAATACGAATCATTCAGTTCAACTTTTTTCCGATTAACTTCCTTATAATAATGTGCTTCAATGTATTCAAATACTAAATTTTAATAGTTTATTTATTTTTAAGGAATTTTCTTGGGACCATCATGGGTTTTCATTAATAAATCGATTGTTCAATGATATCGGGTTATTGCTGGATAAAAAATTCAAGACTGCTTATAACATGACATACTATACAATGGGAGGTCGTCATGATATAGATACAACAAGATTTCGCAGAGCAATTTGGAATTATATTTATTGCATTTATGGAATGAGGAACGATGATTATGACTATGAAGAAGTTACACAATTGCTTACAAACCCGTTAAGAGTTTTCGTCAAAACGGCTGCATGTTATCCCGAAAGATTAAATATTATTCCCTCAGAAAACGCTCTAAAGCACTTTGAATTGAGTGAAAAAGTAATTATGAAATATATTTATTAGAAATAATTACAATTTTCAAAAATACTATTTCTTCTTTGTTGTTTTCTCGTCTATTTGTGTCTTGGCTTCCCACATCATTCTGTCCATTGCATCTAAAAATAAATACCATTTCTATTTCATGATATTTACTTACAACTGCTGAAAATGCATTACTTGTTTTTTAAATTTATTTACAAACGGTTTTTTTGTACTTTAGTCATAATATAATACTTGTTTTTAAGACAAACAGACAATCAGCATATTATTTTATCATTAATAAACCATTACTACGACTAAAAACTATTACTATGATCTAAATATTATCATACAAATTCCAAATGATACACTGTTTGTTTTGAGTGTTTAATTATCTGGTTTTTGCTATTTCCTATATTATTAAGAAATTTTTTCTTGTCGCTTGATTATGAAATGGTAGTGTTATAGAAAATTTACCAGTACTGCTATATAGGTTATTGATAACAAAGACTTGAATCACTTTATTGAAACTCAAAATAATTACATTTTAAGTAAAAATTGTTTTTAAAAACTATTTTTAGAGATAAAATGAGATTTGTCAAACTTAAAATGAAAGAAAGTGAACATTTCTAAATCATTATATTATTTACTTTATTTACACACCTTGTAATTACTCTCACTTGAATAGATTGACTGGTCTTTCAAAGTTAATCTGTTAAAGTAAGATTAACCACAAGATGTTTAAATAGTGTAAATCTAATACCTCACACAAGCTTCAATAGTTGTGTATTGCATTATGTTTTAAATCTAAACTTACATAACCAATTGTTATCAAATCTTTCAGATTCACATAAATCTTATGATAATGGAAGCACGGATGCAATCTGAATTGTTATTCGCATTACGAGCAATCATGAATTATATGCTATAAATAATAGGCAATTATGTTATTATTTTATTTTTTAATTGTTATAATTTTTTTTTAACGTGTATACAATTGTTGGTTATACGATTTTTGTTTTTAAACTTATATGGTATATTTTTTTTTCACTTAACTGTTTTGTCAACTCAACTCAAACTATCAAGTGTTCAACATATTTTCTAGTTTATAAATATTTATTATTATTGTTGATTTTATTTATGATTTTTAACTGTGATTATTTTCCAGTTTTATTGTGATAAACCTGAACTATTGTTAATGTTGTACCTTTTTTTTTTTTGTGTGTGTAAAATGACTAACATTTTAAATTCTATGTTATTGTTAATGAGATTTTGACTATTAAAACACTTATTTTTGTACTATTTTAATTTTAGAATTTAAATGTATAGTTTAGTTTTATTGTTTTTTTTTTTTTTTTTACTAATATTTTTATTTGTAATTACGTTTATGATTGACATTACTTTTTTTATTACCTGTTAAAATTATTGAACTGATAATCAAATTGACTAGTTACCCAATTATTAAAACTGATGTGTAATACTTATAACAGTACAAAAATTAATATTTGAATTCAGACTTGAACAATTATTTTGTAATATGATTAAATTTATATAGTTTTATTATATTTATAATTCTGTTAGATATTCAAATGTATATTATTTAGTATCTGTATGTGTATGAATTTACAATTAATTTTATTAATGCTCTTGGTAGTGATTTATAAGTAATTAATTCTAAATAATTTTCTGCTCAGCATTTTTTTTCCTGATATTTATTACAACATTGTACAATTATAATTGAAGAATGAATTAAATTATAATATTAATCTAATTTTATGTAATAAAAATAATATTGTTACCTTTACATGCATAAATACACTTATAATTGTTGTAACTTAATGTGTTTTATACAACAGGAGAATTTGATATAATTTAATTAACTACTATAACTTTTGATACATTTTTTATTAAATATTTGCGTAACACATAAATAGAGCAAACTTGGGGAACTGTTTATTATACATTACACTTCTAAGTAGCAGTATTATATGTTTAGTTAAATGTTGTTCTCGTAGTTAAAAAATGTTTACACTGCAATATTAAGGTGACAAATTAACACTAGAAGTGGCACAATAATTTAAATATTTTATTTTTACTGCCCTGAATTTGAGATAATTGATTTCAATTTGATGAACTATTTATTTAATTTGGCCTAATATGTAATCAAATTAAAAATGGAAACTTAATCTTTGTAGTAGTTACTAGTTTCAACAAATGTTTATATTGGTTTACAATATACATAGTTTATATTGTAAAATTGTTTTTGGAAGTCTTCATATTTAACTGGCAAATAAAAATAACTATATTATGAAAATGTTAAGGTGTGCCGTAGATACAAATATTCTAGCGTTTATATATATATATATAATATACCTATACCTTATTCATTCCTCCAAATTAAGTAAACATTGTAAGTGGTAGAAGTAAATATCTGCTTTATAATAAGCAGGAGTAATTCAACTGAATCAAGATTGATGCCCTACATCACTATGTTAATTATATTAATGGCCAACTAGTTGTATACTCAGTTAGTTAACTGAATTAAAATATTTAAAACATTTATTTTAATTTGCCTAATGGAAGATTTATATATATAGACGTATATAATATTACAATTTTGACATGGTTTTTACTTTTTATTGAATACTTATAACACAATGTACACAAGTAATAGTTATACAAATATAAGTAACTTTCTAAATTATTAAAATGATCTGACCATAACAATATTAGCATTATTGTAATATTAATTATTAAATACTCGTCTTCTAATCCATTAGGGATATTATTTTAAACAGTTAAAATATCACAGCCATTTTCAGTAATTAAAACAGTATGTTCAAATTGAGCTCCTCTTGAATCATCTAATGTTGCAATACTCCATCCGTCATCTAATATAGCTATATCGCTACTAGTTCCTTGAATAACTACTGGTTCGATAGTGAATATCATACCAGGCTCCATTAAACCTGGGTATGTGTTCTGAGTGGTATGAAAAATTGTGGGAGGCCCATGAAAAAATGTACCTATTCCATGGCCAGTTATACAAGGAATAACTCTGTGTTCATTGTTATAAGCATACAATTCAATGGCTTTGCTAATTTCTGAGAAACTTTTCCCTGGTTTACATACGTTGATACCATTATACATACATTGTTCTGCTATGCTTACTAACTTTTTGCCTTGTTCATCTACATCGCCAACACAATATGTTGCAGCACAATCTCCATGAAATCCGTTTAAATAGACTGAAACATCAACAGATATGATATCACCATCATGAAGTGGTCGATTATCAGGTACACCATGGCACAAAATGTTATTTATTGAAGTGCATACAGATTTCATAAAACCCTTATAGTTTAGAGGTGACGGATAGGCGTTATTATTAATAATTAAGTCATGTACAAACTCGTCGATTTCATCAGTAGTGATACCAGTTTTGATTTGACTGCGGGCACTGTCCAATACAAACTTAGCTAACTTACAGCTTTGTCTCATCATTTCAATTTGGCCTTTGGTTTTTATCTCTGGAGAACAATCATCATTTGATTCCGGTTCATCCGTAACAATTCCTGTTTCAGCATATGAAGGTAACGTTAAATATTGTGGCACTGCTCTTGGTGGACTTACATCACCTAAACTCACTATATCGTACACTCCATAGGTCTGTTTAGATTTTGACCAAAAATAACGAGCACACAAGGAATTGAGCAGCTTTTGTTGAAAAGCAGTTTTAAACAAAATCATGCTTTGTTTTGTCAAATGTTTATACTGGCGTTGATAATTTAAAAATATATGATATTATATCATATTAAATATAAACGATTTTAATAATAAGGTTATAGTATAATTCCTTACGAAATGTTTTAACTAAATATTTATTATTTTTGTAATTATATATAATAATATTGTAATCGCTAATCAAACATAAGTGATCACTACATAGAAAATTGCTGTTAACAGGATTCAAAATAACGAAGTCGGAAGAAAGAACAATGTGTACCACAAAAATTAATTAAATAATATTATAAAAATATATAAATATTTAAAAACTGGTACCTATCTCAAAAGTTTTAAGTTTATTCAACGATAGGGCTTAATGAGTTTATTACCGTCAATTTATTAACCAATAAAATTGTTTGAAGCAGTGAAAGCTCACAGCTGATCAGTAGCGTCAACCTAACCAATCACCTATTTACAAAATAAATGTCAAATAATAATTGATAATTATTTTTGTAATTTGTATTTTATTATGCATTATTATAAGTTATAACATATATTATTATAGGAGATTATGTCTATGCTGAAAACTATATTATAATTTAAATATTATACAAAAAAAAAAAATTATTATAACTTTTTTACAAGATATTCTTCTTTATAATTTAACTTAATTTGATAGAAATTACGTTAAATTAGTAATGTAGCCTTTGTTTTGTGGTGGACTAAGGGCTATTATTCCGATATTTGTATTATGCTCACTAACTGTTCCGCGTTTAAGACATCATCGAGCTATTATTTTTAAAATTATAACAATGAGACTAGCAATATTACTAGGTAATGTTATAGCCAAAAAATAATTTAATAATGAATACTTTAATGTTATTTAATAATATTTTAATAATGAGCTAACAGCTAACTGCTAACGTACTATAGATTTGTTGAGTTAGGTGTATAGTCATAACTATTACTAAATCAACAATTTTTCTTTTTGCACTATATGTATAAATTAACTTTAAAAATGTAGGTTTTTATTGCGTGTTTTTAAAGAGTGTGTTGTAATTATGTTCAATGGTCCATAAATAATTATTTATACTAATGACCTAATGGGAAAAAGCCCCACTGGATGTGCATGGTGCGCACACATTTCTCTTTAACAACGGTTCCCTTAAATCATAAAATGTAAGGGAAGAAAATACGAATCTGTATAAAGCTGTCAACCCACGTTCTGTAAATTTAAGTAAATGAATCAATAAATGTTTAATGACTAAATTTTGGCCTATTGGCGTACTCCAAATTAGATGGTCCTAATGACATTATTAAGTTATACTTATTATACCAACATTTATGAATTAAGTTGTTTCAAGGGTAATTTAATAGAGTAATTTTGGTCAGAAGAAATGCTGATTAAGTGGAACAATACACATTCCTTCATTAAGCAAGAACTCTTAACACTTTTTAAGGATCAGGGTTTCTAATTCCGATTTGTTAAGTATATTAAAGATACAGAATCGAATTTGTCGTTTTGTAGCAATTTTCTAAAAGTATTTTTCAAGATCTAGAAATTTGCTTTCAAACAACAAAATCGGTACAGTATAGAATTGTTTGGAAACGTTTTAACTGGCTAACTGACGTCTATGTCACTTTTCCGTTCTCATAATTGGAAATTGGAAAATACAAATTTCTATATTATATTATCTCACTGCCAGCCATCAGGATAAACATTAAAATTAATAAAACTTGTCGATTTGCCGTCGTAAACCCTGCATGCGTTATCGTTGATATCGCACCGTTGGCATTATTGGTCGAGTATTTGGTTGGGCACACTGTGCGTGAATAGACGCCGAAGGGTCGCGGGACTAGCGATCGTACCCGAATATTACCGATCATGGTCTTGCCGAGGGGTATTTTTTTTTTGTTATGTTTTAAGTAGATTTCTTTACGGGTAACTCGTTGAATTTTTCACTTAAATTTTTATCGGTTTCGAAGCAAAATTTTCGCTCTTGTCTCATAATTTGTTTGGACGCGTGTGCGTGTTGTTAGCGTCTGTTCATTTTTTACCATAACAACTCGGCTAACGCCGCTGCGACCGTCCACATCGTTATCTTGGCAAGACATTTTTTTTAACTTTCTTTGTTTGTAAACATTTGGCGCCGTTTTCGGCTTCATTGAGACCCCGTGGTTCGTCAAGTCTGTATACAGTAAGTATTCAAGTCGTAAACAACGAATAGGATTTTCCTCGCGCAACTGTATAAAGTGCCGGCGCGTATTTCAACACGCTAACGTGACTAGCAATCACGTTTATCTTAATGTTTAATTGTAGCTTTCCAAGGTCTTCCTATCTAATGAATTGCCGATTTGTCACGGCGTGCTTTAACAACTGTCCATTGATCCTATTCCGGGTTTTGGCCTCTCTTTTTTCACTAGGAAACTTTTAATGCGGCGTCTTAGTAACTACCATTGTCCATTAAGCGATAAGTAACTAATGTACTAACCGCAGCAGTCGACCTATTATTATACATTGATAAAAAGGAAGCAATAGTGATTTTTGAACTTGTTCATTACTTTCGGTTTTATGTTCAATCAAACGGTAAACTAAAGTGATTGCAAATCTCATGGTCTAGAGTAGTTTTTAGCTTATCTCAATATCAAGTACACCCAAGACTATTGTTATGTATAATACATACACTAACATAATAAAGTCACAACTTAATCATCTTTGGTTATTTCAATTTTTTTTAGAAGGTATTTCATACAAAAATGTAAGTCTCAACATGTTACTTTTAATAGGTTTGTTTGTTTAACAAAAAGTGTATACTTTCTTACAACAAGTGTACACCAAAGGGTTTGTTAAATGTATTTTGATTTGGTATATACATTTTCCACGCCAGTATAAATGGAGGTTTTGTATCAAATTTTCGGTGTAAAGCCTAAAACACCAATAACGTCTGTTTTGTTTTAATACACCCTACACATTCTCTAATACACTACGCTATTAGTGCATAAACCATTTTTTTTAAATAAACAAACCAATAAAACAACCACCTGCTTTAATAGTTTAGTAGTAATATACATTCAAATTTATATATTCTTTTTTAAACTACCTATCAATTTTAAGTCAAAACATTTATATTAGTTTATTAGTTCTTTCATTTTGTATCTTATTACTAAAATATTTTTTTTATTATAAAATGTTTTGAAGCTTTTTTTTATTAATATTTTTCTATTTTGCACAGTTTTATTATTTTTAAATACCAATTATAAAATATTTCATTAACTTATAATTGACCTCAAGAATTGTTATTGTTATTTTAATAGCTTAACTAAAATACTTAAGGATTGCTTGAGCTAGGCTTAGCCTAGAGTTGGCCCGGCCCGACCAGGTTTTGGCCAGGGTCGGAATAATAAAATAATGATCCGGGCTGAGCCAAGCTTAGATATAAAATCTACATAGTGATTTGGGAATAGCTAAGTTCATTGAAATCTAGTTTGAACCAAGCAAGTTTCAAATTGAAATGTATTGACTGATTAAATTAATCCTTGTTCTGTAAAGAAAAGTAACCTTTGGATACAGATATACAAATGTCCCAAAAAAAACACTTTTTTTGAAATTTGCTAAAAAACACTTTATTTATCAAATAAATTAAAAAAATTACATGAGCAGTTTTAGCATTGTTTATAAATAATATAGATAGCCCACTGGCATGTATTTTTTGCTGCGCCGACATTGTTGCCATTGTAGAGCGCTTTCTACTGTTTCTATTTATGGTGGTAGATACCGTGAGCGCTGACAATCAACGCACAGGCACACTACAGCCAGGATTGACGTAGTGCAGCTGCGCGGTGATCGTTAGCGCTCACTGAACCTACCGCCATAACTAAAAACAGTGTAAAGCCCTCTACAACGGCAACAATTTACGCGCAGCAAAAATTTTAGTATTACCAAAATATATATAAAATATATTATATATAATTTATAATATATTATGTATATAAAGATATAATATATAATATTATATCTAAAATAATAAATAATAATTATTTTAGTATTGGTTTTAGTATGACCTCCGGTTTAGGTATCAAAAATAATATCATATAATGACCCCTCTTGGCTTGTTGATAGGCTGTAATGCGAGGAGTCGGGTGCTTGGCTTAGAGTACAAAGCGCCCACGGGCACCCAAGTCAGTTGAGGGTAGCATTTGAATGATATTTTTCATACCTAAACTGGAGGTCATACTAAAACTGTTCATGTCATTTTTTTGTATTTGTTTAAAAAATAAAGTGTTAGCCAATTTTTTTTTAAAACAAAGCGTTCTTTTTGGAACACCCTGTATATGTTTGTTAGATTTTCATTTCTAGTTTATATTGTCCCCTCCAAATAACCAGAGCTAAGAAGAACATTGATTTGTACCTAATATGACAGTTTTCGTTCGAGCCGTAAACCTAACCAAAGCACGTTGTGGTGCTAGGCGGGAGATGCGTGCCACCAAACTTAACCGGTTGCCACCCGGTATGTTTTTTTTGGAATGCAGTATAACCCTTATAAACCTACTCCTGGTCAATAATAGTCATATGGAATAATAATAGTTTCGTGAAAATGCAATTTGAAATTTTTTTTATGATATTGGCATAATTTGGTTTAGGTATTATATTTAATATTAGGTATATTTAATTTATTAAATAAATTTATAATTAATTATATAATAAATTGTATTCTAAATTTATTAAATAATTAAACTTATTTATTATATTTAATTAAGGCTTTAGAAAATAATAATGCTAGTACCTACAATCTGTGGAATTAGTTCAATTATAAATATTAGTTTTAATATTATGTAATGTTTTAATTTTGTTTATAAATTGCCATTAATATTTTATTGTAGTTGAAGTCTAAACTACATACTACTTATTTCTATAAACATTTTAATTAAATTTATCAGCCTTATTTAAGTATAAATGTGTGTTTTTATTTTAGACTGAATTATAAAAATTTGATGCTCAACTACATTTGAGTTCCAAAAGAATTAAAATATGGTTGCCGACAGTTGCCCAAACCCACAGAGTGTGGGCCGTGAATTTGTTCGTCAGTACTATACTATGTTGAATCAGTCTCCACATTACTTGCATAGGTAATACATTTTTTCAGGAAATGGAAATGTTATCAAGTGAAAGTTTACATTATTTTTTATAGCTACAACAAATGTTGATTTAAATAACTAATAGATAAATTAAATTAATGATATTATGATAGTTTAACTGACTGAGCATTTTAAAGTTGCGTTATACCTTTTGGAACAACACAAAATATTGCTTGTATACTCCGTTCACCAAGAAAATGCATTTGATTGCTGATAAAATCTCATCCATTCTTACATATCTCGTAAAGAAAACATGCTCAGCGTATCCCACCAAAACACATTGCATGCTATTGGAGCGCTTAGTTTTCGGGCATATGTTTGTATGTCGATATTAGAAAATTTGACTTTGAGTAAACACAGTAAGTCATTTTGATGCATCAAGTAAGTAGGATGCAATTTCTCGGTGAAAGAAACTATTCAAAAGGTATGACATGACTTCAAAATGTTTTTATTTTTGCTTTTTATAATTTTAAAATCAGTTAAGATATCATTAACTTTTTTAATTACGACTTGTTATTTGCAATGTTATAATGTAAATTTTGTCTTAGTAACATTTTTTAGCCTATTATTATATGTTATATTATGAAACGGATTTAATTTAAATTAACATTTATGTTCTCTATTGCAAAACTCATTACGAAAACATTTAAAAAATACTATTGAAAACTAAAGCTTTTTTTACTTTCTGACAGTAAGCGTATTTTCGCGGTGCTACCGAAAGCAAACATTTACTGATATGTGCTGAAAATGTTTAGATTGAGAAGGATTGTTTGCTCAAGACCAAAATGATTTTGCAGTATCATAGGTACCAAACATTCCTAACCGCTAGTAAAGCTGTTTACTGATAGGAGCAAACAGTTTGCTTTCGATACCCTCGCGAAAATAAACTTGACGACAAACACATTTTTTTCCCCGGTGAAAACTGATAATTTTTATTGTATAAAACTGAAGAAAAAAAAACAAGCAATTATAATAGAACTTAGTATTTGAACATTTAAAATGATTATTTAAATATTTAAATTTAAAACAATCCTAGTGTAAAAACTAAAAATAGAGTATATTATGTATATATTTTTAGATTCTACAGTAGTGAATCATATTTTGTGCATGGTGGTTTGGAACCATACAGCCGAGATATGACACCTAGTATTGGTCAGAAGGAAATCCACAAGAGAGTTCAAGAGTTGAATTTCCGTGACTGTCATGCAAAGATTCTTCAGGTCGATTCACAAAATACTCTTGGAAGTGGAGTTGTTGTTCATGTTACTGGCGAGTTGTCCAACTGTGGGCAACCAATGCGTCGTTTTGCACAAACATTTGTGTTGGCAGCTCAGTCGCCTAAAAAGTATTATGTTCATAATGACATTTTTCGTTATCAGGTACTCATTTATAGGTGTAAAATAAACATTTAACAAAGATCTAGTTCTAATGTTGCTTTTTTTTAGGATGTTATGTTGAACGATGAAGATGTCAACGAAGAAGTAGATTCTGGACAGTCTGATGGAGAAGAAAACGTAGAAGTTGAGCAGACTCAAGTTATTCAACAGCCACAACATCAAGTCAACTATTACAACAATCCAAATCAAGGGCAGACTTTGAATGGAGGAGCTTTGAATGTGTTACCGACATCTGTTCCTGTTCAACAGTTGCCACCTGAACAGATTCCAGTTCAAGTACAGCAACATATAGTAAGTTATTTTTAAAAAATTTTAATATTTCTAGTATTGTTAATAAAACAATAAATGTATTTAAAATATTTACATTCAAATTACACTTATCAACATTGTAAATCAATAAGAACTTTTAACACCTAAGGTACTAATTAATTTTTAAGACCATATTTAGGAAAAATATCTTACAATATAGTTAGGTTAAGAATAACTTTTGATAGTTGAGGCATTCTCTAGACAAAGAGTCTATGTGTAAAATTACTGTTTTGTGAAAAAACCAAATAAAAGTTTTCAATACTTCAATTGTGTAATATTTTTACTTCAAATATCTTTTTAAGCAAGTTTCTATCGGAAAGTAACATCAAAATTATGAAATATTTTACTATAGATTAATTTTATTATTTAAAATGATTCATTTGTTCTAAGAACACCATTTTTTTTATCACCCGAATAGCTATAGTCTGATTATTATTATGTTATAACTTAACTCGATGATGTCGCAAGAAAAAACAATTTTTACCTCACATATTTCATTATGACGATTCATTTAAAGCAATCTCCAAGAAAATTTAATAGATGGGTGATTTATAGGACTCCTGACTATAGAGAACTCCTGTTTGTTAGAAAAAAAAAACGTTAATAACGTAATTTTATAGTATCATATAGTATGATATATGTTATCAACTATACTCTATTCAGAATAAGAACAGGCTTAGGCGGCCAGGCACCGTCCATTTCACATTTTGTCTGTAGCCCCACCGGCAACAGTGTTCGAGGTCCGTTGCTCGTAGTGAAGCCCGCCCATGCGCATAAGTCGGCCGCCGAAGCCTGTTCTTATTCTGAATAGAGTATATAGTATCATTTTTTTCTAAACAAAAAATATAAGAATAGAAATAGTTACACTAAGTATTAATTTTATACTAAATGTGCTTTTAAATTTAGCCAACTGTTACTGCTCCTGTGCAACATTCGGCTCCCGTTATCTCACCCAACAGTAATGTGTCTCGAACTCAACCAGCATACAATCAGAATCAACCGTCAATAGTGGAACAACAACCCACCAAAGTCCAGAAACCAGAAGAGCCTACTACTAACCATGTGGAAACAAAAGAAATCCAAGAGCCTGTTAAGAAGGAAGCTTCAAACACTGAAAGTATGTGGTTTTTTCTTTTTGTAATACGAAAAATATGTGAGCTAGGCGGTTTTTGATTACAAAATAATTGAAAAAAGTTATTATCCAGCAAATACAACTGTTTGTTTAGCTATTTATAATAATTACTTAATTAGCAGTTATTTTTATCTGCATATAGTAATACATTCACCTATGTGTCATTGAATATGGAGAACCTCTCCTTAATCACAAATTTAGAACTGGTGAACAATTTTATTTGTAATATATTCTAAAGTATGTATACTCTATGCTAGTTGCTACCCGGGTACCCAGATATTATAAAGTGTTATAACCCCGATTATTTATTTACAACCCTTGTAAATCATAACTTGTAGTTCGGTACTTGTAAAAATGTTAAGTATACTTTGTTTTTCAACTTTAAAATGTGTTAGATCAATTATATCAAGTAGCACATCATTTGGTCAGAATTATTTGTTGAAGTTTTTTGGACATGGCTTAAAACTTTGAAATTGCGTCCTTAAAACTCGAGAATGGGAGGCGGGAGCCCTCATCCGTAAAACATTGGCTATTTTTTAATTTTTAGTTGTAGTTTTAGAATTTTAAAATTGAAAAGTCAATATTTTCCAACAAGAGTGTCTCAAGGTTTAAATAGTTTGAAATACCTCCTAAGATAGTTATGAGTTAAAAATTGTTATTTTATAAATACATAATTTTTTTATTAATAGAAAATTTGTATAATCTAATTTACATAATAAAATACTATAAGTAAATAGTTATTTACAAGTATACTCCATTAACTAAATTTCACTAACCTCTTTAATCAAATTTATGTTTTAAGATAATAAAATATGTTCAATAATATTATTTTTTTAAATATTTTGTTCATTAGACACCTCATTTGGCATTCTTGTCTTTTGCTTTATCTCGGTAGACCAATTTACTCGATCAGCATTCAGCATAAAGTAGCCTTAATTTCAAATTTTGGCAAACCACATTGCTCATTTAATAATGATGAATTAATAAGTAAAAAAATTAACTATTTAGATAATTTTTTCTTGTGTTATAATTTTAAAAATTTGCTGGTTTTTAAAAATGTGTAATTTAAAAATAAACATGGGCTTAACAATTAAAATTGCTAAATTTTAAAAAATATACCAAAGAAAATTTGTATTATCTCTTATGTACTTAACAGAATTACCTAAATCATTTAAGCATTACATTGGATTAATAGGAGACAAATTTTCAATTTCACAATATAGAAGCCTTAGGTATAAAAATGATATAGATGATATAATTATAAAAACACTAAAAGTGAAATAGAAAATAAAAACATTTTAGTGAACATTTATTTAACAATGCCGCGGTACAAGCTATACTTAAGTATAATTCACATTTTTAATTTTTAGATGTTTCTCCTGGAGATCAACCTAAGCCATTGTACGCCCAGTTGTTTAAATCTGGTGGAAGACCTTCAGAAACAACACACACTGAGAGTCCTCAATCTATGCCAGTTCCAGTTCAGCCATATTCATCACCAGCTCTGCCTAAAGCAACATCCCCTGTATGTTGTTATAAAAAATAATATCCATTTTTAATGACAGCTATCTTATAATCCCATTATGTAACAATACTTGCAAAAAATAGGGCTGTAACTTCATTTTTCAAAAAACAATTTTTTAAACATTAGTATTTTTTATTACTGGTAAAGACTGAAAATGGCAGTATTTCAATTATTATGTATTAGAGTTGGTGCATTTTTACTGGTAATACATAAAATTTGTAGTATCTGTTAAAAAATATGTAGAAAAATTCAGTTGCTACCCTCTTTGTTGCAGGTATTGATATATATTACCATAGTAAATCATGTGCATAGTGCTAGAAAAGCTTAGCTTAAAAAAAATTGAATTTTGTTTTATTATATTTAACATAATTTTAGAGTTGTATAGTGTCAAAACCAAAATGATAGGCTTTTTCTTTTAATAATGGATTTGTCAGTTAAGCTTTTCTGGCGCTATGCGCCTCATATATTACGATATGATCGAAATGAGAATTGGTACTAAGATGTTCTTACCATTCGGTGGTGTGCACTGAAGTTCTTAGGCACAACATCGTGTATTGATAAAGAGGTGAAAATTGATTATAGTAAAAAACTGTCCCTTGACTGGCTACACATAATACATTGATTTAGGATAATTACAATGGAAAATTAATAAATTAAAATATAATCTTTGCTTTTAGGTTCGAAACAATGAGTATTCAAGTAGCTCATTTGGTAATAATCAGTATGAACAGAGAAACAATATGAATAGGAACGTTAGGAGCAACAACAACTACACCAGTAGAGGTGGTGTTGGCGGTAGAAATAATATGAACGAAAGATCGAACCGTAACACTTTCAACAGTCGTGATAACGGTTTGTTTTATAGTTCTTAAGTATTTTTATTTATTGTAATTCACCAGAATAATAATGACAATGATATTAATAATATTAATCCCACTAATTATTATAAATTAAATTTTGTGTAGGGTATAACAATGGACCTAGTGACTCTAGAGTTAACAGAGGAGGAGGTAATCAGGTAGGATCTTACAACGGTATGTTCCAATCAGACGATCAGCAACTTTTCATTGGAAAAATTCCTCCCGAAGTCCAAGAAAATGATTTGAGGGTTTGTGTTTAAATAAATTAATTTTTTGAAATTACAGAATATGATAAGTGACAAAATTATTTTTTTCAGACTTTGTTTGAGAAATTCGGTAACCTTCTGGATGTACGAATAATGAAAGGTGGCAGCAAGACAGGTGATCCATCTATGAATGGCAACTTTGGATTTGTTATTTTTGAGAGTACAGAAACTGCTCAAAAAGTACTAAAAAGCCGGGTAAGTGTTTTGTTCAAATATGTCATAGCTAATACTACTGTCTACTTCGTATAGTCATGACCAAATGAATATGGAGTTGGTGACTGCTATATTTTTCGGGCAGCCAATAGGGAGCCTTTTTTTTAGATAACGTTCACACACCAAAAATGCGTGAATATATATCTCACTAACAGCTGTCGCTCTGTTGTGTGGTATCGCTTTGTGGTAGGTAAAGTCAGCAACCACATATTCATTTGGTAATGTATATTTGAGATTAAAAAAGGTAATTACTTTTGACTTCATTTTGATCTTGTTAAATTTACTACATAACAAGAGTCCTAAAATTTGTTAAATAAACTATAATTTATAATATATACGTATAATAAAGTCAGACAACCTTTTTATTTCGGAATATACAATTTTAGGGGTTTGGAACTGAAATTTTTTTATTTTGACTTTATGGGAAAAATAGTAATTTAGATAAGATTGGTTGTTGGTGTGAAAGGAATACAATAAGACAGTAAGATATCCCAGTAATACAATTCATATTTAATAAATATATGTAAAAAAATATAATTTATTTTATATTATTTGAATAAGTTTATTACAATATTTGTAAATTACAGAATTTACAATTGATTGTATAGTAATCGCAAGCAAAGATGGTAAACATCTATTAAAATCTATATCTTAAAGCATTAATTTAAGAATGACTAGACCATTGATTTGTGTTAATTTGTATAGCTATAGATGTTATTATATTTTTTTGTCTGTACCCAGAGCTGCATTAAGCTAAACTGCCACCTTGGGCAAAACACATTTCGCCACTCTATAAACAATGCTCCTATGTTTGTTCCCAAATATTTTCTTCACCCCTCCCCTTTGGCTACAGGTTCCTTTTTTTAGCATAGTTTTAGGACTAAAAAGACTGAAGGTATCTAGAGTTGGGTTATATTGCTTTTTTTTACATATGATTAGTTTAAACAAAAATGTATAAATGGAATACTGTATGTAATCCTTCATTCTGCTATTTTATGTTGTCTTGTCTCAAAATACTAAAAAGTATTTTTCATGTCTAGCCGATCATGTTTCCTGATGGTATTAAGTTGAATGTCGAGGAGAAGAAAAACAAGTCTAGAAGTTCAATGGTGAATTCAGACAGTACTGGTGTTGGCAGAGGCGGTATGCGTACAGGAAGTGGCCGTGGAAGTTTCAATAGGAACCAGAACGATGGACCTAGAAACAATTTCAGGCGTCAAAACTAAATATTACATCTTTTAATAAAACAAACAATTTTGAAAAATCATCAAGCTGACCAGAATAATTTCCTACTAATGAGAGACACTGTTCAAAATTCAAGAAAGACTTTAATTTTATACACTATTTTTTTTTCTAGATAGCTAAAATGTTTATTTCCCTGCATTTATAATTATTATTCCTTAATAAATTATGTATCCATTTGTATAATGCTTTACCTCCAAAGTTGGTGTTCATCGTATAAATCTTACATCGTGATGATTATCGATTACTAGTCAAGCGAAGGAAATTTAATTTTCCCCAATCCACGTATTCTTATCTTTTAATTTATAATAAGTAAATTCCTCGCCTAAAATATTATTCTTATTATAATATATTATGTTATGTAAAAAAACATTGAACAGTTTATATATAATAAGCAGCGTGATTTTAACGTTTTTAACTGTTTTTTTTTTTATTCACGGAAGTTATTTTCAATCTTTCTGTACCAATAATAACATGTTTTCTAAAATTACCCACTTAATTTTGATCTTTTTAAAATATACTAAACATTATAATTAAGTTGTATTTACATGTACATAAGTGTCTGAAATAAGGCAAAAATGCTTAAGTACTATACCCGATTATTTAATATTACAAATATAAAATAGGATAATATGAAATTATTGGTAGGGCTTCCTTCGATTAATAGGAATAGCATTAATGAAACTTCTGTATCAGTATAATTTACGGTTTGTAGTCTTTAACTTGCTTTTTTATTTAAATCATATTTATTTTTAAAATAAACAAGTGGAAACATAATTTTTTTTTTTAATGTGTATTTAATTCTAGATATTTTGTTTCCCTTTTGTTGTAAATGTCAGTTATTGATTTAATTTTATGTGAAATACAGTAACGTATATTGTATCGATAAAAATGTTGAAGTATAAAGTCTACAAACTGTATAAAACAGCATTTGTAATCGTTCCTAAAAGCTAATAAATGTAAGAAAAAAAAAAATGTGTAATGAACGATGTGCGTCAATAAATGAAAGGATTTTTATGAATTTTTACCTAATATTTATGTTTGGAATTTATTTAATTTTATTTAAACCGATGGACTGGAAAATATAGTACAATATTACAATCTGCTAACACAACATGAGCTGCTGAAGCTCAATAGTAGTTACATTATAAGATTAATGGTTCTGTGGAAGAGCGTCTTTTCATTTATTTGTTCCTTTCACGTGTATTGTGAGTCCCGGACTATTTCAGTAGTTCGATATGTTCATCTAAAATCTACGGGGTTATAAACTATATACTATATGAAGATGCATAATATATTATTTTCCTACAAATTTTTAATTTATCAAGACCCAATGATAAATGAGTTTTATTATAATTATAAAATAAAAAAGATCTTGGTTGTAATTCAATGAACGTATAGATTAATAAAAAAATAATTAGAAGACCACACGGAAAAAGTCTGATGCCATAAGAAGTAACTAATCAAATTTATCTAAAACGCTTTATTTTTATTATCAAATTGTATCAACATTTATGATATTAAATACTCGTTTTATTGTAAACAATTATTACAAGACAAAATGATAAAATATAAATTTATTTTATTTTACTTTTTTTTTAACCTTCTTTGTGAGTAAATTAAAATAATGCATTTGATGTATGTGTTTCATAGGCTGGGGGTCTTCGTTGATGATTTGCTTGTATTTGCCGTCAGATCTCGATAGAGAGAGCTGTTGCTATACTTACTATTATGAAATTGTTACACTAAATTACTGCAATGTCTACTAAGTTTCGAATGCGGAAAGTGTTATTCCGCTGATACAGTCCTTAATTTCTACATAGACATCTTGAACCACAAATAAAAAAGGTAAGTTGTTAATATATTTATTAAAAATACTTTTAAAGTCGTTAAAATGTAAAAAAATATTTTATGATGAGTGTTTAAACATTAATTTGTGGTACTTAAATACTATATTTAAGAGAGAAATTATACGGTTAAAGTATTTATACAATTAATACCTTGGATTCGAAGTTGATTAAATTGATACATTTATTTGCCATAAATTACATTTGAACAAATTATAAAAAAATTACATATTTATTAATTAAAATTCTTTAAAAATGAATAATATGATACGAAACTATTAAAAATAGTTAATTGAAAATTGTTTTTAATATTATAAATGGTTATTTTAAAATCCAGGCCGAGGAATGGATAAGGATGGAAGATGGTAAACGTATACCTACCTTTTTTTGATTTGCTTTTGACTTAAGAGGGCGTCGCACCGCCAATTTTTAAAGAGTAAAGTATAGGCAATTTTTTACAAAATCTTAATTTAAAGATTAAACTGTGACGTGTAATTATTAGTTCAATAACTAGGACTCTATTTTGGTAGTTAATTTATTTTTTAGACTACCACAGCATCCTGAAAGCGATTTAAAAATGTTTTTTTTATCTCTATATGTTTAAGCAGACTGAAAATAACTCGCTTAATTTTGGTTTTAGAGTAAAAGCACCCATTATAAAATAAAAAGAGAACAATATTCCGGAGGGCAAGTTTTTTCATTATTCCAAGTAATAACGCTCGATATATAGTTTAGAAATAACGACTATTTTAACATTTTTAAATGACTGTAACTTTTCAAAAAATGGATTAAAAAAAAAAAAAGTACGGTCTTGCCCTCCGGAATATTGTTCTCTTTCAATTTTATAATGGATGCTTTTACTCTAAAACCAAAATCAAGCGAGTTATTTTCAGTCTGCTTAAATACGTTTTTACCATTGAAAATCACCGGTGCGACGCGACGCCCTCTTAAAAGTAATTGTAACTAGGTATTAGATGATTTGCTTATTATTTGTAATAATTGTATCGAATTTAAAATGTGTATATTTTTGTGATTTTCAACACAAAGGTCACTGCGCGTTCAAATGTATAGTATCTAAAGCATAATATGTTTTTTTTTATTCATAATCAATAAAATATTTATTTAAAATACATTTGTCCAAGGTTGAAAAGCCCGAGGACTCGTCTATATTTCTCTGTATAATAAATACTAACTAACCTCACTGAGGTTAGTGCATAGTAGTGTTTATAACGAATATTGTATGAAAAATACCTATTCTAATATGTATCCCGTAGCATGTAAATTGTAATTGTCAAAACAAGTTAAGCAAACTATTACAAAATATTTTTTAAAGAATAATGTTCGATGAAAGTGCAAATGTTGAACATAATGGTTTTACGTTATTTGGACGGCTGTAATATTTATATGTTAAAGTCATAATTGAACAAAGAAACAGTGATAACTTTTTCCGGTAGGTCACACAGATAAACTTTTATCTAGAATAAAAAATGTAGTTATTGCTACTATGTTGTTCCGGTGCCTGGCTATAATATAATTTTTATTTTTTGAGTAATCAGCATAATATTAAACATATCCGGGGTAACGGGTGTTTATATTAAAAAGAAAAAAACACAAAGCTATAGCCATAATGATTTTAAACTGTCTACCTATCCAATACATAGTGATAAAACCCCTAACAAATAAACGTTTTAGTTCTTATCCGTAGGGCGTAGATGGTAAAATTACAAATATCTATAAAAGCATTGTAATAGTAATGTTCTTAAAATTGTATTTATAGCAATTAGTATTAGGGTAGTGCTGATCGTCCGTCTATAATAGTTATTATTTGTTCAGTAGTTTTCTATCGTCGTAATTAATAACCTAATGAAAATATTTTTCTCATACCTGTTGGTTGTTGAATGTTGATTCACTCACACATTGCAACCTAGAAATTTATAACTGTCAAAGTATAATTACCCCATTTTTTTTTTTTTTTTTGTTTTTCTTTAATAAAAAAGTTTGACAACAGATTTTTAAGAAAATCTATTTGAATTTTAAAAGTTAAATTAGTTTAATATTTTTAACTCGAATATCACAAATCATTTTTAACTTAAGAGGGCGTCGCACCACCCATTTTTAAGGAGTAAAGTATAGGCAATTTTTTACAAAATCTTAATTTAAAGATTAAACTGTGACGTGTAATTATTAGTTCAATAACTAGGACTCTATTTTGGTAGTTAATTTATTTTTTAGACTACCACAGCATCCTGAAAGCGATTTAAAAATGTTTTTTTTATCTCTATATGTTTAAGCAGACTGAAAATAACTCGCTTAATTTTGGTTTTAGAGTAAAAGCACCCATTATAAAATAAAAAGAGAACAATATTCCGGAGGGCAAGTTTTTTCATTATTCCAAGTAATAACGCTCGATATATAGTTTAGAAATAACGACTATTTTAACATTTTTAAATGACTGTAACTTTTAAAAAAATGAATTAAAAAATAAAACGTACCGTCTTGCCCTCCGGAATATTGTTCTCTTTCAATTTTATAATGGGTGCTTTTACTCTAAAACTAAAATTAAGTTAGTTATTTTCAGTCTGCTTAAACATGTTTTTACCACTGAAAATCACCGGTGCGACGCCCTCTTAAGAATTAAGATGCAACACCTCATATCTCGCTTTTTAGCCAAAATGAGTTAACAATACTGTTTTACACTATTTACACAGCTTGCGGTTAATCCCACTTAAGTAGTTTAACTGGTCTGCCAACGTTTTGGAATACTTGCACATTCCATCTTCAAGGCTGTGCAAGTAATCCGAAAAATTGGCAGATTAGTCCAAACTACTCAAGTGGGAGTAACCACAAGTTGTGTAAATAAAATACCCCCCCCCCCTCTAAGTGTAAATAAAATTCCCCAATAGTGTAAATATTTATGATAAAAAAAGCTGGAGAAAAGTGAGATATGTGGATTTACATTTTAAGCGACAATATGTATTATACAGGTCGTGTATTTGGCTATTAAGTAAATAAACGATTACCATTACAATTTGAAATAATTGTGTCGTGGAAAAAAATATTTAAAAAAAACGTCGGATAATTTGAGTCTAAACCTCAACGTACAATGTATATTAATAAATAAGTTTTTTTTTTTTAATCACACATTTCTTTATTTGAAAATTTTTGGTGCAATTAATTTTCCCAGAGCGGTTGGAATCCCTTACAAATATCCCTTATAAATACTTGTTTTTGTTTTTAATAATTAGGTAATTTATTTATTTAGCAAATTATAATTAAAAAAATAAAATAACTGACATAACTAGTCCAAATTGGGACTTTTACAATTTTTTTATCAAAATACAAAAATGTTTTTTAATAAAATTTAAAAAATGTTCAGGTAAAGGAAGTAGGGACAGCCTGGTGTAAAGCTGTTGCCTATTAAGCCATTTATGCAAAGATAATAATTATTTTTTTGGGTGGGTAGCTATAAAATATATATTCACAGTGGGTTTGGGGCCATCGACTACTGACGATCTATCAAAAAAGTGATATGCCCCAATAAAAAACTGGCCAAGCGTTTAGTAATAAAAATACAAAAAAAAACGTGGCTCATGAAAGTAGGAGTGAAGTGAGGTTACTAAAGAAAGAGCAGACTTAGCGATAATGTATGTATCACTACTTCGATAGACTGATTTTTAACATAACATTCCTTTTTGCTGGTTTCAGCATTGTGGCACTCGCTTTTTTTTTATACTTAGCTCTACTTACTGACGAAAAATAACAGGTATAGAGGATAGATTGAGCTAAATGATATTATTACGATTATTAAATTATTCTGTATTCGATGACCGATAAAAATAAGATGTATTAGAAACTACCATTCCTAAAGCGGCACTTATTTTGATAAAATAATAATTTTTCTTTTGTTTACACTATAAGACACCTGTGTTTGTGCCAAATTTCACGTTTCTTCCTATACGGGAAGTGCCTTATAATTTTGATGATCAGCGAGTCAGTAACAAAAATGCAAACTTTTAAGTTCTCCCCTTTTGAAAAGGCTTAATATTAAGGGCTCAATTTATTACCTTGTTCTAAGCTCCTTAGGCTTAATCTATGTATCAAATTTCGAAAGCCCGTCATAAGGGAAAGCAGAGAATTGAGAGTTAGGAAAACTGAGTGAATTGGTTCGTGTAAAAATACACTGGCATTGCTGGAATTTGGCCTGCGTTCTGCCGTGCGCTCAGATAATAAATCTATTTTCCCGAATTAATGAGAATTTGTTTTTAGACAGCAAGCAAGGATCAGGGTTTGGTCCAAGTTTTTTTAGAGGTAAGAGACACAAAAGAAAACTTGAGTTGTTGAAAACACGTTATCGTGTTTATATAATGTGCTAGCCCATAAGCTCTCGTCGTTACGAGTTACAATGAAATAGTGCAGAATTAATTAACCCAATTAAGAATGATGATCATTCAGCAATAGAATAATAACTGTATACGCCATATATTAGTAATTATGTGCGTGCAAACACTATTTAAATTTCTTATGTATGTACGCATGTACGAATATTTTATGTTCAGTTGTATTTTTCAATGATAACAAAAGAATTGTCTACACGACTTGGTACCTTCATAATGTATTTAATCTAATTTCAATATTTTTCAGGTCATATAGAAATAAAAATGGTCTCCTTTAAAGCTCTTATTACTGGCTCTTTTGTGCTTTTGGTCCTTTGCGAATGTGTCTTAACATCTGAAGAAAAACCGGTATGTACACAAATAATAATCCAGATAAATTCGAAAAAAATCAATAACTATTGTATACAAACTCACGAATACATCAAACAGTTTTGAAAAAAAAGATTAGCTTGTCATAAAAAAATTGTTTTATAACATTTTACAAATACTTGGCTATTTTACATATCATGAAATAGTAATAGTAAAAAAATTATCTTAGTTGTAAACTAACCGTATTTGTAAATAATATTTAATAATGGGAAAAATCTGAATTTGTCGAAGTTAAAAGACCTAGTTTATTTAGGGGAAAATTGTGGATGACCCAGGTAATAAGATGGTAAATTATTTAGTTTGAATTTGTTGTTAGAGGAAGTATAAAAAATTTAAGAATAAAGCAGAAAACTTGTCAAAAAAGAACGCGGAAGAAATTTTAGAAAAAGCTTTGGGTAAGGAAGAAGGGCCATCACAGGTTCAAATACAAAACTTAGAAGTTGTCGAAAATTCAAAAAAACTTGAAGGTAACTCATATCTAAAACTTAAATTTTGTATTAATCTTAGTTTTTTAAACAAATTAGCTTTCATTTTTAATCTGCACGTCACATGCTTCCTTACATACATATCCTCCCTTTTGACTTTTAATATATCCCTTGCTTTATTTTCATGTTTTAATATGTACACTTATATTTTTTAATGTGATGCATTTAACATTAGGAAAATCATGTACTTACCACCTCAATCATACCATTGATTAAATACATAAATCTATAAATGTATTTAAATTAAGTATTTTTTATGGCAAGGGTGTCAACTAGAAATGGGATTTTTAAATCCGGGCTTACAAAAATAATTGATGCTGCTATTTTTAAGTCTAGAAAAAATAGAATATGAATAAACACGTCTAAATAGAAATATTGGTCAAAAGTTTTTATTATACAAATATTTGGTTCTGTACATCATTATTTAAGATAAGCATTAACGCTAAATAACATTTTGATAGTTCAAGTATAATTACTTTGAGTAAAACGGTTTATTTATATTTTCCAAAAGTTTGACTTTTTATACTTGTCACATTTAATAAATAAACAATATTTATACATTTTTTTACAAATCACTATTAATTCTAAATATATATTTTTATTCTCTACTGGAGTTCCATTTGTAGTAGTCATGGGAGATTATTTGAATATATGAATCTGAATACTTGCTATTGGAGTAATAACATTTTTGTTAGAACATTTTATTTTGATTGATACGAGTAATAATTAGCTGAACTAATTTAACAGTTGACCTAATTATACAATTTTAAATTAAACCCCTAACTACTATATAGTAAGTACTAATATATTAATAAAATTCTTTAGTTCCTTTTCATTTTGCATGAAATACCATCAGTTTTATTTATTGATAGATATATTTTTATCGATAATAATTATAGTGCATAATTATAATATACTAAATACTCTATACAAGAACTTTAGAACTAAGTATAAACACAAATTTAGTTAATTATAGTTATAAAACATAACTATTTTTTATGTTGTATATTCTAACATATATTTTATAAAAATAAATTGTCATTTTATTGTTTATCAACAGAACTGGACAATTATTTAACTTTGATAAGAATGTATATATATATATATATATATATTACAAATTCAAAAATGAATTAATAAACAATTAGTTTGATAAAATATATTAATTAAAAATAACTCCTTAATTTTTAATTTTATAAATATTATACAAATTTAGGTTTCATTAAAATTAAAAAAATAATTAAGTCAATATGATGTCAATTATTATACAATATTTAACAAAAAAATGTACGTAATAAAATTTAGGATAACATACAATTTTAACACAAATAATAGTTGGTCATAAATTAAAAAAAACATTTTAGTTTTTTAAATGTTCATCGGTTATCCAAACACTTTTAATTGCATCTTCAGGCTTTGAACTTAGGACAGCTTGAGCACCTTTTGGAAACTTGTATATTAAAAAACCGTCTAATATTATGCATCCCTCTTCACAATGATTTTCAACATTTGCTCGTTTCATTTTGTCAGACCTAATTAAATCATCAGCCAGCCACAATAATCTGCCCGTTGGTTCTCTTATTGTATATTGTAGTTTATCAGATGAAGGGTTGTATACAAGGCTTTTATTGTATTTTATAACCATACTTTCACATTCTTCTTTCGACATATTCACTTTGCTATAATTTAAAAGCCTTCGGACTTGTTCAATGCTAATCTTGTTTAAAGCATAACTCCATGCACTAGATCCAGTTCCCGTACTTATGCAAAGGCCGGATGATTTAACTTTAATTGGATCATTATTATCAAACTTACATTCTAGTTCAGATGTACGTCCTGGCATTCTGTCACCTATAAAAACTTCATTGAGAGCCAACATGTCTTGTGTAGAATGTGAATCTGGTCTTATTTTCACAAAATCTTGATACATATTGATGGGGGGCTCAATTTTTTCTAAAAACAAAAACTTATTAAAAATGCATACTGAAAAAAAGAAATAATAAATTTATATTTTTATTCAAAAGTAAAATATATACTTCATACTTTCAGTACATTTCATAGAAACTCTAATTCTAGTCCTGTTTATGTATGAGAACTTTTGTTTTTCAAGCGTGTCAAATGTTTTCTGAATATTTTGGGAGCAAACTGCTGGTAAACATAAATAACCAAGTGATGAACTTGGGTTAGAATTAATTCCTACAACTTCTTTATTATGGTCCTGAACGTAACTGGACATGACCAAGTATGTACCGTCACCGCCAATAGCTATAAGAACATCAGCCCACGAGATCGCTGAAGTATTAATGTCCTTAAAAATTGAATTAAATTAACTAGTTATGATAAATATATAATTATTTAAATTATACTTTACCTTCAAACTTATTATTTTTGACTCAACGTCCAAATGTTTAACTGCAGCTCTCACTTCTTTGACAATGTTATAATGTTCATAGTGAGTATTCAACACAGTTTTTAAGTTAACACCTTGAGCACTCAACTGATCCAATAGTTGTTTTTCAGGAATATTTTGATTTTCTAGTTGTTCACGTTCCACTCTTGAGTACTTTGCAACTAATAAGACTTTTTTGCCTCTCCATAGTTGCATGTATCTGCGCCCTACACTAAATTGTTTAAATGTCTTTTTGATAATCATTTAGACCCTTGCCGTAAGAAACACTGTGGAGCTGGACGTGTGTGCAAACTAACTGAAGATGGAGAAGCACAATGCGTTTGTATTACAGACTGTCCTACTGAAACAGATATAAGAAGAAAAGTAAAGATAATAAAACAATTATAATTTTATTATCACAGAACAAAAAAAAAAAGTTTCATAGATAATTTAATTAGGTATGTTCAAATCACAATCAAACTTGGGGTTCAGACTGCGAAGTTCACAGGATGAGATGTTATTGTGAAGAGAAGTCAGAAAAGTGCAAAAATCCAGAGTTCAGTCACTTGCACGTAGAATATTATGGTACATGTAAACAATTACCCGTATGTTTGATGGTTTATATTTAATTAATTTTAGACATGAATTAAAAGCAAATTAAATTATTTATAATTTAATTTAATAAATATAGGAGTGTTTGGATTCTGAATTGGCAGATTTTCCAAGGAGGATGAGAGAATGGCTGTTTAACATAATGCAAGATTTAGCCGATAGGGAAGAGTTGAGTTCTCACTTTACCAAATTGGCAAAAGAAGCAGAAACTAATATGACAAAACGTTGGGCAAATGCTGCAGTATGGAAATGGTGTGATTTAGATGACTATCCACATGACAAGTATTATAATTTAGGGCATTTTAACAAGTAGTGTAGAATATAAACAAAATAAGATTTTGTATTATAGAGCTATATCGAGACATGAGTTGTTCCCAATTAGAGCACCACTAATGTACTTGGAACACTGTATTGCTCCATTTTTAAACAAATGTGATTCTGATGATGATCACATGATTACTCTTGATGAATGGGCAAAATGCTTGGACATACCAAAAGTAAGCAATGCTTGTAAGATATTTTTTATTTTCATTGATGCATATTATCTTTAATTACAGGAATCAATTGAAGCCGAGTGTGATGATCTTCGAGACGATCTTAGTATTTGAATACTGACTATGCCATGCGTCTAGTTACTGGTTTAAATAAAATTATGAAATTTATTTATTTTTCATTAATTATAAAGTTAAACAAATAATATCTTTCACAGTATAAGTTTTATTATTTTATTTTCAGTTTACTTATAACTAATTATATTTTAATATATTATTATTTGCACCTACCTAAATTAATATCTACTTTAATTATGTTAATAAATTAAAATTTACAAAAACCAAGACGGTAGTTTACCGTTTTAGAACACAAAGACTATGATATACAGGTTAAATATTAACACTAAAATAACAGGATTATTATCCGGTTGATGGAATATTGTAAAAGTGTACTTGCACATAAAATCATAAGAAATGCATAGGATGATAAATATATACATTTCTTTTAGTATTTACTTAATTGAACAACAGATTAAATTATAAGTATAGTTGCCAGTTTTTATTCGGTAAATATTGCCAATTATAACATGGATGTTTATTGTTAGTTATGGTTAAATGCACCATTAGCTTAACAGTTATTTATAATTTCAACAATATTGAGATAACTATGTCAACAAGTAATCATACAAAATAGTTAAAAAGTAGTTTATTTGTATTGTGATTAATAGGATTAAAATTGGAATTTGCATACTTCAATTTAAATTAAATAAAAGCATTTTACTAATTAATTATGTAGTGTAACCAATATTATGCTATTTAGTATGTGTACAAAGGAAAATATTAATAAAACGATAAAACGTCATTGATTCGAGAATACCAAAAAAATTGAAGTAAAAAGTTCAATGAAAAACCTGATTAAAGACAAAAGGCCTCTCCATATTATACCGAAATGAAATATAATAATACATAGGATTAATTTTTCGTTAAGTATACTCGTATTGATGATTTGTGTATTTAGGCTTGGGTAAAAGCGCGATTTATCTCAGGATCGCCGGTAAATGCCTAATTAAACATACCTATTCGCGGTTAAAGGTAAATCTGAAAAGGCCCTGTCGAGCGTTAGCAAAGGGAAATTTTACGTTGCGTGGGGGGTGACACTGTTTATCGTGGAAATATTTGTTTTATACGTAATAGAACGAAATAGGTTATCTACCGATATTCAAAAGTCAAAACCCACTACCCATCGTCTTCACGGGATTACAGATATATGATAACAACTAAACAATATTAAATAACAATACAACGTCGTTCTATAATGATAATATAAACGGAGTAATACAAGTGTATGGGTACCTACATAATATCCTTAAACTCACTCTAGTAAAGTCTAGGCGCAAAATAAGCCGAGCTTACCATCGCAGTTGTGGCAAAAAAAAAACCGTACGTAAGTAAAAATCGATTGGCTTACGTTCAGTGTAAATATTAATATAACAAATAATAATACTATATTTAGTTAGTAGTTAAATGTAGTGTAAGCGTTTTCGTGCGATTTAATACGTTTTTGTTATCCATATTATTTCGGTTAAAACATGTTGGTTTAATCGCTTATCGCAAACGCGTCGCATGGGCTTCGTTCACGGATGATAATAACAGTAATAATCATAATTTTAATTATTATCGTTATAAATATATTTATAATATTCCAACGTCTTACTTCTATTGTTCAACGTAGTCGGCGTTTTCGGTTATCCTGGATAATTGCCGGGTCTCAATGCACTTGAGAAAAATTATAGTTAACAGCAAACGTCGTCGTTATCAGTAGAACGGTCGCGTGTGTTTCAATATTTTGCAAGATGGAAAGGACAAAGCGCTATTTAGTGAAAGTGCTCGTTGCAGGCCGCCGGTGCATAATATATTATCAAGTGTGTATTGTTGTTTTTCAAATACAGCTATGCGCCTTATCAACAGTTGATCAGGTGATGCGGCCATATAGTTTCGTTATCAATTATTCCGTTCTACCGCGAGTACCGCTAACCGCCATACGATAGTAGCAGCTGCAGCTTTAGGATGCACTCATGCACCATACATTTTGATAGTCAAACAAATGGTTTATACTTCTTTACCGTTCTCTATAAATATCATTTATCTAACTAATGATAAAAGTGCCAATTTCTTTATTGGAACTAAACCATTTAATTTGTTTTTACTACAATGTCAAATTTCATTGATTCATTGAAATTTGTAATAACGTATCACTGATTCGATTTCTATGATTAAACTAATTACTAGAATAAAAAAAAATAACACTTTTAGGTTTAACTATTTTCTTACATTAGTTTTCACTATTAGCAACTACTGAAAATAAATCTCAGTATACCTTTATTAAATTATATTCTCAAATTATAAATTCGATAAAAACCTCCATTTACAGAAATAAAGAACTAATCCGATAAACTCTAATATTGCGATAGCTACTATTTACTTATTTCTTAACTAAATAATTGTTTTAGTTTGGGCTAGTTAATGAGCTATAAATATTAAATATTTAGTAAACATAATTCAGATACAATTTTGTGAAATGGTTTAAATAACCTTACAATATTGTCGTAGAGTATAATTTATATGTAATATATGTTATAATAAATTATAGCCATAGCTCATAGATTTGTATTATTTAAAAATGTTTATCTACTCGAACAACTCCAGTAAACTATATTTTATTCTCTAATTTTCGTTTTACAAGTTCTACTGTGTAGAAATTATTATAACTATAAATTATTTTGATATTTTTTAAAGTTAGTGGTAATAATATGGATTTTGTTAAACTATTTTACATCGAAAGTTTGAATTTATTATTGATGTAGTGTTTGTAAAAGTTCTGCAACTAATTGATATCAAATAACGATAGAGTGCAGATTTTCTATTTAATTTCTAAACAATGATTTTAGTAACACTGGGACAGTGTAGGTAGGTTCCTCCCGAAAGCAACTCATTAAGTAATCGTCTCCTGATCTTCAAGGTTATGATGATGAGACAAAGTAGGTATTTCTGTAAATATTTACTATACATGTATAATACACTTGTATTTTAAGTGTACCGTGTACTAACATTTTCATTTATATATCAACAGGAAAATAGATTCATATTGATATATAAGACTGTTTTTCAAATCTTACAACGCAGCAATAGCGTTAATCTGCAAACATTCGGGGGTGACACGCCCTTTATTTTAAAAGTAATTAACATTTTTTCAAAATATTTATAGAAATCTCAACATGCATTTAAAACGCTTTGTTGTACAAAAACATAACAATCAAAATAACACGTTATGATTACTTTTAGTAGAAACTTTAGCTTAGATTATTTTTTTTTATAAAAATTCAAAACAAAAGTTAATAAAATGTAAAACAATACGCCTACAGGCTACATTAAAGATGGTAATTATTAAATAATTAAAACCAGGTCATCCCAGGTGTAGTAAAACACTATGTATTTTGTTTAATAAATTTAATACTGCTTTGTAGACATTTTCCAAGTCAGGCGCGTGTGGTTTATTTTGACAGGTTGAAGGTAAAAAATAAACAGAAAAATGCCAGGAAGGGAGTTTTATTAAAAATCGTTTACATTAAACTTTAGATAACGTTTTGATCTTAACTTCACGTAAAAACCGCTCAGTTCTTCATAAACGTGCAACTGCCCAGGCATTTTTTACACGCTAATATAAATGGTGTGGTGCCCTCTTAATTCGATAAAAACGTATTAATATTCCATAGAATACCTGAAACTAAACTACTGATTATGTTGTTATAAATAGCTCATTACCGTTAAAAAATAGTTATGTATTTAATCGATTTCTTAAAATTGGGGTTTCTTGCCCAGGCTGTAGTTTCTCTCCCTAAGTTTTCTAGTTAATTGCAATTATTGGTGTTTTAAAAGTATAGAATAATATCAGAGTAACGTCAAACACTGACGCATCTTATTTTCCTAACTGTCAGTGGCGGATTGTGCTCTAATATCTAAGGATAAATATCCTTGAAACCCGGTAAACCCGTCTGCCAAAATGTACAAAAAATAGATAACATAAATTTGTTGGACTAAAATAAATTAGCATTGCCCTATCGAAAAGAAGGTTGAAACATATCCGATCTAACTTGTATAATTTTAGTTGTGATTAAAGAAATATATAGAATATCATATAAAAATAATTAGAATAACATTTTGGTTTTTTGTCTAGACGATCAAGTGTTTCATAATAATAGTATAAACTAATATAATTATTATTAATAATACCAAATAGTAAATTTATAAACTAATTATATATCCTAAAAACACTTGTAATATTATAATTGTAATTTGTATTTACCTGTACATACTTTTCAAGAGGACGCCACCCGCCTATTTAAGTCAAGTATAGGAAATTTCTCATAAATCAAAACGCTTGTTTTTAAAAATTAGTTACCGACAACAAAACATAGTTGAATTTACCATTTTTATAATTCTATATTATTTATGTCACTGCGTTTGTTATCGACTTCGTAGTACACGAAAGTATACTATTTTTAATTTTGTTCCAAAAATTGCAGTGAGATGTTCTCTTAATACACAAATATCGGGGTGGTGTGGCGCAGTGGACACCTTAGCTGCCGCATGGCACTTGAGGTTAAGCTGTGGCCGTTGCTGCTTGAACCCGGATGGGTGACCACCCGGATTTTTAGTGGCGACCCACACCATCAACCCCCCATAAGCATGGCAGAAATGTCATGCGTCCTCAGGCGACCGAACTGGCATAAAGTTAGCTATAGCCCTCCCGGTTAAATACGCCATACGATTATTTTTTTTTTTTTAATACTCAAATATGATAAAAAAAAAGAATCCATGTTCAACGCCTACTCTTTTTTTTGAACCTGTAGTGGTTGTTTTATCATTATGGTTCGCTGCTGTCCACATTGAAGAATAAATTTATTATTTACAATTTGCAATTTTCTTGATAAAAACCAGACTCATATTTACACATTTCAGAAATTATTTGTAGATCAATTTTGAATGTTTAAGCAGCAGATTTTGTCTTTAAACGCAAGGATTTACATACAAATAAAACTATACATTGATCGTAAATCTATTGTAAGAGATAATAAGTTATTTTAGTGTTATTTCCAAATTAAATTCGAATTTGTAAGGGCTTAATTTAAAATCTAGAGATCAGCAATAATGCATGATATGTTAGTGTCGAACATGGAAGCATACAAGTAGCTGAACTATAAATGTGTAAGATACCACCCATGATCGTTTATATTGTACTGTGACCATTACGATTTTATAGATTTAGGTTCAGGGGTTCTTAAAATATGTAAAGTAATCAATTTCAATTTATTTTGTTAGAAATCCGAAGTTATTCATAGAAAAAATTGGCGCTATATACAACCACATAAACTTTGATATTGTTTCTTATGTTAATTATTAAATAATTTTTACTTTTAAACTTATTTCATAAAAAAAAATTAAGCAATAAGGTAATACATAATTCATTATTCATAAGGGTCGATGTTTATTTAAGTAATGGGATTTTAATTCGGTTGTTTTATAAGTAACTATTAATTTAATGAGTTTCTGATATAAAATAATAATTACTCCGGGTTTGTACCATTAAATTGTGACCAAGTAAAAAAATTAATGGAGGAGAGTGAGAGAAAGAGACAATAATTGGAGACTGGTAAAATTGATCAAGAATCGTTATCTAATTAAAACATCGAAGCTAAAAAAATAATAATATGCACACTCTTGAACTACATAGTTAAATTTGATTTAACCGTTTTCTTTTTCAATAACAAAATCGGTGACATTAAATAATGCTCAAAATTAATCCGTTAAAGCGCGTCCGCCTTGTATGCAATGCAAATCATTTTGATTCTAGTGAAAGAGAAAGTAGGATTTTTGTTTTGATTTTCTTAAAGATAATGTTGAATGTGCTTGATAAAACTAACCAATATATAATATCTATAATGCAACAGAGTATAACATAAAAATATTGTGTGTAAAACAATTACTACAATACTTAAAACAATTATTGCTATCCACAGTAAGAATAATTGCATTAGGTAAAAGGGACTTGTACTCACTTTGTTGTTTCGGAATTCGAACAAATTCCCTACTTTAATACTTTTCGAGGCACCGCTTTTTTCCTTCAAAATCGATTAACATTATTTACAAGAATATAGATTTGTGTTGTATGTACGAGTCTTTTACTTAACTGTGGTAATGCAGTGTGTTGATGGTCAACAACTGGTTAATTCAACTCCCCTCTTCTTAAGCCGTACACTATTATTGACGTTTGCGTTGGCTATCCCGTAACAATACATAATATTGTCAAAAATGTATAGTAGACGTGTCCTCTATGACGTTCAAAACAATAGATCGAAAAATTTAAAGTCTTTTATAAATAGAAATTGCGCAGTTGCCTATCGGTGATAACATAAGATGTAAGTAAAGATGTTGATTTTGTTTAGAAGTCGAGTTGGTATTGTTTTAGTCGATTTCAACTGTTTAAAATTTTAAACATCTGAAAAGATTTTGAGTCGGCTACTTAGGTGAAATTTGGATTTTATATCCTAGGGGTGTTATAATGTACTAGAAACAGACTGTGGGGGGCTAAACAAAATTTGGGAGAGGCTAAGCCTCCTAAGTCCCCTCAAATTTAGCCTATGGTCGGTTAACTTCATAGATTTAGAGGCCTGCCGTTACCGGTTATTTGACCTTCCGTCGTTGATAACCATCAACGATGTAGTAATTAGGATTGCTGTTGCAACTATGAGCGTTCATTAGCTATGAAACTGTAATTACATTTTTTGTATTTTTGTTAGTGGCTTTAGGCTACAAGCATTTAGTTTTACGGTGTAAAACAATAATTTGTATTATGTGCTTTACTTATTAGTAATTAGAAAAACTATGAAGTTATTCATTCCGCCCTAAGAGAGTTTGATTAATTTGATTTCATGACAATTTTTTCAATATTTATTTACATACAGGGCACAGTTAAGTTCCCTTCTTTACAAAAATCAAAGTGACTGTTTTTCATCTAAATTCTTGGTAAAACTATATTTGTAAAACGGATGGCTGTCCCATTATATAATATTTTTAAAAATTAATAAAGCAATTATTTAGTAATTGGAATCAACTGCACTTGCAATCGACATATTTTTTTTTAAATTTTATCATATGCAAATAATGTGCATTTAGAGGCTTTATTTTTGTTAATGTCAGTATTATAGTTTTATATTTACTGATGATAAGAACAACAATTTCAATAATTAGGTAATTAACGCAGTAATTATTATACACTTTGTGGAACTTTTTTTAGTACTTGCTAGGTCAGGTTAGGTTAGGTTAGGTTAGTTTTAAGGATTTACTGTGTAACTTTAAGTCAAATGTCAAGTGGGCGTGTGGAGCACCCACTCAAACAAAGTTGTAAAATTGTATTGTATCAATAAATGGCATCGGTAAACTGGGGGGAAGTAATGCCTCATCAGGCGCGTTCCCCCCGCCCCAGTTTACTACGGATGCATGTGGAAAAAAAAGGTTAGGTTAGGTTAGATCAATAACAGTTAGATAAACATTTTAATGACTCGACATTGGCCGTTTTATAACCGACTTACAGAATTGGTCTTATCTCAATCTTTAAAAGATTATGGCGATTGTATTTCCATAATTTCCTTATTTTACTCCTGACACCGTAAACGGCCAAACTATGTAAATTATGTCGCGTGTGCGCTAAACCTACGACGACTTGCGTTATGTCACTACTTTGCATACTCTCCTTATACGTGCAAGCGCTACGGGCGCGTCACCTCCTGCAGGCATGTCGTGTGCTTTACGCAGTAAATGATTACGAACAAACTCTATTACAGTTTTCCCGTAATTATTACATGACTTTATAGCTGTACATATTGTACTACCTATACTCGCGTCGTTGTTGTTCCACGATTTCTTACAATGGGTTTTCTCTCTGCTTCCCGGAAAACGGTCCATTAATTACCATTGGGTTTGAAAACGTTTTTCTTTTTATTCGCAGGAGTCGTTCGCACGACGTGTCGAGTTGGCCGGCCGTTTTAACGGCACAGCGTATCGCCAAAGGAGGAGAAGGAGGAGGACGAGGAAGCGTGGAGGGGCGAGCGCTTCGTTCGGCCACGTCGCCCATTGTATTCGGACGCCGTCACGTACACGCCACTGCTGCCGTGTATACAACACAATATTGTAATATACAATAATAATATATACATTGATATATATATGTATATATTATAAAAGTATCATGTGAGCCGCCGGCGGCACCGGTTGTCGTCCCAACGGTGGTAGGGGTATCTCGGCCGTCCCACTGTGGAGTTTAAATACGTCCACGCCGTCCCGGGCGCACATCAATCCGTCCCGACTGTAGCCGCGTACGCCGGAACACTTCTGTCGACATGTGCGGTGAGTATAAATAATGTATATATATAATTTATATTACCTACTTTAACGCGATTAGTGTTCTTACAGATATTTGTGTCCTAAAGATAGTATAATTTGGGCCGGTCACGGCTGTAATAGCGACCGGCCAACGAACTTTAACTCACCGTCATCTATAGATATTGTCCCGATAAAGCTCTTTTATGGGATACCGGTCGTTTTACCTACCCGTAAGATACCGTATGTATATGTTCGAACATATCGGCTATATTCATTGCAGATATTTGTGTGTCCGTGTTGTGTAACTGCCAATAATAAAATGGCAGCTCTCACTCTATTATTAAAAAAGTAATAAATAAATAATCAGTTATACGACTTAGGTAAAATTAGCAAGGAGATCAAAAACTTGTTTGCATTTTAGGAGGGCAGAAGTCATTATTTTAATACATTTGAGCTTAATCGTTAATCTAATCTAACTACACGATTTGTTGAACTTAAGACCACTTAGTTTGTACGAGTCACTTACAATTTTTAAACTTTAGCCCCTTGATAACATATAATGCGTTGGAAAACACCTCAAAGAACATACAAATTAAATAGGGGGGTCGACGGTTATGGGGCTAGTATGACCTATCAAAATAATGTTGTTTTGTGTGTTCACGAGTAACGGCAAATCTTGCGGTATGGTCAGAACTTCCAAAATAAGACAACATGTTATTACATTTTTCTTCGTCTAACCTATTAACAATAGTATACATCTCTAGAAAAAAATACAAGCAAATACACAACATGGGTTTTTTACAAGAGATTTTTTTCTACTTTCCCCTTTGTTGTGTTTTTACTTGTGAAGTGTGTTGCGAGACTTTCTGTGTTACCGACGTGTACTTAGAGACTCCTTAGTCTTGTAGGTGTTTATACCGTCAGTCTCTTATGACTGAACCGGTTAGATTTTTGCCATTCACTTTCATTGGTCGTTACAACACACACACGATATTATGTTATAATTTAATACGTTCGGCGGGCATCTTGGAATTGATCCAAGTCTGTTATTTATGACCACCCAATTCTGCGGTCAAAATCAATTCGTACTCGCACTGTCTTTTAAGTTTATTTTCTGTTAAAAAAATAAAAACAAGTACATACTCAATATGACTAGCTGTGATGTTCAAGTGCCTTCGCGAGTATACTTTAAAATGAATCTATCAATTCGGAAATATTTTAATAGCTACGTGTCGACAGGTGTTTGTTTACATTATTGGTTTCGTAGTAGGATATAGATTACCATGATGAATCAAGTGTTTCTAGGTACATTTCCTTTTTGATATACATTTATTGAGAGTTAATTCGTACTAAAGCAATAGCATACATATTATAGTGTATTATACTATTGGTGATAGGTCACATAAAATAATTAAACAAATTGATCGGTTTGTTCAAATTCAATGGAATAATCGATATCTATTGACTATTTTATTGATTGAAGAACTATTAAAAAAAAAAAGTTTTAATGAACACGTTTACGAGTCTGGTACGGGTATGTGTATTATTATAACAATATACACTGTAGGAAGTATTATTTTCCCTTTGATATAATATTTAACAAGGTTTCTCGTTGATCTATAAACACCACACGTGTATTACTTATTATGCAGTTGAAAGTTATCTAACGGCGACCGGTATGAGGTAATAACGAGACAACAAAAATATACTAAGCCAGAAACGCTTGTTTCTGTTTGAGCCCTTAATGATTTCCGCCTAGCGATTGCACGCCCAATATTAATAAGGCCGGTGATTTATTTGACAAATACGTTTTGTCGAAATTCTAAAACTAACTTATTTGGTTAAATATATACTTACCAAGTCATAAGCAACGGTGTGTTTGTAATTTTTTAGTTACTTTTACATGAAGCGTACAAAATTCAAAAAACATTTTTTCCCGACTAGAAAACATATAATTTTCTTAAAAAATATAATTTATTTTTGAATTAGATATTATGAATAATTGGAAAAACATATTACTAGATTTTGTTATTCGATCTAGATAAGCTTTTATACATGTAATAAGTAAAGTTTAATTTGTTAAATATTCCGCGAATAATTTGTACCTCGACAAATTTCTGGTGATATGTAACAATTGCTGGTTTATTGGTGGATTCTATGTTTTTAATCTTACGATCAATTTTGTTCTAGGAATATTTGCTTATCTGAATCACCTGACGCCCAAGTCCAGGGAGGAGATCATCGTGCTTTTGGTGAACGGTCTTAAGCGGTTGGAGTACAGGGGTTATGACTCGGCCGGTAAGTAGACGATAATTAACATAAGGCTTAGTACAAGAAACGCCGACTAATCTTAGTATAATATATTCCCAACATACCTGAGCATTTTTGCCTCGTGGCGCTAGAGTCAGCGCTTTTTACGATGCAAGTAAAAAAATATAGTTATACCTATTATTGAATTGCGCGCGCTTATTTGAAATTACCGTTGATCAATAGATCGTTGGCTGTACTAATAAATTGCTGACTAAGTATACGTAAGTTAAACGTAATCATAGTCATAGTATGAGTCAGTAGTACTCAGCATATCACCCAAAAATATTGGGGGAGCGGCTTAAGCACTAAACAAAATCGCGAGGGGCTTCGTATATCGCACCGTACTGTCTCAGTTACATTTGATATCTCTAAATGTAAAACCTTTATAACTTGGGGTGGATAAAATAACTGTAGCCAATAATGTTTTAGGTTTATTGGAATGTGGAAATGACTACAATTCTAAACAAATATACCTACTTAAATAACTAATACACTTATAAGTTATAACTGATTAAATTAACTTAATTCAAGTGTAATAATAACTGTTAATTTTGTTTAATATATTTCATTTTTTATAAATATTATGTATATTAATAATAATTACCTATTGTTCAGAAATATTGTAAAAAAAAAAATACTTAACTAAACTCGGCCGACGAGGAAAATAATAAAAATAATCATTGAACAACAATGTCTCACGATAACGGCTTTAAGCAGAGGAAAAAAGTGTTCTGTCGGTCAGCCGTATGGCGGTATCTATAAAAAAAATGTAATTTTTATTTATTATTTTAATAATCTTTATTAATTATTATCGACTACTTTGGCCATTAGCTATTACACTTTATGTTAACAAATAGGTTACATTAAAATGTTGACAGCTTTTGTTCAATGTTATTGTTTTTTAACATTTATCAGCTAAAACATTATATTATTAAATTTCTTTGTACAGGTTTGTTTTGTGAAGGAATTTAATAGTTTTTCTTAGGATTTGTTCATCAGGTCTCAGGCTGGCTTCTTATTTCGTTTGGAGAACTTGAGTTTTTTAATTTTGGCATTACATTATGTTTATTTCTCGTTAATACCATAATCATTGATCATAACAAAATAAAAAACAAAAACTGAATGTAAAAAAATAAAAACGAATAATTAAATTACATTTTTATAGAAATATTATAATCACGGGATTCGGGGTGCTAGCTTTAAGATACAGAGTTAAGCGCCATCAGAATGCGAATAATGAATTAACGTAACTAATCAAGGGATCTAGTTGTAGGTAGTTAACCACATTTACAATATAAAGTAAAAACAGGTAATTTTCTGTTTAAATAGTTGTGATTGATCATGAAAATATAGAGTCATAATGAAAATGTTGGTTATTTTTATTTAAGTTATCTGGTTACACTTGACATTTTGGGCCTTCTTATTGTTTAAAATCCCAGTTAAATTAGTATTATATACACGGTATTGTATGGAAATAAAATATTCGTGGGTACTAAATATAGTGTTAAATACTTCTAGTATTCTTAATAATACTTCTTTTTGGCCGAGCATCTCACGAGTCTCATGCCTTAGCATGAGTGCCAGTGAAATTATTTTTGTGAGAGCCTTGTGTGATCTCAGACATTTGTCAGAACTTGGATTATTAGTTGTAATCATGTAACATTGTTGAGACGTTAAATAAATCTGGAATGTTTATGGTTATTGCCTTTTTTGGTATTCCAAAATAACTTATGAAATGCCCTTTGCGTTGTTATGTCATCGCTTTCGGGTATTGCATAATTTACACGACATGGCCATGAATTCACCCTTTAGGGCGTTATCATACCGGAAAACTTATGTTAATATGTTTTGAAATTTTGAAAAACTAGTTTTTTTTTTCACTCGACCGCAGCCCTTTCACCGTGTCTAACACTATGTATGCCGTGTAATATATTTTTTTTTATGCAACGTTAGTTGGCAGTTGGCTTTTTTTTTATTTACCTTTTGCAAGTTGCTATTATTATTGCATATTGACCATTGTATTCACGATGTTGTTATTATTATTATTGGCATTATTTTTTTTCACTGTTTCGGGGAAACGAGTGCGTAACGATTTTCTTCACACGAAAAAATATCCGATAAATATTACATCTGTCTTGACTTAAATGTGGCGAAAGGCGTTAGGAACTATAATATTTTCCCTGAAATATTAGTTTTTCTTTATTGTCTAATAATTTAATAGACTAATGTGGTTTTCTGAGAAAAACTATGAAATGGTTATATAATTTATTGCATACAAAATATTAAAAAAATAAAATTAGAAAGCACAATTGAATAACACTAGAGAGTCGTACTCATTAATAGGCAACAATATAAAAAAAAATGAGTGGCTTTAGTGGTGAGTGTAACTATAGTTAAATGTGTTTATTAACATCCTCTACTCCTTATCATGTGCGGTTATGCTTAACAGAGAATATGTAAGTATTCTGAGAAAATAAAAGGATGCAACTGATGTTTCAAATAAATGTAGGTGTTCGGAAATAAAATAAAGAAAAAAAAATCTCTCTCTCTATTGGTTATAGTACTCCTTCTGCAGTTGCCACAGCTTTTTAGCTTCTTGATTTTTTCGTTCTTCTGTACTATTATGTTTGGTCATGAATCATGATAATCTAAGAGATTTGATTAATTATTTGGGAGGGTAGGCTTTTAATAATTTTGGGGGTCTAAGACCTCCCAATACCCGCCGTTGACCATGATCGTCATCTATAGACCATGTTTTCATATTAGGCCTCAACTAGGTCTTGTTATCTATGATTAGGTTTGTTTTTATGTTTTCCACTGTTCCAGAAGCGATTTACTTTCTTTTTTCTCTATTAATAGCATATAGCTCTTAATTCTCAGGATATTTTTAACTGATCATTTTAATTTTTTGACATCATCAACAATATTGTTTATTTTGATGAATCTCCGAGTTTTCTTATTTTATACATAACAGTATTTAAGATTTACTGGAAATTCGGTTCGCGACCGTCAAGCTTTAATGTGTTAAATTCAAGCTTTGCTAATAAAATACAAAATAATTGCTCTTTTTTGTCCTAAATTGTGTGAAAATGTAACACGGTTTAATGTGAGTTTTATTCTATCCACAGGCATCGCGTTCGACGGACCTGACGGCAAAGACATAACGATCGTGAAGAAAGAGGGGAAAGTAGTTGCCCTTGAAGACGAATTGCTTTCATGTGAGTTATTTACGTTTATCATAATGTATAAATAATTTGTTTTACCGACTTGGGCTGGCGATCTGGGCTCTGGAGTTTGAGTGACGTGACATGAGCGTTTTTTTTTCAAATTTCTGTCGCAGTGAAAGATCAATTGGATTATGAGGAGATTCAAAAGAGTCATGTCGGCATCGCACACACTCGTTGGGCTACTCATGGGGTGCCGAGCTGCGTTAACTCTCACCCTCAAAGATCGGACAAGGAGCAAGTATTTTGTGTGGTGCACAACGGCATAGTGACTAACTACAAGGAAGTAAAGGCGTTTTTGGAGCGCAAGGGGTACGTTTTCGAGTCGGAAACCGATACCGAGGCCATAGTGAAACTGGTGCACCACATTTACACCCAACACCCCACGCTCCAGTTCAGAGAACTAGTCGAGCAGGCCATACAACAGTTGGTATGATCTTGCCGTGTTAGCATAGCCAATTGATGATCGACTTAAGATTATACATATTTTTTTCGTCGACAGGAAGGTGCGTTCGCTCTGTGTTTTAAGAGCAAGCTGTTCCCAGATGAGTGCGTGGCGACCAGGAGAGGCAGCCCTCTTTTGGTGGGAATCAAGTCGGAAACCAGGCTAGCCACAGACCACATCCCCATACTCTACAGTAAAGGTAACGCCAGTACTACAATTTGTTGAGTACTTTATTGTGTTTTTTTTCTCTCTCTTTTATTCAAAAATCAGTAGAATATAAGTGTTTTTAGTCAAAATGGCAAATTGGTTGTGTTTTTGTTTTTGTTCCGTTTGTGTGGGACACGTGAAGATTCGATAGACGGAGAGTCTCTTTCGCTAACAGGTACACAACATATCACTCTATAGACATTTATTTATCCAAATTTATCCAAACAATGTTTTACGGAAAATAATAATTAACGAGCTTTTTTTTTAAAATCGACGCAATGCGTCCTCGGCTAATATATACTTGCAGGCGGCGGTGATAGCAAATAATAATTATGGTGATGGTGGTTGTTATTATTATTGAAAATAACATAATTTAAATGCGGTGATTGCTATTGAATATTATATTACACCGGTAGTTTTAATACTTGAAGTCATTCATGGGCTATACATATTATGACAAATAAATAATAATAATATTAAAAAAAAATTTGAACGTCGAAATTATGGTTTTGTTCTTAAAATTGGTCGTGGTAAACAACTTCAGCTTACAATACTATTATAAATTTAATTTATAAAAATAAATAAAGTCGATAAAATTAACCCGACTAATCTATCGTGTAACTGTTAAGTCCTACGACTATATTTTATAATGTAGTTTTTAATATTTCACTAGAATTACTGTTTTAATGGATTTATACGTGCATAACACCTCTACAATCATTTGATCAGATTAGTTTAAATATAGGTTAAAGTTTTTCTTTTTTTTTCTTTTGTGAGTAGATTTTAATTTACCTAAATAATGTTTGGAAAAGTAAAATAAATTTTTCTCCATAAATCATTAATTTTTTTTAATGTAAGAAAATGTAATTATTTTTAACAATGTTATTTAATTAACACACACTATTTTAAATTGCGAATTATATTATACAAAACATATCGGTAGTTTTACGAATTTTGACGCTTACGATGTTCTTTGGCTTTATGTAAAAGTAATTTTGATCAAATAAACCACTTCCATGAAGATAAAATGAAAAAAATTAAAACAATTACTGAACAATGCCGTTAAATTTATAATGAGGTTTTTCTTTTAAAGTACATTGTTTGTTGCTTTTATTATTGGTGAAAGAATCATATTTTCTTGGACAACCTTTTTCAATGTATCATACTCTCGTGACAATGAAAACTCAGATGCATGTGTGAAATTATCCAAATTTTGTATTAAAAATGAGTTGTTTTACTTACTCGGTGTATCTTCTATTAGGTCCAATCAAATTGGTAACTAGAAATTCATACGTGTGTTTTTGATATTTCATAATGTCACGGTCGATTTTTTGTTTGTTTACTGCACCATTTGTCTTATTTGAATTCATACATGTTAACTTGAACCGAACAAACAAGTACACACTTGGAAATTAAACGATAGGAACGCACTACAGTAGTATTGTCGTTTTTCACATGCCTTGGAGATAATTCTATTTATATGGGTTAAACAGGTCTATTGACGTTTCAGAATTTTTACATTTTCCATCTCCCGGGCTGCAGTTTTTGTTGCAGTGCAGCCCTCAAGAAACAGTATTTTAAGCAAACTAACTAGGCATAGAGACAGAAGATTCCAGTTTTCTGAAACGTTGATAGACCAGTCAACTTGTTTAATATTGCAGAGTATCATCAAAACATGTGAACAATCAACATTCTTCACATTAAATAACCCTGACGAGTTTTTTTTGTTGAAAGATTTACACTATTATAAATTATAGCTATTAAACATGTAGAAGTGTAGTTACTGTAATTGTATATTCTTACTGTCCAATAATAACTGCAACAATAACGTGTTTTTTTTTAATATTACGGTTATAATGTAGTATGTATATAATATTGTAAGTAAATATGTATAAAATATTAACGAAAGGATGACTGCGGATTTTGGCGCTCTACGAGGATCATTGGTGTGCATGTTATCGACTCGCTTGTACGGCGGCCCAACTGTTGGATGGTTAATAACTTACTTATTATTTTTAATTTTCAGAACACAGATTCATTCGCGGCGACAAGATGTCTATTCCTATCCCACTGGGCCGTCAGGAGAGCACATCCGAGTTCCATCCGCTGGGTGACAAAGAAGAAGTGGAATACTTTTTCGCATCGGACGCCAGCGCTATCATCGAACACACTAATCAAGTGATATACTTAGAGGTGAGCGTATTGTTTAGTGATGACAACGACTTTTCATATTAATATTCATCTAGGATTTCAATTTTTACTAACACTTCTTTACTACTGCCCATTTGGATGTCGGTTAATCTAGGCCTTAACTCACACTCGGTTATCCATAACCTCTTACAATTTTTTGTGTGTTTGATTGAAAGAGGATGACTTCTTTCAATATTTGGGTAAATCCCCGAAAATAATAAAAATAATGGTTATGACCTCTCAAGTACTCTGACTACTTTGTTCAGTGTAGGGACGTACACAGATAGAAGTTGATCGAGTCATGTATGAATGTATCTGAGCTGTTGCCTGTTGTTACTATTTAAACAATAGGATCGGTTAATTTGCATATAATATAAAATCAATGGTAGTAATAAATGAAAACGGTTTTTGTCTGGAATAGGACGACGATGTAGCTGCCGTTAGAGAAGGAAGGTTGACTATACACAGAATGCGCATGTCTATGGATGACCCGCACGCCCGAGAAATCACCACGCTCAAGATGGAAATTCAGCAGATCATGAAGGGTAATTTCAGCTCGTTTATGCAAAAGGAAATTTTCGAACAGCCAGAGTCCGTGGTGAATACTATGCGTGGTCGGGTTAACTTCGAGAATCAAACAGTAATCCTCGGCGGCATCAAAGTATGTGCTGAATATGCTCTTACCGGATGGCGATGGAAGCAGTTTTTTAAAACGTTGCCTTGTCGTTTTTTAGGATTACATTCCAGAAATAAAACGTTGCCGGCGGCTCATGTTGATCGGGTGCGGTACCAGTTATCACAGTGCATTGGCCACACGACAACTTCTAGAAGAGCTCACCGAACTTCCGGTCATGGTCGAGCTGGCCTCGGACTTTCTGGACCGATACACGCCCGTGTTCAGGGATGACGTGTGCTTTTTCCTGTCGCAGTCGGGTAAGCAAAAACAAACATTATACAATGTAGTACTGTTCGTGCTATAGGCAACCGGATAGCGACTTTCTGTGTTGCTTTATAGTTGTCGTTTTGATTTAACCTGTTTCTTTCTTTGGGTGAAACGTTGACGGTTTTTTTCAAATGTAGGCGAGACGGCCGACTCTCTCTTAGCGTTGAGGTACTGCAAACAACGGGGAGCTCTGATCGTGGGAATCACCAACACCGTGGGTAGCTCGATCAGTCGCGAATCGCACTGCGGTATTCATATTAATGCCGGACCGGAGATCGGTGTTGCCTCCACCAAGGCGTACACCTCACAGTTCGTATCGATAGTCATGTTCGGGCTGGTCATGTCCGAAGACAGAATATCCATGCAGGCTAGGAGAAACGAGGTACGACAGAAATATTTCTGGATCTTCATCAAATCCAAGCTAACGTTTTGAAATAATTACCCTGTCTTTTTTGATTTTCTTTTACGCAGATCATCAGAGGCTTGGAAAACATAACAGAACAGATCCGCGAAGTGTTGGCGGCCGACAAGAAAGTGATGAAATTAGCCGAGTCTCTGTACCAAAAGAAATCGCTGTTGGTCATGGGAAGGGGATACAATTACGCCACGTGTTTGGAAGGCGCACTTGTATGTCATGTGGACGACTCAAAACATCCTGTACAAACGATTAATTCTTGTGTTTTTTTTTCGAATTGTTTTTAGAAAATCAAAGAACTCACTTATTTACACAGTGAAGGTATATTGGCGGGCGAACTTAAACACGGTCCGTTGGCTCTGATCGATAGACAGATGCCGATCATCATGATCTTGACCAGAGATCCAGTGTACAAGGTACGGATACATTAGTTTTTTTCTCACGACTGCTAGAGTTAATACATTTTCTTTTGGTGCATCTTTTTTTGTCTACAGAAATGTACAAATGCCTTGCAACAGGTCACTGCTCGTGAAGGTCGCCCTATCGTCATATGCGAAAAGGACGATGTGGAAACTAAAAGCTTGGCCTGGCAAACCATTGACGTCCCACACACTGTTGACTGTCTTCAAGTAAGAACACATTTTTTGACAGCTTCTGTGACCTTACAATTTATTTTCATGTTTTCCTAGGGAATTTTGACTGTCATACCGATGCAGTTATTGTCTTATCACATAGCCGTTATGCGTGGTTGCAATGTGGATTGTCCCAGGAACTTGGCCAAGTCGGTAACCGTTGAATGAGATGTATCGAGACCCATTGATTTTCAAATATTATCATTCCACTGTCCGTTGATGTTGACAAGAATTGAATCTTGGCATCGTTACTAAACTACTTATTACATTTGTTTTTAAATTTACACCTTAACGATATAGACAAATATTAATATATTATAATCAAGGTTTAAGTTTCTCGTATCATGTGATAACGTTATAAAATATAATGGTTAATGCTATCAACATTATTATAAACCCATAATAATAATATTCAGATAACCTACTGCTATATTTTTTTATCTTCATTTTACTTTTATTAGTGCAATTTTTTTCTAGGGCGTCTATATTTTTTATTGTTATAAATATCAAATTCTTCTATTTTTTTTTTTTATTTCAAAGATATTTAGTTATTAATAAATTGTTGAAATATCCATCATGCAACCATTTTTGTTGTGATAAAATTATATTTTATACTTAATCGATTTTTTATCTATATTTGCGTTTGATTTTCCCAGTGTATATATTTGTAATTCTATTTCTTTACATAAAAATAAAAATATTTAAATGAAAATTAATTATACTTCTGTTTAATTCTTGGTGAGTAATTAATTTGAATGTAATAATGAAAATTGACGAGAGGATGCTACACTACTTATTAAGGAAACTAAAGTGGAAATAGTGCGGATGGTGATAGGAAGAATTATATATTCCCTGCAAACTGACAAGAGATTATTGATAAAAACGCGGCAACAATTTTTTCATTTTTTATTTGATGCTTTGGATTCTATATAGCACCTATCGATTTGTATAGTGCTACGCTGTTAAGGTATTCTAGTGTTGTGTAATAATTAATACTAATACAATAGGAAGTTTAAAAGGCTGATTATATGTTTAGAAACTATAAAGATTAATGTATGAACATCATTTTTTTAATTCTGAGAGAGACAACTTTTTTAAAGCAAGCCTGGGTTCCCAGCCAACTCAGTTCTATATTCAATATACATAATATGTATACATTATATATTGTCGTTATCATAATGTATTATATAGTATTCTGAACTATAAGTGTAATGAATATTAATAAACAAAGAAAATAAAACTCAATTTCTTTAAACTTTTTTTTGTTTATTTACATATTATTAATTAATTAATATTTTATCTATGTATTTTGTTACATCATATTATTTTAGTATTAGCACTAATTTTTATCTTAAAAATGATTGATTCATATATGTATATACAAAATGTGATGATTTGAATACATAAGTAAGTGTCTGTTGGTAACCCATAATCAAGGGCAGTACGCTAAATTTGTTTTTCTTTTGGTTGTAAATAAAATATAAGACTCGAAACCGTTTTATAGGAGTTTTTATTTTGGATGTTATTAAAAAGTACATAGAATTTATTTCTATAAAAAAAAAACCGTCACGATAAAACTGAACGACAATTGACAAATTTGTATTGGAGCAATTATGTATGCAATTACAAATCGTACAGTAAATATATTCTAATATGACATGATTGAATGCCTCAATAGTTTTATCTGTATTAAAATCCAGCTCATAACAACAGGGGGAGGAGTGACCTACATTTTCAACGGGTATGGCATAAACGTATTTAGAGGGAGCTAAGTACATCAAGTCTGGTATAGGTGGCTAACAAAACTAGGTGGATTTTCTCCCACAAAAAAACGTTTTGCCAACATAGCATAATTAAATATTATTACATTAAAAAGTAAATTATATTAGAACACATTGTGTTAAATTTAAAAAAATACACGCTTTAATTATAAAGTATAGTATTGGCATTTTATCGTGCGACAAATTGATAGTCTCTAACTTTTTAATTATAATAGTGAGGAGTCTACAATTTTAGAATACAGCGTACTGACCCTCCTTTCAATGTTACAAAAGGCGACGGTCAGTCATGCTATGTATGCTATATAGTAAATTTATATATATATATAAATTTACTTTATATATATATATATATATATATATAGTATTGATATAAAATATAAATGTATAAGGTAATCCTTAGCTAAGTGGACGTAAATATGACGACATGAAAAATTCGAAGAAAGAATTCTGAATTATTTAATGACCATCGGACCTCTTGGTCCTTTTCGTGTCAAGGACGGCGTATAACCGTTTATTATCGTGTATTCTTTAAAATATAGAAGTCAGTGACTTTTTCTGGAACACGCTTACATAATGTAGGAGCTAATAATAAATAAAGTAAAAATGTCTTAAACATATTTTTAATGGTAGGTACGCGATAGAAGGGCAAAAATAATCTTTAGACGGCGTCTGAGATATGCAATATCACAGCACTGGTGTTGTAGTGTGTGATCAATGCAACAATGACTACCCCCGAATAAATGGTAAATGTTAACAATAATAATTTTTTTTTAGTATAATTTGATAAACGCGAATTAGAGCGGACTGTATGTTACCCTTTATGTTTTTTAAAGTGGATACCCTCTCAGTTTATTTATTATAGAATTTGATATTGGACCTCTAGCTTTTAAAATAATTAACAAATCTTTATAGCTGTATGTAGTACTAGCGTCATTCTCTATGCTAGAAGTTGCTATAAAAAAGCCAAAAAATAAGTGTAAATATGTTTTGTCCGAACTACTCTGATTTTATATATATATGTACGATAGATATTTGAATTTATGTAATTGTAGTCCGTATATTTAAAAACTTACCTATCGTTGTATGCATCCATGAATATTTTGAAAAATAATATTAATCGTGTATATGTATATTTACTGCGTCTTATTTTGCATCAAGTGCAAGTTCTATAATGATAATCATATTAAGGTTTGCTTTACTAATCACTAGTTTTTAAATTATCACATTTTATAGCTTCGTTGCGGTCATTTAAGTTAAAAAAAATGCTACGACTGCTGGAGTTGTTATTTTGAAGTACAATACAGTTGACAAATTTTTCTTATGGCATTGTTTCAATCTACAAAAATAATTATTTAAAAAAAAGGCGCAAACCTCCGCAGACGATTTTTTTTTATCTTAAAGCTGAGAAGTTCTACTATAAGATGTATGTAGTCGCTAAGAGTAACTATGAGTAACTACATAGATAAAGTCCATTTATTTCAAAAAAACAATACAATTTTATTAACTGTTTTAATTCAACAACATACAATAAATTAAAATAAAATAGTAAAATAAAAATCAAATATATCTTATTAGTAGTACTTTTTCTATACTAAATAATAAAAAAAATATCAAGTTTCTGCGATTATTCAATCATGAGATATAATCAGTTGTATTTATATACATTTGTGCCAAAATCAATCGAAAATACGGCTGTTTTGTACGCATTTTTTTTTATATAACCTTGTAATTCATGCAAAATATTAACAAAACATTTTTTTTTTTTAATTTTTATGGTCCTTAAGTACTATACAATAGTATGAAGTTTACTTTGGATTTTTAAAAAAATATTTAAAAATTGAATTTTGTCCAGCTAAATTTGCGTTTTGGACCACTGTGCGGCGGTGTTATATTATTTAAATTTTGCTCGCCACGTTCAGCGATCGATTGAGTTTACTCGTGTATAAATGAGGTAACTACTATTATAAAATGTTTTTATAAATATATATTTTGTAGAACTCGGTATTTTTTTTTTTTTTTTTTGGTTCAGGTATACATAATTTACTAATATACGGTTACGACTAGTATACGGTAGACAGGGTAGCGGTGGTCGACAACCAGAGTGGGAGCTAGTTGACGACGGAAGGGCATTTTGTCATACACGCCTCCCCTTTGCGTGCCTTACGGCGAATGCCGCGGTCGACAGCGTGATAGTCTCTCGACAGTAGTAGGCCTTTGGCAAGTGTACACGTTCAGCGGACGCACACCTCAATGGTACTCAGGAATGATCTCGAGGGACGCAGGTAATTGGCTTAAATTTATTATCACTCTAATCTTATTTGTGTTACGTTCTCGTCTGATGCTCTGGTCGCCTATTTCGGACACGAAATCGTTCCTACGGTGTAGATAAAATAGAATATTGTTCAGAGAATTGTCTGGAAACCTGGCCTTTAGTTCAGGTCATCGTAAAAACTGTCATGTTTTTTAAAAAAATTATTTACGCTAGTATCTAAAAAAAAAGGTTTTATGTAGTTTAAACATTTTGCTTCTGGAAAGGTGAAAAATGCAATCGAATATGAATTTTAAAAAATTCACTCGGTTGAGTAAAATATTTATTAGTTCTAAATTGCATATAAAGATGTTTAATGGCCAAGAAGATATAGCTCAAAATTTGTTCTTAAAACAAACTTAGCTAATGGGGAGGAGCAAATGTCTCCAATGACCATCTTCCAATTAATACATAATTGTATTTTTTGCCTCTTTTGCTACCTTGTTACTTCAGGTCGGCCAAAACTAATTGGGTCGAAATAAGTGTTTCTTATTTTACATGTATCCGAACTTCCATTTTGAATTCATGCATTACTATTCTATTATCATTAAATATCCATAGGGGTATAGATGCAATAACCTAGTATATTTAAGCCATGACATAGACCTTAAAAATTGGTATATTTAGCGTCCTCTTGGGTGTATTTTGCTATCCGGTTATATTATAGGTATGCTATTGACCGTAAATAAACACACACGTGGTATAAGTACGGTATGTGTATAAAGTTTTGATTCCTAGACACGATACATGTAAATAAAATATATGTATTGGTCCTTCATCATTCGACTGAAAATCGATTTTCGGTCAAATACTATGTGTGTGTGTGCGTGTTACTTTAAAACGATAGATGTTATCGTTAAAGTGCGTGGATTTCCATTTAAAAATATTGGTCTGTAAGTGTATATGTATAGTATATGTGCACATTTTATGGTAGTCAGTGGAGTACGGGTTGACCCCCGTACGTTCGATTTAGAGGTAATTATTAGGTACCTAACCCTTTCAGGGTTGCAAGTTGTAGTTTTTATCGAAAAAAAGTCACCGCCATATTATTTTGATTCCAAATGACAAGTTAGACACCAACGTTCATGCCAACCAGCTTGACCTATTGTTGTCGTACCTAGTCGACTTCGATTATTTATGTAACCCAAAATAGTCAACAATTTAAATAAGCCACTACAGTGGGGTCGAGGCATAGTAGGGACAGGGAGGTCACCGGTCTACAGGAATTATTATAACTAAAACTGATAAAATCACTTTCAAATAAACGGTTTGATGCAAATTTGCGATCTGTGGATAGTAATAATCTAGTACAGTGTAAACTAGCTAAAAAATATTAATGTGTTATTACAAATAAAATAAAACAAAACTATCCCTCACTTATTATTATATTTAAGGTAGAAACCAACATTGTTAAAGGGTTAGGGAGGTTTCGGCTGGATTTGTATTTATATATTTGTGTAGTAATTAATGTATAAGTTATTATATTTATTTAATTAAAAAAAATGTTTCTCACGAATGAAAATTAGTCGTACGACCATAATATTAGTTTGACCTTTAAATCCGGTACGTGTTAACAATTCGATTATTGGTACATCTTAAATAGGCACAGAAATTAAATGGCGGTGTAAATACCGCAGCGTGACCGCCAACGAGAATTTTTAAGACGCGGCCGCTTGAGAGGTTAAAAAATATTTGAAGTAAGACATGTCTTTTCAATTCAGTTACATAAAGAACGAACGAGAAACAGACAATGAACGCGATCACCATCCGGTATGGTGATGCAATCGCTTTACTGTCTTGATCCATTATCTTCCCTTTGTTTTCGACTTCAAAGACATTTACCGACTGATCTCGACTTTGTCCAATTGCTCTTTGAACGCGTTTCCAAATTTGCGGGACCTTCAACACAAATCGAAAACCGCAGTTCTTCGGAAAATTACTGGACGACTTGCCACGGCGGAACGGACCATGTGGTTGTTATGCTTCCCCAGATCCTCAATGTGATAAATCTTACCAATCCTTCCCACGAGTTATCGGAAAAAAGGCGCCGTCAGACTTAGCTTTTCTCGTCTGCGTTGTCCGTCCAGTTTGAATCATACTCCGGCGGCAAGTTCGGGTGACGTCTTTTTAACATCTTTGAATAGTAAATAAGAAGCTGTCAATAACTAAAAAAAAAGTTATTCTTTAATTATTGTTTCGTTCGTTTCCATACTGGCCAACATTTTTTCCTAAATCGGACTGATAATTTTACACATAAAAAAAAAAATTGGATTTTAATTTTTTTTTTATGAACTTGTATTGCATTTAAAACATATTGTTACATTTAGAAAAATAACAAAAATTCAGAGGAAATAAGACTAAGAATAAAAGGTGGAAACAGGTCCTATTTTGCGCTACAGAAAACCTTCAGGTCCAAGTTATTATCAAAAAATTAAAAAATGTGATTATACAAGGTTTTAGTAAGGCTGGTAATTCTATACGCATGCGAAACGTGGCCAACGTCAAAAGAGGACAAAAGAAAACTGGCAGTTCTAGAAAGAAAATTCCTCCGACGCACTTTTGCTCCTAAGAAAAATAAAAATGATTTATAATAATAATATATAAAAAATTATGAAATAAGATCAAATAATCAAATTAAAGAACTTTTGGGAGAAGAAGACATTATACAAACACTTGAAGGAAGAGAAATGAGCTGGCTGGGACACGTATGGAGATCGAGAGGCATAATGAAGGATGCGCTTAACTGGAAACCAGAAGATAAGAGACCACTGGACAGGCCGAAGAATAGGTGGATAGACGAACCCAACCAGAATTTCCGGATACTTGGGGTTGATAACCCGGAGGAATTGGCCAACGATAGAGAGGAATGGAGGAGTCTGTGTAGAGCAATGATGGGCCTTAATGGTCAATAAATGCCGAAGAAGAAGAAAACAAATTTTAGACGTACTGGAAATAATCTAAAGCCCGATTTGGATTTAGTAAAAATAAATCGTATAAAACGGATTGGTCTGGTTAATTAAATACCTAACTTAAATTTTGATAATTTACTTAAAAGGCTAATTAATTTGGTTTTCACATCCTTAATTATATTTTTATTAATCAACTAATACTCCCAGAACTTACTAAACTCTATGTCCTCTGGCATGCTAGTTTTTTCTTTACTTATGCTTTTGAAAACTATCATTCCTGTAGCAGAAAATGCAATTTTTTCAGCTTTAATGCTGAGCTGGGAAGGTTATGATTTACAATGGTTATATGTTTTTTTTATGTTGGTATGTAACAAATCCAGGTTTTAGAATGGTCTATTGCTATTTTTATTTTTCAATAGTTCAATAAATTTCAAAATGTTATATTTTAAAGAAGAAATTGTCCAAGAAATATTGTATGCAATTACTATGCATAATACAATTTCTTAAATTACTGTAACGTGAAATTTCGATAATCCTATATTTTATTTACTTAATGTATTTAAAATATTATTATGAAGGGGTTGAAATGTATATTTTTATATTTTGTTTATCAGAGAAAGAACGTTTAATCAAAGCAAACGATTCGGCGTATAATGCTCAGTTCAAATACGCAGTAAGTTTTGGTTTTTGCTTTGGTAATCATTCTGTCATTACATAGGGTTTCGCCATACATCGATGTTTTTTTTCCAGACAAATTACATAAAGACGTCCAAATACACTCTACTAACGTTCTTGCCACTGAACCTGTTCGAACAGTTTCAGCGGCTTGCCAATTTTTATTTCTTGTGCCTGATGATGCTGCAAATGATTTCAATCATATCGTCGCTGACACCAGTCACAACGTCCATCCCTCTGGTCGGCGTGCTCACCATTACAGCCATCAAAGACGCCTATGATGATTACGTTAGTATTTCAAACTATCTGCGTTATCTGCATATTCAAGCTAGCTTTTTTGTCATTTGATTGAATTTTACAAAAACCAGCCCAAATGAGTATTAACCGCAATGTAGTTGTATCTCATATTTGTTTGTTTTAAAATATTTATTGAATATGTAGTACGAATTAAATGTTGTACCTTTTGAAGTTTAACTCTCCGATTTGGACTCATTTTTAAGTAAATTTTTATCAGAGTCAAGCACATTTGTAGATGCAACATATTATGTTAATTATTTTCACGAGTTCTAAAGTTACGGTGCCGTTGCTACTGGTTAGATATTATGTACCGGCATCTAAAATTTATACCAAAATATTGTTTTATGCATACAGCAAAGACACGTCAATGACGATCAAGTAAACAACAGAGTATCGAAAACTGTAAAAAACGGTCGGGTGGTGGACGTGAAATGGAAAGACGTGCATGTCGGGGATGTGATACTGATGGAAGACGGTCAATTCGTTGCTGCCGACGTTCTGCTGCTGTCAACCAGTGAGCCCAGCGGACTTTGTTTCATTGAAACGGCCGAGTTGGACGGGTTAGCTAATTTTGGGTCGGTTTGTTTGAGGTGTTATTTAATATTAAACATGTGGTTCCGTCTAGAGAGACCAATCTTAAATGTCGTCAGTGTTTGTCTGAGGTGGCCGAACTGGCACACGACGTGGTGACTTTTGACGGTCTCATTCGGTGCGAGACGCCCAACAATTTGCTCAATAAGTTTCACGGCGTGCTGCAGTGGAACAACAAAGAGTGAGCAGTGTTGCCAACTGGTTTTTGCGTGCTAAGTAAAACCCGTATGTTTCAGATTGATCTTAAACAACGATCATGTCATACTGAGAGGTTGCGTCCTCAAGAACACCGAGTGGTGTTACGGCATGGTGATTTTCGCTGGCCGAGACACTAAACTCATGCAAAATTCGGGAAAATCCCAATTCAAACGTACCAATATCGACAGGCTGCTCAATATTATTATAATTGGGGTAAGTACGCTAATTTGAGTGTTTCTATAGACCTGTTTGTGTGTACAATCTAAAATAAAAATAGAAAAACGGAAATACTCCTGACTTTATTAAGAGATCAGACTCAAAGTACTTGAAAGTTAAAACATTGAAAATGATAGCTCGTTTAGTGTATTAAATATTAGTTATTGTTTAGTGGCTTATTTAAGTTCACATAATATGCCAAACCTAATCTAACCATCATTATTGAGAGTATAATCTTATCTTTAAGAATTTCGATGTGTGTGGAAAGAATAGAAAGAAAAATAATCATTTTAATAAAGGCGTTACAAACAATAATGTGATATTAAAAAAATACATATTAAAAAGTGCCCTCAATACGGATTATATATAACATATATTATTAATATAATTGCACAAACTTGTGTACTTTTTTTTTTAAACTAATAATAAAAAATATATTGATTATTGATAAATACCATAAATACAGTTTAAAAGTCCAGAATACAAAGAGGAACACAATTAAAAAAATATAAACGTAACATTTTAATGTTTAGAATAATATTTTTAACAAATAAACATAACTAAACAAATACTGAAATGTAATTAATATTGTTGGCTGTTGAAAAATGTATGTCTTTCATATATACATAGTATAAGTATCAAATTTATCAAAAATTAATTTTTGTAAAAACAATGGCTTATGTCGTTTTTGAAATGACTGCTTTGTACTTATTAATGATTTTGTTCTTTACTTTTCTTCAGATTGTACTGTTTCTTTTCATACTGTGTTTAACTTGCATGATCGGTTCGGTCCAATGGGAGTACAAAACGGGATGGTATTTCCAGATGTACCTGCCGTGGGATTCATTGGTGCCGTCTGAAAGGCTGATGGGTTCCATTACTGTTGGCATACTGGTGTTTTTCTCGTACGCCATTGTCCTTAACACGTTAGTGCCAATATCCCTATACGTGAGGTGAGTTAATTTTTTTGTTACAATATGATTTCATGCATACGGCGACCCGAATCACGCGATATACACGGTATATGTCTTCATTATAGTGTTGAGGTGGTACGTTTTGTGCAAAGTTTCTTCATTAACTGGGACGAAAAGATGTACGATAAACAGACGGGTATTGCGGCCAAAGCTAGGACGACGTCGTTAAATGAAGAACTCGGACAGATACAGTATATATTTTCCGACAAGACCGGTACAATGACCAAGGTAAACACACATACGAATGCATACTTGTTTGATACCGGAGTACACCCGTTGACAATCATTCCCTTTCTACCGTTCAATGTCCTAGAACATAATGACTTTCAACAAGTGTTCGATTAACGGCACCGTTTACGGTAATCAAGACGAGACCCGGTACGGCAAGTCCCTGGACATGATCAAGGTAAACGCGCGGTTTAATCCAAGCTGTCATCTATCATAATACATACACGTCGAGTATCGTTTTGTATTGTCCAAGCTTTTTGTGTTTTGCATTATTTGTGACCGTCCTCGTTAGACGTGTACGGACAAGCGAACGCCGTCCGCAACTTTCAACAGTTACGGTGACAAAGTAGAGCCAGTGGTTGCCTGCAGAAGAGTAACTATACATTCTCCATTGCACATGGTATACTATCCTAAAATATAATTTGATGTCGTTCTACCTAGAAAGCGGTAACCCGGTTAATCGCGTCGTGCATGTTTTATATCGAGTGAATGCGTTCGTCTTCCAACAGGTCGGCCCGCCCCCGGTGGACTTCTCATGGAATCCTTACTACGAACATGATTTCCTGTGGTATGACCAAACACTGGTGGAAGCTGCAAGACAGAAGCCAACTGACGAAGGAACCGAAAATGTTGTTCTAACGTTTTTCGAACTCCTCGCCTTGTGTCATACGATCATGCCAAATTGGAAAAACGGTAAATGTCAATTTAGTGTCTAGTTTCATAGTTGAATTACGCCATTTTTTTGCATACAAAAATTGTAATAGATTTTAATTTTTCAACCATCAAACAAAGCTGCCTTAAATTATAATTATTAGTAAGCTACATATGTAATAAGACGTGATTTACAATTTACCTACATCAATACATTTTATTTAAAAATCAAAATTAAAAGAATTAACATATTTTTTTGGTACTTTTTTTTCTTATTATACACTAACAGTGTACCGTAAAATCTTTCTCTATACTTTATCATGGGCTTTTTATTTATTACAAAATTATTTCCACTGTACTTAGCTTCTTGTTTCAGACATACCATTAAGCTTCATCGTTGGCTTCCTTAGCATAATATTAAACTGCTTATTTAATACTGTTCCGTTAAACTAAAATTTACTCCTTGCTACATTTCCTATTCATCTTCATTGTATGAATTGTAATCATAAGTTTTATTCCTATATATATTCTGCATTCTTACAATTATTCCTTGATTTTGAAGATTGGTACCAAATAATACTTTCTTCACCAATCAGGAATTTCCGCGTGTTGATCTCCATGTTAGTTTTATTCACTCTTTTAAACTTAAAGTTTATTGTCATAATCTCACCTGGGATAGCGCCTATATAGTTTTTGCAACTTATTAAGAGTGTAGAGTTAACTAACAGTTAACTCTAGGCTTCAGTAATAAACCGAAATGGACATTTGAATCGCTTTTTGTTAAAAGGGCATATGTTACAAAGATACCACATTTTGAAAGTTATGCAGTTTTTTATCATATCCTAAAAGTTCACCTGTTGAAGCGTGTATCCTTTTAACAAAAAGCGATTCATTTAGAGTTCTGACAATTTAGTAACTATAAAAGTATTGAAAGACACATGCTACAGAAATGCTATATGTAGAACCTTCCACGTTTGCTAGTAGATTTCAGTTATTCTATGCACTAATTTATTTTTGCTAATAGATTGACCACATTATAAGCTTTTTCTCTTTTTGATAACTACGCGTAGGTGTTCTAAAGTATCAGGCTCAATCTCCAGACGAATCGGCTCTAGTGTCGGCGGCCAGAAACTTTGGCGTAGTTTTCATGGAACGAACCCCGAACAGCGTTACGGTCGAAGTAATGGGCGAGGTCAAAGTACACGAACTTTTGTGTATTCTCGACTTCAACAACATTAGACGCCGAATGTCCGTGGTGTTTAGGGAGAACGGGAAAATACGACTTTACTGCAAGGGCGCCGACAGCGTCATATACGAGCGGCTAGAACGGGGTGACGATGACTTGAAAGCGTTGACGTTGCAGCATCTAAATGTAAGTCGTGTCTGTCTCAAGTCCAAGTCAGTACGTGACAGTCTTTCGTTAGGAATTTGCAGGAGACGGTCTACGGACGTTGTGCTGTGCGGTCAGGGACATTGACGACGAGTTTTTTGAAGCTTGGAAACACAAGTATATGGAAGCTGCTTCTTCGAGGTTGGACCGAGAGGAAAAACTCAACAATGTCTACAACGAAATCGAAACCGACCTCAGACTCGTCGGTAAGAATTACTTTTATAGGTAATGTTGACATTTCCAAATCGTATTGTCCTATTGTATGTTTCCCATCTAGGCGTAACCGCTATCGAGGATAAATTACAGGACGCGGTACCAAAGACCATATCGAATCTGCTCTTAGCAGGAATTTACATATGGATGCTCACAGGTGACAAACAAGGTGAGTTGGTTCGCAATTAATTTCACAAATATGCTATATACTGTATTGGGTAGTTTAAGTCTTAAGTATGTATTTGTGCGTTTTCAGAAACTGCCATAAATATAGCTTACTCTTGTAGTCTTTTGAACGATGAAATGGAAATTTTAACAATAGACGGTAACACTCAGGATCAAGTCGAAAATCAACTCAATCAGTGTAAAAAATCCATGATTACCGATAACGACTGCCAACGTTCAGGAAGAAACAGCAGGGCTACAAGTGTCGTGAGGTTCAGGTAAGCAAGAAAACTACTAAAAAAACTTCAATATAAACTTCAATAATGACACAGGCGGTCATATTATTTTTATTTTTATAGCGAGCCAGGAGACGGCCAACAATCGGAGCAAGAAGAACAGCGTGTATATGCTTTAATCGTCAATGGACATTCGTTAGTACATGCATTGCATACCGAACTTGAAAAAAAGTTTGTTGACTTGTGCACCAATTGTGAGTACCGATTGGTCGTTAGCTTGACTGATTTAGTATAATTATATTCGAGGACACACAGGTAAAGCAGTGATTTGTTGTCGGGTGACTCCTCTGCAAAAGGCCATGGTGGTACAACTCATAAGGAAATACAAAAAAGCCATTACCCTGGCCATAGGCGACGGCGCCAACGACGTGTCCATGATTAGAGAAGCTAACATAGGTGTTGGAATAACCGGCCAAGAAGGCAATCAAGCAACGCTGGCCTCGGACTACTCTTTGTCACAGTTCCGGTTCTTAGAGAGATTGCTGTTAGTCCACGGTAGATGGTCGTATTACAGGATGTGCAAATTCTTCAGATTTTTCTTTTACAAGAACGTTGCGTTCACGCTGTGTCATATATGGTTTGGATTTTTCTGTGGTTTTAGTGCCCAGGTAAACTAAGCGCAAAACATAATGCGATGTAGTCCGGCTGAATTCTCGTATGGTTTTTTTAATGTTTTCTAGACTATTTTCGATCCGTTTTACATATCAGTTTACAACATGTTCTACACTGCACTACCCGTACTAGCCATCGGTATACTCGATCAAGACGTTAGCGAACACAAGTCAATCACTTACCCAAAACTTTACACACCGGGTCTTAAAAACATGTTTTTCAACACCAGGGAATTTTTCAAATGTGCGGCTTTGGGCACATACGCTTCTCTAGTTATATTCTTTGTGCCTTATGGTATATGCATTACAGTTTTTACGAATTACCAATGATATTTTATTGAAACGCTTTTGGTTTCAGGTACATATTTCTACGGCATGACGTCTTCAGGGTTGAACGTGTTAGACCATATGTATATGGCTGAAGTAGTAGCGATGATTCTTGTTACGGTTATGACAATTCAGGTGAATCGAGCTTTAAAATGCACTTATAACATGATGGTTTTCTTTATTATTTTTTCAATAGGTGGCTTTCGATACATCTTATTGGACGGTCATCAATCACGTTGTGATATGGGGCTCATTGGCGCTGTTCTTCATAGCTGAATACATGTATAACTATATTTTTAATGGATACTACGTAGGATCTCTGACTATGGTTAGTACTGAACTAATGTTTATGAACAAAAAAAAAATTATTATACAACATATATACGTTTAAAATGTTGTTTTATTTTTAAAGGCTATGAAACAGCCAACGTTTTGGCTGGTCACGCTTTTGGTCGCTGTGGTCATAGTGGGCCCAGTGGTAGCTTGGAGGGTGTACTTATTGGAAACCAGCCCGACTCTCGTTGATAAATTTCGCTTGAAACAAATTAAACGATTGTAATGTTTATACGATTAGTGGTAATAAATAAAAGATTACCTTAAGTTTGTATTTTACTTAGGAGACAAGTATCTGAAGACATGACGCGACCGACGTCAATCAGGCATAAGCGGCGTTCAATCAGATCTGGGTATGCTTTCGCTCATCAAGAAGGATTTGGCCGGCTTATAACTAGTGGGAAAATAATGAGAACGCCGAGAAACAGCGATGGATTTATTGATAGAAAACATTCAAATATATCAGACATTACCATATAATGACGAATTTATGTATAAGCTGTACACTTTGTTTACGTTGTATACTATGTTGTATTTGTAATTTGTTATACCTAGTTAATTTATTTATAACTTGTGTTTTGCTATTGAATTCAAAATGGTACACTGCGAATTATCTTAAGATTTATGGTCAATAAATAATTTACTATCAAAAGGCCCATGTGTTACGTTAAAAGTATTTACATATGAAAATTAAACAAATTATAAATATTAAATACGTATTTAATATTATTTTTTGTTTAATACAGGCTTTTAATGAATTATGGTCCATTAAGTTAAATTATTTTAAAGAGATTCTACTAACCTAACCGGATATTTCAGCCAATTTTTTTTAAGAAAACTGTATTCGTTTTGTCACCAACTCTGTTTTACTGTTCATGACAAATATTTATAAAAAAAAAATGATAAATTTCATGTCACTAGTTATAAAACCTCCTCGAAGGTTTCACAATCTCCCCAAATTATTTTCTTAACTTATAAATCGAAAATGCTTTCCTCTTTGTGAGCATATTTTTTTAATGAATAACATGGTTTTCGATCAAGCATAATCAATCTGTGTACAATCTATTTTAGATTGAATTGTAAGCCAGGCGTTAAGTACACTGATATGAATAAGCTTTTGATAGAGTTGATCAATCATGGTTAGATTAACTCAAATCATACGGATTTAAAAATAAATTGATTTTATGTAAAGTAAAAAAAAGTAATTTCTAATTAAATTAATATTTTATCTGGCGTACCCCATTACTATCACCAACACATATTTCTTACTCTTTCACATTGCATTGATGGTTTAGTTAGATTCTAAGACACCCGAAATGTCTTTTATTTGCAGATAATACTAAATTATATTTAAAAAAAATTGATGTATTTACGATTATTTAAATAATTAATATTGATAAATGTAACAATGTTTAAATAAAAAAACACCATAATTTAATTATACATTGAATAATACAAGTTTACTTCATGAAGATATTTTTAAAGACCTAGGTTTTATTTTTAGTACGAAACTATCATTTAATAATCATATTAATTATAGCCAGAATAAATATTTTAAGAATTTGGGATTATTATAATGAATGTAAAAATATTTCAATGATGAAACAGCTTTTTCACAGGTCACAGGTTTTTAGGCATAATTATAACCTCATATAAATGAGGTGTTCATAATTCGTAGTTTTAAATAGTCTACCTTTGACCATTTTCAATAAATTTACATAAAACATTTTTAACTTAAGTGTTTTTGCAAAAAATAAAAATGAACAATATAAAAATTAGATTAAAAAATGAAATTTGAACAGGTAACAGAAGTTTTTAAATTTAATTATTAATAATACAAGTAAGCAGGAGACCAGCGGCTTATCTGAATGGTTTAAAGGGACACGACAAACCAAATGTAGGTTTTGCATAAAATACGTAACTATGTACACAGTATATAACTATAATAATATATAGGTAAAATTGATAATATATATTGATAAATAATGAAATATAATACAATTATAGGTGAAAAGTTGTAGTTAAAGTATATGTATAAAACATTTTTTAAAGTTTTACTACCTGGTTATCTCTTACATGTATCTGTTTATTTTAATTCTTAAGGATCAATTTTAGAATTTTTTGGATTGGCTGTATATGTTTTTCAACCTTTTATTATATAACTCGTTCTATGGAAATACATTTATTTTAACATATACATTTTTTATTTTTTAAATCAATATGTAAAAAAATAGAAGATAAAATAAATGTATATTTTGTGCAAATGACATCCTTATAAAGTATAATGTTAGAATAAACTCATTTATAAGTACCTGACCTTTTCAAGAAGTAACTCGGGGTCACTAAGGGGGTGCATATTTTGCAGACCTGGCATATTCGGTTATAATTTTATACCTTATACTTACTTGAGTTACTTTGCAAACAGCAAACTTATGTGTTGGAAAGATTTTCTGTTTGCTCAGCGCTCGGAAACAGTAGGGGAAACATTTTATTTCGTCTCTCTTTCTATCTCTATCTTTCTCTCTCTCTCTCTCTCTTCTCTCTCTCTCTCTTTCTCTCTCTCTCTCTCTTTCTCTCTTTGATCAATATACGGTTTATTTTGTTATGTGCTTGGAAACATAATAAATATTATATTTATAAATTATATAAGTAATGCGAGTTATTGTGACCAGTAACGTCCATTCGCTTGGAAAATGTACTACCTATTCCCTGTATGTATTATAAATAGGGGATTTAAATTTTTTACGACATCGTGTTGCATCACAGATTGTATCCCGTTTTTCTTTAGATAGTTTGCAACAAAATAAAAATAAAAAAGCTTTACATAATATTTTGAATTAAATTGTCGAGAAAAACCGCTATACTTTAGCGTGTCACAGTAAATATAGAAATTATACAAACCTAATGGTAAAATACAATTATTTTAAGAAAAAGTAAACTTTTACATACGTGGCAGATTTATGCTTCTCCTCCTGCATTCGGAATTAATGATATCAAATACATAAATTCGATGAATACAAAACATTTGAATTACGTTTAGTTAGGTGACTTTTTCAGCTTTGTTTTTGCGCACGGAAAAAAAATGTATTTTATTGCTTAGCCTGAACTCCGAATAGGACCGTTTAATTACTGAACCAAATTGATTTATAATATAAATTGGATTGAAATCGATTAATTGAAATCTGAATACATCAATTGCAGCACGTTCGGAACGGTTTCTGTTATTTTACTCTGACCGCAGTCCATCATATTATTTTTTAAATAGGATAATAAATAAAATGAATTAATCAATATTTGAAATTAAACGCAGTCCTATGTGGGATATTATACCATCTCCGCTTGTTTGGGGGAATGTTATCTTGCTTGCAGCGTCTTTATCGCTCTCCTTGGTATCTATATATTAAACGGCAGTGTCGACAAACTCATTTTCAACTCAAACACAAACCCATTTGATGTTTGGGGAACAAATAGGCTTTTCTAATAACTATTTCATTTTTAATTTAAACGGTACTAAACTAAATAATACGCTTCGATGTTTATCACATCTAATCAAACACATGGGTACTAGGCAGTAAGACAGCACCACTAAATATGTACTCGGCGATGTGATACATATATATATAAACTTTGTGTTAGCTACGCACGAGGTAGAAATTAAAAAGAAACATAATGATAACAACAATTATTATTATAATCGTCTCGTCTTTTGTGTGTACGCTGGCTGAACGTTCAACCTGTCAGTATAATATATTGTTTTGCCCAGTTACGTCGCATATTTGTTTTATCCCATACCAATTTAATGTATAGTGTTACAGACTCTCCTGTTCAGCTATCAATTTGTTGTGTCCCTATAGTCGTTATACCGGTCCGTTCTTTATTCCCAAACAAGCCATCAACTATGCACGCAAGCAACACTTGTCAGTCTGACAGTACACGATAATGGGACTCCTACTTCCGATTTTAATTTATTATTCATTTTTACGCTGATATTTTTGTCTGTAATGAATACTGTAAGTACTTGTGCGTTCTGCTTGTTGTTTTAGGAAATAATCAATACATAAAAAGGGTTTATCATCAATCACGAGTCCTATTTGACGGTTTAGGGTTTAACATGAATGGATGAAGATCGGTCGACTAAAGCGGATTTGTTTTTCAAAATAATTAGACAGAGGGGAAATTAGGGCTAAGTGGAACAATTGTATAAATAAACAGAGCAAACGTTATTTATTTTTTTAAACAGAAATAGCCAACGTTTTTTATGATTTTTAATCTGTAATACACATCCTACGATTTAACGTTATAAGTAAAATTTAAGAATCATTTTTTATGACTTTTAACAAGTATAACCCATTTGGTCCTCTATACATATATATTCTAGACATCTACCTACTCCCGAAGGCCGAAAACGAAATATTTTATAAAGAATAACTTTTAAATTACGCATAAATAAATTACTCAATCGATATAGGTATGAATATTATGTTCGACACAACACTTAACGTACAGTTTATTATTTTATAGTTTATACAATCAACATTTTTTTCACTTACTAAGACGTCACTTAAAAGTCTGCCAAAAGGGGTAGAGCTCTAGTCGCTACTTCCGGATGGACTTTGCCCCGGGGTATTTTCCATCACATGTCAGTTTGTCTTTTATTAATAGCGCTGCTTCAGGGCAAAGCTTTGCCTAACAGCTAACCACAATAGCTGGGTTAACTTTCTGACGCTAATACTAATACCTAGCAAGCGTCTAGAGCCGTACTGAAGCATCCTTAGGGTACTCGACCCACAGCTTATTTTTTTTAAATAAAATATCTACTCATATTTTTTAATTTCGTATCACAGTAAAGTTTTTAGTTTAACTTTATAAAACTGTATTAAAATTATAAAATGTCCAATATATACGTACAAAACATACCTACAAGACTATTTACGAGGGTTATCTATACAATATTATCAAGCTATATTTGTTTGTTACTCGTGTGAATTTCTCTCTGTTTGCTAATGTTCGTTAAATAAATCAATATGTTTCACATTCATTGGATCGGTTATGACCTGTGAAGCTAGTGGCGTCCGTTGGAAAATGGACGTAGATAAGTATTGGTGAGGTTTTATTAACAAAAAAGTCAAAACAGATCATTTAGGAAATAATTTAGAGGTTATAAGTTATAACTTCTCAACTCTCTCTCCCTGATCGCGTCGTTAAGCCCGTCTAAAAAGAATATATTTAGAGGTCCAAATAAATATAAGTGGATGTTGCGTAGTATCTCTACGATACCAGTACATGCACGGTGCATTCGATGAGTAAAATAATTATAATGTTATCAATACTATATTATTATATTGTATTAATAAAATATTATGTAATAAGTGTATTATGTTATGTGAGGGCGAGCTTGTATTGCGGCCGCCGCGAACAAGCTTTTTCACTGCCCTCTCGCCGCGACCCCCTCCCACCCCTCTCTCTTTCTATCTCTCTTTCCTCATATTGGGCGCCGGCGTCGGGCGGCGTATCGCGCGCACGGGCGGCGCGTCGGGCTTCGAGGGATGTCAACAAGTAGCTCGGCCCGCCGATGTCGGCCGACCGTTGCCGAACGGCCGCTTGCCGTCTACAGCGTATTGATTGGAGAACGGCGCCCGTCGCAGAACACCCGCACCGGCGTCCGCGGCGTTACGCACTGCACGTTACAACAAACATACACTCTCTCTTAAACACACGCGTGCATATATATATAAATATAACATACACAACTCATATTATTATACACATATATATACAAGCGATTCAAACGGAACGCCGACCGGGCCCCCCTCGGTAACCGAACGACATACAAACATACACGACACGACACGATGGCTGCGCCGCTCGTATGTACGCGGTTTAGTGACAATTATGAGCTAAAAGAAGAACTCGGCAAGTAAGTAACAAAAAAAAAACCTACTGACCGACTGACTGAACGAGAAAAAAAAAATGTTCTCCAAATGTCTCTGTCTGTCTGTCTATTGCATGCGTTTTCATTTTCGATAAATTAGATTAGTATTATTATATTAAAATATTATTATACATCGTAGCGCATAATGTAGCAATGCGATCCGGTGTATGAATTTTGTTTTGTTTTTTATGTGAGCTTTGGCCGCGAATCAACCGGCACCGCGGTCGTTGTCGACCGATCGATTATCTCCTTTAACACCCCATGAAATAACTCATCGACGAATATATTACATATTTATTTATTTTACTAAGCTTTTGTACGGTACTCGGCCGTTTTGATTAGTCCCCTTGATTTTTTCCCCCGGTCGAGATTGTAACAGTAACGTTAAAAAGCGGCATTCGAGCGCTCAAACACATATACATATGTATATATATATATATACATATATACACCACAGTACACACACACACACACACACACACACACACACACACACACACACACAGACACATTTGCAGAGCACACCGTCGCCGCCGCCGCCGCTGCACGTTAGAATCGATAGCGCGCGTATACCAGTCCAAAATAGCGGCGCGCATGAGTAGCAAACGTCGGCGGCGGCTAAAGTGAAAGCGAGAGTAGTACTGGCTCCGGCTGCCTATAAACGTACATTTATATATTATGTGTAATAACAAAAAAATAATAATAATAATTAATACAACGATTAAACGCCGGCGGCGACGGAGGCAAAATATGTTACCTATACGGTACACGATGAGAGCGAGATAAAAATTTAATCCAAAACTAGTTTACACCGTTGTCGAGTACAATAATATTAGCGTCCGTGACTAGATCTTACTGGCCCCTTGGATTACAGCGGGACACTTGAAGTGTTGGCGCACGAGTGTCTTTTCCGATACTACTTTAATATGATATGTTAATATTTGTGTAAAAAATAACATCACAGATAGAGCACACCTTATTGAAACGGAAAGGGATTTTTTGGACCGACCGCCGGCTCAAATACGAAATTAGATCAGGTCATCGCGCTCTATATGCCCACGCCATGTCCCTTCCTGTTTGATTTCGCACACACACAATCGTTGTAATACACGTGCTCGTAAATCACGTGCTTTTAGGCCCTTCGATCGGCAGGACATACCCGGTCACCGGGCGGCGATGATTTTTCTTCTTGTCAAATCGATATTCCGCACCCGACGACTTACTTATGTTTTTTTTTATTTTTACCGGCTTATCACGGTACACATAAGCTCCACAGTATAGACGTCACGATTGTAAACGACAAAATAATAATCAATTTTAACGCGCTTAGTGCTGGGATAATTTTATAAAAAATATTTTCTGGTGTCTATACTATGTTACAGCGGGGTGGGACCGCGTTAAATTATGTCACTTTTTATTGTCCGACAACCGAGCGCCGAGTTTATCGAACTTAACTTCTATCTCTCATTCTCTCTCTTTCTCTCTCACCCCTCTCTCTCTCTCTTTATATCTTCTTCTCTTTCCCTCTCCATTTATATAAATTCTGCCTCCACTGCTATTACGGCGGACCCTTCACTCGCGACCGTATCTTATGCACACATATACAAACGGCGGTAATATAACAACGAATTTTAGCAAGCATGCGCCTTTTAATGACCCTTCAACGACACTTCATCGTTTTATTCTTGTCGCTTTATCTTCGATATCAAGTCTATATAGGTGTCTCTTTGATCGATAAACTCATTTCTTTCACCAGTACGTCATCTTTACCTCAGAAGTCTACGCTGTCGATATTTTTTTTTTTTTAGTTTTAAATGTTGAATAAGTTTAATGAAGTGATTTTATCCCATCTAAATGTATTAGTGTGTTTCTCATAGGGGTAGGACTTTGAAAATCCATATTTAAAAAAAAAGGTAAATGCTAATACTTCAAGTTTTGAAAAAATGAAATATTATTAAACATGAATATAGTACAATCAAATTTGTTGAAAAACAATATTGAACGAAAAAATCAATGAAATTGGCAAAAATTCGACTTATTTTTAAGTTTTTAATTTTATACCTACACTTTTTCAATTCAGTTTTGACATTTTAATATTTTTTCAGCAAATGTTTTTATCATTAGTATTTTATTTTTAACATTACTTAAATAGTTACAAATTGTATCTAAAATGGGCATTAGTAAAATTTTTACATGGCTAGACTTCTTTATGTTGAGGTTATGTGAAAATCCAATCCAATTGTGAGGTCCAATCCCTATTAAACCCCTCCCCAAGTTAGTAGTTACCCCCATGTCAGTGGCCACCTACATCTCAATGTCTTTAATTTTTTAACACACATTTTTGTCATACAGCGGAAATAGTAACGGCATCGCCAAAATTCAATACTTTTTTTTTTTTTTACAATTGTGGGTATAGGCTACGTATTTTTTCCATTATTATAGTAATGAACGCCGACGAGTTGTTTCTTCTCCTTCTTTCTCTCTCTCTCTCTCTCTCTCTCTTCGACACTTAGAAAAGGCAAAGAGCAAATCGATACGACACGTGAATTCCCCTACCCCTCGATATTACAAGCTCACGGCTGTACTCCACAAAACGGTGCCTAGCACAGCATCTCTTTTTCCTACCAAACACAAAAGACGAAAACCCACCGGCTCTTTGACGTTTCAACTGTACTTGTTCATACGCACTCGTTAGCAGGACACTACTATAGGTACATACAGTATATTATTTTGTGTACTTACACACACGTGCGTCATTTGTATATTCGTACAGGTGTAAAAAGTTTTATATAACACAACGCTGCTGTTTAACACGGCAGTCGATTCGAGTAGTATTGAGTAAAATCAATCCATCGTCTGTCGTCGCTATGGCGACAGTTTCATTATACTTGAACCCAGGTGTAAGCCCCGGTTGGCTTTGTACTGACGACCGCCTTCGGCACTGTTATGTTTACCAAATCACCAAACGACAAGGGTACCAATTAATACTATTACCTTCCGACCGAGCACTGAGAGACCGAAATAGGTATATACACCACAGTGGGTAGGTCGAAATCACCGATGAATGCTTTCGCGCAAATAATGGCCACGGAATAGATTATACAAGTGTACTGTATACAAGATGATTCGGAGTTATTGTATTCATCAACAATTCTTTTTTTCTCGAAAAGGAACCTGGCGTATTTTGAAAAATGTTTAACCATGACATTTTGCATCAGCTTTGAAATGTACAAAATATATAGTTGAGGAGAGTCGAAATAATTGGATTTCAGACGAGTCACTCTACTTGTTTATTATATATACCGAGGGACGGGTATAAGACAAACCGCAATGTAGTTATTTCATACCAGAATGGTTCTATTACAATGTGCGTGCTTGTGCTTTGTCGGCTGAATGCTCTGGGGACTGCTGCGAGTGCTGTATGGAAGCTTTAATACTTAAACGAATACACAGGGTTCGTGGGTAGTTTATTTGGTATTATTATTTTTATATAGGTATTAGATTTTTTTATTCGTTCAGTAAATAAAATATAGACTATACCGAAAAAATCCGTTAGGTGTTTTATTGTTAACGCGATGAAAAGAGTTGATTTTGTTGGTCGTCCCCCGAGAAAGTAAATTATTGATCTGCTATATAATAATATGTACTATCCGACGACTTGTCTTGACGACAATAACGGTGATTAACTATCCCTGATTAATTCCATGACACCCCAAAGAATCTTATGCAGTCAGGCAGCTCGGTCCATATTTGTTTTGTTGACATTACAAGACTGCCAGTTTAATAAATTGTTCTAATTTATTTTATTCTTGATTGTTCTGATAAAGTGTATGATAACGGTAACTAGATTTAAGCAAGTTTGCAGTATTTGCATACTACTCTTTCCTCACCATTTTCATGACTAGTATAATCAAATTATGTTTTCAGTAAAAACCTTAAATAAACTAAATCTAATGCAAGCTTAAAATTCATAAGTAATCACATAATCTCTCGTAGTATAATAAACGTGACAAAGGTCACCAACAATGCTAGGAAACTTAGGTGATTTTTTTTACTCGGACACAGGCTACGGTCAGTTTTGAAATTTAACCTCTCTTATAACAAAGGATACATACGACGATAGCAGTTAAAAGGATTCCACAGACTGCAGTTTGCTGAAATAAAAAAAAATGCACTAAGCCTTTATGGTTATGCCTCCGGTCGTAGTGTATAATGCAGCAGCACATTGCGGTCAAATCGATGCGACGCCATAGTCTGACCGCATTTGAGCATAATCCCCAATTAAATATACATTGCACCGATGGTAATCCTTATACTAATACTGTGTATGGTTAGTTTTGGCCGCCACGTAATAAAGTGACAACAATAACAAGTATACAGCGTAGGATTCCATATATGGAGGTACCAAGGTAGTTATAGTATTTTGTTTATTGTTCATGCATCATGATTGGTTTAATATTTAAAAAATTTGGATTTAAAGTATGAATTCATGTCTGTTATTTTTCCTGTTTTGCACGGAAATTCATATTATATTCTAATCAGTTTTGAAGCATTGAAACTTGAATTTAAAACATATTATGTCTAATAAATTATTATAATAACCATATAATATGGTTTCCGTATTGAATATTGTGAATTTTATTAAAAATGTCCTATAATTTTTGTTTTATCTTTTTGGATGTCTCCTTATAGCATACGATTGTGTCAGACACATAAGATTCCAATTACATTTATTATTACTTATGAGAAGATATAAGGCAGAGGCAGTGAGAGCTGTTATACAGAGGAATTTAGAGGGAAAAAGAGGATGAGGAAGATCAAAGAAAAGATGCATGGACGGAATACAGAGTGATATGAAGATGCTGGGGTTTAATTAAACGAGATGTACGAGAAGACCGAGCTCTATGAAGGTGTAGGTCGAGGGTGGCCGACCCATGTAGTTGGGAGTGTAAGTCGAGGATAAAGAAGAAGATTACTCCTACGGCAATTAGATACAACATACTTGTGTTTATTCGAATATGATATATATAGTTGAATACCTTCAGTTGAATATAATCCGCAAGTCAAGAAAAAATATGTATTTCTAAATCAAGTGTATCTATTACTTAAAAAAAATGCAGGATACAGTTATATCACCTCTACAATGTAATGTATAAGACTAACCTATTATATTAAACAGATTTGATTTATTACACATCAAAACCATACTAAAATGCCAAAACCTTATGTGTCTGCTCAAATGCCCAAGACCACCACACACCATTTATTACTTTTTAGTTCTTACTAACTTAAAACTAAATGACAAATATTTAACGGTTTTCCTAAACTTTTCGTCAAATTCAAATGATTTTTTAGTATCTACTTAAAGAACTGAGTAAAAGTTCTAAATCCATAATCTCTTATCCACCGTTTTCAGACTAAAACTTTTCGCACCTTTACCAAACTGTCAATTTACTTTCTCCATATTTAATACAATAATCTTACTATTTTCATAATATATGCTGTAGATATAGCACATAGTCGATTTAAAGGGTTGTCGTCATAGCTGCATGAAAATTCAATGATTTGACTGATGAGTAAAACAAGTTCTCAATAATACATTACTTTAAAGACTTATTTATTTAATGGATTACAACACTACATTAAAAGTGGAGTATAAAATATACAGTGGTATAGGGGTATTAGTTTCTAACTTATTAGGCCTGTGCTTTTGGTAGTGAGTTTATTTTAATATTTAAAAAAAATGTTGGTTTTCATTTACTGGCTGGAGAGAACCGTACGTATTTTGCAAAGTAATTTTATTGATATAATAAAATAAACGATCCGAAGAGACTCACGATTCACGAATAGTATCATTATTATGGTTTATGTAAAACCTACACGATCATTAGCCATTATGTAATCTTCACAAAACATTACAAGACTATCGATCTATAATATGTTCAACTTTTACACTCCTTCAAATGTTGAGATACTGTATTTTCATGTCCACGTGTCTGATAGGTGTAGACTTAGGTGTGAGCTTGTGTATCGTCATACTAATATTCTGTATGACAACCGGCTTCGTATACAACAAAAATGATGGAGTGTTTCTCGATTTTCCGGTGACCAAGTATGAATATTATGTACACCGTGTAAGCAAGTGCTCTGTCCATCAGTATGGAGTATAATAGTGTACAGACTACCGTCGTCAACCAGAGCCGTGTGCTTAACGTGCCAGCAAGTCTCTTTTCGCGTTTGGCAACGCGTCATTGATGGCGGACAAAATATATTTTTAAACATCATCAACCGGCCCCGCCACCGCCTCTTCGTTGCTCTCATAATAAGATATACATGTGTACATAAGCTGTCGCCTATATTAATATTAGCCCCGAACGCCGAAACCTGGCGGCTTTCCTGTACCGCCATATCTTCCTCGCCACCCTTGCCGGCTCCTCCTCGACCGAATCTGACCTGTGTGTATCCACAGATGATGTTAGTACACTATTATGTTGTAATAGAGACATAATAACATAGCAATGCGTCGCCAAATATCGCTTTCACCGGGCATCGACCATACCGTTTTTGGACATTGTCTTCCGCGTATACCTAAACTACCTACAACGTTGGCCGTGAATCTTTAGGTACTCATAAAAACTAGCTAAAATATTATTCACGTTTTATGTATTTAAAACATATTATGTAGTACGTACGCTTTTAGCGTGCCAAACTTGGACTAGGTAGACGTATGTCTATTTAGAGTCATTTGTCGAAAATTACCTGTTGTACAATTGTAATAATGTTTCCATATTTTTAATTAGTATTTATTTGAATTGGTTTTCACGAAACTATATTCATTTTAAATATTTCATTAGCCATTAGCGACTATGATCATGTATTTATAATTGTAATATTAGAAGACCGTCTTAGAACTTTCTCAACAGTTTCGGTAATTTTTTCAAGGTAGAAAAACGTCACACGACACACATATAATATCGTTAGTTTACAACTACAGACTTGAGTTTTATATTGAGAGGGATTCCCTTGCTCTATTTGTGTTATTCTACTTTAACTCAACCGCGGTCGTTGTAATAAATGACGTTGTGGGTATTTGCCAGAAATCCAACGGCGACAGGAGACGCCGGTGATTTATTTTACAAACGAATGCGTCTGGGAATGAAAGTCAGAAAATCGGTCCGTGTCATTAAATTCGCATGTATGTGTACTTTCGGCGGGCGTACGGCGATAACATGGACCCGAAAATAAAATTCCTTCTTGAGTTTTTACAACGATTCACCGAAATCCGTACCCGCGAACCCTCGACCTACTCACTTCGGAAATAATACAACACGCAGCTAACCTTTACCGGAAAAAAAAGACATTAAAAATGATATAAAGCTCATCCAACGGAAGTCCGTATACTATTATGCGGTACCGATGCAGTCCTTGAAAGTACAATGTACTCAAAATTATTACAACACTTGGATTTTAAAATGTAAAACGTTTGTTGAGACTTATAATTGTTAAGACGTCTGAAATGTTAAATTTGTTTACAGATCAATGTCTAGTATGTACTGATGACCGGCGGAAGAGGGGGAAGGGCATTTTAAAAATAAAAGTTTAAAACACTTATTCATTTGAAGCTCGTAGTACTTATATGCTTCAGTATAATAATAAGTACTTATTTTTTACTTTATTTAAAATTATCAGTAAATACTTCATTATATAAGTTAGTCTTTTCCAATTTTTATTTATAAGTAATTTTATAGTTAAATTATTTATTAATTATGGCATTATAGCTATCATATAGCGTTATATTCACACATAGCTTAGTGTTACAGTATTATTATATAAAAATATAAATAGCCCGCATAAAAGCAACCACAAATTGATATATCACACGATTGTTCAGTACGTTTTAATTATTTCGGTTACGGTTAACACCAAAAAAATAATATGGGTTAGTATTGGTTAAGGTTTTTGATAAAACCATATAATTCGGGTTAAACGGTTTGGGTTTTTGGAGATTACAAAGGTTAAATTGAGTTAGGGTTCTTCAAAGCACTCCATTTATCATATTCAGTCAAGAAACTCGACTGGCTGTATAGAAGTAACAAAAGCTAAAATAGCTGTTATTTGTTTTTAAAACAGCCGAGCATAACTTTTTAACATCCATCCAGTGCTAAGTAATTTTGGTTTTTAAGACTATCCAAAAGGTTTATGTTACTTTATTCATGGTTATTAACAAATTGATGTTCACTAGAAGATATTTTTTGACGATAATAACTTGATTTCGAATAAGTATTATTGCAACTTTATTGTAAACGCTAATCATTCGAATACACAAATTCTTGTCAGTGTAGTATATTTATAATTATATACATACAGCTATTTTAATATATTTTAATGTTTTTCGAATTTTAGACACTTTACTGCTTTTAGTAAACGTCTATGTATAAATTATAATTGAATAACATAGGCTAGGTTAAATATAATGGTATCTAATATCTATGCCATTATTAAATTAGGTATATAGTAATAATTACATTAAATATTTTTTAATTTGCTTAGTAATAAATTGATTCTCCTTGATTTACGGTTACTAAAAGCCGCTGCTGTCACGTTGTCTATTATATTTATAAAGTTAAGGGTTTTGTATTTTGTTCTTACCAATCAAAATTAACGTGTGTAGTATAATTAATGATAACCAAATAATAATGAAAACAGCTGTTTTGTATTCGAGCAACAATAAATTGTTTTACATTTAATCAGCTAAATGCGTAAATTAATTTTTAATTATCGGTTATACTAGTGCTTACATTACTCTCGAGTCACGAATCAATATTTAATTTAACCGTTACTCTTTTGTTTCTTTTCTATTAAATAATTATTAATTTATTAATTATACATTATTATTTTTCAATTACTTTATCCATCAATCAATTTAGATTCTTTACAAAGTTAAAACCGATTAACAGTGATTATACTCTTATACCTGATAATTAAATGTCAATTTAATCAATAGCTTGATTAAGTAAATATTTTAACGTTAATGTCCAACTTTGTTTTCGTTCATTATACTACATTACACTCAGTTAAATGCAAATACTCGAAAATAAAATATTTATTAAAAAAATCCGTTTATTATGAGCCACACGATAAAATTATGCTTTTCGCTTATAATTTTATTGTAAATAATTTGTATTGTTTGTATGTATTTTCAGAGGCGCTTTTTCCGTAGTGCGAAAATGTATTCAAAAGCACACGGGACTGGAGTTTGCGGCCAAAATAATAAACACAAAAAAACTTTCTGCCAGAGGTGAGTGGACTGCGTTTTATTAAATAATTTAAGTACGTGTACATCGGCGAATTCGTTCTCTCCCACGAGGGGTCAGCGATGGCCCGACATGTACTGCTCAAGGTATTTTCTTAAGTATATGTACACATATCAAATATGTAGATTGGATACATGTTATGGGATTATACGCTTGGCCGATTGCCTGCATCGAGTCTAAATCCGATTTAGTAGTCGATGTCCTTTTAAAAGAGAGTATCCCTTAAAATGTCCCGTCTACGAAAGCAACAATAATGTTGTTTCTTTTATTTAGATCAGATTGGGCAGACCCTCATAAAGCTTTTAGAGCATAAGTCAAGAATAGTGGTAGTATGGAAAACGAAGGGAAAGGGTTAAATCGAATAAAAAAACCCTCTATACGAGTTCAAGACGTCGAAATATAACCCCTTGACCTTATTTTGCTAGGCTTTCTTCTCTCACCCCTATACCATACAATTTCTAAGCACATTTATATCCTTGAACGTATATATAATCGTATTACCTTAACTGAGCTGAGTCGAACAAACGTAAAATCAGAGGCCATAAGCAATTTATTGAATTTATTTAGCGTGGAAAATATATGACTGTCATTGGATTTTTATAAATAATACTATATGATCAATGACCGTCGAGTGATCAATCATAATAACAAGACCAAATCAATCGCGATGGTCATATCAATAACACAGAAATGTCAATATTGTCATGCTAACTGAATAAGTAAAAACAAATTACCTAACGTATAGGATTGTACAGAGTAATAATTTCATCGTCCACATTCTTCTTTATTATTATTATTAACTTTTTTTTTTTTGAAAACTACACATACGAATTTGTACTAATGATAAAAAAAAGCACCTTAAATACTCCATAATTATAGTACACTGGTTTTTCCACGCCCTGCGCCTCTTTATTCGTAAACCTGATATTAACTTTTAAACTAAAACTGTTAACTTATAAATATAAATAACATAAATGGTTAATCAAGAGACGGACTTAAAGAACAAAAATGGGTTGATAATAAGTTTTGAAAAAATTATTTTTGCGTTACAAAAATAATTATTCGAACATCGACTTTCGGCCATATTATTAAATAAATTATTAGTTGGTCAATAGATTAGTCTTTTTAATTTTTGCGACTGAAATTTGCAATTTGAAAATTTTATATTACACAAAATAACTCCTTTATTTTAGTCTTGGCTGTAGAATTGTTGGCAGGTTTATTGTCGGTATTGATTACACAGGTTTTTTGCACCTTTTCAGTTGAAAGTAAGATAATAAGTGAAAAAATCGAATTATTGCTTTCAGTTTACTGACATCAAATATTTTAAATGTAGTTATTTAACAGACTTTACAAAGCAATTTTGTTATATGCCTTTCCCGTGAATTTTAGTACCTATTTATAAACTTAAATACCGCTAAGAGAATTATAAATTACTCGATTGATTTTTATTCTTATAAGAATTAAACTATTATAAAAAAAATGTTGTATACAATTTGTTTGTTGTGTTATGTAGCATAATATGTTTATAAGATTAATATAATAAATGTTATAACTCAAAGTGAAAAATAGTTGGTCGTTCTTAAACACATTATAACACATTATTATTAATGAACTTACAATGCATATCAAAGTTATTTTATTTCAAATAATTACAAGTTCCAATGATTTTTTCAAAAAAATTGTAGTCCCTTAGTATTAATTGCCTTGTTGGATATTTCAAAATATCTTTTAATTTGATTTTCGATTTAACATTTTTAACTGTTTACCAGCTGTTTAAATAAACGTAAAATTATAACAAATATAATTATATTTGTCTTCGGATAATTTTTTTTTTTTATATATAAAGTATAATTATTTATTTAAATTAAAAATAAATTGTATTTTATTACATTAAACTTAAATGATATAAATCATAATTTTATTGTTAGGGAGTAAAAATTGTACAAAATAGTTCGAAAAATATGATGCGAACATTTTAAGCATTTTATATGCGATTTTAAGGTCCATACATTTCGAACTATATGAGTTTATGTTATGTTTAACTAAAAGTTGAGTATTTTCTTCTACACACTTGTAATACATGAATAATAATGTATAAATTACTAAAGGAAAATTCAAACACGGCTCGCGCTTCACAATTATTGATTACTATTTTACATACTGTCGCTTACGGGGAAAACTTTTTAGCTTTGATGAGCAGTATGTAAACATGATCACTTTTTTTTTTAAATTAATTTTGCACATGAGAGAGTTCCTTTTGAGCTTGTTAAAATTAATGATATTATGTTTTGTTATTTGATACATAACGATTAGCATTATTAATTTTTATATACATAGCATCCCCGCTTAAAAAGTGACAAAACTAAAAAAAAATGATATTCGAGGTTATTATAGCATATTTTAAATAAATATCATATAATTATTGTGTAAAAAGGTCATAAGTATATTATTATTTTTTATCGATAGATGGCGCACGACACTTTTGGTATTACATTATTTTACATTATGTTGTACTTTTTTAAATGACTCTATTGGCAAATGGCTTTTTCGAGTTGTGTAACTTTTTAAGCGGGGGTGTGATATATATAATACGAAACAAAACTATCATAACTATATAAGTTAATTATATTAACTAGCCCTGGGTGTGTGTGTCTAAATTAATTATTATAACATGGGGTAGAAATATAGGTCAGGTTTGATTGGCTACGTGTGGCTATCACGAATCCATATTTATACTAGTGAGTTGTCCAGGGTAGAAAAATTGCGAGTAGTTTTTTGTATACTTACCAATTACAGGTCTCGTCATATACACATATATAACTACATTTAAAATAATTTACTATACACCCTAAAGAGAGTTGATACGGATATGACCTAATTTGAATTAATAACGTTATATTGCGTTTGACCATAGGATCGAATAAATAGTAGTGATTTATATAAACGATATTTAGTGAGAAGTTTACAGTAAAATTAAAGCAAGCAGTTGATTCAATATTCTTATGTAATATATAATAAAATCATTTGAAAGTATACTATATACTTAATTCTTAAAGGAATCCCGGTTTTATTGTTTTATGAATATAATTACTTCAGACTGTACACATTAATGTACAACCTATAATACTATTATATACAATAGATGGATAAACAACATTTTGTTAACGATACACTTTTTAGTCACTTAAATCGCTAGTTAAAAAAAACTGTATTTTGCGATTTTCATATAATTAAACAATAAGTCTGACAATAAGCAAAACTGTATTGACATATTATCCAACTAGTCTTTTCTTTAATATTGTGTAGGCTAATACTTGATTGTGAAACAGTTTGACATTGAATAGCGTGGTTCAATGCTTTACATTATATCATACCATACAAGAATATTAAATACATATTATATTCTACAAATAATAATATAATTATTACAGAAATATTTAGTTATCATAATTATAGTTGTTTTATGAAGAACGTTCTAGGTCTGTAAAATGAGAACAAAAATGTTGTCTACGTTGTTTTAATGCATATTTAATTATATATACAGTCTATATTATATTAATTCTATACTATTATTATATTTTGATGGTTCTGTCGGCAACGAATTTGTATAAACTAGGATAATGGTACTCTGAAATCTTGTCTGTACGTTCGGTCAACCCTTCAATGATATTCGTCGAGTGACAACTAACAAGGGACGGGACAAAGTAGTGTAGGTGCAAAAGTGCCTGACGCAATGACCTCGATGTGTCACGTGTAGCCAACACATGTATCGCAACCCTGTAATACATATAACATTGTATTATATAAATCAAACAAAATGCAACGTGTGCCACCCTCGGAAAAGGGAGGCATTGTGAGAGAAGGGAGGGAAGGGGTGATGACATAATACATATATAACACGAGAATATATCAAATGTATGACATAGGTAACCGGTGGGTATGTGTATTTTGCATGTGATGTGTTTGTATGTATCTGGACATCACGTTTGACAAACGTGACGAGAAGAGGTAACGAGGGTAGGAATACGTGTTGTGCCCATGTTACTATCGAATTACAAAGGTACTCCGAACTAAGTTTACCCAACATAGTAATTGCTGTAATCATTTTAATGATGAAAAACGGACAGGAGGGCCAGCGAAAGGAGTACGTTGATATTAGAACCAAAATCCGTTTACAAACCGATGGCTGTTTTATGGTTGTTAAGGCTTTGTTAATATGTATAATAAAACTTAGCGGAGTGCCGCACGCAAACAAGCAAGAGAAGAATAATAAACAGTAAAGGAACCATAATATATATATATATATATATATATATATATATTCACTATTGATGACATTACCAGACCTGACTTTTTTCTGTTAGTCGGAGACACTTGAAATCAATTTTTTCTTAATCTGCGTTATCACAATGCGTGGAATATCGATTTTCAGAGTAATCGAAATTTGACCTTAAAAACCGATTAGAGGCTAAAATATCGATACTACTAAAAATCGATAAAACATATTGTTTGTGGGAAATTCAATTTTGCGTGTTTTAATGTTAGGTAACCTGATTTATCATAAAAACTACGTGAGTTATCTTTAACATGCCGCAAAAACACAGTGTCTCTTTAAGGAGACGTGGGGTCTGAAAGGGTTAGTTAATACACTGCTGTAGCAACCGTTTTAAATTTGGAAAGTTGACAACAAAAGTAAATGTTCATAAGAAAATAATACTTTTACGTCAATTTATATTACAACTTATTTTTTGTAGCTCTAACACAACCGCAGTGTGACTATGATAGTATACACAATTTAATTTTTGTATATAGTTGTGTAACTTTATCAATTGTACATAACCTATTGTTTTTTTAATTAAAAAAAAACAATTTCATTGAACATATAAAAGAGTTAATCCAATAATAGGTACCTACCGTCTTATAAGTTTGAAATGAATTCTCAATTCCTGCCGTGCTATTACTTGATTAAATATATAATAAATTATTACTTTATAATACCTAATAAATAACTAGTATGAAGCTAATTTTATAAAGCTGTTTCTTTGAATTTTAAATTATTTATTTATCTACAAATAGGCAACCTTATAATAAAACTAGCTTCGCGATTTAGAGTGATCGGTTATTTTATTGTTTTTTCTAGTACCGCCTATTCAACATTTACATTTTCCTAACCGTAACTTAAGTGTAAAAAAATGTGATGGATTATTTACCAACATCGATTTATATTTTTTATCCAGATTCTGAACATATCATAAGTCACTTATTATTATTATTATTTTTTATTAAATTATAATTACTATAAAACTAGTTAAAATTTTAAAATGTTAGAAGCACAAGCTAGTTTTTTAAAAAGTACTCTACAGCGAGTTTCTTAGTAGTTATTTAAGCTTACAGGCATAATCAATCAGAGGGTAGGTACTATTTTAGGTCTTCAGTATAAATGAAAACAATTAAAGAAGCTTACACTTATTTTGTACTCGTTTACTTCTAAGAGAAAATGTTCAGTGACTATTTAAGCAAATATCTTTTAAAATAAAACATCCAGATTAATTTTGTCTAATTAGTCTCCTGACTTGAAGAATAATCGATTTTACGAAGGATAATAAATTTGTACCTTAAAATAGAATAAGGCCATTACTAGAATTTTTTTTTATAGTTTATTTTAGTTTCACAGACAAAATAACCGATCTTTTGATTAGTGCTTTAGAGAAAAATTAACTTTCATTTAATTAAACTTTAATTTGTAAACTAATTAATAGTATTTTACTTTATGAATTTATTAAGTTATAATATAATTTTTAGTTGTAACTTATTAAATTATTTAACCTAAGTTAATTTTTTTTTAATTTGCGATAGCTTTTAAGGATTTATAAATGATGTATTTATTTTAATACATGTTTTTAAAGATCATGAAGCCTCTTACTATAACAAAATTTTGAAATTTACATTAACATACTTTTTAGTTCTTTATCCTTTTATTGTATAATAATCAATAAAATATACATATTTTATTTTTCGAAAAATAGTTTGATTTTATTTAAATGTATTATTAAAAGTTGAAATAATTGATTTGGTTACAAAATTAATGTTGCTGTTTACAGTTGATATTGTAATTTTGTGCAAAAATAATTGTTTTAAAAATAAACCAAAAATGTATGTTGAATATAATGTTTGATATATTTTCAGATTTTCAAAAATTGGAAAGGGAAGCAAGAATATGTAGGAAATTACAGCATCCAAATATTGGTAAGTAAAGTGCACAATATTTTATTTTATTTTAAACAAATTAACAACAAATATGTTACTTTTATTATTAAAGTACAATAATGTTAATATGGTCAACAATCATTAATTACGTATAGGCCTAATTTTTACCGTGATGACTTTTACCACTTTTTTTTTTTTGATAATTTTAAGTATTTTTTAATTTTAAATGTATGTTTTATTTATACACGTCACTCTATTTTAGTTTTACTGTGGTATTCTTAATATTATATTATTTATACTTGTATTATTTATACTAATGAAAAAATAATTAAAAATAACTTTTGCTCATTTCTGCTTTGACGTAACTATACTATGATTGCCGATTAAAAATTATTGTGTGGTGTCTAAATATTGAAAGTATCCTAGTCCTATATTACTAACTCTATAAGAGTCGTTTATATTTCATACTAGCATACAGTTAATTTTATACTATATTATAATACAGTAGCTCTGTAACTCATATTTTATACTAATTTAACAGCCTATATTGTCCAATTATTTTGACTTGGTTAAATAATAGAACAACAATTTATTAACATAACTTCTGTCTAAATGTTGTACAGTGTATAGTATGAGTATGATACATATTTACACAAATAATGCATGTAAATTTATCAAATCCTTACTTCTCTCACGCTAGCGTCTAATTTTTTTTATTACCTTTTAATATTAGTAAGATAATATTATCTTTCTTCGGTAAACTTAACATAAGCTTATGCATTTTGTTGCATAAACTATAAAGTATGTAAACTTTCGTCATGTTAAGTACTCTAAAATTCCTAAAATTTAATAATTTATTATATTATATTATTACTGGCTATTGCTATTATATACTTGGCCTCGCACAAAACTTCATCGGTTTTCACTTTAAAACTCATCACGGTAATCCTCTTATGCGGTTTAACGTCCATAAATTATTTATTCATTCAACATTATCTACACATAATATTATTTTTCCATTACTTTTTTTTAAAATGTTATGCGTAATTTTCGAAATCTAATTTTTATCATTTTATACCATTTATATTATTGAATTACAACTTAGTTTGAAAGTATAGTAAATATAGGTATTTTAGATTTTAGAATTAGTATTTTATTTATACTTTGAATTTAATGTAAGTATTTCAATCAGGTTGTACCTATTACATTCCCTATCAAATTTTGTATATAGACTATATCATATAGAAATCAAATAGCAAAATAGTTGATAAAATTTAAAAAAACAATAGGAATTACATTTTTTAATGCTATTTAATTTACATGAAGATTATTGATATAGGTATATAACGAGTTTTAACAGTGATTTGGCTTGGCTAAACAAAAGTCACATATTGCATTGGTTATTTATTTAATTTTTAATTCATTTAATTTTACGATAAAATAAATAAATAAACAATACATTTAATGAGGTATTAAGATTTCTTAAATTGGTTTAACGAATAGTTTTTTTGTTACAGTTCGGTTACATGACAGTATCCAAGAAGAGCTATTCCACTACCTTGTTTTCGATCTGTGAGTATATTTTGTAATGTTTACTTATTCGATTTTTCGTTAACATGTATACACTGTCATTTGTACAATGAACAGCAACGCGTTCAGTTGAGCCTTGGTTGTGTATAAATAGTAGTATGCCAAATCGACCCAGAAATAGACTATGAGTAGCACAGATACATTGTGTAGATTGACATAGCCAATGCTAAAATACTAATTATTCAACAAATTTGTGTACCTGTATAATAAATGTTTACTGAATATTTTCTCCTAAAACGTATTTGATATCAATAATTTCTTAATAGTTGTTAAAAATATGCACCTAAGAATATATTTGTCTGCGTTGCTCTTTTATAAAACCACTTTACAACTGTCTTTTGCCTCGTAACTGATAATCATGTCTCTGGGAATAGTAATAAACAATGTGTATACAGTATATAAAGTGTTTTACTTGTGTAATCTTTGCTGAAACCATCAGATGTTGACCGCCTCACGCCTATAAAACAAATAGTTTTTAATTAATCTAAGATTTGCTAACCAGTTGAGTAAATTCGTTTGAACAAGCAGTTGGATAGCTTTCTTTAAATTCTTCATCCTAAACTTTATGGAAACTATAACTTATATACCTATTAAACAACTTCTATTAAAGATTGTAAGATTTATTCCCCTAAATTCCTTATTATCGTTTGACTTTACTTCCTTCCTAGTCTAACAAGTAACATACCCGCATTTATCTATTTCTTTGATAACCCCTTATTCTATTTTTTTATTTCTTCTTATTCTCGTTCTACCATCAGTTCGTCCTTAATCACGGTCCTTAACACGGATCCCTATTTTACTATCTATTCAATGTTAGTTGTTCAACAACCTACTGTTTTTTGTTGTCAATTCATAATAATTTTGTATTATTTCATGTTTTTACTTAATAGCCAATGTACCTAATAAATAACAATAATCAGTAAACATTTTTTTAGAATTTAAAACTGTATAATGGCATGTACATTACACAAATTGTAATGTACATTGTAACGTTGTAATGTACATGTACAATTGTGTTTAATTCTATTACATTTAAGTTAACATATAAAACATGTCTTCAGAGTAATAAATCAACTGGTTTAATTGATAAATGTTGGCCAATTATTTGTATTTTGTTAGTCTATACACGTTTTTCTGTCTTAAGTATGTTTTCTTCAATTAAGTCTAAACTAAAATTAAGAATTATGTTTAATTGTAATTACTAAACAAGCATCAGCGATTATCGATTCGCTACAGTCTAGGTTATAAATATATTAAATGCATCCATGGCCTAAAAACTATTATAATCAATTATTTGGCCGCACACACATCTAAGAGAGTTCCTCGTGTTTTCCTATCACAACTCAGAAGTTGGCAGGTTTCACAATTGATTTTTAAAATAATTTTGTAATTAAATGTTAAATTAGAAAAGTTGTTGGTTTCTTTGTTCTTTTAAATATTAGCTAGACTCTTATGATGTACTAAGATAATATAATAATATCAGCGAAGTGAAAACTTGCAGGGAAACGCAAAGCAATTATTTTCAAATTTATTTTCTGGCAACATATTGTTTAATGGTCTATGTATGTACTTTCAACAGGGTGACGGGTGGCGAACTTTTTGAAGACATCGTAGCCAGGGAATTTTACAGCGAGGCCGATGCTTCCCATTGCATCCAGCAGATACTGGAGAGCGTAAACCACTGCCACACCAACGGTGTAGTTCACAGGGATTTAAAAGTAAGATAATAATATATATACATATATATATATATATATATATATATATATATATGTATATAATGTTATATTAATGGGTTTTTCTTCCATTATGTATAACTCCTTGTCGCCCTTGTCCGCGCATTGTTGGCACATTACGTGCGCCTATGTTTTGTAAATAATGAACCTTTAGCTGTTTAGCAAATTTCTGTACATTAATTTTGTTGTATTTATTCGCAACGTCCGTAAAACAAATGAAAGTGACGACTCTGAGTGACTTACCTGTGGCGGTATGTCCTTTTAGTGTTATTATTTCAAAGTCTCTCGCTGGGTTTTTGTTTAGTTCGCCTCAACATTATTTTTTTTTCATTAGTTTTGTTCTCTAGACTGCATTAAACTGTCAACACGACAATATATTAATTATAACGCTCTTGAAACATGAAGAAATTTAGAGACTGTATACATTTAGGGACTTACTTAAATTTATAATGTTACTAAGGAATTAACTATATTAAATAGAAATACTTCTAATTGAAATGAAACAATTCGTTCGAGTTGTCACCGTAAAAACTAAAGAGTACAAGATCTTGATCTTACAAAGCATAGTTTTGAAGTGATATAGGTATAAAATAGTCTCTTAATTAAATACGGTTGTATCTCAGTCTTTCTCCATTGCAGTAAGAAATCACTTAAATTTAGAAACAGTAACGACAATTAGTTTAACTGGCGTTTTTAATAATACTACTTTATTAACTGTAAGTAATTTGACGAATTAACCATAATCAATGAGAGCTTTTCCTAGGTGGAGGATTGCGTTGTATCATTTACGAGGATAGAGCGGATAGACTTGAAGTATTATACATTATTTATGGAATGAATATAAAAATGCATGTTTGATTAGTATTGTCTCAATAAAAGAAAGAACATTTCAAAAATACCAACTAAAAAACAAACCTTTTATTATAATTATAATAATAGTATATAAATCCTCGCATACCACATTTTAATCACTTGGTCCTAACTGCGACATTTACCACTGTCAGAACTCCTACGGAATTTTCAGGGACTACTACATTATATTTAGTAGAATTTAAACTATTTTAAAATAGGAAACTACTAGCTAAACAAGTCTTTTGGCTCTTTCAGTCCAATAGAACGGTTTTAAAGTAATTTATTCAGGAATTCATCAAGCTTTTTCATAGCATACTGTCATATTTTTTGTTTTTTTTTTTACTTATTTTATTACTATTTTTTTTAATGTGTTAGATACACAGCCAACAGATAGCTTCATACTAGGAACCGTAACCTACCTTGTAATTTTAAAAGATTAAAAGTAGAAAAAAATTCTCTGTCCCCTCCAAAATTTGTTTTTAAAACTCGTAAAATAAAAACGCGTCGAAGCTAAAATATAACGGTTTGTCTAAGTTTTTGCATTCAATTATCAATTTATTTTGTTTTCTTTTAAATTATTTACTGCATTCAGATAGGGGTTAAAAAAGGTATTTCTTCCTTTTCGTTGTATTATTTAGCATAAGAAGAAAAAATAACTAAATATAGCTTGGTCAGGTTGAACTAAAATTCACCATATATACAAAAAAAAATATTGTAGCCAAAACTAATTATGCTTTTACATAAATAAAAGAATTAAACAAATAAAAAACAATTTATTACAATAATTCACAGAACTTAAATACTTCAAAAAGTAATTTCTAGGTTTTAGAACAAAATAGTAAATAATAACCTGCTATAAAATGTATGAAAATTAGAATATGAATGAGAATTTTATAACCCTTTACCTCTATTTCTCTAATTTAACTCTCAGTTCTTTTGTACTTCTCATTCTCTATAAAACAACATTATCATCATAAAACAAATGCACCCAGTAGCAACGTCCTGCACATCTTTAGCAAGTTCTTTCGTTTTATGGAAAATAAGTATAGGCTGAATTCTGACGTTTGATGAACACCTCTAACAATAAATTCGTCTGTTTCACACACGATGAAACTTACATGTTCTCTATTATATTTATATAATTTTTGGGGCAATTTTCTTCTTCAAAACTGCCCAAAAACATATATTGCTACCCTGCTGTATATATTGGCTCAGTTATAAAGAGGCTAGAGAAATTCAAATCCTTTTAAACTACTTCAGTCCTTCAAAAGAATATGAGCATCGAATCAGGCTGCAGGCATAACCTTCAAAATGTTTAATTCTTACTGAAATTCTGTGGAATCTTTAGGTTGTTTAACCAATTTTTTTTAAATAAAATAGTATAAATTAAACAATTTATGTATAGTGGTAACTCACACTCTAAAGCTAATGCACCAAATAATGTTTCAAGGATATAATCTTAAAAGGCTTCTCTTTAAAATAATTTTTAAAAATATATATTTTTTTTACATCAGCTGTCCTTCTTAGTCACTTAATTCCGTTACTTTCTAGCGCTTTCCACACTTCTACAGGCAGCCCATCCGATTATACTGCTTTCTTACACCTTATTGCTTTATCGCTTTTTCCACTTTCTCTTTATTAATTAAATTTACTAACTCTTCATTAAATTATTTTTCCTCTTGTTCTTATGTTATAAACTCTCCATTCAACCACTCATTAAAATTTAAATAACATATTCGAATATTAATCATAAAATTAAATCTTCTTTTCAGGCGTCATAGATTTTGACCCCTATTGGGGTGTAAAGGTGTAAGTCTATTGACTTACACCTTTTTTGACCAATTTAACTTAAACACCAAACCAATAATAAAATAGGTACTTGGGAACTAATGATTAAAAAAATATTTACATTTATAATTCACATGTACAATACCCACTTCTACAGGATGGTAACTCTTGTCTCTTGTAGAACAAGAGTTGTCTAACCGACTAAAAGTGGTTGTAAAAAAAAAATTCATACGTGTTTCTGTCTACGATGCTTAGCCAATCTACGGCAAAAATTTGAAATTTTTTAAAAAAATATACCGAAAGAGACTTCAAGTGCACCTCTAAGCCAGATTTAAAATTGTCGTCAGTTATGCCAGTAATAACTAACACCTATGGTCTTATGCCATGTGATCAAGCTATTTCCGATTCCAATTGGCTCTCAAATAATTCGTTGTTGGGTTAGTGTTTAAATTTAATTTGGCCGAAAGAAGTATCGATTGTTATAATTTTTGGTCGTTAAGGCGTGACCTACTTCACATTCATCATATTGAATATAATGGGACTACTTTAAATTTTTAAACACGCGAATTTCATTAGATGGAATGTTTTTTTAAGCCAACACTTAAAAGAATCCATTATTTAAACTACTTATTACATTTGAATTAAATATTGTTATCTTAGTCATTATTGAAAATACACAAACTTTGATGAACTTTTTTGCAACATACTTTGACTTTGTTTTGTACAGTTTTAGATGTACCTCGAAAAGTGAAAACACTGAATACTCGATTATCGTATTGTCTAAATCTTTCAATAATTTAACGGTTATCGTTTAACACGTATTTTTGTTTTATGGTATTTAGCAGTTTTTAAATAGTCATTCAAGCCCTTGGCCTACAGTCGTTCTATTTGTGAACTACCCGTTCTCAGTGGGTAACTACTTTTATACTATTGGCAACATATTCTGATATAAGAGAACTCGTAAAACAGACCGTTAACGCAGATTTTTCGAAAAAAAACAACCACAAAATTTGTTTAATTTGAATTTACTCACTATAGTTTAACTATGGTCATTTTTTTAAATATGTTTGACGTTTGCAACTATTTTGATATAAGAAATTAAAAGTAGTGACAAGTTTTGTTAATAAATGTTTGATGCTCGCAGAAGTTTTTATTTAACTTTTTTTTATAATATTACGTATCCCTCACCATCAGACAATGAATAGATAAAGATATTTTAAATGGTAGGATGTGTAAAGCCTTTACCTTTTATAATTTTAAAAAAAACCTACATGGGAATTAGAAAACCAATTCAATTTATTTTTATTCTATGCCAAAGTCCCAAGCCACCATCCAGCAATCCGGATAATTTTGTTTAGGAATAGCTTAAGTTGTCAGTATTTATTGTTGTACAGAGATCGAGTTATTGACAGCCAGTTATCTGATCTCGAATAAGTGTGCAAATTTTAAAATTTGTATAATAAAATTATAACGTAAGCTTAAATTCAGTAAGAACTGAAGTTAGTGAAACTGTAGATTCCTGTTAATTTTCATAGCGCGTTTCTACTGTTTTGTGACCCAACATGAACACATGAAATGGAATAAGTTTTTATTATGTATGAGCCATCAAGATAGTATGTTGTATTTCTAACAAATGAGTATTCTATGTAAATTATAGCCGGAAAACTTGTTACTGGCTAGCAAAGTCAAAGGCGCAGCGGTTAAGTTAGCTGATTTTGGATTAGCTATAGAAGTTCAGGGCGAACAGCAAGCGTGGTTTGGCAAGTAACGCATATTAGAAACGCCAGACACATGATTTTTAATTATAAAAATGTTGTAGGATTCGCCGGAACTCCAGGTTACCTGTCCCCAGAAGTACTGAAAAAAGAACCCTATGGAAAACCAGTAGATATATGGGCTTGCGGTATAGTATTATACTTGGGACGAACAGCGTGTTTGAAAATAATAATCGATTTTCATTGATTCTTTAACAGGAGTTATACTGTACATTTTGTTGGTCGGCTACCCACCGTTCTGGGATGAAGATCAACACAGGCTGTACGCCCAAATCAAAGCTGGCGCCTATGACGTATGTGTCAAATTCAATATACTTATTTTTCCGTAAAAATAAATAATGAGTTTTATTATAAACTGACAGTTTTTTTAGGAATTATCATAAATTGAATTATTGTTTTCGTGTAATAATATGTTCATTTTTTTTCTACAGTATCCATCGCCCGAATGGGATACCGTGACGCCAGACGCAAAGAACCTAATCAATCAAATGTTGACTGTGAACCCGGCCAAAAGGGTCACCGCTTCCGATGCCCTGAAACACCCTTGGATATGCGTAAGTCTTATCTCGATTGCAATAAATTCTCCTATAGTTTTTTATTACATATAAATGCTCATGTACCTAAAGGAGGTAATCAAACCAAGAATAAACCTGTTGAAGTACAGGAGGAGATCGAATTGTGAGTAACTTCGCCCCTCTAACCAACCGGAGTTTCACTAATATAATTATATTTAGGGTGAACAATAATTATTTTGGTTTTTCTTTTTGTGTTTTACCCTGCGGTATTATCGTTGGAATGTTTTCATCAGCGCTCTAGACGTTGTCACGATATTTCAAACATACATTTCCCGTCTATTTACAGCCGAGTAAATTGACTGTCTCTAAGCAAAATCGTTTGACTTTTTGATAATATTACTGGGTACCATGATACTTCCATAACTTAACTACTAACTGATTTTATACTTTTAAAGTGTATATATGTTTAATATTTATACTATATACATTGTATGTATATAAGTATATTTTTATAATATATTTCACGATGGCATGAAATCCAATGTCCAAATTGTTGTTTGCACCATTCATAAATAACAATACATAACCTGTAACGCACAAAACTCAAGACATTTAATCGTTTCTAATTTCGTCGTATAATAGGCCCGTTTGACGACTTTCGTGCGTTTAAGTCGTACGTCGCATAAAAATGTAAATAACAATAGTATAAATAGTGATTATGTGATTTCCGGACAATCAAGTTCACGAAGGACGAAACGATAGACGTTCAGTAATTTTCCACAACGACAAATAACCGTTTAGAATATCGTGTGGACGATAAATTTATTGAAAACTATACATTTACCGTGCCCCCCACATCGATTCCTCCTCTGTTGTTTATGCGTTTTAAAAGCATAAATATAAATTTAATATAAATACGTTAGATTTTTGAGGGAAAGGGGTAGTTTTAATGGACATATCGCATGCAAACGAAAAACCTCTCCCGAATAAATATTCATATTGTAATCCTAATGGTCCGTGTGTTTCAGTATCGTGAGAAGGTTGCTTCGGCTGTGCATAGACAAGAGACGGTCGACTGCTTAAAGAAGTTCAACGCCAGACGAAAATTAAAAGTAAGAATAACATTTCATTAGTAATACAATAAAATATAAAGCGTACAAAGGAAACTGGAAATAACTAGTTTAATTGTTTTAATGATTAAAATTACATTTTAAATTATTTTAAAAGACAGAAGAATTATTTTAAACTCAAAAAGAATACTATTAAAACAGTTATTTAAAGGAGTTGTACCATATTATATTTATGTATGGTTATTTAATCGTTTTATTATTTTTGAAAACATTTAAAGAAAGTATTTCCTATTTTCGTTCTACACTTTTATTTGTAGCAATTGTATTCTTTTTTGTATTACCAAAAACTATTGTTAATATATATAATTTCTTTTTTTATACTACAGGGTGCCATTTTGACTACAATGTTGGCTACGAGGAACTTCTCCAGTAAGTATGATGTACACGGTAAGTGCCTCAGGAACCTCAGATCAATCACGTGTGTATGAATATAGGTGAAAAAATGGTGTTCTGTATGATTAGAAGTTTTTTGTTTAATTAGATGCGCCAATGTGTACATATATTATAAATAATATGTATTTGTATACATATACGCCTATATAAAAATATAACAGTTTGAAACACATATTAGGTGTTTACGTTAATACTACGGGCTAAGCACTGTAAATAAGCTCAATTTATACCCGCAATGTCTCTGAATGGTGGAATATTTAGGGTTTTTTTTGTTTGATGTTTATGTAAAATGTAGTAAGATGGAATTAAAAATAGCCTACATATGTATAATTTGCATTCTCGTCTTATCCAATTTATGGAGGGCATGACAGGTTGGTATAAATGCATAATATAATATTGTGCGCTATCCTGCAATATTTGAACTTAAAGAAATACATGTTGTAATATTATTTTATGTTCCAATACTCCTAAGTAACCCTTGTCTATCCAATTCACGATGTAAAAATGTATAATGTAGTGCTACTTACGGATAACAAACAAAAGACAATCCTTATACACACAATATATTATGTGAGATATAAATTGTAAAAGACGAACTTTTATTATTTTACCTTTACCCATAACCTGCTGTAGATGCATGCTGTTAGTTGTAGGAGCAACGATAATTCTTAAGTTTGAAAATTTCAAAAAAACCTCATTATACTATTAATTTAAAACAAAAATGTATTTAAATGTAGCTCATTTAAAACTCGAATCGTTACTTTAAATAATAAATATATTCATTTTAGTATTTTTAATAAATTGTTCTATGCGAATTACCTAAAACTTATCATATCAATTAAAAAATATATGTTTTAAAACCAATCAATACAAAAATAATGGAAGTTTCCACCGAGTTCCCAGAACGGTCTATATAGGCTTTCTAACCTAGTCCGGACCCACCCATATTATATGGCCAGATGACTTAAGAACCAAATTTTTTTTGAAATATTTTTTGGAGTCAGATTTTAAGCTTTCGGAGTAACAGTACACAAATAAAGTCATTGAATAGTAAAATATTTGCGTAATCTATTGTCATTTGTCAAACGTTAATGGGTTATAATTATCATTAATTTGATCTTCAACTCACAATGGTTCAAAAGAGTTCAAAAACGAGATTTCATAACAGTTTTTTTATTGTTTACATTTTACAGCAATATGTTATAAAATGGTTTTGTTGAGTCACAAAGATTTTTATAACTGAATAAGTTATTATCAAGTGTTCTTCTCGACTGGATCATTATGTTTATTCATTGAATTTTCTGGCCTGACTTATAAAAGTAACAGTACAATGCACAACAAAAACGACTGTGTTTAGCGGATGTAAAACGACTTGTTTTCCATTGTTATCTGCGTACAATATACTTAAATAATAATAATAATAACACTTTAAGGTATTTCTTTGGAAACAAGGTTGATAGAACAGGTATTTTTTTTTTACTACAAGTATCCATGATCTATTTTTATTACTGAAAAAGTAATACAATATTTCACGTTCAAGCAGAAATAGATGGATAGATTAGGAAGTACACTAGAAGAATGTTCATGCTTTTTAAGCAATAACAGTGGGTTTTGTCGTAACTGGCAGATAAGTAATTTTATATTTTAGGTCGAAAAATTACAATGATTATTGAATTATTATTAGAAGTTGCACTTTTAATAAATACCAATAAAGAACGATAGATATATAATCTAACGTTGAACAAGTGTTGTTTGTAATAAATAAAAAAAATGATCATCCAAATTGTAGACGAAGTGGTATTAATTTGTCTGGTTCCTGTAACCGCCATTACCCAAAAAGTATACTAATAAGTAACATATAAGTATGCGAATGAAATACATTTTATTCTTCGACGTACTTTAATATAATACTATGTACTCAATGGTTTTGTCATAGTGACTCCCTAAATCATAATATACTCGTAACTACCGATAATGAAACCTAAACTGATTTCAAAAATATCAGTAAATTTGTATTTTCGTATTAATGACTAGAGCTGAGGTTCTATACGAGGCGCTTACTACCATTTACACCGATAAAACATTAAACAAATTACTGATGAATATAAAATTAAATTATTATTAATTACAAACATTGAAACAATTTATGCTGAGCACTATTTTATGTTCATCATTAATTGATCACAAATCACAATGTACCTGTTACTATATTATCTCTCATCACTTTTTTTTGTTTATTTTTTATTGTTTTGTTTTCGTTCACTCCTTCCCGTTATCTTCGTGAATTCTCTATAAACGCACCACTTTTGATCTATACTTCTTCAAAAATGTACCACACAATTTTTCGGAACAGGAAGTGGTAAGACGGTATTTTTCATTAAAAATAATTACATTTTTTTTATATATACAATTGTTATCATATTTATTATACATTAACATTATTGTGGACGTCATTATTTTGGCATAATATTTTTAATTTTATAACCTTATGTTGGGCATTTTGCTTAATATTGTTTCATTCTAAACGATCTAGAAACTATTCTATATTTTAAAACTTTGCAGGTTTTTTTTAAATTTTAGTTGGAATGAAGGAATTATTTACCGGTTCCGACGACTAAATTTTGCATGTGTATCGTACTATATAACAAATATGGTGTTTTTTTATAATACGCACGATTCGTAATTTTTTTAAAATTAATATTATTTTAAGTTGTACAGTTAGTTTAAAACATTTGTTTTAACCTTAAGTAGCATGACGTAGTTTATTAAACTGTTAACGTCTTGTGTAAGTCTTTAAATCAAATTATTTTTTTTTTAAATAAAGTGATAAACTAAAACTGAGTAATAATTAAAATTGTTTGAAATTTTTCTTTGATAAGTATCACATGTAGTGGCTGTCTATTTGAATTCCTATGTTAGAATAGCACACTAACTATTGAATAGCTATTGCTATTTATAATGCACATTTTAATATTGTACTTACACAATGCCTACTTACTTTGAGGAACAATTCTATAAAGTCTTAATATGTATACGATAACACGGGGCTTAAGAATTTAGAACATGATGATCATGTTGTAACTTGTAAGAACTATTTACAACTTAACTATTTTACTGTTTAGTAAAATGTTAATTTCGGTTGTACAAAAATAATTTTATATTTCTCGCTCACAATATTTAAATTTTGATGCCTTATCTTGAAACTCCAGTTAATAACCGTTCTATTAAATTATTCAATTTCATAAGATTATATTTATTTAAAAAATCAAATCTTGAAGTATTTTTTCTATGAAATGTCATTAATAATATTACAATCTTGTCAATCACAAATCACAATTAATACATTTTTGGCGAATTGATATTAGTTCTCATTTCTAATAAGACATTTTTTTAATTAAGCATACAATAAAGTAGTTAGATGAATATTCTAACTAATTTTGTCTAAACATTTGTATTGATCCATTTGGATTTAATTTAGTACAGATTTAATGTTCTTTTCTGTGGTGTATTTGTCAAACTGTATCTACGCTTGTTTCATTTTCATATTTTGTTCAACTAGTTTGGGATATCGATACATATTTTTATTTTATTTCATGATCTCACGCTGTTGACATGAAAAGACTTGTAAACTATAAAATCGACTAATTTACTATTGTTTATTAGGTCGCAGTATTGTAACAACAAAAAAAGGAGACGGTTCTCAAGTGAAAGAATCAACTGAAAGCAACACTACATTAGAAGATGACGACGTTAGGGGTGAGTAGAAGGAAATTTTCAAAATATCGCTTAAACAATATACATTTTAAAATATTCCGTGTTTAATACATAACATGTTTAAATTAAAGCGTTCAGATTAAATAATTATAGTTTTAAATACGTTCTTCTTTTAAAACTATCGACATCATGCATGCATTAAACAGACATGTAATAGAAAAAAAATAAAACTAATTGATGTTTTGAAAAATACAGTTTTTTTAAATCTGTTTAAATACTATAATTATTAACACTTATGAAAACTGTCCAACCGTCGTGGTTTTAGAAAAATATTTTTATACCTCGTAAAAAAACTAGTACTTTAACTTTGCAGTTTGCACTAGTATTATTATTCAAACCTATTTTTATAAAATGTATTTCTAAGTAAGCCGAACGCACATCACGAACTCACTGAAAAACGTGCAATAATACTAGAAAGGGTCACCTAAAATCAGAAAAATTATTTTGTAAATATTATTATACTACTGATTGAGGGCTGCTTGCTTGTAAATAAGCAGTGTGACGCTTATATTGTACGGTAAAAGTAAAATATTTACTAAACAGCGTTGGAGAAATACTGCTGCTCGCTGCCATGATAAAAAAATAGATTCATAAGACCATTTAAAAAACCGGCAAAATTATCGACCTAAAGCATGATAGCCTTACCAAAAATCAAATACGCCGTTTTCTTAGACTCGTATGAAGTAGGCGTTATTATATTTTAATTTATAATGCATGCTTACCGTTAGGGTGTTTATCCCAAAATGTTTGAAAACCCGCATACAAAAAAAAACCTATAAACAACAGTTTCTTTATTTAAATTCAAATAAACAATAATCAATTGTATACCGTTACAATTTGTCACAATTCCAAATATGAAAAGTGTGTTTTTCTCTTAGAGGACAAAAAAGGGACTGTGGACCGGAGCTCTACAGTAATTGCCAAAGACTCTGAAGGTAAATATTAACAATGACAAAACCAAAGAAAATCATTAATTGATTAATCGCGCGAATCAAAAACAAAAGTTAACTTACAAACGCCAACATTTTTTTGTTTGACACTAATAATGTATTTTTAACTTTAATATATTATTTATTTAAAAACAAAATAGATAAGATTATGTTCCGCTAATTTACGCGTTAATAATGGCTAAATTTAAACACGACTCAATCAATTTTAAATTAAACATTTTTTTGTCTAACGTTGCTGCGCCGATAACGATTTTGTTGATTTTTTTTTTGTATCGGTCAACTTATGGTACACTTGTTGTTTTGTATGCATTGTTTTATCATCTGACGAATCATTTATAACGATAAATTGTCGAGTCTGTCTGTCATCTCTCTTAGCTCTTTTCTCCGAGTTAGAAAACAACCAATGCAAAACATAGGGAAATTATCAGGTTGCATCATTCCTCTCGCACCACATAACCAAAACGCTGTCCGTAACCCGCCATTTACTATTGTATTGCTCTATACCCAGCCTTGTACAGAGGATGCGGCTGTATCATTGTTTGACGGATTTGCTAGCTGTATACAGCAGTGTAATTGAGGCAGAGTTGTGTTTAGGAAACGTTGGCACACCGCCACCGTCTCCGGCACCGTCGTCCGCGTCCGTCGGAAGCGTACTGGGCTTCTTCAGGAGTTCCGCTTCCACCTCGTTCGGATCGAAGCCCAATAAACTGACCGTGATCACCGCCACCGCCGCCGCCGCAGCTGCCAGCAACCCCCAAAACGCTTTCATACAAGGTCAGCACGGTTGCAAATTGGATTTGCCGTTTGAGCTTGTTTTTATAGTTGTTTCCCCCCACCCCGTTCGACGACCAAACTTCTAACACGGTAGCGCAGTCGTTGTCGGACGTTCAATTCTCGACGTTTATAATCCTCTGTTCGGCGAGAGAAAGATCCTGCGCATAAACCAAAAAAGATTACTCCTGTCTGCGCAGGCCCATCGAATTTAATATGCATTTTGGTCTCTCGCCGAATAGAGTATACTAACCAAAATGTTTTGACTGCCGTGTGTCCGAGTGTACTACTAACACAATTAATGCATAATATACACCGAACGATTCGTCAACTACGAGTCTATGTTTTATTTATTTGTTTAATTTGGCATTCAGAAGTGATAATGTTATTTGGGTATTGTTGTCGGTTTTTATAATAAACAGGTAAGCCGTTCTCTCGTTGAAAATCGCCAAGGCCTAAGGGCTAGATTCATTCTAAACGTAGGAAGGAGATGTAAACACTAAACGCACATACCTACTGTATTTTAATCGTTGCCACTTTTAACAATACCTTTGAATTGTCTATACAAGATCCATTCAATATTATAAGCTACTCCGAGACAATAATTGAAATATTTAAGTTTTTCTTTTTTAAAACATTTTAGTTAATATCTTGTCATGTGATCAACAGTTCTCCCTCATTGGTTCTGTATAAAAAAAAAATGTTAAATCAAGAATTTCTACTAAAATACTAACTGGTCGATAACTAGTTAGGCCCCCCCTCCCATCATTCGATGTGCCCTGTAACTTGACATGCAAGCGCCTTAATAGAAACGTATGCTGATGGACTCAAGTCTCAAAGAACACCTGAGTGGCGGCTGGTTTAGTACAAATCGTGGATATCGACGTGTACCTATCGTTAAAAACACACGTTTTTCGGTCAACAAATGTTTTATTTGTTCAACACCGCGCGCGTCGCGGCATGTAGTATTTGATCAAACACAGATTGGAATTTCAAACTATATTATACTGTTGTTTTTACGGCCGTTGAACGTATTTCGAGTATATTGGTATTTTACTTGTGACGCGTGTAACATATTTAACTGTATATTGTACATAATATAGAGCCCTAGAGCCGTAGCAGTTGTAGTAGTGACAAGTGTACAGTGTAGGCGAAAAATCCTTAGCATCGCTGTTCCCTCCTACACGAAACATTGTAGTAATAAAACATTATTATTATTATAATAAAGAATAATTATTATAGCGCCGGTCCAGTTTCTTTCCGAGTCTAAACTACTATATCGGGTCGGTGCTGCGCGAGATTATATTTTTAAATTGTTATGAATTAAGCCGCGCGTCGTTGGCGGATAACATTTTTTCGGCTTTTCATTATTATTATTATTATTATTATTATAATTAGTTTACTACTCGCGTTTCGTTTATATGGCACCATCGTCGTTCACGTGAGCTGCCAAAAATAATATTTTAAAACCCGTGCGAATGTATTATTCAAGTTGATCGCAATCATATCAACGGTGATACACAACACAAAAGAAAAAGTAGTAAACTCAAAATGCGATTTGCCACAGTTCCGACCGAATCGGCATCGGGTAACACAATACCTATAAGTGCATAATATTATTATAATCCTCATCTGCGCCGGCCCCTCTACCGCTTCAAACAGTAGTGGGTACCTACTTGACGTCGCCCGTACACCGTAGCATGGTGTTGTGCTTTTCCTGCCGGTCCTGTTCCGACGAACCCGCCGCCAGATCTGCTTTAGAACGCTTGGACAACATGATGGAATCGTTTGACGGTGACGGCGGCGGCGGCCGTTCGACAAACGCCTGTAAGTAGTACACCTAAGTTGACAGACACCAAAAACAATAACAGTCTATACACTATAATTGAACACATATTATTCGCGTTACATAGAGCATAGGACCTATCTGCCTAAAAATGGAACTATTCCTAAACTAGTTCCGGAAACGTATTATATATTATAGTCCGATTTCTGGGTTTTTACTCGAGTAAATTAATTAACTCTGATTCATTTTAAAAATAAATCGTCAAACTCGCGATGAATTAATACTCTTTAATCGTTACTCATTACAATGAATTATTAATAGTTAAACATTTTTTTTTACTGGTTTTTATTATTGTTAGGTAAACGTTACAATTATAAATAGTGATTCAATCACTATTCGATTTTCAAAATAAACGTTGCCTAACGTTTTTCTTTTTTGTTAATTAAACTAATTTATTTTGATTGTCAATAGCTAGGTATTTTAAATTAAAAATAAAACGTTAACAATACAAATTATATCCATGTTTTTCATATAAGAAATACAAAAATTACTACTCGTGTAATAGTTGAACGTATTTTATTAAATCGTAATTTTGTATTACTTCATTTCAAAAGAAAGTCCCAATGGATTGTTTGTGTTTTTGGCTATTGGCAGTCATCCTAGAAGGATATTGTAGTAATCTAAAATATATTATTGTAAAGTGTAGGTAATATTTTTGTGATGATAATACCATCACTATTCACTTGCATTTTATAACGGAGCGTAACCCTTTCAGCTACCATACTTTTTCATGCAATAGAAAATCGGCGTCTGTTGATTCCACGCGCTTCTGATTAGTCAAAACACAATATAAACTATCATTGTAATGATTATTTGGTAACGCATGAACATCACTTGTGAATAGATAAAATGTGTAAACTAATAATTCTTAACTTGCATTATATTGTGTATACCTACTATAATATGAATTAGGCAATATTATGTCGCTGCTAATAGTTTTCGTTTTTTTTAAACAAAAATTAACGTTAGTTTCCTTATCCCTGACCTTCTCCTGCAGTGTACAATAGTAAACAATAATTTTTGATTTGCCAGCTTTAACCTGATAAAACAATGCATACCTGACATTATATATTAATATACTCGCTCTTTAATATGGACCAACCTAGTAATAATAATTCAATACTATAGGATACAAAATACTAATAGTGTGTTTTATTTTTTTATCCGTTTTTCCTTTTGGCATTTCTTTTTTGTTTTTTTTTCACACAATTTCGCTAAGACGTGAGGATTGTCTATCCCAACAAGACATTCTCGCAGCATTCGACTAACTCATGTGGTTCAGGTGAGTTTTACAAAACCAATATTACACTTTTACCTCTATCCCCCCCCCTTCCCCCCACGATTTATACATAACCCGACTTGTACATATATAAATATATTATACCTATACATAAACAATTATTTTGAATACCCAGTTTTTATTTTAATTAGAGTATTTATATACATATTATTTTTTTATATTACATGTAAATTATTGTACAACCATATCGTTTCTTTTTTTTTTTACCACTCGTATTGCGTACAGAGCTTTTGATACCCACTAATTTATTTTGTTTTATACTAAACGATGACACTTTAGGGTCATAATACATTATACATTCAGCCACGAGTGTAATGTATTATTATTATTATTTACATTTTGTACACAATAATGAAACGCTGTTTTTCTTTTGTTTTATGTACCGATGCTAATTTGTATTTAACAGCAATGCTAACACTATAATTACAAATTCTTAATAATATAACATTAATACAATATAACGATAATAAATATCATAATAATAATATAAAAACACAAATATGCTACCAAGCCGTCCGGCCAAGCACAATAAGGTCTAACGCGTAGTGTTGTTTCAGCTCGCAAACAAGAAATCGTTAAAATTACCGAACAACTGATTGAATCGATCAACAACGCTGATTTCGAAGGATACACGTATGTATAATTGGCGTTTAATCGATGGCCAAGCAACGTTGACGGTATTTTTTTTAATGGAATTTGTTTTGTGATTTTTCCAGAAAAATATGCGACCCCCACATGACTGCATTCGAACCCGAGGCTCTTGGCAACCTGTTGGAGGGCATGGAGTTCCACAAGTTCTACTTTGACCATGGTAGTATTGAAATTCTTTTAACGCGTGACCGTCAATCATGACCAGCTAACCACCCAAGTGCATAAATCACCGGTTTAAGTATAGAATCTGTGTTGACAGTTTTAGGTAAGAACAGAGGTATCAACACCACTGTGCTCAACCCGACGGTACACCTGCTCGGCGACGACGCTGCCTGCATTGCCTATATAATTCTCGTGCAGTACATTGACAAGTAAGTAGTTTGTTTTACATATTTACAAAAAAAAATCAACACCCTCTCCTTATGTATACAAGTCTATAATTTTATGAATATATTATGCAAATAATCTTGCCTAAAATAGTATTGGCGGCTAAAATTCTCTCTAGACGAGTAAATATAAGACATGAGTGCAAAGAAACTTAAATAGAATGATACTATTAACCCTGCGTTATGCGAGTGGTCTACGGTTGTAGATCAGTCACAATTAGTCAAACTGTGTAAATCACAAGACTAAGGGAGGGTTAATGATAAAATACTGATGATAGTCATAAAGATGGGACACTGTGCTGTTGCGCTGTAGTACAGTGGGCCTTAGGCGGGAATCAAACCACCCCTACCTAATGGTAAATAATATAAATCTAAATAGATAGATAAAACAAAATTGTAAGTACCTAGGGACCAAACTATTGGAGATGTCTTCAAAAATATATGTTATACTTTTAGGATGATTAAAAAAACAGGGAGAGATTCGACCCCCAAAATCCCCCCCCCCCAAAGATAGCTTTATAAAATGTAAAATAAAATATAATGTATTATAAATGTAACCAATAATGTTTAATAATAATAAAGCTTTCATAGTTTTTGTAAATTTGTTTTTATATTCATATTTTCTTGCAATCGTTGAATTTTGCATTTTATAACAATTTATAAATTTGTCTTTATTTTAGGAAAAATGTTTTTTTATTGTGTAAATAATTTTTGTCACCCATTATTACATTCAAATATTTCTGTCAGGGAATGCAAATTTGTAATGAATTTGGTTTATTTAGAGGATTAAGACGATAATTGTAGATTCAAATCTTAATTATATCACTAATTGATATTTAAACTACCTTTATTAGCAGGTATTAGCATTTAATCTCAATATTTTTAATATTCACATTAATTATAAATCGTATAACATATGTTTCCATTGGCCCAGTGAGATTTTAGGAGTTCTTTAATTTTAAGTTGATTTTAATACTAAGAGATTCTTAGTTGAAAATTATTATTTTTTTTTTTTATTATTAACGAAAAAATGTAACAGTATATCCAATTAAACCTTGTATCACAATCTATAAATTTATGTAAATCACTTACCTTATGTATTTAATAAGGCTAAATCAAAGACAACCTACGTAAATAATCAATTCTATATTAAATAAGTGTACTCGGAATTTATAAAACAATAATAAGTAAATGGCGATTAAGTTACAAATATACAATTACACGAATATACTAATATACGAAAACACGAATATACGAATGTACAAATACACGAATACACGAAAACACGAATGTACATATACACGAATACACGAAAACACGAATACACGAACTATATGAACTTAAACACGAACTATTCAAAAGTTCGAATACACGTATTTTCGTGTACACGTGAAATAAGAAGCTCTAGTTCAAACCCGTAACCCCTGTGAATGAGTTGGATACAATCCCGCCTGTAGTTGTCTATTTGTATGTTCAAACTCGGCGACCTCCTCTTCCCCCAAACACCTGAATCAATGTACAATAATGTCGGTGTCGATCTTTTAGCCAAAATTGTTTCGGTATGTTGCTATGAAAATAGAACGAGTGTATATTATTTCTAGTGATTTGTGGGCATTGTGTGAAAAAAAAATCAAATAGACAATCGGTCCTCGTTGATAATTTTTCTAAGTACGATTAGACTGAGTGTAATAATTAAAATTAAGATTTTAGCCGAGTAAAAGTTATTGAGTAGCGAATGGCTGACTCAATAAGGAAACATATTTGGTCATTGGCGCAATCAGAGATGGGAGGAGGAGAATCTAATTCAAATCTTTATAAACTCGTTCAGGCTCTAAAAAAATGTCAGCAACTAATCAGGCACTGAACTCACATTAGGTTTATAATTTTTTAATAAAATTCTGAGGGAGTTTTCAGAGTTTTTTTAATAGGTCTTAACTTCCTTAGCCCCTTCTCTAATTGGGCCATTGTGTCTGGTAAAAACAAACACCAACAAAATCAGTGGCGTATTTTATACAGCAAAACCGGTCGTTTGTAGATTGGTCTCTCTTACCTGTGCGGGCCCCTGGCCTAGACCCTCACAAATTATTTTTTTATTCAATTTTTGTAAAACAAAAATCAAGTCAAATATGTGGTTCCTATAATTATTAAAAATAAGAGAGGTCATAATTGTAGGGGTCAGTGGATAAAGATGCTAAGTAATTATTTTATTGGGCATTTCGTTATGTTTTTAAACTAGGCCCTTTTTCCTTAAATCCGCCACTGGACATAATAGCATGTTATATTTCTTTCAACAGGCAAGGGGTTCCTAGATCGCACCAGTACGAAGAGACAAGAGTATGGCACAGACGCGACAACAAGTGGCAAAACGTGCACTCGCATAGGTCGGCGTCGGTATCGTCCACCAACAAAGCGTTCTGTTCTTCTACTGGCGCAGGCAAATAGCCTGAAAACAATCACGACGACACTTGCATTATCCGGCGGTAACAGAACAAACAAGAAGGCCCATTAAACAACTTTTTTTTGTTCCTTTTTCTTAATTTCTATTTCTTTCTTCTTTAATTTTTCATATTTTTGACTGATGTAATAATAATAATACAATATTATAATTCGGATGTATTCGGAATACATATAGTGTATGTTATATGTATATTTTCTGTTATAATCTATGTATACAATGCACACGGTTAAATCGCATAATATTATATTACTCGTTAATATACTATTATAGCCATTAGGTACTAATAGTGTACAACTTAAAAAAAAACAAGAATATTTTATAGAAGCCAACAATGTTTATAGTGAACAATACGATATTCTAAAATATTTAAACGTACCTACCTAAACGCGAAAACCATACAGTTGGCTACTGCGATACAAAAATAAAACTATAACAAAACATTATGTTAACCATATAAACGCGCACCTTATTTACTATCTATGAAATTTGCACTCAATTAAGTAGTCAAGGTTTTAGGACGGTAATTTTTTTCATAACTTCGGCTTGGGCATGCCACATTTTTTTACTTCTTTCCATAGTTTTTTAGTAGTTACTCATCGATATATATATATTATATACAAATAAATATAATATACTCATCGTGTACTCGTAGTCAATTAATGAAAATACCAACTTTTAATCATAATAACGCATTACTCAATGCCAGTTATTTATTTTTTGATCGTTAGTCAAAAATATAACTGACCACGATGTCGTTCAAATCATGTTTTAGGATTTTAGTAGTTTTTTCGACGCAATGCCTCAAAAAGTTGCTTCCACGTTTACCTAATTATTTTTGTAACCCTTATCAATATTGGCCTGTTTTTTTTAAATAATATGAGTAACATAAAAGCAAAATTATTATTAACTAAAAACAATAAAGTTAACTTGAATGTATTTTAAGTATTACATTTTTACAGTTTACCAATAACCGCAAAACCATAGAAAATATTTAAAATTTCAACAACGGTAATTTTGTTTTTAAGACATAATATAATTTCAACTAGAGACGTTCCATATTATTACAAATCTATTTCACTCAAAATTAGTTTTAAATGTTCAAGCTAAACAAATATTTGAAGAGACGTGTAGTTTAATAATATGATTCTAATTTTTGAAAAACTAAACCTTAAAATGATACTATAAGATAAAATTGATTAAATAATAATTTATTCATTCAGTTTTTTCCTATAATAAATTATTAAGTATAAAAATGAATTTTTGTTTTTAATGATTTCATAAAAAAAATGGCTTGTTCATTAAATGTTAAATAACCAATATATTACGTGTTTTGTATACGTTCCTAATTCGGCATTAAAATTTTTTTGATAATAATTAAATATAATAATATCACATATTATACCTATTATCAAATCGAAATACACTTTGTTTTATTTTTTAGTTAACTCAATAACTACAATTCGAGACATAATTATTTATCTTTGTATTACGAATACATATCTGAATTGATTATTATAATTAATGCCGTACATATTATATATTTGAAAATATGGCCATTTGGTATTTATACATATACATACATCATAATATAGGTAACATAAAATTATGTATAATAAGCTCTAACGGATTAAAATAAGTTTTTCTCTAATTACAATTTTCTTTCTTTCTAATATTTTGATCGCGATTTACCATATTTTATAAATTGGTAAAATAATGCTTTTTATTGTTAAATACAACTATATATATATTATAAAAAACAAAATTGAATTTAGAAAAAATAATATTTATAAACCTACTTATTATTCGTACAATAATTTATAGGCATGGTACCCTATGTAAATTATAATGTAAAATAATATTATCGTTTCTTAATTATTCATTTTTAAGTATCTTATATTGTTCTTTCACCTCACACTTGTATAATACTTAACCAATATAAATTTCTTAAATTATTATTATTCTAGTCAAACTAAATTTTGTTTATTTTTATCATTAAGGTTTATAAATGTATATTATTAAATGGAAAAATTTATAAATAAAACGGTTTCATTAACTTCAAATGAATAATACTCTTCTCTACTCACCAACTGCAATTGGCAAGAGAGTAGATTTGATAAGTTCAACTAAAGCATAAAATTTAATCTTTTTTTTTTTAATTAGAATTTTGAATAAAGAAACTGAGTCTACAAAAAATATTATAATAAAAAGACTGGTGCTTTATGTTTACTATTTTAAATACCTACTATTAAATTATGCTTTTTTTTTGTATTATTATAGTAATCTTAATATTTTTCCTAAAATAACTTTACATTTCTAGTGGCTATTATATGCCACATAATGTAAACTTTTTTAAACATTTGTTTTGTTTTTACATTTAATATTTTTGTGAAGATAATGATCACTTTCACAGTTTGTTAATTGTATAATTACGATAATTATTATTATTACTTATTATTATATTCATTCTAGCTCTGAAATTTTGTTACTATTATTATTATTATTGATTTAAAATTTTTATTATGTAATTACAATTATAGCATAAATAAAATAAAATAAAAAATGTCAACAATTTATTAAGCTTGAACACTGAAAGAGTAAAACAGAACACACTTAATCAAATAAATTCTCAAAATCAGAGGTCTTGACTCTTAAGATATAATTTTGAATAGTAAACATTTTTTTGTACAAGTTTTGTATGTCAGAGAGACAAGGCAAGGCTAGAGTATGGAATTATCATTATATTTATAGTCTATGTATTTTTTTATTTATCACAACAAATAATAATAAACAACTTCCGCGCCATTTGATGTGAAATAAGTACAGCTTATAAAGTTTATATTTATCACTTGCTATCAAACTGCAAACGGTTATACTGTAGAGTTAATCATGTTACGGTATTTATTATAATTATTTATTACACATGGCCGTTCAACTATAAAAAAATATTAAGTGACATTTCATAAGTTTTACAAAAAGCAAAACCAAATAAAATTGGCACTAACAAATTCAAGGAGTAAATATATACCATTTGTTTTATATAGCATATTATTGATATTAAATACTTAAACAAATATTTGACTGAGTTATGAGAGTTCTAGTTGATGGCAAACTATGTTTGATTAAGATACACATAGTTTGACATTTACCTAACCTAAGCAGCTTTCTCATTTGCAAATTATATAATAGGTTTAAAAAAAATACTAATAATTCTAATGTATTTAATAAAAAAAAAAAATATTCGAATGGCGTATTTGACTGAGGCAGCAACGGCCACAGCTTAACCACAAGTGCCATGCGGCAGCTGAGGTGTCCACTGCGCCACACCGCCTCAAAAATATAAACATATACAATAGCTATTTTAAAAATTCCTAAGTTTTTGTGAGAAAAATTATTCTAAGAGTTGCGTGACTTAATGTTTACTATAAGTTCCATTGACAATAATATTTTTATACTGATTGTTTATTTCTTCTGCTAAATGGCAGATGAAATTAACCTAAATCAAAAAATTAATTTTTTTAAATTTGTGATGAAATGTATTGCTAAATAATAAACATATTTATTTTGTGGAGCCCCCCCCCTTAATCTAGTCAAGATTGAATCCACCCATTCAATCAGCCCCCCAAAAAATATCCATCGAGGCACCAAGGAGTACTTGCCACGTATGGAGGTATCATAAATAAAACAAACTGTTTGCATTATATTTTTATTACTAAATTCAAACACATATCATTAACTGATAACTGAACAGTACTAAATCATTTTTTAATTAATTTTTTGAGTCACACAAAAAAATGAAATTCCTTTAAATATTTTATAAGTTACTTTCCTAATAATAACATTCATGATACAAGTAAACACATAAGGATTGACTTTATTGGTTATAGCGGAAACTTAAATAAAGGAAAATGTTATGAAAATGGTCAGTTTGTGAAACATCACAAAAAAAAAATAAAAATAAAAAAAAATTAAAATTACTTATTTTAATACCGCTTTTTGTATGGAAAACTTCTTCTGCCACCTCTAGAATTTTTTTGTTTTCCACCATTTTCTCCAGTATTACGTTTCTTTATTGCAGTTAATACAGTTTTGTCAATTGTACCAAAACGAAGTTCACGTGCTTTGAGTTTATCCTCCTTTTCATTCTAAAAATGATTAAAACAAAAAACAAAAAAAAATTATAACTTTAAAAATTATTTATTTTCCTTTTTTAGGTCAAATTTTGAACTTAAGGTTTAAATACTATAACACTTAAGGTAGAACAAGTAAGTACTTATGTATGCAATTTGTAAAGAAATCAGTGAACATTTATTTTTATAAGCTTGTACATTGTAAATAAATAAATTGCAAATATTTAAAAATAACTGTTTTCACTCGCAAATTGAGCTATTGCATGATGAATTACATAACAGTCTTCAAATTATTTTTTTAACTAGCACTGTTTGATCTTTTTTCTTTTTTTGTGATATATTAATCCTAATAAAATTAACTAATCAATATAAACCTTTATTGGTAACTCATAAACATTTTTAAACATACATCACATTTTCTCTCTACTACCAAAAATCATTTAAAAAACTCAACACTATGGTGAAACATAACAAATTCAAAGAAAAAGTTTTGATTAAAACAATTCTACCTCAAAGTATTCATAAGTTATAACTGAAAATTTAAAGATAGGTTTATTGAATTTATTATTAATAAGGGCCTTTATAGCCATTGGTTAGTTGGTAAGTTAGTTTGGTTTGGATTTTAGGTAGGATATATGCAGCAGGAAAGGAGATATTGGCAACAGTTATAATGCCTGGCTGATCAACCATCAGGAATCGAGGAGCTCAGACGCAGCTTAAATTTAAGTGTCGAGTGTCACCAGGGTAACCACTGCACCACATTATGCATCATTACTGTGATTTATCAACTAAGATAGGTATTATTATGTCGTAAATACAAAATTGCCCCTAGGCAGTAGAAATTATGATACTATACTTTTAAATGTTGATAATATTAGGTGCATAGCGCCAAACAAGCTTAACCCAAAAATTCATAATTTCTTTGAAAGAGCTATATAGTTGGCCATTATTTGTCAATTTTTTGCCAAATGTCAATTCCAAAAAAAATATTTTTTTGTCTTTAATGGACAATTGCACCAACTATACTTAAATTTAAGTAAAGTTTAACCTATAGCTACATTATTTTTAAACTACCCTTAAAATTTAAGCATAGTTGGTGAAAACGGTCATTAATGAATTAATTTTTTTTTAAGGTGAGGTCAGTTTGGTTTTGAAATATTATATTATACTGTAGTAAAACAAAATTTAATTGTTTATAGGTTAAGCTTTTCTGACGCTATGTGCCTCATATAGAACTAAAATTTTAGGCAATCTTAAAAATGAGCAAACAATGATGTATTGATTTGACATTGAAACATTTTCACTTACATCATGTAATGTTTTAGAAACAGTTTCTCCAAATCTCTCTGCTCTCTGTTTTAACTTATCATTGTCGATACTAGTGACTGGTTTCTATAAAAAATTGTAATTTAGAAATATGTTAATCAATTACAATAATAAGAAGTTTTAATCAATTAAACGTATATGTGAGGCAGAAAGGGACAAGGGACCTCTTGTTGCAATAATCTAAATTGCAGAAGAGGCAAAAACATCGATCAAAATTGAAACGCTTTAAAAAAAAAAAAAACATTTTGTTATCTACTTTAGAGCATTTTTTTTGTAATTTTTGATCGTTTCATTAATTTATATGTAAAATTAAAGTTAGTAATATTTAAAACTGTAAAGTATTTAAAAAAAAAAAAAAACATTTTCCGAAAATGTAAATCACACAAATATAACTTTGCCAATTTTCAAGATAGGAGAACGATTCTGGTCTCAAAATATTTAGAATATGGTGCAGAAATGAGAAAAACCAATAATTCAAAAATTGATTTTTACTACAAGAAGCCCCTTTCCCTTTTTGCCTCATACAATATTATAGTAGTTCAAAAAATAATTATATAAAAATACAGTGATAACATCAATAAAGACAGGGATCCGGGTTAAGTCCCAGAAAAATTCACATTTTACTATCTTCTATTCTATTCTATTCCACAATATTTTACTATACTATTATATTTAATATACTCTATTTTACTATATCATCTTAACTAAAAATAATAATAGTTGAAAATTTTATTTTTTTCAGAACTGGACAATCATTTGACATTTAAAAAAAATGTATTTCTAGTTATTTCTCAGTTACTAATGTTATCTTAAATAGCCTCTACATCTACTTATTAATAGTTGAACAGTACATTATAAATTATCGTTTTTAATATTATTGTAAAATGTATTAAAAAACTTTAAAAATTGCAATTTTTCACATAAATAAATAATTAACTTAAAAATATTTTAAAATTGTGCTTCGATTCCTTGTAAATGTTATATGTTAAATAATCCATTTATGTTAGTACAACCTATTATGTGCAAAAATAGGACCTCCACGTATTATAAACAAAGAAAAATTTTTTTTTAATTTTTAATAGATGCTTATTTCCTATATATATTTATATATGTTTACAAATTTAATTTTAATATTAAGTATTAGTGAAAAATTGCCTATACAATACACCTTAAAAACTGCTAGTATAGAAATCCCTTAATAAATAAAACTAAAAATGAATAACTCGATTAAAACATAGTTTTAATCTAAAAATGATTGCCCAATTCTAGAAAATATTGATTTTTGAAAACAAATTTTTTCAGTTTGAGAGTAAATTTTTTAGTAATTTAGCTTAAGTTTCAAGCTCTTGAATAACTAATTGATAGTTCCCAAAAAATATTAAAAAATACACACTAATCATACTTGTTCAGTAACTGGTCCAAATTTGATAAGTCGTGCCAATTTCTTGTCCTCTGGTACAGTATTTCCTCCAAATTTCTTAGCTCTCATTTGTATCCTCTAAAAATTATATTGTTGATAAAAATCATAACAAATTTAGTTACTAATTAAACATACCTCAGTTTGACTCAAAGTTTGAACATCATCTAATTTAATGACACGGTCTTGTTCATCATTTTCTATAGTTTCAGTTTTTTCTTCTTCTTCTTTTGGCTTGGAATCACCATTTAAATTCGTAACAGAATTACGTTTTAATGTTACTTTTTTTGGTTGAACTATCTATAATGTATCATCAATTATAATTCAACGTCGTATTTAAATATATACAAGTGTTACACTAAGTACTAATAAATAATTTAAACCTTTTTTTTATTTTACACAACAAATATTGTGGCACATGCTGGATATTGTACACGAGAATGGCATTTTTTTTAGATAAAATTTTGATATTTCTTAACCGAATATAAGGCTCAAAATTAAATACTTAGACCAATAGTTTAAATGAGAGAGGAATAACAATAATATTAAAATACCTAGTTTATAAAGCTGCTATGTTCTGTACATTTTATTCCTACTTGTTTTAACAACCACCATTATATTATTTTAATATTGAGTGGCACCTCTTTTTACACATAATATTTTCAAATGTAACCATTCTAGTTTCAAATATAATTGAGATAATTTCAAGTTTAAAAATGTATAGGTATTAGGAACTATTAAAAAAAAATATTTTTTTATAATTACAGTGAACTCTTGGTAATCCAGCTCTGTGATAGTTTGATACTATTATTTTTGTAATGGTAAGTTTTTTTTATAGAAAAATTATGAACAAAGATGATTTTCAGGCATAATGTTTAAACGACTTCAAGAAAAAGCAATACAAATGTAATTTCATGCGCAAAGGCAATAAATAAAAACTTGACATTTTTTTAGACCTGGTTAATACAAATAAATTATAATAAAAATATGTACAGTTTAATTAACAATGGTTTTGCTATTAAAATTGGTTTTTTTATGAACCTCCACAAATCTTGCGTTTTTGTTAATCCGGCAGTACCCTGGTCTGGTATCTGCCGGATTACCGACAGTCAACTGTATTATGTTTCCATAATAAGGCTGTCAAAAATAATGAATTTTAATTTATAACATACATTATTCATTATTATAAATTATTTTATGTCAAATATTATTAACTATACCTGTTCATTATTTTTATCTGCAATGCCATTTCCTAGATTGGTATCTTTTTCAGCAACTTCTCCTAGAACTTTAGAATCATCGATATCCGAGTCACCAAAATCATCCTATTCAACAGAAAAATAATATATACATATAGCGAAAAAAATAAAATAAATAATGTAACTAACTTCTAAACCATCATCTTCATCTAAAATGTTATCTTCGTCCAATACAGTATCCTCAATATCTAAAACTAAATATTAATATTTTAAACCTAAATCCATTAAAATATATTTCACTATAATCTTCATACAAACCTGAGGATTCTGAATGATTTATCATACGGTCAATGAGCTCTTGTTTATTACCGACTGTGCTCAGACCTCTTGATTTTAACTCTTTCTTTAAATCATTGACCTAAACATTCATTAGTTTTATCAATATCGGTTATATTAACAATATATAGTTTTGTAAATGCATGTTAACAACACAAAAACTGTTTTATATTTATTGTTTTAATCTAAATATTTTATTAAAACTGTAGATGCCAGTGCAATCACCACAAATAAGTAAATTTTTTTTTTTTTTTAATTTTAGGAGACAAAAAAGCCTTTTTTTTAGAAAATGTTTAGTTTTCTAAACATTTTTTTCCTTGCCTTCAGTTACAGAACCGAAATAAGTAATATTAAATTAATATACTATCAAAATTAAAAATATAATAATATATTAATATTGTCTAATAATCATATTAGAAGTGAGTTAGCATTTTGTCAATTCTTTACAGTTACATTAATTTTGGTATAAATTTACTTTACCAGACACTTCTTTATTTTTGCTATTATACAGTGTTTTTTTACACTGATTACGAACCTGAAGTCAAGATAGGCGGACTCCTCTAGTTCAATTGTTTTAGCTACTTGAAATTTACACATTTTCGTGTGAATAATAATACGCGGTGGTAGTTGCGACCGCGTATTATTATTCACACATTTGTATGCGATGTGAGGCTAGGTTAGGTTTGGATTCGTTAAGTTATTGATGCTTCCAAAACGGTAGGTTAGATTAGTTTAGTCCTTTTGGCAAGCTAATTTTTCTTTAAGGGTTTTGGGGCGTGAAGGCGGCAGGCGTAGGGAGTTGTTTTAAATAGTTGAAGATTTACTAACTTAAAGCTTTAAAACTTAAGAAAATTATATTGTTGTTCAATACAATGTGGATATTACATCATTGATATTATAATAAATAATTAATAATAATATTAATAAAAATAAATAATTGAATAATACTGTAGCAGCGTCACTCACGTTGCCGATTAATGTATGGTACAGCGGCGGTCTATTGTTATACACCCAAAAATATGCAAATTTCAAATAGCTATAACTTTGGTACCAGAGGAAACTATAGATTTTTGACTTCATATTCACAATCAGCATAAAAAACACTACGAGATGGCAAAAAAAGGGTATCTGATAAAGAAAATTTGTTCCTTAATTTTAAACAACATTTAAAAAAATCACCAGTCATAATTTGGGGGTGGGGGGGGGTAAAGGTCTGTGTTACATCTCTAGTTTTAAAATTTGGAATTTAAAACAACTTAAAAAGTCTATGTAGGGTATCCTTATTGCGGAGAGGTTTCCTGACGGTATTTGGGATGGAAACTCTTTTGTACTAGACATTTTACACTTTACGCTCAGCAAAAAAAACTGCCTAATCAAACAATCTTATCAAACTGGTTAGATTTGTTTGTGTTCCATACCATAAATAATATAGAGAGGGAATTTTAGAATATTTTCAGTGCTTAAACACCTCTTAAGACTCATCCACACTAGCGTAACATTAGCGCAAACACATTTTATAAGTGTACATTCCCATGAACATTTCATTTCAATGTTTCTCACATTGTACCTAACATTTCTGCGAACGTTTTATATGGCAGTGTGGATGTGGCTTTATAGGGAAGTTGTGCCCCTAATGATATAAATAATACATGTCAAAAATAGTATTGTTAAATTAAAGTAAAAAATGATCAAGTAACAAAAAAAAATACTTAATAAAAGATAAATAAGAAATTGCCATATGGTAAAACTCCTAATACAATAACGTTAATCATTAGAAAGAATCCAAAAAAATATTATTATAAACTTTTTAAGCTATTATGAAAATTTGACATTAAATTTGACATCAAAATTTGACATTTTGATTTAACCAGACTATTTGAATACTTCAAAATCTGATAAACTTTGGGCATACATTTCTAAATGTCCAATAAATATAGTTAACATAATTATTGGGTAATTAAACAACATTCGATTACTTAATACAAATATTTAAAAAATACCTACGATAAAAATTCCTTACCTTCATTTTACTGAGTTCTTCAAGTTTATTTGTATTGTTACTAATATTATCAGACATATTGGTTAAACTTCCTAATCTAAAAATAAATACAAGATGTGGAAATTATAAAATAGTAGTCTTAACCCTATATAAACATACCTAATGTAAAATCAAATCATAGGAAATACATTTTATGTAATATATATATATAATATAAACAAAGGTATATAACGTACGCGTTCTGCAAACGGCAGTGCACTATTATGTGTCGGCGGTCTAATCGAATCGGTCGATGGTTTGTAACTTGTTTATACTTATTTTTTATCAGTATGATTTTATTTTAATACTACTATCACTTTAGATAACAACAAGTCTATTCAGTGCATTTATTACAAAACTACAATATTCTATCATGTCTATATTATATTCTACAACAATATTAATGTAGTACAAATAAAATGCATTGTTCACATAATGAACTTAGAGTAATTGAAAATTGCAAATACATATTACATAGTGCATAGTAAATTAGCTATTACCTACCGGGGAGTTGAATAGTTCAATAATATAGTTATTAGGTAAACACTGTCATGATATTTATCAAATATAAATTTTTACCAAACCTTATCACAAGCCTTGCGTTTCCCTTATCAGTGTCTTGGTAATATATTTTTGATCTAAGGCCGTGTTTTTGCCCTAAAAGTTTAACATTGACAGATGACAATTATTTATCTAAAATTTGAATTTAGAGAAATAGCTGAAATTATACTTTACAAGATACATCTTTTTTATTATAATTAAAAATGATTTGTTTGTAATAATGTTTTAATTGACTTAACAAAAATATTGCCAATATAGACATAAAATAGTTATAAGTGGTATAGGTATTTTTTTACAATGGCTGGTTTAGAATCATTTGATTCAACTTACCAAAGACACCGTCTATCTAGAAGCGTTACTGAAAACTCATCTGTCAATTTGCGACGTGACAATGATTCTACAAGTATAGAAAACACTAGGCAGCTTCATCTGGAAACTCTTTTGGAGATGTCTAAAAATAAAGGTAAATCCAATAATTACCCTTTTTTTCATTTCTAAAAATTATTTAATTATTTTCAGATATTATAGTTAATGATACAGTAAATAAGTGTTTAAAGCCTACATGTGTTATTTTACAACATGTTGTAAGCTATCCATTTATTGTACTAAGAAGACAATGCCAAGTATGTATTATTTTAGCTTACTAATGTACTGTGTGCATAATAAATATGTAATTTATTATAAAACTGAATGTTGGCTTATGAAACACATCTCACAATGATAGGGTTGGGTGTTCATGGCCTGTTAAGCTTGCATTATAGTAATGATGATGATGATGATTATGGAACGACTTATATTTATTTATTTATTTATTTTACATAACAGGCCGAGGCCCAAAGTACAATTTTTGTAGACACAGAAATACATATATAATTATTTAATCTAACAAGTTATACAAAAGTGAAGGTTCTCCACCTTTCCACCTAAATTGAATTATATTTTTCTTTTTGACTACAAATATGTTAAATTAATTAATAATGGTAAGAAAAAAGTACTATTTGGGAAATATCTAAAAACTAGTTTCATTCAATGATATTATATTTTACTTAAATTAAAATACAAAATAAAAACTAAATATTAAAGTAAACTTATATTAAGAAGTTTATTTTTGCTCAAAATTAATTAATTTTGTTATTTGAATGGAAATCTTATTTTTTATTTTTAAGTATAAATTAATTTGTCCACTTAAGTGTCAGAAATGCAGTTTATATATATTGTATGAATACATAATTTTAATTATTTCTTTCTAATAATGTATGTTGACTTACTTGTATTCATAAAGAAATTTTCAGTTATGATATACAAAGTGTAATTATTGTTTTTAAACTTTCTTTGAATATTAAGAATGTAACTATGTAAATTTAATTTATTTTTCAGTTGCATTATGCTTCAAATCGTTACCATATTGTACCATTTACACTAATACCAGTTGTCTTTAGACTGGTAAAAAGTCAAGGTGTTGCAGTTTTATGGAAAGGTTTTGGCACAGTTCTACTTATTAAAGGAATGACAATGGCTGTTGAAGCTTTTTTGTCTGAACTTTTTGATTGGCCTAAGTAATATATTTTTTATTTCCATTCATTGTTTTACTATGTGAATTTAAAATATTCAAATTTTTCAAATTTTTTACTATATTTCTAGCAGAATTGTTTTAATACTATGTTTTATATAACAACAATTTAATTTCAGAGATTTATCTTCTGTAAGCAGTTCAAAAAGTTTTGGAAAACATATTTTATTAAAATGGTAAGTAATTTATTTATTATAATTATATAGTATACAGATAAGAGCAGGAGTGGCCGAGTGGGTAAGGTGGCAATGTGTTGGCGCTCACTCGGTTATGGGCGGTCCGTTTGCTGGGCAAGCAAACATCTGGTGAAAAGGAGCCACCAGCAGTGTTGGACTTTCATGGCCTGTTAAGATACATGATACAGTATATTTTGTACTTAAATGTTAACTTGTATGTTTTAAGGCTACACTTTTAGGGGAAAAACTAGCATACAAATATTTTGTTAGTGCTAAAGAAAGTTTTATGATCTATAGTAAAATATATTGTAATGATTTTGAGAACATTGTTTGACGTTTTCTTGTATTAATTACTTTGTTGTAGAATTTTTTTAAATAAATTTTTACTTTATGTTATAGTGCAAGTTTAAGTCTTATCACACCATTTTACTCGGCATGCCTTGTCGAAACTGTTCAAAGTAACATAGCTAGCGAGAGAACTGCATTTTATGATGTCTTTAAAGAAGGTTTTATGAGGCTTCTTCAATGGAACTGTCCTCAAAAAGGTTTGAATACAGTATTACTATTTTTTTATATTTTAATGTATAGTATAATAAGTTATGTCATAGAGGCGTGGTGCAATGGTTACCTCGGTTGTCACTTGGCATCCGAGTTGCAGTACCTAAAAAAAAATTAATAATTTCATATATATATATTTTTTTTTTTTTTATTTGCTCTCGGTTCTAAAGGCTTGTTTGACTGAGAATTTTGTAGTCTTTAGCAACACTTTTCACTGTATGTGGGTAGTAGTGTACTACCATCCTCTGTTAAGTTATGGAAAATGTGTGTAGACATCATTCCCAGTGATGTAGGTGACAGTGGTAATAGTGTAGTGCAATTGGGTGACGGGACTTGTAGGCTCAAAATTTCCAACACCACGAAAAACTTTTAACTGTGCTGGAATTGAAACGAAGAACATACAAGTTGTAGCCAGCTGCATCTCCAATACGTTTTACTGGTTTATAATACATACCATAATATTTTCTTAAAAGTTATTTGTGTAATTTTTTTTTTATAGGTCGCATGTTACCAGTTTGGATTTTAGTTGTTCCTACAGTTACATATGGTGTGTTAAGATATGTGTCTAATATTATTATCAGTAAAAGTATAAAACATTCATTGTCTAAGTATGAGCTTCATAAACTTCGCCAGACTGGTGCCATACCAAAAGACTCTTCAACTTATGATAATGAGCGACTTGAAGCAGTTTCGGATTTGTCAGCTTCAGCAATTAGTGATGCTGTGCTTTATCCTTTGGAAACAATTATGCATCGTCTCTATTTACAAGGCACGCGAACTATTATTGATAACCTTGATACAGGACTTTCAGTAATGCCAATTTTAACTGGTTATGTGGGTCCATTTGACTGTTTCGTTACGACAGTAGCACAAGAAGGGCGGTCAGGCTTATTTAAAGGATTTGGCGCTTTATTACTTCAAACAACTGTAATAGGAGTATTGTACAAGGTAACGAAGTTAAGCCTTGAAAAAATTGTAGATGCTTATGCAACCGCAAATTCTCCTCCAGTAGATAATATTCAGAATAATCAAAACATTACACCTGAACAGTCAAGAGGAGAACCTTCTAATTTAAGGCCAGTAGTTCGATCAACATCATTTAAGATGTAATATTATATAAGATATTTTTACGTTGTTACTATCAGTTATTAAGATCCATGTAGAATAATATTGTGATATAAATATGTTAGTGTTTGATTTTAGTTTCTTTAATTGAAAATCCTTGTTATTGTCCTATTTATCTGTAAATTGTAATGATAAAAACAAATTAACAATACAACTAGTAAAATATTATAAAAACGTTTTGTTCATACAATACTACTATATAATAAAGTGTGCTCCTCATCAATTGTGTAGCGTGTGAATGTTTATATATATATATATATTTTTTTTTTTTTTTATCTTCTGCATGTACTATGCATATGTAACACAAATAGGCCTGTTTTCTTTAAAAGATACCTATTTCTTCATGAGTCTTAATTTCAAAAATTCGCCAGCCCTACATCCTTAAAAAATCAAACACTAAGGCTTGTGTGAGCTGTGACGAACAACTTTTATTTTGTAGTCGGCAATTCTCAATACCTGCCGGCTGCGATATTCGAACCTGGTGCTCTAGTAGCCTTTAGGTTTTTTGGACTTATATTTATAACTTTTTCTATATTTATTATTAAACCAATGATACAAACAAAACATAATCTAATGTATTTCTCAACTTTATAATTTTTCTAAAAATCAAATTTCGTTTTTAATTTATTTTATCAAAAAAAAAACATTTTTATTATTAATAATTTAATTATTATGTTATTTTTTCAATAATGTAATAGATAATTTAACTGAAACTGAATAATGAATAGTCTACTGTGTAGCTTATAGAATCAGGAATTGATAAAAAAACAATGGATTATTTAAATTTTTATCTGATACATCCCACATCCGTTAACGCTATTGAGTGTAAACTTTAACGTAGCATAATGTTTTTATACTATGTTAAATTGCAAGGTTATACCATAGAATAAAAATATACTCTATAGGCTATGAATACATTAATGTCTTTTATGTCCCAATGGTTGACATATAGATTTTCAAGATTTTTTGTCCGCCCCTATAGAATTATATATGACTACTATAAATAACTATTAAGAGGACGCCACACTGGCCATTTCTAAGGAGTAAAGTAGAAGCAATTTTTCGAAAAATCTTAATTTAGAGTTTGAACTATAATATATACTTATAAATACAGTAATGAGGATAATTTGTTGATTGTTTTTTTTTTGTCAGACTATCATAATCATTTCTATAGGATAAATTACAATTTTTTCCCCATCAAAACTGTATTGCATGGATTAATTTTTCTCAAGCTTCATATATAGTTAAGGAAAGAAATTCATACATATTATACATGACAAAATTATCTGTGCTCCAGCATCCGTATTTTTTCGATAAACCTAATACAACCGGCGCTATAAAATTGTTAAAAAGCCAAACGGCTTTCTTAATTTATTATTCATTTACTGGTTGAAATATTTAAAAAAGGGCCATGGTAGAGCACAGACAATGCTGTTGTCTAATTATGTGAAAATTTAATTTCTTAGTTTTGATTACAGCCTTTGTAAAATTATGCCGCGCAAGGCAGATTTTTTGAAGAAAATAATGGGTGTGTGACGCCCTCTTAAGTAATCAACAATAATAATTAATATTAATTTTATTTGAAAATTTATCCCCAATACTAAATGCTTAAATCGTCTATTTCAGGCGTGCAATAAGCAATTGTCAATCATAATTGATAATATATTTTGTAAATCTAATATCGAGGTACAAAATAGTTATAGTGATTGGTATTTGGTAGTTACTTCTTATCTATTATTCTAATATAATAAAGTATATATTATCATTTATTGGATCCTACATTAACGGTAAATGTCGGTCATCGATTAGTTTTACAATTTCAATTTTAATCTGTTTTGTGGTTTTACTAGAAAACTTTTTTTACATTTTCAATAAATCATGTCTTATTAAGGCATTAAGCTTTCATACGTTTCACCAACTATACTCTTTTAAATTAACCTCACGCCAAATCGGTAACTCGTATATTTAGTAGCTGTATATATTCAGTTGACTGCTCAAAAAATGGCTGATGCCAGTGAAGGGGTAATACATTTTAAATTACTTATATAATTAATTGTATTAATGACTAATTAAATCAAAATATTTTTGTTATGTTTGTTAATACATGAATAATGTACCTACTTTTATAAAATTGGAAATAGTTGTAACCTCTACATATTATTATCATTATATAAGAGAGCTTAGGACGAGTGATCTAGAGAATAAAGCTACAGTATTTATTACTCAATGTCAACATTGTGACACTTTCTCACGGGCAGCTTTGTTGGTTGAATGAGGAACCGTCAAGTAAAAAGGAGTTGTTGTCCCTTGCTCCTGTGTTGGACTAAGAATCCTCTATGTAGTAACAAATTTAATGAGGATGCTACATATTATGTATAACTTAAGGTGTTACACTAAATAGCTATTTCTCTAAATCTTAAAATTTTGGTAACAAAAAATAATAATATAGGTGTATCATATGTTGTTGGTTTTGATTGATATCTCCAAGAGCTTAATATTTATTATTTTAATAAAAAAATGTTAAACACAATATCAAAAACCGTTTATATTGTTCATTGTATAAATCTTCTTTTTTATCTTCGCCTTACACTCCCAACTACATGGGGTCGGCCACCCTAGTCCTACATCTCCATAAAGCTCGGTCTTCTACATCTTGTTCAAACACCCCAGCTATCCTCATATTCCGTCCATCCATCTTTTCTTTGGTCTTCCTCTTCCTCTTTTTCCCTCTACATTCATCTTTATAACACCTCTTACTGCCTCTGCCTCATCACTTCTCATAACTTGACCAACCATCTCAACCTATTCTCTCTCATTTTCTCCACAATTGATGCAACTCCTAGAGAATGTACTCCTATTGTACATTGTATAAATATTATTTTTTAAGTGTCATCAGCACTAAGATTCTACGGGCACTAGGTACAGACAAAATAGGATGGTTTATAGCTTATCAAGAGTACTTAACAATGTTGAAAATTTATAATATAAATATATAATAGTCAAATAAAAAAATGAATGATCCACAGAGTCCTTATTACTGTACTTAATAAACTACACTTGTGTATTATTTTTGAATTAAGATTCTAATTTAAAAAATGTGGATTTTAAAACCCTAAAATAAATCAAATGTGTCGGCGTGTATTATAGGGTTCTCTTCTGAAATCTCAGAGCCTTAGGCCTACATTGGCCCCAAAAGCTTGAAAAAAATGTAGTGATTTGTTTTAATAAAATGAACTGCCTCTATTTCTAGTAAAATTTATTTTAACGATTTATAATTGTATTATTTTTTTAGACTCTTTTTGTAGTAGATGAAGTGAGCGACATTATTAAGGACTCCATAGAACATGTAATCGGTAGTCAACTATATCAACAAAATATGGTAAACAAATGGACTGATTCTGTAGTAGAAAATTGTCTAACTAGACTTTGCAAACTGGCCAAACCTTTTAAATATATAGGTTAGTACATATGTATTAAAATGTGTTACAAGCTATATTATATTTTTCAAAAAGTTACTCGGTTTTAATTTTTATTAAATCTATATTATTTTATTTAAAAAAACATCTTGTTCAATCACCCCAGCAATTCTCATATCACTTTCTATTCCGTCTGTCCATCTTTTCTTTGGTCTTCCTTATGTCCCCCTTCTTCATTCATCTTTAAAACACCTTATCTCTTCTCATAACATGACCGAACCATATCGACCTATTCTCTCTCATTTTTCCCACAGTTGATGCAACTCCTAGATTCCCCTTTATATATTAATTTCTTATTCATTAACAGTTTCTATCTAGTAGTCATAAATTTGTATCATTATTTATTATAATTAATGTTAATAATACCATTAAATACCTTATAAAATATAGGTCACATATTATTCATAACGTATCTGATTTTTTGACATAGTAACGTGTGCAATCATGCAAAAAAATGGTGCAGGATTCCATTCAGCAAGTTCATGCTACTGGGACAACATAACTGATGGTAGCTGTACTGTGAGATGGGAGAACAAAACTATGTATGTTATTGTATCAGTTTTTGGACTAGCAATTTAATAACTGCATAAATATATTTTTGTACACAAAATAGATATATATTTATATACAATTGTATCAAACAGAACAGTTAGTACTCAATTTTTTACCATCCGACACTAATTGTTGTATATGTAATTATAAAACAAAATATAACTGGCATAATATATTTGTTATTATAATATTTTTATCATCGATCTAACATTAAAAATGAATAAGTAGTATTAGAAGTTATATAGGTTAATGTAGCATTCAATATATTTCATAATCACTATTAAGTATTAGAAAATAATTTTAAAAAATACACAATTTTATGTGTTTATGTATTATATATTTATAGTAGAAATTTATTTTAAATCTAAAACAAAAGTTTATTTTGCCTTAATATTTTTATTAATAAATGTAACAAATTAAGGTTAAGTTACAAGAAAGTTGCATATTTTTAAGTCTAATTTTTAAGGAATTAAGATCATGTAAAACTTCAATCTCTGTGAGAACTGAGGTTTGGTGACATTCTGAATAAACAATCATGTGCCCAACTCTCATTGGTCCACAACAACAGATTTTCATACACAAACAATCTATAAAGTTAATATTTTCCTATTTCCCAATCAAAACAGACTTGCGAAGTACTAACTGCATGCATTAATTATGTGAAGCAGCTTGGGACAATCTAATTTGCCATTGATTAATTAATGAATGCATGGCCGTTATTATTGCTTTTTTTTTTAGTTTTATGTCTGTGTAATCCTTTCAATTAGGACTCTGACGGTTTATAGTTTTGACAGCTACCTGCCAACATAATGCCTTGCCCTAAGAAGCAGGTGGTCATTTCTCCCCTCCAGGCAGTCGCCAAGATTTGACCTGGCAAGCGGTGACCTACGTTATTACACTGCAGCCTTAACTATCTCAGCCACGCGCCTGTTTTATAATATTATAATAACTAATAAGAATACAAATAAAATAAATTTAACCCCTATAAATAATAGTATAATTTTTATTATAAATTTTTAATTATCTATAACTAAACCAGGTACTCTATACAAAAATTCACCATTATCACCATAAAAGCAATCGTTCACTCTATAGGTATACCCTTCTTTCCATAATTGTTTAGGTATACGAATCGCTAGTGGGTAATCATTAATAGTATCAATAAAATTTGAAACTTCCTTCCTTGATATTACACGAGTAGATTCTTGTAAACTTATTTCAACTGTAGATGCATCTACACTTTTTTCATTTAATGATAGTGAATTAGTTGGTTTATAACCAGGATAAGTTTGCATTAAATCATGGTTTAGTTCATCCAAAATGAAATGTTTCTTTTTTGAGTCTGTTTTTAAATCACTTTCATAAATTCTTAAAAAATTAGATTCTTCATTTTGTTGAAGTTGTTTTTGCTCGTCATTCTTAACAGGTTCACCAATATAACTGGTTATTATTTTACCAAATTCTTTAGGGCTTAAATATTCTACTGCAGGTTTCGGTATAAATTTTTCAGCTTCTGAAAAACAAAATTATATTATAGGAAATTGATTAGTATTAAGCGGCCAAGTATAGATGACAAAACAAAAACGTGTGACTAATAAATTTCAACCATGTCATCTAAATTTCAGGATAATCTGTATTAGCTTTGTAGTTTGGGATATCAATTTTGGCATAGTACACAATTTTTCTATGAGAACCATTATGGCCGAAATAAAAAATGTCTGAAAGATATTGTTAGTGAAAAATAAGTTAGAAAATGTCTAAGATCATAATAAGAGTAAGTTTTCAGGTAGATGATATCCGTTTCAATAGTTGTTGACCAACATTTCGGACTCTTTGCAGGATCCACCTTCAGGGTAGTCACGACTGTTCCGCTGCCGTGGCTATACTGTACAACAGGGGTCAGCAACACGCGGCACGCGAAGCAATTTTTTAAGGCCCGCACAAAGATGGTGAATTTTTGTGTTTTATTTTTGTTCAATAATATTTTTCATAAAATTTAATTCTTTTGGCTTTATAAATAAAATCTAATCTAATCGTTTATACTTTATGTTTATGCTATATAGTTTTATAGTCTGATGATATTGAAAAATGAACTAATAAATTGCAGGCATAAAAATCGCATTAATTTACAAATTTACAATTTAATTTTTTCTTAAAAGCCATTTTTTCCAATAAAATTTGTTTTTTTTTATACTCATATTTCCATGTAAAATAATCAAATGTAATAGCAATAAAATTATTAGTATTATGTCATGTAAAATTTTTTTTTTATTAATGTGGCCCTTGACGAACAACTGAAAAAAATATGGCCGGCATGGTTAAAAAGGTTGCCTACCCCTGCTGTATAAATTTGAGCAAAAAAAACTGACACAACTGGACTTCTTAATATAAATATTTTTAAAAAATATTTTACCATTTAATGTGATTAAATTTGGTCGTCGTTCAGAAAATTTTGATAAATGACTTTTGAGGTTATCAGGTAATATAGTATTTATTGAACCATTCCGAAAAGATTCCCAATTTTGTTGAACTAATTTATCGTGTCTTAGTATTTGCTGGCCTTCATCTGCTTGCCATTGAGATTTTAATATTTTCTATAAATGATCAAAAATACATTTTAAGATAGCATATAATACAATAAAATTGTATATGGTTACTTTAATAATGTCTGGTGTAGCAGGAAAACATAATGACAAAGTTTCAACAGTCCATTCTTTAGGAGAATTTTTATGTAAATTTCTAATTTGTTGTTTCTCCAGATATGTTAAAAAGTTTGGAAGCACTATTCTGTTCTTAAAATACATTCGCTTAATGTTTTGAAATGACTTTATTTGCTTTCCTTTTTCTTTTTCCCTTTAAAATAATATATACTATTAAATATAAATGGTTAATTCAATATTTTTAAATAAAATATTTTATCAGTCTTATATATGTTCTCTGCTAGGAACATAATTATTCTGACTGTTACTACCTAACATTACAATTTACAGAATAATGACTGTATTTTAATTGGCTGCTAATCTATTTGAAATTTTATAACAAATTTACTATTATATATCTAGAAATGAGAGTATATTAGTGTCTCTCCTTCTATAGTATACCTATTTAATTGTTATTCTAGATTGGAACTTCACTTTATTTTTTAACTTGCTCTTATACAATTTTTATCATTTTGTAAATTTGTTTTTGAATGAAATTTATGCTAATTTCATTAAGCTGTTTTTGAAGGAAACTTTTACTTTTGGTCCATCCCATTTTTAAATTGCATATTTTATACTATCAATTATCATGTATTATCAAATTTAGTAAAACTTAAATAAACCACAGATTTCCATAATGTATAGCATATTAGCACTCGTCCACTATTTTTATTAATTATAGAAGTCTATTGGGAACACTTATACTATGTTTATTTATACATTCATATAGTTAGTATTGAAAACTAGTTAAGATAAAACTGTTTACATCTCCACATCCTATTTCACACAAATAACTTGAATATAATTTGTTATGACAGAGTCCATTAGTTTTCTATAATTTATTTCATAACATAGTAAGTCATATATAGGTATATATCATTTTATGAGTTTTACTGTTTTACAAACACGCAGAAATTATATATTTACTTCATATGTTGATCATAGAATAAATGTGATTGAAGCATATCATTTTCCGCATCGTCAATTTCATCTAATGAAATGTCAACTTTATCTGGTGAGTCCCCATCTAATGCCATAGCCAACAAACGATTTCCTCCAGGGTTACCTTTAATTTTGTTTGGACGTTTTGGCATTAAATTGGTTTTCACATTTTTGCGGTATAATCGGCATGATAATTTCGATTGTAATATTCCCAAAATATATATTGACTTCGTTGAGAACATATTTACTGGCGTACTAAACCGTACCCTGTACCATTAATAATTAAATTAAAATTTAGCCAAGAACTTATCAGCTATTGTGCATACCACAGTCCTCACATCGAGATAAAGAATTCTTTATCTCGATGAGTCCTCACGGGTTACACCTCAAAGAGCCACTCGACACGGAGCCACTCGACAAACAACCACCGAAAATCGACACCGAGCCACTCAACAAGCAGCCACTCGAAGGTGTACCAACATATACAATATTTATAAAAAATGCACGATTATTATTCGTGTATGTTGTGCGGCTAGTATTGTTTATTTAAAGGGGAAAACTTTTACATTTCATAATTAATGCAATAAGGCTTGAACTATTTTTAATTCACTGTGTGACCTGTCTCCTGTTTTGAGTTTTTTTACTTAAGTTATAATCAAATCAGTTTCTATTATTGAAATTTATATAAAAAAAAACTGAAAGTATATGAAACAATATTTACAATATTATATTATAGTGATAATTTACCAACAATAAATTGTCTCTTGAGTTTGTAAAAAAAAATGTTTTTCAAAACATACTTACACGTTTTATAATAAGTAAAGCAGAATGTTCATTGATCAAATTTCAATGAAATTATACTTTTTTTTAAAATTATTTAATACCGATGTATTATACCTATCTATTTAAAACAATACATCGTGAATACCTCATACTAAACTATTCGATACCCGACAATAAAATTAAACACATTTACTTAAATACTTTACAACTTCCAATAGGCAATAACACAATAATAAATTATAGTTAAATACTATTTAATTTTGTATTATATATTTTCATATCTGTGTATTAGTTATCATGTATATATATGCCGAAAATAATAATTCCGAAAAAATTTAAAACCAAAACATATATTAACCGAAAATATAATAGCCGAAAAATATTTAAGTCGAAAATAATGTCATCGAACGTATTTTAGCTGACACTTATTATTTGAACAGAACCTTATAAGTTATAAATTATAATAGTATACAAAAACACTGTTACGCGCGCCGTGTGACCGCGTTGTGTCTACTGTCTACGCTATTTTTATAACATCTGTGATAAGTTCCATTTGTTATTGAAATATACAGCTATTTTTTATTTTGTGGTTGACATTTTTTTTCCATACATACTACCAATGCTTAATTGTTAGTATTTGCTTATACTTAGCTACACAATAGTAAATTCAAACAGGGACAACCTATGGTAGACTGGCGCCTTGCCGATGCTGAATAAAATGTTTATATATTATTAAGTCGGCAGTAGTTTTTTGGGGTCTAAAATAACCGGTATGGTTTTTTTGGATCTAGATATGATACACTCACCAGACTTACCACTAATGTCCAGCTAATATATAAAATAGATCACTCCAGTTTATGTGTAAACAAGGTCAGATACAAGGGGAAGGCTGGAGTTAATAGTTAATAGTTTATAATACAATCTATATTAAAATAAATATAAACCAAGTCAAACTATAACGAATTTATGAGTAGTAAATTCACATGACTTCTTAAAAACAATCCAAATTAACTCAGGTGCTATAATATAATATACATAATATTATCATTGATTATCATTAATCAAAGATATTATGTATAAATGCACAAACAACAAAAAAGTTCAAATATATTAAATTTATATTTATAAACACAGATTTCCTTATTTCACACTATTATAATATACAAGTTAAAAGTTAGCTATAACTTAAATTTAAGTGACACGTGTATTGGCGTTGTCGATTGCATTATCTAGATGTTTTTATACATGTGCATAGAGTACACAAGGGTTTCACAAAATTATTGATACTTAGTGTGTGATATTATAATTAACGTGAAGTGGGTCTCATACGGTTAAAAAGTTATTAACGAAACGTTAATATTACTAAGTTTACTATGGTCAAGTTTATACAAACTAACGGTTGGTTACCAACTGCGGCCATCCATCACTGATGTTAAATAATTATGAGATTCGAGCTATCAAAAAAAATATATAATGGTTCAACACGTTGGCGGTGGCCGGTACTTAACAAAAGACTGCAAGGAAATAGTTTTTACTAAAAAAAATGATGATTTTACTGTTTTTATCTATTTATAATGTTATAATTATTAAAATTTATTTTATTATTGACCACGATTTAATAAAAAAAAAATTGTTTGGCTTAAGTATTCTAACAGCCTTGACAAAAATGTATTTTCTAAAATGATTATGTACATGTTTATTTTTAAAAGTTATTATCAGCAGTAATAAACATATAATATTAATCATTTGTTGAATAAAAACTAATAGTGTACATATTATGAACACAACGGATTTCATACAAGTTATTTTAGTATTAAAGTTAGAAACAATTGTGCATTATTAAAGAAAAATACTAAATTAATATAATCAAGTTTATAAAAAATGTTTACTAAATTATTTCCACTTGGCTTATAGTTTTTAAATTTTGAACATAGTTGGAAAAATAACAAAATATAGTTAGAACATTACAAATAATTATGGTATAAATCTACTTTACCGGGCACCCTTTTTTTCGATTATTTTTTTAAATCGACAGTACTTTTAATGTTGATTACGAATATGTAAAGAATTTGCGCCGCTCGCACTTAGTTTGGAAGTTACAGACTTTTAAAGTTCGCCGAAATCGACATACGTGCGCGCCCGGCACTGCACGTCTACCCGCGCCCGCTGGGTACTTCGTCCGTCGATCGTCGCTTAATTATCATCGGATTCCTCGTCTACCTGCCTCCCGCCCGTCGTGGTCCTTTTTTTTTTTGCATCATAATTTCATCACGCTAATATTTGACTTGTTTGGGATTTTGCTATAGCGAACAATGAACAATTTTTGGCTCGCCCGATGCACATTGTTGAGACTTGAGGATGACTTAGTAGTAAATATTAATGTTTTATCGCGCCCCGCTAATATTATAAAGTATTACGGGCTATTATAAAGCAATACATGTTATTCATTTTTTATAATTTGGTTATTCATTTATATTTTATGATTCTACATACATTAACACAAAATAAATATATAATGCTGTTTTTCTACAAACTCTGATGAAAATTGTGAGGGACACACACACATACATTAATTTATATATATATAGATAATAAAAATAGAAATAATTAATCAGATAAAAAAATCCAGTTTATATAGATGGCCTATAGCATAAGCCAAATGGGTGGAAAATATACACATTTGCCAATTAGCTAAAAATGTACTTTTTTTGGATTTTTATATCGGTATTTATCTAATTCTAACCCTCTGCTTCTGAGTTTTTAATAATTAGTTCTAAGTCAATAAAAAGTAAAAACCTTTATCAAATACTTTTTAGTTGTATATATAATATATACATGGATCGTTCATTCCGATACTCATGAAAATGCACACAAATTAAACAATGTTCAATAACTTCATTTGTTTTATATTTAAAATATATTTGTAATTTAATTGGAATACATGAAAGCAAGTTAAAATATTATTCAGTTAATATCGTTGCAATATACATAATTTTTTTACCTATGTATTATATTAATAAATAAGTATCAATAATATAAAAATGTATAATTATTTATAATAATAGAGTAAAAGTATTTAGAAACAATAATTATTATTAATAGCATGAGTAAACAAAAAATCCTGTTGAGTAAATTGAAATGTTTACAATGAACATAGTAACAATGTCTACTATACAATAGGGGTTTTAATAAAAATATAATATTTTCTACAAAATTACTGTTTTTATTTTTATTGATATACAATTTGGAAATTACATTTTTTGCTATTACTCCGTTATAATATGTGGTGTCGGCCGCACAACATACACAAATAATAATCGTACATTTTACATAAATATTGTACATGTTGGTATCTCTTCGGGTGGCTGTTTGTCGAGTGGCTCTGTGTCGATTTTCGGTGGCTGTTTGTCGAGTGGCTCCGTGTCGTGCTCCCTCCTCACGGACTCTTATCATTTTTCAGACAACTGCCAATCATTAGACCTTTTTCCATGGTTGATATCATAGACCTATTAAGATTATTTCTTTATGGGTCTATGGTTGGTACTTGATATATACAGGTTATTGCCACAGATATATATTACAACTAGATAGCCGACTAATAATTAATATTGAAGTCATAGATATATAATAAACTTATTAAACGTATTATATATATATACATATATATATATATGTGGTTGAAGTCAGGTAAATGGCCGACTTTTCCTATCAAAGAGCCCATGTCCATTGCATCTCGATGGTCCATTGAGCACATTATGATTAATGATAATGAAAAATTATATAAATTATCCACAGATTTTTTGATATCTATGAAGTATGAAATTATAATGGTAAAATTAGTTTTAATAAATTTTAATTTCAGTATACTTGACTTACTATAATAGTATAATAGGTAGGTTTTTAATGTACAAAACTCATGAAAGTTCCGCTAGCACATATATTACCTAAGTACCAAAGTTTTGATTTTGAATAATTTTTTTAACAATTAAAAATACAGTTTAAGACAACTAACATAAATATAGAAACTTTGGTAATTAAAACAGGAATATTATAAATGATGTATTTAAGTATAATAAATTGAAACCACTAACATTAAAATATAAAATTTGGTAATTAAAAAATTGGAATATTACAAATTATGTATAAGTATAAATTTAAAAACATTGGATTATACAAATTTGAATAATTAAAAATTGTTGTTTCAAGTATTACAAAAACACTTATTGATTCATAAATAGAATCTGTTTAGTTAATTTTTGCCTGTTACTAACAGGATTCAAAACATCAGTAAAGAACATTTTTCCAAATGAATGGAGCCTAATACTTAAATAGTGCTTCACTATTAGTGAGATATTAACATTTTGTGAGGTCTATCAAGCAAAGACTCATTACATGATAAATTTGCAAATATAATTTTATATAGCGAAGACTTTTTGTTACACAAATAATTGATAAGTAATTTTTAAATCTAAATTTTTGAATATTTATATGTTTTAAATTTGCAGTTAAAATTAAAAAATACATTTTTGCTTTGTTTATAATTTTAAATGCACATTTTGAAGAAAATATTCATAACTTAACAGAAAGCAAAATAAATCTATTCTCAATTCTATGATCATATTTTTATAATACCTCTTTATTTTTTATCGTGGAGGCCCTAGTGGTTATTTTTAAGATACTTTTGTGGGTAGCACTGATCCTTTCCCGCTCTTTCTTTGAGCTTCGCGAATTATTATTGTGTAAATAATAAATATTGTTATCACAGTATAGACAGGACGACTGCGGACTGATCGTAATTTTAGTTTTTATTGTTACTAGTTACAGACATTAAGAATTTCACTGAATTTGAAATGAATTCTATTTCTTTTGAGTTAAATTAATCTTACGTTTATTTCGTGATTTTAGTTTAGTTTGTTTAAAATATATTTCAATCAAATACGATGGAACCCTTATTACCATCAGAAGTTGCTCGTCTAATATATGGTAAGTGCTGTACAATTTTGGATTTCGGCCATTTTTCTTTTAAGTCAGTAACATAGATAATCGTAGATCAAAGTTAATTTGCTATTGTTATTGTTGTAGCTGTATCTTAGTAGCGGTTCTTCGACATTCTATGAATTGTCTATTGTAATGATTATATTACTAAGATTTATCCTGATCCCAAATTACATTATCATATTACTGGTTGTATTAGGAATAACAATAATAAGTTAAAAATGATGATAATACAAAGTGGAATTTTAAAGAAAGATCACTAATACTGAAATCTATTACATAAGGATAATTCTAATTGGTGAAAAATTGATTATTATTAAAATATAATCGCAGGCATACAACATAATTATCTTTTATTTAGTGGTATTTTATAAAACCATGTATAAAACCCTTTTTGTGTATAATATTATGCATTATGTGAATACGTTGAGTAGAATAAATGACAAATCCATAATCTCGGTGTATTTGATTAATTTACAGGTTATTTGAAGAAAGAGAATAATGACGATGCTGCAGAATGTTTTTTAAAGACATCACCTCATTTAACTGAATGTTATCAGATGTTCCGTGCTAATCGTAACTTTAACATCAAAGTTAATGGGTTTAGTTTACATGATATATTTGAAAATTTTGGTACTATGTGTAGTATGAGTAAGTAGGTTCATTGAATAATACAGTATATGTAAGGATACCATAGAAACCAAGAGATTTAAGTGCAATTTGTTGTATATTAATGATCTTTGTATAGTGTATAGACAGTGTGACAAAGAGTTTCACATAATGGTCGGATTTCCGGGTGTTCAAAATCCACCTTATTAATAAAAATGTCTTTCCCCTTTTTTTGCACAGCTTCACTATGTTCTATTATTTAAAAGTAGTAAAATATTAAAAGTCACTTTTCTTGTTTATTAGTATGATTTATTATAGATAATTTCATTGTCTTTTTTATTCTTAAATCAAATTATTGTGAAAAATCTTTGGTCATAGACTATGGAAAATACAACTGGTTATTTCAATCATTGTTGCATGTTGACTAAAATAAGCAATTGTATTCATATGCATCTATATAAAAACTATTAATATACCAGGTATGCACTTACCTGAATTTTATCAAAAATGGTACTTTGATTTCTTGGCATCTATACTCCTCATATACAAGTTATTCAGAAATTCATGGTACAGTACATTAGTACAGCCTGAAGATCCTATTTATATATTTGTGTAAAGTATATAATAAAACAAATGTTTGATTTGTTTTTACGTTATTTTTTAGTTAATGAACATGTGCCTGATCATTATGAATCAAAAACACTGATAGCAAAATTAGAATATTTATTAAATGGAAATAAAAAAATCATAAAATTAGACAAATTTACTGAAACTGAAAATTTAAAAGAAAAAATTATTAATGAAGTTGTCATCTCTGAAGATAAAAACTTACATTTGAAAAATGTTTCAACTAATTTAAATATCTCTTCATTCCCAGAGATAAACACGAATGATGATATAGAAACAAATAAGACAAATATGAACCACGATTCAGCTAACAGTTCAGTTAACAATTCAAATTTGTCTACTGATAAAATGTGTATTGTCAATAATGACAATGAATTAAATCATATATCTGAAGTTACGGAAAATATAAATTTTACAAAAAGCCAAAAATCAGACCACAATTCTTCAAAGCAAATTGAAAAACAAAAAAAATTCGTAACACCCAAATGTCAGCAAAGTTCTATGACAAACTTGCAGTTTTGTAGTCCTAAAAATATTCAAAATCAATGCATTCTGTAAGTATTTTATTGGATTAATACTACATTTATTATCACTTAGGGGTTATTAAATACAAATTTATATTTTTACATTAAAAAGGATATATTATATGATGGAGCAAAAACAATTATTAAGAGTTTGTATAGTGGAATGTCAGCCATAGTGGGGGTTCCTCATACTACGGGAGTAAAGTTTTACCACAAGACTAGATTGATCTAGAAAGTACAAAAAACTTTCTAAATTATTATTTTCTTTTGGACGGAGGTAGAAAATAATGATAGTTTCCTTTAAAATACTATAATTAAAAAATTACACATGTAGAACTAAAATGTGAACCTGTGGCTTATTGGATAACGTTTTGTACTTAGTACTAGAATTACAATTGCTGCAACAATTATTTTTTTCAATTTGTCTTATGTCTTCTCCCTGTTTTAAAGTTAATTATAAATTATTATATTGTAAATTTTAATATTTCAGCGAACAATCTGAATGTATTTCGATACCAGAAGCTACACCTTTGAATTCAATGCCAGGATTGGCTGGAGAAGATAAATCTAAAGAAACTTCTGTTATTATTGATACTGGTGAACTAGTAGACACCTTTCTAAATGACCAAAGTCTATTAGAAAAACTAGCTGATACTATCAATAAATCATTAGAAACAAAAAATAATAACATTAATGAAAATCAATTTAAAGAGGGACAAATATTAGATCTTCCTACTCTTGAAAAGGCATTAGATTCTACTCAATCAGACCCTCAAATCAAGAACGTACTAGATGAGTTTTTAGGTATAACATGTTCAGAATCTTGAAATACTAATCAAATGCAGTATTTCATTTTAAGAATCTAATTAATAGCTGTAGAATTTTCTTTAACCCTCCGGTAGGCACGCTTTTTTTGTTATCATAAGAAAACAATGGGATAACAGCACCCAGTGCTGCCACGCACCCGCCGAAGGGTTAACCTTGCATATCTTTAAATGTTTTATATTTCTTCTTAAAAATTAGGACTTAAAACATTTATAGTAATTTTTAAAAAGTTACATTTTGACATCAATTTAATAACTAATATGAAGTTAAAAAAAAAATTGTTGTGTAACAGTTTTCAAATAAAAGCTTATTTTTATAGAAAGCTTACATATTACATTGGTGAACTGTTCAACTTCTATGGCAACTTTTATACAAAAGTTTTTAGCTCAATATGAAAACTGATTTATTTATGTATAATAAACAAAGATAATTTTTAAACATATATTTTATAAACCGTTTGTTTTAAAAATAGTAATATTAACTTTTTTAACATTTTTATTTTAAAAGTTCACAAAATAGTTAAGTAGTAAAAGTTTTTAACATAAACTTACTTTTTAACTTGAAGTTTTCAAAATAAAAAGATAAAATTATGATTACAAGTTATGATTTTCAGTTTTTAATGTTGACAATGGAGAAAATAACAAAAAAAATGAAACAGATATTCAATTAAGTCCTATAAAATCACGACTCCGTAGTGCCAAGAAAAAAGGTACGTTGTGTATTGATTAATTTTTATAATGTTCTTATTTGTCATATTTATTTCAGACGATTCTCAAGATAAAAAAAAAAATAACATGAACAACTCCAAACATGTTTTATGTATTAGTGAAGAGTGTAAAAAAATTGATAACAATATTGTATTGGTCAATGATGGCAACAACAAATCTGCTATTATTGATAACTATGCAATTTTGTCCAATCCCATTACTGTACAAGCCAACAGTTCATCAAGTGTACAGTCTTTTAATTTTGATTCTTCAATTTTAACATCTGAAATTTTACCTGGTATGTATCAACAAACAAGATTACTGACATCAAAAAATGTTGTATATAAATCCATAAACATCCTTTTTAAATGTTTACAAACATATTTTTTTTTACTTAGAAGAAGATTATCCCGGTAAATCAAATTATGTAAAAATTGCACCAAAAATTACTCCCTTGTATGTGTCTCAACAAGGCAAGTATTGACTTCTGAATATCCACATGATGACTTTTTATACTGCAACTAAATTTAATAATACATGTTTGAAAGAACATTGAAAAATGTTATTATGAAAATTATTTTTTCAGGGTCCGAAAAACATATTTTTCCAAAGAGAAAAAGGAAAACTCTTGAGGAGTGTGGTGTAAAAAGCAAGTTCAGGAAATCCAACTTTCCTCATATACAGCCAATAAACACTGTTAGTCCAGCACAATCAATTGTTATTCAAGTTCCTAACCAAAGTTCTATTGAAGCTCAATTGAAAAAAGATATATTTATTGAAAATATCATTAGATTACCTGAAGTGTCAAAAAAATCAAGTTCAGCAAAAGAAAATATTTCCCATAGCACCCCGGATGCTAGAAAAAAACCACCAAAAAATAAAAGTATGAGTACACCACGTAGAAGAAGTACTCATATAAGATGCCTAGATTTTAGTACACCCCAGCCAAAAAATAATGCTAAAGAACATGCTCGTTCAAAACTCTTTTGTGATTCTCCGATAAAAGTAAACAAAATTAAAGAAGAATCACCTTCTAGTCCTACACCTAAACTTCAAGCAGATTGGGGCTCAGTAAATGGGTTTGAATCGATTGTTGAAAAAAAAAATGCTGTTAAATGTTGGGATTCAGATATTAGAGAAATGGTAGGTGCTGGAATATTAACAACGGATGTTGATATAAGAAAAACAAGAAAATCGCCCAGAAAAAAGAAGGGTCCTAAAAAAAAAGCTGTACTAAATATAGATAATGATTCAGAATCTGTATTAAATAGTCAAGATGAATCGCCTACATTAGGAAAGGATAACTTATATACTAACCAGCCTGTTGATTCCAGTTTAGCTTTAAAGACAAATAACGAAACCCACTCTGTTGTATCAACTGATCAAATTATTTCAAAAGATAATAATTTATCTTCATCATTAGAAGATCTTAACAAAAATACTTGCCTAAATAGTGATCACTCAAAAATATCAAATACGTCTATTAATTCTTGTATATTACAAGATAACCAACACCAATTAGGGGTAGAATTGAATGTTAACGTTCAAGATGATAACAATTTATTATCTTTACCCTTGAGAATTGATACTCCAGTAGATCTAACTGGAAAGTCTAATGGTTCAACGAGTTTAAATAAAACGGATGAATCTTTGAAAGATAGTAATTCCAAAAATCTAGTTTTGTCATTGTGTGATCTTAACAGCAGTTATGAAAACACGTTAAAAGATTCAATAATATCTGGCGATAAAGACACAAAAACCAATATCTTGGAAACGCCTTATAAAGATGTAGAAACTTTAATTGTAAGATATAATAAAAACAACTTGGAACCAATCAGCAAAATACCGCAACTAGACAATGCCCAATTAGAAAATTACCATCAAAATATTGTGGAAGTAAATAGTCATTGTAATAAGCTGGACTCTATTAAGTCTCATATATTTGACACACCATGTAAACCAGATGATAAAAATTCTTCTAGTTCAAATACACTATTAGCTCCAACTATTAAATATTCTGAAAATAACAAAGATAAAAAGGATATAAGTATTGAAAATTTAACTATAATTAATTCCAAATCAAATTCAGCTCTAATTATAGAAAGAAAACAGTGTGATAATATTACATCTGTAACCAAAAGGCATGTTCAGTCAAACAAATCTAAAAAAATGTCTAAAAATCAGCTAATCGAGCAGCGAGTAATTGTTGAATCTCCATACAAGTATGATGATGCTGCAGTCGATGTTCCTGGAACACCCATTTCTAAGTTCCTACTCGAGTGTGATCCCAGAAAGCTTGAGACACCATTACCATCTTCACCTGGCCATGTTGAAGAAACTCTTATGGAAACACCACTGACAAAAGTTTTTCGGGAAACTTCTTATTTAAATCGCCCTCCAATTTCACCATTTCCTCCTACTCCGGGGAATTCAAGATCTGTAGATACTGTTATTACTCCGCCCTGTCAAGAATCAATCGACAATTTAAACAGCCAGCAAGAAATTAAAGGTATTGACATTGAAAGTAAAATAAATGGTTTAAAGGAAATATCTGTATCAGCTATTGAGTCAGTTCCGTGTAATAAAACTAATCAATTAATTTTGCCTAACAAAAACAAAGGTAAACATACTTCCTTAAAATCAAAAAATGGATTACGAAATAGTTCAAAAAAAACTATAGAAGCAAAAAAAAAACAAGTGTACGAGTCGGTAAAAGTTGAATTGTTTGGAAGTGAAATCACGTCAAGTTCTAGTGGAGATGAACTAGAAGAAGAAAAATTGCATAATTCCACAAAAACTCCCAAACAAATAACGTCAGCAGAAAAAACTGGTTTTGAATCTGTTCCTCAAAAAACATTACATAACAGTGCAGAACCTTTGCACTCGAAAACCCATTTATCAACATTTTTAAAACCTTCATTAATCCAGAATGAAAAAACACAAAAGTTAGTTGACACAATGGTTGTAAGAAAAAATAAAAAGCAAATGGTACATTTTGATGACCCTGTAGAAATAATTATGTATCGGCCTTTAAACATAGATCAAAATAAATCTATCAGTAAAAGTATTACTAAGAATGCATTACCAAAAAATACATTGAAACAAATTAAAAGTACTGTGCACACTGTTACTAAACCAGAACAACTTACTGTGTTTAATAAAAATCTTAACACACCTATTCCTTCATCTGATAATAAAATAATTAAAACTGCAAACATATTAAAAACTAAGAAAAAATTGAATGTAAGTGATACTCGTATTAATTATGCAGATGAACATAATGGACACAAATCTACCAAACCTCCATTTATTAATAGTTTTCAACAAATATCGCCTAAGCCTAAAGTGTCCATTATTAATGAAACAGGAAGTATGTCTTTTAAGGACTGTGTACTGAAAGAGGCCAATAAGGATAACGATACTCATTCAATATCTATCGAATCAAATTTATCATTAGATGTTATCGTACCAGTTAGCAAAAATATTTCTAAAACCAATATGAATAATTCAACTCTTAATAAATCTAATCAATCGTCAGAATCATCATTTAGTGGAATTACAAACAATACCTCTTGTGTGACGACTGGGCATAAAGAAACATCAAAAATACAGACAAAATGTTTGGACCAGTTTTGTGTTGAAGATTTCTTCAAGAATCCTAAAGTGTATGATATAATTACTGAAGATGATCAGCGTGAGGTTAGTTCTCTTATTCTAGCTTTTTAGCCTATTTTTTTATTAGAAATTAACTATAGAATTTAAAAAATTAATAATGGTTTGTGGTGTATACAGTAGTATGTACATTAGTGTTGGAAATCAATGGTCCAGATAAAGTTCTGAGCAGAATTCACATTTTAATATTTTTCATCTCTGAAACAAATAGATTTTATTTTTTCTTAATTATTATTATAATTATTAGAATTATTCGTTCAAAACAAATATAATTTTTTTTCCCAATATTTAAAATGATTGCTGAATTCTAGAAAAAAAAATTGTTTATTTTATATAAAAAAAAAGGTTTTAGTATAAAATGTGAGTTTTGCCAGGAACTATATTCAGACCCTTAAGGGTTAAAATATCAAACAATATTAATAAAATATTATAAACTAATTGTTATATGTTAGCCCTTAAAAATGCCTCCTAAAATTGTTTTGTTTACAATAGATAAACAATAAGGAAATAATGAATAAACAATAAATGCGTGTATTGTGTTACATTTGTAGGTACTATACACCAATTATTTTTTATTTACAATTAGTAAATAAAAACATACAATTAGTAAACACACTAATTATTCTCGCCTAGTATAATTTAAAATATAAAACTACATAATGATTAAATTGTATTTTTTTTCTGATTAGATGGTTTGCCTTGAGTTATCTTCAATGTTTACCCTACTTGATATACCTTCAGACTTCAACACCACCGCACCTTTGATAAAACCATTGAATTCATCAACCATTTCTAACAATTCATTGAATGTCACTCCAGAGTTAGAAGTTGGTGAATTAAATGATGGCCGTGTTCTATTGCCTGTAACTAGCACGCCTAAAGATATTGTGGATATTAGAAGTACTGATAAACAGAATAGAACTAGAAGAAGTCCATCATTTTGGGGAGATTCTGTTCATAATTATTCACATAAGCACAGAGAAGATAGACATAGAGATTTAAATTACAGGAGGAATAAAAGTTATAGAGAAAATAGATACAGTGATCAAAATTATAGGTAATAAGAACATACTTTTACAGTTGTTAATATTAGTATTAGTGATATACATTAGATGTAACTTACATGTAACAAACAGATGTAACTAAAATTTTTTAGTGCATTTTTGTCACTGCTGTGTAAAAGAATAACCTAATTGATGCAGTTAAAAACTTTTCTAATTATTTATATTGTCATAAAGGTTTTTTTGAAAAGGTAAACTTTTAAGTGAAATAGTTATTTCAAAAACAATTTTTATCATTGACATATTTATGCTTTTGTCATAGGGTATTTCAACCAGTGTTAGCATTTTTAAAAATAATTTAGAATATCCAAAATTAGAAAACTGTTCATTAAAGTACAGTAAAGGAAAAATATATTTTTAAGGCAGCTGAAGAGAGGATTAAGCCCTCCATATCACCTCCCTATACGTCATTGCATATTTCATTTACATATGATTTGCTTAGTGGTCCCAAATGTGAAAATCACTTTATGCACAAATTCATGAATTTTATTGACATTATTTTTAGATCATTGACTTAAGGGTAAAATTCTTAAAATAAATCACTGACTTAACAACTCAAAATAAGATATATACTCAATTAATGGTTAATTATCTTATGTCTTAAAAATTAAATTTTTTAATTAACAGTATTCTGTTCAATCTTAGTACTGTTGGAAAATACATACTATATTGTAAATATTTACTATTAAATAACCCAAAATTGGGTAAAGGTGATTAATAATAAAGAAATATTTTTTAATGCAAATGATAAGTTTCTTAATACTACGCCTTTGCTTTAAAACTATATATTTATGATTATATTAATTAAATAATTCTTTAAATTTAACTAAAATCTAAATATTTTTATTATTTAGACAAAGCACTTCCCATAGTTATCGTGATGAATGGTTGCAGTCTGATAATAGAAATAAGTATCAAAGAAATCATTTTAAAAGTAATTCTAAAAGAGAATTTGGAGATGAACCACTTAGAGATAAAGACAGATTTAAACACAAAGACGACAGAAGGAGAAGTAATCGTGATTACCGTATTTATGATGATCGCAAAAAATTGGATGTTAATGAACAGTGTGGATCATCACAAAAAATGTAACTACAGCTATTTACTTTGTTGATACTTAACTATAGCCGCTTCACAAAAACTTGATTGTTGTTTTTGTGTCGCAATTTCTTATTTTTATTAGTTATTAATTTGTCGAAAAGTTATAAATGTTTCTCGTTTAACACAATTAGGTCTCTAAATGATAACCAAAAATCAAGTAGATCAGAAGATATAGTAAAAAAAGCTACTAAGCGCTCTAAGAATCGATCAGATCTAAATGAGGTAAATAAAACATTGTAGTACTATTACAATAATATTAGTGTTAAAACATTTTTTTGTTTTTTAAATTTTAGATTCCGCCAAAAGTATCGAAAGTCGAACATCAACGGTTACTGAAAAATGTGAATGTTGATGATTTTTTGTCTATTGTACATGGGCAATAATATTCAAACCAAATTAGTATCTAGGTGAAAGTCAACAATTAAAATACTATGTATTTTTTATTACATAGTTAATAGTTAATATTTACCTACCTTTAAAATAGATGTTTTAATTATTATTTAAAATATCCTATTTATATTTAATATATTACTGGATAGTGTAAATAATATAGTGCTATAATACATTTTTTGTTATAATATGTTTATTATTATTATTAAATATGTTAAATTTAATAACTTTTGACATTAGAACTTCTAGAGTTTTCACTTTTACGAGAATTGTCCTTTTTTAGCCAAGTTCTATGAAAAAAAAAATTTGTAAGTTTTTGATACTTTGTGAATAAATAACAATTTATACATTAACTTCATAAAAACTACAAAGGACAAAATATTAATACTTTTAAAAAGTATGCCCCTATACTATTGAAATATTGTTAAAATTGCTTTATAGGCCCTATAAAAAAAACTCTTGTTGGTAGTTCTAAGTTTTTGATATAAATTATTTGGGTATTGGGTAAAAAATATTTGTGCTTGCAGCTATACATTAGGACTATATTATAATAGTTGGTACACTACTGTATTTCTTAGAAAAACGCCAGTAATTCATAGTTTTTAAGTTTTTTCAGTTGGAAATTGATTTGAAAATACAATATTTGAAACTAGATTCAATGCAAATATTATGGCTTACTATAGTACCCACCATCTAAACTATCGACTAGTCGAAACTATTATCGTAGTGCTCTTATAACTCGGAACAAATCAACAACCTTATTCACAGCAGGCCCTTTACTAAAATTATCATATCCCATATTTATTTATTTCATTAGTTTATATTAAAATAGTGAGGCCGAGTGGGTAAGGTGTGGCTATCTATCTGTTGCTGGGCAAGAAATTGTCTAATAAAAAGGAGCCCACCAGCTCTGGGGACGGCCTGACATTGTCTGGAAACCATCATCTCGTTGGGCTTAAAAGCTGATGATGAGTATTAAAATACACCAGTTTCAACTACAGCAATTATTAACTTAAAAAACGCCTAACTATATGAAAACCCCTGGTCAAATTATTAACCAAATAGTCTTTTATATTTTACAAAAACTAATATTAGTACAAAAGGGTAATTATTTTACAAATAATTATAAATATAGAGAACATTATTTCATTTTATTTGAGTTCATTTACTACACATGATGCTTAATATATTTTATAAATAAGTAAAATCGCACGTTAGAATAACAGTAAATAAATAATTTTAAAATGCTATACATATGTAAGTTAAATCACTAAAGATCAACCATTTTCATAGTTATTAGTTACTATAAGCTAAATAGAACTGAAAGCAACTAGTTATTAACATGATGCACATTTATTATTTGTTTCGTTATCAATTTAATGTATTAATAGTATTTGAAAATGAAAATGTTTTTACAAGATTGTAATTATTAAACCCGATTTAATAAATTTAAAAAAGTAAATTTAATATAAATACTGGTAATGTGTTAGTTTTAAGTTTTAAATAAATCTAAAATTGTATTATGCAAAAATCAAAACATAAGTACAAAACATAACGTGCATATATATATATATATGTATATATAATTATTATTATCTAACAATCTTACAACAAATTCATCTAAAAATATATTTATTAAAAAAACAATAATATTAAGCCTTTTTTCCACAAAAGCGGTGTATAATTTGAAAAAAGCCGAATAACAATATAAAAAATAAAATCAACGTATACAACAAATTCTAGGCTGAAACAGTCTTTAAACACTATTAAAATGATATTATGAAGAAATAATGTTTTTTTTGTTTTTATACTTGAAAAAAAATACAATTGGTTTTATTACAAACTCCTTTCTTTTGCAAGGCCCACTTTATAAAACATTTTGAAATAGCATTCATGGAGATAATAATGCATTTGCTAACTAATAGTTTATTAAAGTAAACAATCATAAGTTAGTCTATGAAAGATGTAAAATAATATAATATAATTAATAGCTTTTAGCTAAATGTTATTTAGTTAAATCTAATCATTTCTAATGATTCTTGTCTAGTGAATGATACAAAAATTAGAAATATAAATTTGACTGCGTAGTCATTGAGTAGAAGATTTTTTTCGTTGTCAATATCACACTGTCAAAACTATACTTGAAAAATATGTTTTTAAAAAATTGTATCTTTTTAAATTGTTAATTAATTTCTAATTAATTATTGAATAATTTTGTTTTGTACAATGTACATTGGTTTTTTTGACATCAGACATCATTTCTCTTTACATATGGATGGTGGCAGCTGTATAACGAGCTTCTCCTCTTCTCCAACCCCATTGACTGGGTCGATACTAAGGTAAAATGTTTATTTTTTATTTATGTATTCAAATTAAAAAATAAACTATTTTTCATAAAAACAAATACTCACTCTAATGAGCAGTTGTCCAGATCGTGTATGTGGATAAAGGTAAGCATATAATATCCAAACTGTAGACATTACCAAAAGAGATAAACATAGTGCAATGAAAAATAAGCTTGTGTTTGAAGAAGGCGCAGTATCTATACAAATACAAACTTTAACAATAATACAAAAAAAATAAATTATTGTATGATTAATATTTACGAGGTCCTAAATCAGAAGATTTTTCCATGGTTGGTGTATTCATATTTGGTGGATGTGGAGTTGTAATGCCATTTATACACATTTCTTCATTCATAAGTTTTAACTTTTCACAATCTTTCTTATGCCAATCTTGACGGTTTCGATCAAGCCCCGAAGAGCAACGATTGTCACACCAAAAACACTGTTAAAATATAAATACATATAAATGGATAGTTTTATTAGTACAAACCTAGTGGTATGACTAAAAATAATACTATAGACAATTAAAACACAAAAAACAAAAATTTCATATGCATAGGTACTTCTTATTATAATATGTAAAAATAAATATTACTTGAAAATTAGTATCTTTTTTCACACAACTTGTACAATTTTTCTTTTCTAAGCAAGTTGGTAATGCTGTTAGAACTATTACAGTACTATTTGTCACTTCATCATCGTTAAACGTCACTCGATGGTATTCATATATTGTTTTTCGCCTTACAACTAAACAAATTAAATTAAACAATAAAATAAGCCAAATAATAGTTTAATTTAATAAAACTTTACTAACAAAATACAGTTTTGTCCAATACATAGGCATCTGATAATCCTATTTTTACTGGATGACTAGAAGCATCAATAGCTTTCAATGACATTGGTAAGTACTTATAAGCAAACACAATATTCCCATTAGAATGTAGAGTGGTCTGGAATGTAAATTCTCCTGCTTTAGGCTTATCTTGTAAAGTCACATTTTGCCAAGTAACTGTGAAAGCAGTTCCATTATCCATAAAATAAATATTTGATTCGTTTGAAACACTAAGATCAAAGTTGGCCATCAAAGGAGCCACATATTGAGTAGCAGCCAACCATGAATGAATATAATCTCCCAAATATAAAAATCCCCCAGTAGCAATTGTAGTAGTATTTATTAGATGACCATAGAACGGAAACTGGAACGTTAAATTAACAGTCTAAAAAAAATTTAAAGTCAAAATTACTATAAATAAAACATTTTTTTTTTAAATTATAATAAAAGTTAGTTACTGCTGCTCTACGATGAGAATCTGATAACATTTCATGTACATTTGCATTTGGATTATTTTTTAACTCTTTCCAATATTTTTTGAATATATTGGAGTCATTTATAGCAGTACTATTATAGTATATATGAGAATCCTAGAAAATGCATTATAAAATAATTAGTGTATAAAAATATAGTATAACGTCTATTAATTATTAAAAATGTTATAATTATGATTTTATATTGTCGTGTCCAACTAAGATTTAAATTTTTTTTTTTTTTTTAAAACTGGTAACACTTGTTTTCTACATTACCGGCGAAAAAGGTAGTAACTCGAATCAACCAGAGGTTTTGAATAACGTAATTGAGTTACTACCTATTTCGCCGGTAATACAGAAAACGAGGGTTATCAGTTTAAAATGAAACTTTTTTTAAAAGTCGAGTTATGGCCTTCTTTGTTGGACACGACGATATGTAAATTTACTTAATATAATACTATAAACTTTTAAATTTACAAATGCTAAGACTAGAGTAAAAAACCAATTATAATAAAAAATAGAATAAATTACTAAATATTTTGTCAGGAAAACCCTATAGGCTATAAATATTTTATAGCGTTTATTTTTATAAGAAAAATCAACTAATATATTATCTTTACTTGCAAAGTAACAACTTTGTTGTGGAACATATTCTAAGTCTAATTCAACCAAGGTAATAAGAAAATTATAGTTTTTTTCTGATCCCACAATATCTTTCAAAATCTTAACTGATTCCTTCAAGTAGCTAGTCTATACTTCAAAAATTGTCACTGAAAGGTACTTTACTAGGCAACAAATTTAAAAAGGTCACCCCTTCCCCCATAAAATAAAAAAAAATACTTTAAGTTTATAATATTTATTATATATTATTATATAATATTTATACTTATATATATATATAATATAATATATAATTTGGCATTATTCTGAGTCAAACCACACGGGTCATCGGCCCTACCTCCTCAATATTTTTTTATCATAAAATCAGATTCAAACCAAATATTTTCGTCTAATAACGGTAAATGGGCCAAGGTTTCTTTTTTTTTAGTAATAAACATTTTTTTTTCTCAAAAGTTAAAAAAATTTATTTTAGTTTTTTATTTAAAAAAATAAAATTAAAAATAATGTCGTGATAAAATTTGATTTTTTGCATATTTTGGGAGTAAAAAGTTAAAAATGTGCCTTATGAATAAAATTAAAAATGAAATTATACATTTTTTTCTTCAAATTTGAAAAAAAAATGTTTATTACTAAAAAAAATAGAAATAAACTCAGCCCATTCCCGTTACTAAACGAAAAGATTTGATTTAAGTCTCTCATTTTATAATAAAAACTTCAGAACTCTAAAACGGGTCGAAATTGATTTTTTGTGAAAAATAACATAAAAAAACCTATAATTTTGGGGTAAATATGAGTGAAAAAATTTCAAAAAAATGAAGGTCTTATATTAGACCATAAAGAGTTTATAGAAAAATTTCGAGGAGGTCGGGCCGCGTGGTTTGACTTAGAATGCCCTTAGAACATTTATATTATGCATAAGTATAATTATTCATGAAGTCCAAGTATTATTTATTCTTTAATCAATGTAATCAGCCAGATGATAGATAAAAAAATGTTTAGACTAATTAATACGCTGACCGCCGGCAGGTAAGGTTACCTAGCCAGCTTTGTTTAATGTGTTAAATAAAGTTGATTAGTGTATACATATATATATATATATGTTTGTGTTATTATAATTAAAATTGTACAAACTTACATTTTTAGTTCTGGTTATATTGTTCTTGATGAGTGTTTCATTAGTTATCGTTTGAGGAAGTTCTAGATCAACTTGTTGAGGTTGTCCTTAATACCAATTAAGAATTAGTTATTTACAATTTAAATTTACACAGCAAAGTCTCACCAGAATAAGTAATATTGCCAATACTACTGTTTACTGATGTTTCCTGTATAAGCGGAACTTTTGAATCTTTCATTACAACAGAAGTAGAAGAAGATAAATTTATCAAATCTATATAAAATTTTTTTAAAAATAATATTAGAATGGTCTTATTTTTATTTAAAGCCATGTGTATAATGGTTCACTGTCTACTATTATACATATTCATAACATCTTTTCCCATTCGATATACTTCAACAAAATAAATATCTTAAAGATTTTCTAGAGAACAGCAAGGAACTACAAAGAGGAAGAAATTTAATGAATACTGATACAGCACAGGCATTATTTGTGAACATGGTGGGCTCAATCAAACAAACACTCAAACAAAGCCCCGAAAGAAAAATACAATAAATTGAGCACCATTCAAAAAGAATAAAACATACAAAGTAAATATGCAAGCCTCCCCTACCCACAGGTGTAAAACGGATTCTATACGCGACGTATTTGTATAAATGGCGATTAATTTAAAAAGAAGGCTCATTATTTGAGTATTTTCTATAACACACACACTCAATATTGTTTTATACTCTAAACTACGCAACAACTAATAAAAACCAATAATTAATAAATACATATTTCTATTAAATCTTATTTGTTAGAAAATAACACCACTATTCCTTGTAGGTCCAACATCAATTACAAAAATATTGATTTTTGAATAAGACAATGATTATTTTAACAGAAATATATCTTTGGTTGTTTTGACAAATAAAATATACTACTATGGTCTATTCAGTTTAAGTTTGGCCACTAAGACTGTCACGTTCGTGCATGATGTTGATGACAGGGAGCGTTGATGGCGATCGTCGCCACCCACAAGGTGTATACGTAGTGAGCTGTATTATCACATCAGTTGACCCGTGCGAACTGCGAATAATCGCACACAAACACTAAACCCCCTGAAAATATCACTCCGTATTTTCAATTTAAGTAAAAATACGAAGAGTAGATAAAATAGAAAGATAATTAAAAAGAAAACAACCTGCCAATAAACACGGTATTTTTGTTATTGTCAGTATATACAATGAGTGACGGCGGCAGCCGATCACCGCCGGCCAATCATAGAGCAGCTTGACCTTGGCCGAGGGATCCGAACATACTGACAGCTCAGTATGCATGCGTGAAAGTGGGCAAACTTAAACTGAATACTATAGTTAAAATTTTCTAATATTTCTAATAATTTATATGGAATAGTAATTAATCTGAAAATTTGAATATTATAATGTAACAATTTAAAAATATTACCTTGCTTATTTTGTTCCAAAATGTGTGTTCCATTTCCAATATTCTTAGTTATATTTGTCATATTTGTTATTAAGGGGACTGATGTATTTTTCGGTTTATTTTCTAGTGGTTCTGCAGCAGTTCGTTTCACACGTTCAAATGGTAATTCAAAGTGAATTTGATTATCACTTTTATCATGTAACGAGACCTTATAGAAAAAATCTAAAACCATAGAAAAAATAATTTAGTACAAAAAAATTTGAATCAGTCAAAGGTTACATCCACTTTACACACAGAATTATGAACAATAGAAACCCTATTTTGAGGTAAATAAAGATATATGCTCAAATTTCCATGTAGCCATAACACAACCAAGTTTAAATATCACTTATTTTACCCACTGTAAAACATTACACATATTAAATTATTAAAACAAATTCCTTCACCCTTAACGAGTTTCTACTGACATAATTATAATATCATGGATAGGCAGGTTTAAAAATGTGTGCATTTTTTACATTAATTATATAGTGAATTAACAATTAACAAATTAATAAATTAAAATAAAGGTTTTGTAAAATACATTTAAACTCTTAAGTGCAGAGTTCGTTAACATACTATATTAGCTTTGCAACTTTTTTTAAGTTAAGCTGAGGTCTAAAAAAAAAATTGTAGGGCTAACATGTTTACAAAATATATTTGGGAATTAGTATGAATATAGCGTCTATAGCTAATTTGCTTATATCATGAGATTTTATAGATTTAGGTTCAGGGGTTATTAATTTTTTTAAATTATTTTGGCAGAAAACTGAAAAACCCCGATCGATTATGTAGGGGAAAAAGATCTCATCCGAAATAAAAATATAAGATACATTTAACATATTGAGGATAAAAAGCCATTTGAAATATGCAACATTTTTTAATGGTCTTTGGGAGAACAATAACATTGATGTATTTTGATAACAATAATATTAGAAGTAAAAAAACTATATAAAATCTATTAATTTAAGTAAAGAAAATATTTCCCCATCACTTTTAAGTGATTTAAATTTAGATTAGCTTTTACACCAAATATTCTTTAGTTTAACCATTAATATCATAAGCATACTTAGCACATTATTTACGATACTCTAATAAAGATTTCCTTCGATTCAGGTATGACTTATACATTGAAAAAAGGTAGTCTACTAAAAGCATAACAGTTATAATTATAAAATATGGAACATGCTTTAGCCTGCTGGCTACTGAATAGTGATTATTTCTGATCTATAATCTCCTAACTCCTTGCCATTTATGATGGTAGTATAGTCTTAATTATATGTTCTGGCCAAAACTTTTGTATGACAACGACGTCTCGTTATTATTTTGATGGCATCTTATATGTTATTATACGTTAAAAGTAGGCGCGCTACTTGCGTGACGCTATTTTATGCCATTCTCGAGCTGAGAGGCTAAAGCATGTTCCATGCTGAAATATTAAGTGGCCTAAATATTGCGTTTAATTTTATTTTACTGCTTTGAAGTTTAAACTCTTTAAAACTTTGCTTTAAAGTGTTTACTGTTTAGTATAAATAATAAAAATGAATATAGGTTTTGAAATTATAAGCTAAACACCATATTTTATTATATAGTCAGTAGGTCAATATAGTTCTTGGTAAGCATGTTTTGTATTTTGTGTATATCGAGTATTTAGTTTTTGTTATTGGTACAGTCATTGTTTTCACTTATACGTGTACACATATTGGTAATAAACATTTTATTTGTTACATTGATTTAAAGCCTTTTATTATTTGATACGCTTCTGTACACATCTTAATCCAACAAGTTATAGGACCAGAATTTAAACAATAAATTGTATTCAATTAAGTTATAACATGTAATCGTGTATTAGCAGTTAGTTATTTTTTAGTGAAGTGATTTTTTTGCGTCCTGCTTTCTTAATTTGCTTACAGTCAATACAATGCATTTGTGTAAAATGGAAAACAAAGTTATTAAAATTAACAAGCTCGAAAACGTGATTCAATGGGACATGTGGAAATTTCAAATGAAAGTGATAACACAAACAGTTGAAATCTGTGACAACTGTATAAGTTGATTTCAGTGGTTTTACAGAGGAGCGGTTTTAAACTTGAAACAAACCACTTGAGTTGGTACCTCTAAAGTATTTATCAATATAAGAAGATATATAAGAGGATTATTAAAAAATTAAATGTTTTAAATGAAGTCCTGATTTATGGCAGATGGTCAAAGTTTAAAATCGCTCCCCTGTAAAATCACTGAAATCAACTTATACACTTATTCACAGTTGTTACAGAAATCTTCGATGTAGTGACAGGTAAGTCAAAGAAACCAGTTTTAACAAAAATTGGCATTGAAACTGAAGATCAAGCTAGAAAACAATACAATGTAGATTATTCGATATGGTTATCCCTATGAATAGGGAAGAAAGAATTCTTCTAAAGGCCTCACACCTGTCATAAATGGCGACTAAATAAACGTTGAGCCAAACGTTTAGAGGCCTTCTATGGGTAGGTTAGGTTAGGTTTTATATGGCCCAAAAGGTCATATAAATAAACTATAGATAATATTATTTTAATCAAACTATAGTATCATTATTTATACAAAAAATTACAAAACTCTTATTTCTTAACTAATTCCATATTAATAAATCACATAAATAAATTATTCTTATTTAAAAAAATTTGAAGTATATTTTTTTAAAAATCAGTTCTAGCTTTTTGTATAATAAATAAGATACTTTGACTTTAAAACATGTTAAAGCTATAAAATAATAAATATCATGCAGAAATAACAAAAATTGCCTATTAATTAATTTATAGCAATATTAATAAGTAGTTGCCAATTTACAAAAAAAACATTAATATATTAATTTATTATTAAATAACTTAATTAAAACCATATTATAATATTGCGTTGCAAAGCATATTATATCCAATGTTAATACACTGAACGTCCTCATTATTTTTATTATTGACCTCGAAATAAAACAGTGTCAAGATTTCCAACAATAAAGTTAAATTTAAGAAAAGTAATTCCAAAAAAACTAAATATAAAATTGCATAAACGTGCGACAACCGAATAATAGATTATATTGAACCATGATGACCACAAGAAATCGAGATACTACGCAAGTGATAATATTATAACTAATAGGAGAATTACCTTCATTTGCTGCACAATACACTCTAAGGATAGTTAAAAAGATGAAGACTACATCCAAAAAAAAACTTTTGGACGTCATTTTTAAAACGAACTAAAAACGTGTTGGTCGTGTAGAAATAATACTTCTATTTATACATTTTAATGGATTGAACGATAACTTGTAAAAGTCGAGAGAACAAATGGGTTGCTATTTCACTAATAAAGCAATTGCTTCTCAAATGAACAAAACAACTGCTGGTTTAACAATTTAGTAGGTATTTACAAATAATTATATTGATGGCGATCATGTAGATAGATAACGTTATCGCTGTTAGAGAGCGCTGTTGTCAAAAATATCGTGGGTTTGTGTAGCAACCACCACCTTAAATACTGTACGAGACACCACATAAAAAAACTAGGTTACACTACACCAGACAGCTCAAAACTTTTTTGCCCATGACAAAAAAAAATTGGGAAATATGCATACCTTATACAATTTAACCTTAATCTGTGTAATAGGTATGCCAGCAATTTCTGATAAACACCGAATGGCCGCGGTTGTTCTTGGCCGGCTGTATATTTCTTACGGGAGAACCTAAGCCGCCATGTTGGGGAATTGAAGACACAAATTGCTGACATACAGCTTATTTATTTTGCTATGACAGAGCCGACATTACAGGTCCTCCAAATAACATATTTTTAGCACTGAATAATTTATAATTATTACAGTAGTCAACATAAGTACAACTTGAGGGAGGTTGACATTTAAACTTAGATCTTTAGATTATTTTGAAAATGATCTAAACTAACTAAACTGCCTAAGACCATCTGCCCATAAAATGAATTCAGCTTCCGCACCAACCATCACGAGAGATTATAACCAAAAATGAAGGAGTTTTTCAAAACACTTTAATTTTAAAATCTATTTGGTTTAGTTTTCAACTTCTTTTTTTATTTTAACCACTAGTAAAAACTACTTGTATTCTTATTTTGCTACATTCAATCGTAGGTTATTGTTAAATTAAACTGTTGTTTTTAATGTATTTATTTACAAATTGGTAATAACTTCTTCTATGTACTAGGTCAAAAGCGGCGTGACATTTTTTATTTCAAAAGCATAAACTTGTTATATATAATATAATAATTTCAGAACGTAAAAATACTGTCAACATTTTTCGAATTTCAAACTTTTTAAAAATGTTACCATAATAATTATTATAAAAAAAATTCTCGAAAACAATTTGAGGAATTGACAGAAATGACACAACGTGGTGTGGGAGTTAAATCGTACACTTGCAGTACGTATCAAAATGTATGGAAAATTCCAATATATACTTTCAATGGTATACTTTACTAAAAATACGAAAAACCTCCCAATAATTTGTAATGATGATAATATTGCTTTATCTGTTTTAGTATATCCCGTTAATTTATCATTTATAACATGTACACTAATTTCCCGCTCGGTTTTGTTTATTTAAATGACTAAAACAATACTATAAATGTAGTTTATTCGATATACATTTTTAATTTATACTAAACATCTTAAGTACTAGATTGAAATATTTTCATCCTTGTCAGCGACAACCGAATTTATTTTACCGCATGACAAGTTGTTGCATCCACGGGTAACGTTATATGATATATATATGCATAGACAAGTATACTAAATGGCTATATGGTTGCACACTTGCACGTCGGCCAGGTCTGTGGCCTATGTCCGATAAGCATTAAGCTTGCAATGTTCGATCGGCGGCTAAATTCTACAAGAGTTGTTATCTAAGAATATGAAAAAGTAAATGACTGCTAGCGCTCCTCGTGGGAAAGCGTGAAACTTCTTTATTTTCACTGAGGATCCATGTTATATTCAGTCGCATTTATGATAACAGCCGGATTATCAGTACTGATGACTGTGGTCATGGTATCATCACAGAATATTTAGCGGTATCATAGATATGATAATTGATAATAAAATAGATATTGGCCGGACTCCAGAGAAAAGTAAAAATGTTTACCTACATTCTACAATTGACTTTTTCTATAGCTTCCTACTTTTTTGTAAAAATTGAATGACTAGAGTATACAAGATTATGTAGCTATTATCAGTTTATTTCAATAGATTTAAAGTTATAATTAAAAACTAAAAGATATTTCATTTAATCATTAGTATTTAGTATTGTATTAAACCAGACCGAAATGGCGTTACGAGTATTTAGGGGATTATGCTTACTGAAAAATGTTATTCAAAAGGGTTCAACGCATTTAAGGTGAGACAAAATTTATTTCTAAAAAAATAAGGAGTATTATTTGTACTGTGTATGTGTATATATATATGTATATCTACACACCCACACAAACAGTGTCTAAAGATTATTATTTATATTCAAGTATTATTTTTTCATCAGTAAGTAATAAGTATGTAAAATGAACATTTTACCATTCATACATCTTAACATTGAACATTTTACTCACTGAATACTTGAGTATTTATTTTTAAATGTATGTTTCAATATAGAACAAATGGTGTCCATATTTCCGTTGTCAATAGAGATCTTATGGAATTTTTCGATAACAAAAAGAATTGGGCTGTTGAACAAGTTAAAGTTGGAAGATCTTGGTCTAAAGATGAGTTACGGATCAAGAGTAATGAAGATTTACACAAACTATGGTAAAACACTATATTTAATATTATAAACATAATAATTACATATTTGAAGCTTGAATCAGTATAAGGTGATCGATTTTTTGAAAAATTCTAATTTTTTCTTAAAATAATTGAAATGTTGTAGTTTTTCTTTTAATACAATAGTAAAATTTGTATTTTTTTCCAAAACTATCAACTTTTAAAACTTTTATGGTAATTTAATATATATAATAAACTTTTTAGATTAAGAATAATTTGCTGAAAATGTTGACTGATATATATATCAAGTTTTTGATACTTACTTTTAAAGTTACTAATGTTTAAAAGTTAGGACAGGAGATGGAGTACAGTAGAGTGATGCGTGCAAATAAAAATAATAATACACTCTACCCTTTCTCTCATCTAAAATTTTGAATTGTTATACCTTAAAAGTAATTATCCAAAACTGGTTATCAATTAGTCAACATTTTTAACAACTTACTCTTAATTTAAATAGTTAATTAAATATGTACGCTACAATATTATTCGATTTTATAATATTTTAAAGTAACATAAATAAAAATTTTTTCAAAAAGAAAAACTAGAAAATTGCAATTATTTTTTAAGAAAATGATTGTCTAACGTTATATTTTATTTATTTAGTGTATGGCACATTTGACCAGGAGTTGGTCCTATTTGGGTCAATTTCAGTTGCCAGGTGGCACATGACATTTTTACCATGGTTAGAGGGGGGGGGGATGGTACTCTTCTACTAGACTTGTCTAGTAAGATGGATGACCGCCTGTGACTGGACTCGAAACAGCAACGTTGGGTGCCAGCAATGCAACCTTAATGTTTTTGGGTACTCCATCCCCATTTCCGCTTAATTGATCACCCTGAATACTTCATTCCCTAGACATTGATTAATATAGCTGCCCCAATAGAACAACACCTTATGCGTTCGCTATATCTAAACACATTTAACATTTAGTCCATTTTACCAAATTTTGAAGTTGTGTCTTTGTTCTACCGGGGCGATGATGTTCCTGGATACAGTGTGTATAAACTTTTATAGCCTAATAGGCTGTTTAGTATAATAATTATTTTTTTATACTGGCTTAAAGTTCAACTTACTTGTAGGGGAGAAAATAATGGACCGCCAAAAATACTTTACTGTTATACTGTGTTTTTATACAAAATCAAATAAATGTATTAACTATTATTTTAGTATTATCTGGACCTCAAAGATTTTTTTTTCAAATTATCTGGACCTTAAAAAAAGTAATTGCCGACCCCGGGTCTAGATAGTTTCTGGTAAAAATTCACATTTTATTCTAACTCAAAAAACAAAATTTACTTCTGATAACCATTTCATATATTTAAAAAAAAGTTTTTTTTTGAAAGAGTTATTTTATCTGGAACAAATTAAATCTATTTGTTCCAATAACAAAGAGTTATTAACAGAGTAAAATTTGAATTTTGCTTGGAACGTGCTAATCACATTGACTTTTAATTTTAAAGATTGTATTGTTTACAGTTGTTGAGAGTTAAGAAGTAAGAGTTAAAAGATGGAAATTAATAAAATTACTTTTAAAATGTTGAGTTTACTCAACAATTCTTTTGAGTAATGCATATAAGCGCAAAAAATACAAGGGATATTTCCACCTTATACTTCTTATTTTTTTCTTTCATTTTTAAGTATGATAATTGAAGGCATTGGTGTTCACTATTAACTAATCAATAAAACTTTTAGGTTTATACTACTAAAGGAACGAAACATGTTACTGACCATGGAGCATGAGTGTAAATCTCAGTTTGAACTTTTCCCAAATCCTGAACGAATCAATAAGGTAAATTAGTTAAAAATGAGAACTCATTCACATTAATGTTTATTGAAAAGTTTTTAGTCAGTTATTTATACAGTATAATTTTTTTTTTTTAGGTTGAAGATAGTATGAAAAATGTAGAAACAGTTGTTCGTGAACGGAATAAAGCTTATTATGATTTGGAAGTTGGTGAAAATGGAGAAAGACCCGGAGAAATGGTTACTAATTTGTTAGGTAAATTATATGAAAACTACTGACATAATATTTTATGAAAATTAAAGCAATTACATATTATGTTATTTTGGATTTAAATTATTAACTAACAATATTTATATGGACAATTCTTTTAATTTAAATATAACAAATCTTTTAACTACTGCATTGATAAATAGTATAATACAATTTTTTTTAATTTTATGTAATTTTTTAAAAAAACTTGATACTAAAATTGCATTGAATTTTCAGGGTTAAATTTTTTTTACCGGAAGTTTGAACATTTAATACCAAAATTTTTGAACAAAGGATGGAAAGATAGGCACAATTTTAATGTAGTTAATGGAAATGTTGAAAAATTCCAAAGATTCTACAGAGAAAAAATACATAATGAAAAAAGGAAAAAAAGAAAGTAAGTGCCATTCTTAGATTATTAATTAGATAATATATAACCTTTTAAAAATTAAAGTTATAAAATAATTAAAACTTATTTAACTTAGATAAATATTTAATTTTTTTTTTCTAGTCGTGATAAAAATCATGTTATGCATTTGATGAAACGTTTCCCAAATATGGATATGGAAGCTGTAAAACAACAATATCCTTCTGTGGACATTGAAAAAATCAAAAACTACAAAAAAGCTCGTGGGCATTATGTACCTTAGAATTCATGAAGATAAAACACAATTATATAAGAAATATTACATAAATGTATTTTTTTTATCCTGAAACTGTATGTTTAAATTGATGTAATATAGTATAATATAATAATACCTTCATATAATTAGATGGTATAGTTTACAAATGTCTTAGAGGATTTTTTTTAAATTTTACAGAAACTATGTTTAAAAACTTATAATGTTATTACATGCATTTAATACACCTCAAGCTCACTAAATTAAAAACCATAAATCGCTGGCTTTGTACACAATGTGTTATGGTGAGTTTACACCTACAATTAAACTGCTGTCATTAATTTATGGTATTTTTGTGCAGTTGGTTTGCGCATGTGAATTGGGTAAACTATTTAGGATTTACATGCTCGTTTTTTTATTTTTTATTCAGTTCTAATTCTAACCCATGATATTCTTTTACTTACTATGAAAACTGTGAGATTGTGCAATTTTTTTCCATCACTGCCTAAATAAAGTTTGTGCAAAAGAAAGTGTATACAGTTCGCTTGCAGTTTTTATTAAATCTGTGGTTACTCTGGCCCATTTAATTTTTAAAGTTATTTAGAGTGGAAAACATCCGCTCAGGTGTGGTGGTTGATACTGGCAATGTGCATAAAATTTTCATAATTTTAAATAAACTGGAAAACATTTGATCATCACACTCAGTTAGAGCTTGAAGAGCTGATTTCGGAACTCTATGATAGGTACAATATTAAAACCAAGATAAGGACTTGGTAGGTTAAAGGTATTATGTTTTTATTTTACTTGCACCATAAATCTAACATAAAAAAAAGGCTCTGGGGGGGATCTATCCTCATCATCCCCCCATAACTACGCCACTACATAATACATTTAAGATAAAACCATTAAATTACTAGATCATACTTACCAACATTCAATTAGATAATTAATTTATTTCAATTAGAATCTAAAAAATTAGGCAATAGTTTTATTACAAAAATAACCTCACCTAATTGTGCGTTTTACTATCTGGATAATGGAGATTACATCAGTGTTTATTTGAAAGTGATTTTATCGCTTTAAACGTGCTAAATTAATGTCCAATTCTGGTAATCATACTAAATTATTTGTTTTTTTTTGTTGGCGAGTACAAGGTGAATTTTGCAGGGAAATTTATTTATACGATATATGTATGTTACCCATTTTTTTTTAAATCTCAATGTTAACGAAAATAGTAAAAAGTATTCGTAACCCATCTAGTGCCTAGTGGTCGTATAAAAAATTAATAATGGGTACGTATTGCTATAGACCTTTAATAGACTTTTCACTTAAGATAATCCTGCCGTTGCGCTGTAGTTATCCACTTGTAGATATTTAGTCCTTACTCTTAGGTACTCTTTGTTCGTTTTTAGAAGAGTTCTGGCCTTTTGGACTTTGTGGAGACTATAGGTTTTTATATAGTATGTACGTCTCCCACATCCACATGAATCTTCTTCTCATATTTTAAATATGATCTAGGTTATTTCGGGAAAGGGGGTATATTGATAAAAAGTGTACAAACTAAAAAACGTTTCGTTGACGTCTCATGAGGGGATGAGATGGTGATATGAGAAAATCAATAATCATTAAACTCTGCCCTCTAGATAACTAATAAGAAAGGTGATATTTCGCATGACAATTAGTTTGTCATAATATTTTGTAGGTTATATAAATAATCTACTTTATTTTTAATAACTAAATTAAAATCGGTCTATTATTTAGTAGCACCCATATAAAAAATAGTAAGTCTCCATAAAAAAAAATGTTTTAATCCGTTCCATAAATACTCCCGAAAGTGACTTCTACGAAAGTAATTTTAGCACAGAATATGATTTTGCGATGAGTAACTTAATACTTTACAATTACCGACACGAACATGCGTAACGACTAACGAAATGCTGTCATGATGCATGGCCCATTTGATGACGTCATGGCTTGGCATTAAATGGATGAGTTAAGAAGGAAGAAGAGTCTCAAAGAAGATAAGTAGACGTATGTGAAAGCATATCTATGTTTTACAAACTCCGCTCGATTGGGAACATGATAAAAAAGGCGAGGGGTCAAGGGAAAACTGGAAGAGGCAGCAGCTGTCTTTTCGAGGCCAAAGGGTCGAGTTTTTTACCAAACATTCTACATAACTCAAATTTTAATAGATATGCAATTAATAAACAAAAAAAATGTTCAATTTCGGCCATATCAATTTATTATCAGGTTAATTTGTTAAGCACCATCGTACGTATGCATTTTTTACAAGTAATACGGATTTAGGTAGTTTTTAACCATATTTTTTTTCAATGAAAGAAAGACTTTTCATAGTCCTTACTGATGACCCATTTTTTATTTAATTTCTAAGACCACATCATTTTTAGGTTAAATAGGTTAATATTCAAACGTTTATTACGACGCACAAGTACAATTTTTAATAATCTGAGTTCGATACCTACAAAGACTGTAAAAAGTCTTCCTCTATCAAAAAAAAAAGAAATAATAACAAATTGTATGATCAGTTCTAAAATGAAAAAACTATAAATTTAAATTTTGCTTTAATTTATTATTAATTATTACATTGTAATTATACATAAGCGAATGCTATTGCAATATGGAGGGCAAAGCAGAGTCTACGCGACTTAACAATAATTATTTGATTTCAACACAAAAATAGTTAACTCGTGATCACCGGTAATTTTGGTTCTTTATCCGGAACTGCGAAGGGAAGAGTGTATCCCTGACGATGTACACTTTGGAGCTGAAAAAGCTTCAGGGACTCGAATGGTTTGTCTTTTCGCAACTTATATCTACTGCATACATAGGGCCTACCATTTCTGGGAACAATTTTTCTGTTAATTGTGTTTTAGCGCATTGAGCGGACTGCGCAACTCTATCAGTCGAACTTCATGGGTTTTTTTCCGGGCCGCTCTAATGATACTAGTGTGATTGATTTCACTACTTTTGTCTGCGAAGCTTTCGAATCCAAGCTGCAAGTAAATGTGGTGTATAGGAACTTTTCAAAGTATCGTACCTTTCATACGATCAATCATGGTTCTTTAATTTATGTTTTAGATCGTTTAGGTATTAGTGAACCACTTCTTTCATGGATGAAATCCTATTTGAGACTTGAGTAACCGAACTCAGTTTGTTAGTCTCTTTGTTTCTTCGTCCGATTGCTTTATTACGATGTTGGGAATTACACACCCCAACCCCAAGCTTATGGACCTGTTACACAGATATTAGGCCTGAACTATTTGGGGGAAAGGCGCAAGAAATGTAGAACATGCTTTTTTTGAGGACCACTTAATAGCCGTATAGACGCTTTACGTCTTTTAGAACGACTAGTATCCGGGTACTGTTCAAAACCAGGTTACATGAATTTTTTCACGTGTCGTTAGGTAGAACTAATTTTATGAAAAATGCGCCCTTGGACAGAATGATGCGTGATTACAATAATAATTATCCTAGTACGTAGACCATATTATGTGTTGATCATATTTTATTATATTTCTGTTAAATTAATAATTTACTAATGTATTTAATTTAAGTTCCATTTCTACAATAATAATAATATGTATAAGCCGTTTGGTGTTAATCATGTAAAATTAAAATTAATAAAATGTGATTTGTTTCATATAAAGTTATTTAATAAAATAATATTATGCATACTTCTTAGTCCCTAAATTAATATCACAACTTTTCTAACTTGAGTGTATTTTCTTAGTGATATTTAACACGGTGCTTACGAATTTTTTTTTTTTGGGATATCAATTATTTTTTATTTAACGTAATACTTCTTGTTTTTTTTATACCACTAGAAGATTTTAATGTTTGTTTCAAATAAGTATTTTTTTTTAAACTCTTTATCGAACAAATATTTATCTAACCCATTTGTCTTTTTACACTCGTATTAAAGACGTTGAACGTTGTTTTTTTATACATTTTGGAAACCATATTATTTAACTTGACAAGGCGTCACAACTACAACCTCTTTTCAACACAATTCTAAATTATTTATTTATTATAATGACTATCACTATAATCACCATCATCACTAATGACAATCACAAAATTGTAAATGAAATTAAAGTACACACAAAAGACAAAGTCCGAACTCCGAAAGTAATAACCGTAACACATTTATACAAATGCAAAGCAAACTGAAGACTGGCGAGTTCGCAGTCGAACTACATAATAATAAAATGTTATATGATGGACAAGACAATGGTCAAACCACTAAGGTGGCTGGCAACAAGTCACAATACCGTAATTTATTTAGTTATCGCCATGGTAAATTTAGAAGCCTACTTTTTAATTTTCAGTCTAGTTATTTTTAATGTTATGATTTGTAAGCACGGTGTTATTTTGTCAATGTTTCTATTTATACTTGGAAAATACATAATTATTAATAAATTATTTTATATCATTACTTAAAAATCCTTGTTATTTATTATTCTATGTGAAGTTTAAAAAAGCTTAAAATGGGGCTATACATTATACATTTCGTAAGTATTCCTTCCATAAGTACAACGCGTATTCTCTAGTTCTTCTTAGTTGAACTAGTTAAACTAAAATCTTGGTTTTTTTTGTGGGTTGGTTGCTTTCTGCATAACGCCATTTGATTGAAGCTGGAAGTTAGTTCACATTCTCTAAACAAGACAGATCGTTACAGTTAAAAAATCTAAATGATAAAATAGCTGAGTTATATTAATTATCTGAATAACCTAATTAAGATTACGTACAAAATAATTGTATTTTGTGGAAAGTATTTTTTATAATATATTTTACAATACAATAATAATTTTTTGAATGAAATAAAAATAATACAATTGTCACTGTATTTTAATTAGTTTTTTTTAATATTTAATATCAGGTAGCGTACAAGCCTTCAGCCCAAAACTATATAATATCATTAAAATGTATAAAAGTTATTGAACTACACTCCATGCTTATAAATAATTACAATGTTATAAGGTAAATATGATATGCAATATTAAAAAACCAGCCATTTTAATTTTATATGAATACAATTCTTATCGTATACATACCTCTTTTGAATGAAGTTTTGAGAGGATTATAAATTAATGAAATTATATATAACAAATTTAGCCGCCTTCTCATAATCAGCCGCCCGGGGCACAGCCCTCTGTTGCCCCCCCCCCTAAATGCGGCTCTGGCCGCAATGTAGATACCACTACTTTGATTGACTACATTTTTTGGGAGGATGTCTGGAACTTGGCCCTTTTTAATTGTTAAGTTTTTGTTGCAGATATTATTCCTTTTTATATGTTTTTATTTAACTCGCTAACACGTACGTACGTTTGTATGGGTATTATTCAAATCTTACAAAATTAATTTAATCCACTTCCCGATGTCGTAGAAGGCTGTAACTTGGCACAGACACACACCTCGGGTGACAATACAATATCATGTAATCATATTGGGACTCGGACATCTAGGTCGCCCTACACAGGGTCAAATATGGGGGTCATTTCACTAAAATTTCATTTTTTTTTTCAAATCTTCTAAAATGAATTTAGTAATCTATTCACCAATTATTAAGTACCTTTAATAGGACTAAAAAGTAAAAAATTAAATTAATACATAAAAAAAAAACTTTTTTAAATACATGCTTTTCTAAAAAAATAGTAAAAAGTAAAAAATGATTTTATTACAAGAACAATTTACCAATCAATTGTAGCATATTTTATTTAAAATGTCAATGAAAACAACCGAAAATTAACTAAAATTGTATATAATGTTAAACATCTTTAATTGTTGACTAAAAAGAAAAGCGTGGGCCCTGTTATACAAAGTCCAAATTTATTGAGTTAAGTATTATGAAATGTTTGTTTCACACACAAATATTGAACCAAATTTACATTACAAAAGAACTTACAATATAAAACATTATCTGATAAATATATTAGGGACTTTGTTGAGAGGCCCCACACTTTTCTTTTTAGTCAACAATTAAATATGTTTAACATTATATAAAATTGTAGTTAATTTTTGGTAGTTTTCAAAGTAATTGACATTTTAAATAAAATGTGCTACAATTGATTGGTAAATTGTTCTTGTAATAAAACTATTTTTTACTTTTTAGTTCACTTTTTACTATTTTTTAGAAAATTATGTTTTTAAAAAAGTTTTTTTTAGTTTATTTATTGCTGGTTATGGTTTAATTCACGCGGCCGCCTTTAATACAATTTTTCTTAGAAAACAGGAACTTGCTATTTTTTTATACTTAGAACGAATGAAATTTCCAACGAATAATAACACTGGTATACGGTATATAGACTGAATTAAATAATGATATTTTTAGGATTATTAAAATATTCTGTATTTGATAACTGATAAATAAAAAAAAATACAACCAAATTACGAAAACATTATGTTTGATGAGTATTTACTATCAATTACAAACAATTGCTTATTGCCATATTGTAACAATGATTGAAAGAGAACGTTTTTTGTCGACGGTGCGGGAATCTGTGATTAATTACCTAATAAAAACCCGTGCTAATATAATCAAGCAATACTTATGCGCGTCACTTCATACATTTAGAACTACACTCCCTAAAGCGGCATTCATTTTGAGAAAATTGCAACTTTCAGATTTGAAAGTTTCTTTTTTCCTTTTTGAAAAAGCTTACTATTAAAGGCTCAATTTTGTACAGTGTCCTAAGCTACTCGAACTTAATCTATGTTTCAAATTTTATAAGCTTATTTTAAGAGGAAACAGAGAGATGTGGGTTAGAAAAACTGAGTGAATTGGTTCGTGTAAAGATACACTGGCATTGCTGGAACTTGGCCTGGCGCACTGCCGTGCTTTTAGATATAACGAAAAGGTTGTGTAAATAATACTAATGCAATATTTTTTTTTTTATTAGATTATTTTTACAATCTGGATAAATATAATAATATAATAAGTAAAATGTTCTCCTAAAGTTAAAGCTTTCAAATGCACGTTTTAAATATTTGTAAACGTAAAAATCGTTGGGTTAACAAAAATGAAGATATGAAATACTATAGAAAGTTGTAGGTAGGATGGTAGACATACAGGTACTAGTTTCGAATGCTTAATAGAATCAGTGTTCGCCGTTTAGGTTATCAGTACACATGTATTGAGACTCAGTTTAATAATCTTATACCTATATATTTTTTAAATTTGTTAAATAGTTTTTAGTTTAATTATGTTTGTTTAAGTGTTTCCGAATTATTGTGATCTTGAAGAAGTATGAGCAGTTACACAAGGTATTATTTTTATATAAATAGAAAACGGGGAATGAATACCAAAACACTTATAATTTAAATGTTTCCTTCTTAGCTGTAAGTATTTGCTTTTATGTTTATTATTATGTTTTAATTACTATTATTATAGTTGATATTTTATTAAACTAGAAGTCGGTAAATTAATTTTTCTATACTTTAGTGAGTCAGCGATTTAAGAAAAAACACTTGTAAGTATATTATTATTATTAAATAAATATATATAATATATTAGTTTAACAAAAAACGAATATTATTAAATAATTAATACATTTAAAATAATCGAATTATTGTTTATTACATTTGATTTTGTCTTAAACATACGTTTTAATTTAAATAATTTAATTAACTGTTTAAAAACTCCTATACTTTAAGCCATACATAAATATACTCCTAACATTAATAGTTGTAAAATAATGTGAAAAGGTATTCTAGTAGTTAATAACATGAAGGACAAAACTATTTAACTTTATCTAAAACCATTATAATGTATTACATTGTCTTTTACACTTTTATGAGCTACTTTCACAACTTATGTTTAGAAAAAAAAAATGTAAAAACAATTAACATAGGTTGTATTGTGTTGTATATGTATTTACATATGTAAATTAAAGTACAGAAAATAGCGTGTCTACAATTTTATTGGATGTATATTTAAGTATAGTGAGTATATAATGATTCAAACTTTTAAAAAAATGTCTACTTACCGGCTATTATTATCTTAAACAAAACGCATTTTATTAAACACTTAATTTATTAAAATCTTTATTTTCAATCTCATAGTTGTATAAGTAATTCTTTCGTGAGTCTGTAATGATAATAGGATAGCTTCGCTATGCATGTTCAAGCATTTCACGTAGTACTAAATGATTATTATTCATTGTACTGTAATTGTTAACATAATACGTGTCACATAAATTAAAACGTATTAAGCTCTTGGTAATATTTTTAGAAAATATTAACATAGGTACACGCTATTTCCAAAGAAATGTTTCAATAATATTGGTAAACATACTACGATCCACTACAAATTTTGGAACAATAACATGTAGTAATACTTATAAAACCTATGCTAATATCGTAACAGAGAAATCATTTGCTTTGTGTTAGTTAGCATACTTGGCCCTAGCTATACATTTTTAGTTCTACATTAAAAATATTTTCCAAAAAATTTTTTTTTTGTGATGGCGAATAATACATTTTACTCTGTAATAAAAAGTTATAACTTTTGTTTAAGACTTTGTACTAGGTACATAAACTTAAATGTTAAGTAACATGATTCTTAAAAAAAAACATTATGTAAGATAAAACTCATGTTTTTTTTTCACTGGTACCTTAGTACAATCAACTTTAAATAATAAGTAAATATTAATAAATATAACTACCTATTTTTTTGTTATTTTTTGTATGTTTATTTTTATTTTTTGACACTAGAGTTTAAATATTAGGCACGTGTATTATATTTTCATACACAAAGTAGACGATTATGAACCGTAAGAAATTCGGTTTATCTATTGTCTTTTAAATTGTGTTCCACGTTTAGGTAAGAAAATTAAAGAAACAAATCAAGGTTTAACTTGAGCTACTGCACAGTAGTACATATAAAAACCCATATCGCGTAATTTGTACGTATTATACGTACGATTTATGCGATATTATAATGATATAAAAAAGAAAATAGATAATAGTTAAAAATTGCAAAATATTACCTACATTTGAAACGTAAACAACAATCTTATGGCACACTTAAAATTTAAAAATATCAACAGGTTATGATTCAAACTAATTATTTTGCTATAAGTCGCTTTATTACGGGTCACCATCAAGAATAACATAGACATATGTTAAAATATAGTTCTTTATTCAAAACTTATCTTTATTTCTAAAGCATTAACATAAAAAAGGCTAGATATATAAATTTTCTACAGTAATGCTAGTCATAGTATTTTGGTTTATACAGGTATAATTATATAAAGAAGAAAATAAATTAAAATATATTCTATAATAATTAGTTATTAAGCACCTAGGTTATTTCCTCACATACATTTATAGTAAGCTAACAATACTTTGCTTAGGGAATTTTACAGTTACGTGGACTTTTTACATTAGGTAGATACATACAATGTAAGAGAAAGACAATTTATTATCCATTTGGCTGGCATTAATTTAAATAGGTAATGAACAGATTAGAAAGTTTTTACAGAGATATTCAGCAAAATAATATGAATATATGCATGATAGGTGTCAATGATTATTATTTTTCAAACAGATCATTGACCCTTTTCTATATAGCATAAAATATTTATGAGTGTTAGTCGCAGACTCGTAGAAGCTATATATTGTGGTGATTGTAAATATTAGTGATTGTTAATATTGAATCAATAGTTGTTGGCGGGTCTATACACCATTATATTATAAACACTATTCCTAAAACTAAAACAATAACATTGACGTTTGTTTAATTTTCAGCAAAAAAGATGGAAGTGAACAAGACGATTTTTCTCCAGACGTTTCGACAAATTCTAATACTTTTCATGGTTTCTCTATGCCAATACACAATTCTGTGAAACAAACAAATAACCATAATAGTAATGAATCTGACAAATACGTACCCGAGAGGACATTCAGAAATGCTTTACCACAAGTATGTTATTTACTAATTGAGAATTGGGTAATCATTTTTAAAAACTTTAACAAACAACCATATAGTTTATACACTGTAGGTAACGTAGAGCTGCTAGTTTTACCTACTTAAAATTCTATTTTACTCAGCTATTCTTTGGCTAAAATCACTTGATGCAAACTATGCCTGCTAATAATATAAATATTTATGAAAATTAGTTTTAAACGTAATTTTATAGTAATTATATTTATTTAGAGTTGTAAAAAATAAAGCTAGCACAGAGATCGAAGTATAGTAGGGTTGGGAAGTATATAGGTTTTAGAAACTATTTTAACTGAAAGTAACAAATAATTTTTAAATAAATGTTTAGAATCTTCGACGTTAATTTATATAGATGGTAAAATATATAGGTAATGTTTGTGATTGGAAATAAACTTTTGCATAATTATATTGTGTTTAATTTTATTAGATTTCTGTAAAATAATTCGGAGTAGTCTAACGTCATCTTAGTATACTAGGTGTAGGTAGTAGGTACACAATACAAACTCTAACGTCGTCTTCATCAGTTAGTCGCAAATTGAAATTAGTATTCGAAATAATTTATCATAATTGTATAACATGAGATCAGATTTAAGTTTCATTCGAATAAAACTTTATCTTAATAATCATCTAGATAACACATTATTTAAGTAGTGTAAATACAAATTTAAATGCCTTATTGTTCCTTAGGTGGAAAATGTTCTTTTTAAGTTGTCTATTATTCAGATATTTAGACAATACATTTTTTTTTTTGTTAAATAAACTTTTAAATAATTAGTAAACCATGTTACCTTCGGCACGTACGTACTGTATAATTAAAAATGATTTAAAACTAAAAAAAAGCCAGTGCAGTGGGGACCGAGCTGGGAGCATATTAGGGAAGCAGAGGTTACAAGATTAGTTTGAATATATTTTTATTGGAATCGTTTTAAAAATAATTTTTCGGATAATTTTTAATCATATTATTTAAATAGTTAGTAAGTTTTTTTTCTAATAACTATATTTCAAAGATTATTTCGTATAATTATAACATAATATATGAAACATTTACAAAATATGTAAGCCCTGTTAACATATAAAAATAATTTTTCATTAGAATAATTTCTAAATTAATTATTCGAATTATTTTTTGATTAGAATAAATTGTGTAAGACTTATTTTAATAAGGTGCTAATAGAATAAATTGAAAAACAATTATTCGAAAAATTGTGAAATAATTAATTATTCTAATTACTTATTCGAATTTGTATTCGCACAACTTTGTATGGGATGTTATCAGTAAACAAAATAGTTATTGTTTTAAAACTGGGCTTATAATAATTGTTGTATTACTTAGTTTATTACGTATACCTTCATATTATTTCCTCTGGCATAAATTTTAATTACAGATATTGGCGACATCAGCAAAGAATTGTCTACTTCTTACATATGGTATGACATTAGGGCTTCCAACCATAGCTATCCCAGCATTATATACTAAAAATGCATCCAATGAAAAATTCAGCGATACGCTCCAGCTAACCAGAGAACAAATATCATGGTTCAGTTAGTCATTTTTATTTCAAAACCCAAATTTAGTCTGCATGATTAATTAACAATTTGTTTCAGTAATAATTGGTATGCATTATTTTACAGGTAGTATTAATTTGATATGCGTACCCCTTGGTTGTATAATGTCTGGTGCATTAACTCAACCTTTTGGAAGAAAACCTAGCATGGTTATGCTTAATTTACCATTTATCATGGCTTGGTTATTATTTCATAATGCTTCTACTGTAGTGGAACTTTACTTAGCTTTAGCTATATGTGGCCTCTGTGGCGGATTACTGGAAGCTCCAGTAAGTTATAATATTTCTTTTATATTTCATTACATTTGATTTACAACACTTCTAAACTAAGGTGTTGACATATGTTGCTGAAATAACTCAACCGCATCTTAGAGGAGTGCTTTCGGCATCAGCGTCTACTACAGTCATACTTGGAACTATGTCTCAGTTCGTCATGGGTAACTTTTTACACTGGAGAAAGGTGGCACTCATTAACACTTTTATACCAATATGTGCATTGATATCACTATTGTTTATACCAGAGAGTCCTCATTGGCTTATAAGTAAGTTCACATGTTTGTCTTCGTATTAAATTGCCTATTATAATTTTGATTGTTGTATTTACTCATTAGTAATTTCTTTTCTTGAGGCAAAGGTAGAGTTGCTGATGCTGAAAAATCACTTTGTTGGCTTCGTGGATGGGTAAACCCAGAAAAAGTTCAATTTGAGTTGTCTACGATAAGGAAATCCATAGCAATGAATAAGGAAAAAATTAAAATGAAGAAAAACAAAAAATTTTATTCGTTTTATATCAAACGGACTTTTTTACTACCATATTTCATCATAACAGCAACGTTCTTTTTTGGTCATTTTGGTGGAATGACTACATTACAAACTAACGCTGTAAATTTTATTTTTATCATATAAATGTTGTGTTAAGCCATATATTCTAGGTTGAAATTTAACATTATTATTACTATAATTACATAAAGTACTTTTCCCAAAAAATACTATAAAAACCAAAAATAGGTGCTTTTGTAACTACTTACTCGAAATACAACCACATAAATATGCACATATGAAGGGCACAGGGAAAAAGGGTAGTAGTCAATTTTTTTCAATTTCTAGACAGTGTCACCAATCAATAGTACATTGGGGCTACTATTAAATGTCGAAATCCATTTGGTGAAAGAGAGGTTATATTGGAGCCAACTTAGCGCTTTGAAAACGGTTGACATATATATTTATACGCGCAAACTAACTTTGTTTTTGCTCTCCTGAAAAATTTTCATAATTAGACTACTACTCTTCTTCCCCTCTGCCCTTCATATAGTACCTAAATTGTAAGAATAACAATCTTGGCTTCTTAATAACAGAGCATTCTAACATTCTATAAACTTAAGAAAATCAAATACTATTTAATACCATCTATACTAATCAATTTAAATATATACTTAATTGGATCGAATTTCCCTATACCTAATATATGATAAATTGTAATTTAGGTTCAAATTTTTGAGACATTGGGTTCTCCAATTAGTGGATATGCTTCTACATTAATTCTAGGAATGGCTCAATTGATGGGAGGAATTCTATGTTTGACTTTGATTCATTGGACAGGCAAACGACCGTTAGCAATAATATCCACTTTGGGAACATCTCTATGTTTTTTTATCGTATCAGGTTATGCCTATATGAGACAATATAACATTGAATTGACCAACAATAACACGTGGATACCAGTCGTATTTTTAAATATGGCCGCGTTTATGACACATATATCGATCAGGTTACTTCCTTGGATGCTGATCGGAGAAGTAAATAAATAGTACCCTAATATTATGTTGCATACAATTATACTTTATTTTCAGGTGTATCCGCCAAACATACGAGGGCCAGCCAGTGGTGCTAGTGGTTCAAGTTCCTATATATTTGCATTTACTGCCAATAAATCATATTTTATGATTCTTGATCACATTAATTTATTTGGAACATTTCTCTTATATGCCTCAGTTAGTATAATAGGATGCATAGTACTTTACATAATGATGCCGGAAACGGAAGGAATATGTTTGGAAGACATACAAGAACATTTTGCAAATAAATCCAAAACATTCGCAAAAAAGATTACAAAAAGCGATAGAAACGAAGAAATAAAACAGTGGGCGGCAACGAACCCCGCTTTAGAAATTGAACAAATAGAATCACATTTATAAAAATAATAATTATTGTCTTTTTTTAATGAATTATAAATAAATCAGAACGCACTTGCTTTTGTACAAAATGTAAACGTTAAATTAATCATTTTAAAATGCACCATCAATTGGTTTAATATATGATGTACTCTTCAGTATTCGCAGATTCTTCAAAAACAATGTTTCTTGCTATTTCGAGATATTTTATTTGTTTGGATTTAATATTTTTCTTCATAATAGCTTTGCAAGATTCTGGTAGAATAAAATTAAATACTAATTCCGTTTCAAGTTCTTTGCGGCTGTTAAAAACAAAAACAAATATAATATAAAATAATATTTAGATTTTAGATATATCTTTACAACAGCTTACTACCAGGCTCCAGCTTCCTACGTATCCTACGTATACGTTTTGGCAAGAGGTAAATGGATTATATGTAACAACTGTATCCATACATACCGTATATGATGACTGATTTAACTGCATTATGTGAGAATGACAAGCTTAAACTTACCCCAATCGTAAAAGAAATGCATATTGCTGTTTAAATTTATTTCTAACTTTTGTAACAGTTGTTTTGCTAGGTATATTTGTACAAAAACATGTCTCAGGAAATGCACGTTAACGAATCCATAAACAAAATTCAAGATTAAGAGGGCGTCACAGTAAACAATTTTAGTACTAAATTATTAAATAGGCATTTATTTTAAGCATGGGTTGTTTAAACATAATATATTAACTATGTACATCAAAGGCAGACATACTTAAAGGGGAGCAAATATATAAGCTATACATTTTTTAAGGACTGGGGGCGTTGTAAGTGTTTTACCGGGGTGCAAAATTTCCAAGTACAATTTTGATAAAAAAAATATCTGTTAATGAATAACTTAATAACTTCGGAACTATAATTGCAGACAATTTTCTTAATCCTGTCTTTAGTACATCATGTGCGAGTTTATACTTTATAATTCAATATACTGTCAGTAAAGTGTAGGTATGTACTATGTACTAAACAAAGATAATAATTATTAATTGTAGAATAAACAAAACACGAATTAATTAACTTCACTTTTGTAAAGGCTATAACCTAAAAAATGTGCACAATCAGTTTCTAATAAAATTCTACAAATGCACCAGTATTTTACTTTTAGAATTTAGACAACTGAATTATGTATATATACCGTGCTTCGTAGTACAAAAATATCAACAAATCCAATTATTATGTAGTTGCTAATTCTATTAATGGTTATACTAAAAACATATATATATATATATCTTTAATTTTCATTACAACATTAGCTTTTCCGAATAACAATAATAGTCAATAGAATAAAAATTTAATGATAAAGTAGCTGTTTTATTCTATGACAACTACCTAAGATTTACATATATTTAAATGAGGAAGTCAGCGTTTAAAATAAAGGAAATTATAGAAGAAATATCGATAGGGTAACAAGAGTTAAGAAGAAGTTGGATATCAGGAGAAATGTAACAAATAGAGGAGAGGAGAGAAAAAAGAAGGTTGCGACTGGGAAGGAGATAAGAAGAGTGGAAAGGATATGTGAAACGTCACAATTTATATCCGACAGGTGCAAAGGGCAAAGAGGGGACGAATTGAGCTAGAGACGATAACAAAAAGAAGGTAGTAGATGGTGACCGGCGTGTAACCGAGAAAAGGTAACGATAAGATGTCTAGGGATGTCCACACCCTAGAAACACGGGCGAGTTGTAATTAAAGGAGAAGTATTTCTATGCCAGGAAGCTAATTAGGTGGGAGGGCCGAGAGAGGACCATGTAGTTCACTATGCACGATGTAAAAGCGAACGGTACTTAGAGAAAATATCAAAAGATGGTATCTTAAAAGGAGAAGTGTGCAAAGAAAATTTGTTGCAAAATCGGTAATTTCGTTACCTACAATTCCGACATGACTTGGAACCCAGAGGAACTTCACAAATTTACTTTCTAGGCGAATCGATAGACTAGAGATTTGATTACGAGGATACATAGTTCATACATTAATATTAATATTTATTATTTACAATATTTTAAAATGTGTCTATGTGTAGGTACCAACTACATACATACATTAATGTTAGATTTTGTTTACCAGTTCAGTATGTTATTTGAAAATATGAAATAGATTATAAATGTAAATTAATTCTGGGGTTTTCCAAGTAATTGAAGAATGGATGAGACATAATCCTTTATTAATTTATTAAGATTACACGGGCTGAGCCCTTTGAAAATACTATATTATATTATATATTTGGGGGTTTGAGCTTTGATTCACAGGAATCGATGTTATGGACGAGGGCACCGCCAATGTTTATGCCAATACTAAAAATTAGTGAATTAGGTATAATGGCAGCGAGGCCGTTCATATCCTAGGAGATAGTAAACACGCGTTGGCGTGAGAATGAGAATCAAAAGTTAATTTTACTCTTTGAGAGCCCACCAAGGATATGTTCGTGATACCATCAAATACTTTGACATATAATTTGCCTAATTTGATCAGATGAAGCTTTCCAATGTTGTTGTTCGAACCGATAGAACCAAAATCAGAATGTGAAAAGAACCAGAATAATTATTGTCTTCAACGAATATTTGTATCATTGATAGTATAGCTCCATTCAAACGGTTTGTTTGTTATTACCAAATTTGATATTGTCATCGACTAACATCAAGCTAGTTTCAGTGCGAATCGTAGAGTTGTTAGCTTTATTAATAGTAGGCGAAACGTTAATAGGTTTAGTATGTTTACCATTATGCTTGACAGAGCGAGTATTCTTGTACAAGTGAGCTGCGGCCACATACAGTTGTGCGAGCCGCCGAAAAGTGTACGCGATCAGAAAAAAAAAAAAAAAAAATATTAGCACGAGTTAGAAAAACCGATAACAATAGTCAAACAAAAATTAAATTAAAAGTTATTTGTAAAAAAAAACTTTACAGTTAAAAGTTTATTTCACAATTTCTCTCATAATAATATAAACATTTTTTTAAAGTAACATTTAACTTATTATTCATTATTGCCCACCTTTGTAAAATACATAACTTTATGTGTTGATGTTCTTTATGTATGTTAAATAGAAAAACCTAGAAAAAACTTAAGCAACACTTGTGGTTATATTTAGTAAACAAATAAAATAATTAAATATTTAAATAAACCTTAAGCACTAATATAACACTCTATAGATTATTTCGGCAACAATGTTACCATCATCAGCGCATAAAACAGACTGAGCTAGTATTATTTTTGTGGTTAAGAGTTTATTTAAATATTTTACGTAAAAAGTATTTGCAGTTTTTTTCTTTATCTTCTTTTTTATCATTTTTTTTTCGTTTGATTAAAACTAGGTTTTTTGCGTTGTCCAAAATATTGTTAAATGCGAATCTGTGGGTACCAAATTTGGTAATTTCTTAAGGTGCTGGTTAGGATTATGTTTGGTTTAGACTGTGCTGGTTTATACTGTACTGTTTTGTTTATTGTTTTTGGAATTTATTGTTGAGCTATTATTATAACTTTTAAATTGAAAGCTAATAAAACATTTTCTTAACAATTTTAGATTTTCTCCGTATCGACCAACATGTGAATTCTGTTGGCAACATGTTCTTCAAGATATAGACCAAGACGTAGATCATTTACCATCCGTGATGTTTTAACGTACGTATTATGGGGTATTTTGTTTTTCGCCAACGTTTATTTTATAGTTAAGTTTTCCAGTACAGATATACTTTTAAAATATTCGTAATCGGTATTGCTCGCATACAGGCCGGCTCTTCCCACTAATCGTTGGACGCATACGCGACTATCCGACTAAAATTATCCAATGTGTATTTTATAATCCTCTTAATTTTTTAGGATTTAATTGTATTTTCTAATCCACTAGTACAATGATAGAAAAAGAAGATATGACTGCTTTTCAAAAGCTTGTTGAGTTTTATTCCTCAACAATTGACCAACATTCTAGCACCGCAGAGTTGAAGATGTGGAGAGCTAAGTTAATTACTGAAAACATTTTTATCAACTCTGGGTTACATGCTTTAGATATTTGTGACGAAGTATTTTATCCCACTATCCATAAACTATTAAAAATATTTTGTACTTTGCCTGTGTCTACTGCCACACCAGAACGATGCTTTTTTTAGTTTAAAGAGGATTAAGTCCTATCTTAGGAACAGTATGACAGAAGTAAATATTTGTTTTCTATTTATTATTGGAATATAATTATAAATTAGTAATTAGTTAAGAGGACGTTATACCCTTTAAAAATAACCGTAATAAAAAGTAAAAAATAATTATATTACAAGAACAATTTACCAATCAATTGTAGCACACTTTATTTAAAATGTCAATGAAAACAACCGAAAATTAACTACAATTTTATATAATGTTAAACATCTTTAATTGTTGACTAAAAAAAAAAGCATGGGGCCTCTTCAACAAAGTCCCTAATATATTTATCAGATAATGTTTTATATTGTAAGTTCTTTTGTAATGTAAATTTGGTTCAATATTTGTGTGTGAAACAAACATTTCATAATACTTAACTCAATGAATTTGGACTTTGTTGAACTGGGCCCACGCTTTTATTTTTTGTTAACAATTAAAGATGTTTAACATTATATACAATTTTAGTTAATTTTCAGTTGTTTTCATTGACATTTTAAATAAAATATGCTACAATTGATTGGTAAATTGTTCTTGTAATAAAATTATTTGTATAACGTTTTTATGAACTCACAATCTTGTTTACTTTTTAGTTCACTTTTACTATTTTTTTAGAAAAGCATGTTTTTAAAAAAGTTATTTTAGTTTATTTATTAATTTTTTTACTTTTTAGGCCCATTAAAGGTACTTAATAATTGGTGAATAGATTACTAAATTCATTTTAGATGATTTGAAAAAAAAAATGAAATTTTAGTGAAATGACCCCCATATTTGACCCTGTATAGGGTGACCTGGATGATGTCCGAGTCCCAATATGATTACAGGATATTGATTGTCACCTGTGATGTGTGTCTGTGCCAATTTTCAGCCCTCTACGACACCAGGAAGTGGATTAAATTAATTTTGCAAGATTTGAATAATAC